AGAAAGGGTCCAGAAAGATGATGAATGGGGATTGGAATCATTGGAAGAGGCAATTCGAACAGGAGAAGGATAGCAGGAAGGGTAGCCTGAGCTGAAGTCAGCCTAGGCCGCACCCATCCTGCACGAAACACAAGGAGAGCACAGTGCTCGAAAGCCCTGCGCAAACAGGCGGTCTGGGGCGAGGAAAAGGATCAGAAAGAGTATGGAAGGGGGCTAGCGCCCCAGAAACTTATATGGATAAGAGACTGTAGGATAGCTAACGGCCTCAAGTCCACGGATAATGGTCTGTCATAGCTCTAGGGCTCGGTATGGACAATAAACTTGATTAAATAATAATAATAATAATGTATACTGATATAAGGTATAGCCGCCGTCGTCGCTTGCATTTATTGTGCTTATTATTCTTGGGTATTTCATCCGCAAGGGGAAATTGAATTGTTGGGTTGTTGCTATCGCACGTGAGTATACATTGATTCGGCGAAGGCTTAAGTATAGGATATTTCTAATACGATAGTAGTCGAAATAACATCAATAATCAGTTATATCATCCTAATAACAGTCAACCAACCCGTCGTCAAATATATCTTCATCATGATCTCCAACGCATCGGCAAGCTGTGTCTATCCCGTGATCTGGCCTGGTGAGTAGTTGTAGCAGTGCGCACCCTCACCCTTTTCTGAAAAAAACATTTCTAACAATTATAGAACGAATTCGAGCTGCTAAAGGAACTACATCTGCTGCTATTGCTATTGGGATTACCAATGTATGTTTCCCACCCCAGACTCGGATAGTATATACTGATAAGTCTAGGCTTGTGCCCAGTTGATGGGTATCGTGGGTCCTCAGGTATATCAATCCAAGTTTGGGCCTTCGTACCATGTGAGTTTTGGTACTTCTATTGGGTTGTTGTCGGGGACAATTATTTTCATTGGTGTGAGTTGGAAATTGATGGGAAGGAGTGTGCATAAGCGGGGTGGTTGAATATTTCATTAGCGACAGCGAGGGAATACTCGGAGGGAACGTGAACATAATGTAACTGTACATGTAGCAGTGGATTTACCTCATTCCCTAGCAATCTACATATATCAACCACTGTTTGTCGGCAGAGGGCATTTCGTGACTCAGAGCAGAATGGCTGCTCAAGCAGAATGAGACGACGAACATAATCTTAACGGCATTAGCTGAGATCCTTAAAATCTACTTGGACTGAATGCTCAAACTGATAGGATAACCAGCAGGGAGCTCTGGCTTTCTGGATACTAAGAATCGCGAGCTGAAAGAAAAGAAGTGGGTGGTTTGCCTTTGTAATCAAAATACTGGGGCCAAGGAATAGCTCGCTAAAGCATTTTGAAATGTCTTGATGGTCAAGGATGTGGTTAATACTGTTTCAACTGCAAGCCCACCAGTCGCAATAGCCTGCACCAGTGTTACTGTTAGTCTTCTGGTAAGGCTCCTTTATTGCCCCAGTCAATGCTGCCATTCAATTCTGAGTCTGTAGTTTGTTGTGCAAGCGTTCGAGCAACATGAATGCCTTCTACAGGGCATAGAGCTGGCCTCTGCCCTAAAAAGGCGCTAGATATGCATGCTGGTTGCGGTATGCCTTGCAATGAACCCTATTGGTTATTTCGCGAAGCCCCACAGATCGAACATTTATAACATCCAGGGACTCGCGGCGGGTCTATTATTATTATTTAATCAAGTTTATTGTCCATACCGAGCCCTAGAGCTATGATAGACCCTTATTCGTGGACTTGAGGCTAGTAGCTATTCTACAGTCTTTTATCCCCATAAGCTCCTGAGGCACTAGCCTCCTTCTATAATCTTTCTGATCCTTTTCCTCGCCCCAAACCACCTGTATGCGCAGGGCTTTCGAGCAGAGTGCTCTCCTTGTGTTTCAGAGCAGAGTGGGTGTTGCGGTGGGTCTAAGAATGGAGGAACAGCATAGAAAGTCTGAGACCCGTAGATATATATATCATCTGTAGTAGCAGCTTCTTCTGGTATCTCTGACATACAACAAACCGGTCTATGTCGAGGTTAGAGGAAAATTTCCAAGGAGAGTCTTGGATTACCCAGCACATGATGTTTGACCTACTGCTCGAGCCACAAACCCGAAACGGAGCTTATTTTGACTCCATTAAGAATATGTAAGAGCTTCCTTTTGCAGAGGTTGAGTCTGCTATTAAAGGGATGCCGCGAGATGGACTGAATGGGTTTTTGAGATAAATTTTACAATCCTTGTACTAAAATTTGCATAATCAAAAGTATTATCGCGAGTATGGATTCCTACTGTAACTTTGCATCCATCTCGCTCAAAAGAGGGCCACGACGAGAACACCAGAGAACCATCCGATTCGCAATAAATCACGGCTTCTCAAACATCATTTACTTTTAGCATGGTCCTAAAGTGATTGGACCCTACTGGCGAGGATACCGTAATGGCAGCAGATTCCAGATAATGATGATGATCATGGACAGTAAAAAGTCATACTGTAGGACCATCAACTTCGACAGCAATTACTTACGAGATGAGACGGGAGATCGGGGAGGAGCCGGCTGAGGTGTCGTTTAAACCTATCGCAAAGGAATGTCAAGCTGGGGGGTACTGTATTCTATGACCCTTTTAATTACTGCAGGCTCATCCCTTATCAATGAATTGGTTAGGTCTAATACATTATATATTCAGTACAATTTGCTCCACATTCAAGAGAAGCCACAACAAGCTACCACTGCGCTTGCATCCAAAAGAGAAATAAATAGCTTTGGAACATTTTGCCAAAGAGTGTTAGCCTTAGAGATCTTGCGGAATTCTCTAATACTGAATATAAATTAAGAATGATTGTTCCTAACCCTAAGCACAAGATGAGTTTGCCATGTCAACGCTACATGACCGTCAAAATATTCTTCTGGTCGCCTCAAGGATCGCTAACCCAGCCACCATCAACAACATATGTGCTCCCTGTCACCCCGCTTGCCTCATCACTCCCCATAAACACAATTACCTTTGCAACATCCTCGGGAAGCAGATCGCGTTGTAAGCTTTGCGCCTGCATGACTTCGGTGCGATATTCAGGCATAAGGACCTCCTCCCTCTGTTTTCGCGTCGCAATTGCCCCCGGCATGACGCTGTTGATTCGAATGTTCGCCCCTCCAACTTCCTTGCTCTGCACCCGGGTAAGTCCCATGATCGCCGCTTTGCAAGCACCGTATACCGGCTGACCCGCGGCCGGGATGCGCCAGGTAATGGACCCCACATTGACAATGCTACCACCCCCAGCGCTTTTCATTTCTGGGATGAAGAACTGAGACAGGAAAAACACATGTCTCAGATTCGCATTAACGTTGAAATCCCAGGCTCCAGGCGTAACGCTTGACGTATCGAGTCGCGCGCTACTACCCGTCGCGGCAGCGTTGTTGACCAAGACGTGGACAGGCCCGTGCTCTTCCAAGATCTTTGTTGCAATGGCTTCGAGGTCAGAGAGATTGATAAGATTGCAATAATAGAAGATCGGTGCTTTTATTGAGGGACCCCGACGCTCTCTGGCCTCTTTGGATCGTGAAATAACATGATCGATGGTCTGCTGCGCTGCGGTTTTGGCGATGTCCAAGAAAAGCACTTTGCAGCCCTGTAAGGCAAAGAGCTCGACGGTTGCAGCACCGATTCCTTCTGCGCCGCCAGAGACGACCACCGTCTTGCCGTGGAGGCTGGGGTAAATTGCGGGGGGGCCTGATGTCATGGTTGCAGCAAGCAATGGAGGATAAATCTCGATGCACGAAAACGCAATAAGGGGGGTATTATGTACTTTTCGATATTTCCTTGCTGCCCCTGGGGTTTTTAAAGAGAAATGAGGGGTGTACCCAACGTGCCCTCCTCCCCCTTTGCCAGCGGGGCAGAGAAACGGATTCGGGTTTCCATGTTGAGCATATTCCGAATATCAAACCCGGCTCCGATTGGCCGAGCCAGGCCATAGTAGATTTATGTTTTAATGTTTATTCAGAAGAAAGCGGCCTCCCACCGGATGGTTGTTGGAGTTTGCTACAATACAAATTACCTTACAATCTCAGTCACCATGGAGATCACACGACACCAACTCTCACTGCATGAACTTGCCGAGGTTCTAGAATCGGCGCTTCCAAAGAACTATGTCACATCCTCTACTACGGTTGTCGATTGCCCTAACTTGCCACAATCACCTTTTAGCTTGGCGTGCGAGGGTCTCAGCGGATGCCAGGTCATCGCAGACATTGGTGTCCAGCCGAGCCTCTTTCCTCAGCCACGCCTCGACGAACAGTACTCTCTCATTGTCTGTGTTAGGTTAATGGGCTTGGATCCCGAGCAAGGAGCCGTTGTAGGAGCCGGAGCAGGACCAATCCATGTTCACGGGACGAACTCAGAGATTGCCCCAAACCTGAGCTGGCAAGGAGGATTCGGAAACGTAGACAATCTAACTCGCGCGGCCAGACTGGTGACCACCTTAGCAGGGAGCAGAACCAGAATATGCTGCCCGTACTCCGATAGCACGGAATGCCTCCTAATGATGAGCCTCTATGGCTCCATGGGATTACCCGGACCAGTTTTGAAAGTGACTGCTCGAGGTCAACGAGGCGAGAGTAACAGTTTCACCGAATTCATGCGGTCTGCGCTCCAAGATATTTATGGTGAAAACTGACAAGTTTCCCTGGGTGGCGTATTTCTGAAGCAAGCCCAGACACAATTCCACGTTATGCCGTCCCTTCCACATAGCGACGAACTGCCTTTCAAAAGCCAGGCAGCACTTGACGGATCGTTGTCGTATTATGATATTTCTGCGCCAATGGTCTGTCTTTTAGTCTTTCATTCGGCAGACCCAAACCAACTTGGGGTTCGAATGGAGCACACACAGTTTCAACAAGGATGAGGGCGGACATTATCACTATGATCTTCCAAATTGCTCGGGAGCCTCCGCCTGCTCAATGCAGTAAACCCCCGAATTCGTGGTCGATGACAGGAAATGGAAAGCCCTTCTCTTCGGATAATACAGTTTGACTTGAGCGAATTTGTTGGTTCCAATGTCGCCAAACGTCAGGGTTCCTTGAAATATGGCAGGAAAACATTCAAAGCATGCCGGTTCTGCCACGAACAAAAATTAAAGTGTGAAGGGCGCACTAATAACCCTGATGCTCGCTGCCAAAGGTGCACAGTTAATGGACTGGAGTGTACATTTGACCTCACGGTCCCTGGAGGCAAACGATCAATCACGAGTGCCCACGGTGAAACGACAAAGAGACGAAGGTATATTAGCCATGTGCCACGCCACACAATGTTGGCAGAAGCTAAAACCTAACCAGTAGGCAGGCCCCTGGGGAAGATTCTGATAATCGCCTCATACACTCGACACATGGAACTCTTAACGAGTCTTCAAGGCATTCGGCTGGCTTGCCGACATCGTTGACATCTAATGCATCAGAGGGTGAACAACACGAGCACGCTTCTAGGTCAAAATGAACGAGACGATGCGCTGGTTCCTAAGGAGCCCATGCGAGGGTTAACCTCCCTAGACCTTCGTGCTCCTGGCTCAGCAGTGCATCATATGTCAACTCTTCAAGAAGGGATAGCGCATAACCCCATGTCTACATCTCGATCAATTGACCATCCACAGCAGCAACGCGAATGTTTTGGTTTCTTGGGAAGAACAGATCATGGACCGGCTATTGTGTCCAGAAGCTTGATTCAGGAGTCACAAGCTAGAAATCTCTTTAATTTGTAGGTTTTTCACTACTCATATCCTTTTCTTGGTACTGAATCTGATGCAAATCTCAGGTTTATTGCTTGTGCCGGCAACTTCATGCCAATATTTGATTCTGTCTTGGATACATTTGATTGTCTTCGGACGCGTGAACTATCATGTTTCACGATCATCTTGGCTCTAGCCTGCTGCGTCGAGGATATTTCGGAATACTCTGGGACGTCTAAAGCAACAATACAAGAAGAGGTCAAAAGACCTACGGGTCTCGGAAATGTACAAGCTATGCTTCTTCTGGCTGCGTACGCAGGGGAGGCTTGGTTTTCAAATAGGCATGCGCTGCAGATGGCAGGGGAATTTCAATTATATTCTGCCTGCGAAAGTTAGTGTCTACATATGGTACGCCGCCTTTGGGTCTAAAGGACCAGAAACAACTTATGCAGCAAGTCCGGGTTTGGTTGTCCCTCTGCTTTATCGAGAGGGAGATTGCTGCAGGAACAGTAATGATTTCTCGAATAGAGGCAATTGACATTGGCCTCTTGCAACGATTCCACGCCATGCACTATTTAAGGCTACCGATTTGCGCGTCACGTCTCTTGTTAAAATAGTACAACTTCGCAGTATTCTAATCTTTCCTCTTCTTTGGGTTTTCTCTAGCTAATCAGAATCAGGGCGCTTTCAACAGGAAGTTGGAAAACCACTGATCTCCATACAACCGCTACCAGCCGCCTCACAAGGATAGAAAATGAGTGCAGGCAATGGCTAGAATTCTGGGATAATCTTCATGAAAGTCCGGTTTTTCTCACCGGCCATTTTCAATAATTTCTGTTAGCTAATTCACCTAAGAGTTTGAATTCGGGATGTCATCCTTTCAGAGAGCGAGTGAGAGGCCAGAAGAATTACGCAGTCATGCTCAAGGGTGCACAATGCTTGGTCAATTGCAAAAGGAAGCAGGAGTGGCAGGCTTGTCTAGTCGACCACTCGTAGGACTTGCAGCAGAGTTAGTCAACCATATTCTTCCTATCACAACAGAGCAGCTTCAACTCGTTGTGCGGACGCCTTCTTATAGGTGGCACCTTCGATGGGCAACGAACTATACGGCTCTGTCCGTCCCATTTACAGGTAGAACCTCCACGTTGGCTAGCTTGACATTGCGACTGATTCATTTACAGTTGTGTCCGTTCTAAATATTGCAAGAATGCATGAAGAAGTAGTTGACCATGTAGAGATACTCAATCTCGCAGGGGAGGTTGCAAAGATCCTGCAATCCTACCCTCATCCACACTTCTACCGCCTTATCCGTCTGCTGATTGCTCTCGCTTAAAATCGACCATTATCACCAGCCCTGGACTACGGAGAGAATTTGAATGCTCGGCTTGATGAGTTTAATACCCTGTAAGAGACTCCTGCGCAGCAGGAGAGAATTCGGCACTCCTCGCCTCAGTACTCAATCACCACCTCCAGACAACAAACTCTCGATACGCCGCCCCAACACAATTTCCATCAGATCTTTCTCTCGAGGCATTACTTGATGGTCATTTGCAAGATGCTGACTGGATGCTCGAGCCTTCTGCAATCACCCCTGTCAACTTCCCTGGCGACTTAAATACGACTCTATTGGATCAAGATCTGAGCATGATACATGATCCCAGGTTTACCTCGTTCTTTGGAAATTGAAATTGTATAATTCAATACGAACAAAAAGTTGGGTATAAACCTAGCAGATAAACTCTGTCTACAGATTATTCTGAGGGATAATTGTATCATGCTTTGAACTTAGAAATGTAGTTGTATTTCTCTCTATGCGCAAACTTATTAATTCTCCGTGGAATTATTTCTTTTCCGGGCGCTAAGGCTGATTCTACCAAGACATTCCAAAGGGTTTACTCCGGTCATCAATTTCAGGGATTCCCATTAAGATGTCCGACATGGGGGATGCGCTATCTTACGCGAAAGATACTGCTCCAATGCCTCTACCTTTTCAACCAAACAGCTGTGCAAGCAGAAGCCTTTTTGATGCGAAACCCCTGGTGGAAGGATCCAACTAAATTCTGCAGACTGCATACAATATCTATTCAAAGTGAAATATCCTACATGAATATCAAAATCTTTAAATAGTCGTGGTATAAGTGATGAGTTAACAGATTTTACCGTACTATACATCAATTAGTTTCGTTTTGCTATAAGAAGTCTCCGTGGCGCAATAGGCTAGCGCGTCTGACTGTTAATCAGGAGGTTGGAAGTTCGAGCCTTCCCGGGGACGCTTATTTTTTGGTTACAATTTTTGTTCCACTTCCGCGCTTTTCTTTCTTTCTTGTTTTTTTCCCTTTTTTTGTGCGACAATGGTGTGTGGATCTTATCTATATGCTGATTTTCTTGGTCGACTACCGAGCAGAAGTGTGACGGCCAGGTCACGTTGGCTGGCTATGACGTGAGATGCAGTTGTTTGCTTTGTTAATGAATACGGCGTCACCTCCTTTCTTCCTTCCTCATGTTGATTACTCTCGTCGATAGCTACCTAGGTAGAACCCATGAGTTGGATGTTCCATTATCCTAGTAGAGCGCCGTGACAAGAAGTTGAACTGACCGAGGAAGATAGCCTCGAACATATATTACTATTCGCAGTGCCAATCCATGCTTATTCTTCCATAAATCGCTCTTATTTGCTTGCTATATCTTTAACAGCCCTCTAAGGACGCTGAAAACATCAATCAAAAGTCAATGATGTTCATATTGCTTACGCCTCGCCAGGCTGGCGCCGGTATTGCCCCTGTATAACAATTAAGCAATCATTCTAGTCGTTTCTCAAACCCCAATGGGTTCCTTCTCACTCCTTAATAACTCCACTTCTTTTCTCTGGCTGAAGTGATCAATTGGGATGAATAGTTGAGGCGGTGATTGTCGGCAGTTAGCCCTAATCGAATGCCAAGTACGGAGCATAGAACACAGAGTGTCCTGTAAATAATTGCTTGTCTACCGTGAATTTAAATCTTTATTTTACTTTAATCTGATTATCGTTTGTTATTCCGTTTGCTTTTTTTTTTTTTTCTTAAATTACTTTTCCGTTTTTTGTTTGGCGGAGATTACCGATCAAACATGACAGGGGTTTTTGTTTACAAATATTGTAACGGAAACAGGAACAACATCTATCGAGATAATAATAGCCTTAGTGTGACTACTGGAAAAGCAGGAGATTATTCTTTATTCTTTTCTCTTTCCCATTCTTCCGCTAACAGCTTGGTATCCTTCTGCGCCGCTTGTCTGCGTCCGAGAACTGGTGCTGCACGGAGTACCGTCGACCGAACAAACTAACTACATGTTGTCGAACCTCGTTGCCAGTTGTACCTGACACAGCCAGCAGGATACCCCCGAAGTCTCCAGGTTGACTCGACTTGTTCTTCGTTCCGGAGTGACAGCAAACGGCATCGGGCTCCTCCGTAGCAATCCTCGTGCTCATTGAAGGTATGTATATGTGATAAAACAGAAGTACTTTGCTTTGTACTACCTGTGGTATTACGGTATAGTGTTGTTTTACCACCGCTTTACCGTGTTTGGTGCCCTCGCTTTGTTTCTAGGGAGTAGAATAACTTTTTTCGCTCAACTCGATGAAGTCATCTTCCTCATTCTTCCTGACACGAATAATTTTCGATTGTAGACTATAATAAGTCCATTGAATTTGTACATTAGGTGGAAGAAAAGATCTGGCTTGGCCAGGTAAAGATACTCCGCCTATATGGCCGTCTGAAACATGGAGATGGGGCACTTCATCTGATCCACGAGAGGATGAGTATACATGTTCCGAGTATCAAAGCCTGGAGGGCTTGTGGATAGTAGTCCACTGGGATCAGGGCCGTTTATCCTGATGGAATTCGTCGAGGGTATCAGTTTGGGTGAAATCGCCGACAAATATAATTTAACACGAATAGCTTTTAATACTAACTTGTCATTTAACCCAAATCCAGCAATAAACGCAAGGAATATCTACCCTTCTAGTTCTATTCGCGGTACCACGAACATCAAGTCGCTGAAAACCCAATCGATTCGGTCAGGACTACTATCTACCGATTTAATTGCACAACCTCTAGTCGGTATCCACGCGACGGAGCTCTGGACATCTGTACGATGGAAGACGATAGTTGAGCAGAGCAGGTCAATTCCTCTCTTCATTGGGGTATGTACATTCATACTCAATAATATCCCCCAGTGCCATGGTCTTCCTTCCGATTGGGAATTGAAGGTAGCATGTGAGATAGTTAAAATTGTCCACTCGTTATATATATTGACGGAAAAGTACTTGACGAACTCAACAACAAACCAAAAAACACTCTAAACAACAAAGCTCGACTCAAATATTCTATAGAATAATTACTCAATACACCACCCGCCCCCTCCAGCAAAACAAAGAACAAAAAAGAAATACATTTAAAGAAGAGCTACAAAAAGATAAAGAAAGCGTCCAAAGAACTCCACCACAGCAAAGATGCGGTGCGGTGACGAAAGCCTCGGGAGCAAAAAATGTGGACTCGCCGGGAATCGAACCCGGGACCTCCTCAATGCGAATGAGGAATTATACCACTAAACCACAAGCCCACTTGTTGTGATAGATGACGATAAGTAGTAAACCATATCAGTAAATATATACTACTGCGTGGGTGATATATCAACATTCTTGTAGATATCTTCTTATAGATATTTCCTTCGCTTTCTCCATTGTGTGATGAGTGAACTGTACTGATGACTCTCGGTATAGTTTATAATTAATTCACCCTGTAAGAATAAATCCAGTGTTGCCTGCTCTTCATAGCACTCCCTTCGGATCGTACTCCCGTACACTGTAGAGTCCTGTCTAGACTTTTATCAATCAGCAATTGAGCAATTTAGAGAAAACACTAGCCACGGAGGACCAGCCTCACCGTATTCGGAAATACCTGTATACAGTGTATAAATACAAATACGAATACACAACCGAGCACAAGCACGTACTTTACAGAGCCCAGCCCACGGCCCAGAAGAAGCACGGAAAACATACCTCAACCAGAATAAGCCTAAATCAACGTCATGCATGATCCCCAACTATCGAATCGTACCCGACAGTAGTCCATTCTTATACGTGAAAGGGGCATATATCTAAAGATTAAACTAAGCACTATTAACGCACACCGTACATAGTTCGGAGTACAAATACAGAGGGCTCGATATTAATTGCCACCGATATCTCGATGATCAGCACATCATGTTTCAGAACCCAATAGCCTCAAATCGCATGTCTCATCTCATCTGTGAACTAGGCTCGCCGCGAGTTTCCGGATTGGCGGTGATCGATATTGCTTTCCTGGGCCGTGACGTTATGATGTAGGAGATGGCCATGAAGATTACTGTGTACGGTGTATGTAGGTGCAATACCCCTGATGCCAGATTCAACGGCGATGGACGGAAGATCGGTGGCGAATTAGTCGATACGGATACAGAAACAGAAACGTTGAAATAATCGTTTTCTAGCGAATGGTAGGGTGTGCGTTTGCATCACCACATTAGAGTATGTATTACATAGAGGTACAGATTGTACAAGAGTAGTTCAGAATAAACAGTAAACACGTGACAAGAAACAAAAGCCTCCATATGTGCCAAAAACAAGACCCAACCGCTCCCAGTATATCCATATGCAAATCCAAAGAGACAAAGACGAGATAAAAGTATTGTCGGGATTGGACCAATCCCCAAAAGTTCAACAGAAGGAAAGAGATGGACGCTCCAACAGAGACGAAAGAAAGACAAGAACAAAACACCAACAATATAATGCACAAGTAATGCTCCGATCACCGGACACTCGTATAAACTGACCCGCCAGAAAATAATATAGAAAGTAAACAATGATTATAGCGAAGAAGAATCGAAATGTATTCCCACAACGGCCGGGCGATAGCACTTTTTTTTTTTTTTTTTTCGTTTTCATTTTCTCTTTTTGTGAGATTGTCTATTCAAAAGTCGTTCGGCGTTTGATTGTTCGTAAAAGTGTATTGCTTCGGTGTTTGCGAGGGAAGCTGCTGAGCAACGAACCGGTGAGCCTCCTGCTGGTCAGGGAACTCCTGAATCATGAACTTCTCCTCCCCAGTCAGGGACATCGAAGGAGACATAGCTAAATGGTCGCCAGCGTGCCCGCTTGAGTCATAAGAAATCGGAGAGACTTCTGCAGGCTGCATCTGGTAGGAAGGATCGGGCGAGGGAATGGTAGGCGCATCACTCCAGCTGCGAGCCGTCAGAGGACCGGTTTCGCAAGGGGCGGAAGTGGCATAGTCAGGGAAGCTCGTATAGTGGGCGGGAGCGGACATGGGAGGTGCGGCGTTTTGGTACGGATACGACGACATCAAATCCACGGTCATGGGCGTAGCTGGGGGAGATGCGACATTAATCTGCATGGGCTGTGTGGTCGGGAAGAACTGGGCAGATGGTTGCGCAGACAGACAGTAGCTGTCGCTGGGCGATGTGGGAAGCAAGTGATGCATGTCTTCCGGAGTCAGCGGCGTCGGGGGAGCCAGAGCGTTGGTGGTGACCGTTGGCTGCAACATAGACGCCATGTCCGCCTTGGACGAGCTCAAACCGGCTTCGGCAAATGTCGAGAAGTTGAGAGGCGACCGCTGAGCAGCAGATGCCTTGCGCACACCCGCATATCGCGAGTTGAGAGACTGGGCCGACTTGGATTGTCTGACACCGTGAGGACCACCATAGCCTGGCACCCTGGAGCTAGGCGACATGTTTGCGGCTGCTGACAGCATGGAGTGAGATTTCGAGGTTCCGATCGCAGCGGGCCTTGGCCTCTTTCTCCGGGCAGCTAGATCGAGTTCCTTGCCAGCTTTGTCTGCTCGGTGTGTCAGCAGCGGCATGCCGCGTGATGGTGCCGTGGTGTGAATACCAATGCCTTCCATGTGGTGGGCAAGTTCTTCCGACGAGGTTCGCCTTGTTAGCGAGGCCTCCGGCTGCAAGGGGTATTGTATGGCGGCGTCGTATGACGACCCAGCATCAGATGTGCGATGACCCATCCATTCTTCTTGGGCGTGGAATGGCTGACGTTGCGGGCTATATAGTCATTAGTACAACGCCGTAGATAGTGGAAGAAATGTGTGAGCATACCCATATGACTCTTGAGAGCCCCATCCGATCGAGTTATCCTTGGGTGCTTCCCATTCCAGCGGTGCGTTGTAGCCGTGGCCGCTGCGCTTGTTGCTGCCGTTGTGTGTCGTGGCGGGAGTCGAGGTGGGAGAAACGGATTCTTCCATATTGTCAGTAATTGGTTGGTTATTCCCGTCATCTCCGCTGTAGGTATCACGGGCTGCAACGGCAGCATTCAAGGCCCTTTGTAAAGACGCGAAGGTCGCCTCACGGGCCGAATCACTTCTGGTCTTCTGATGCTTCGAACGGGATGATGAGGGAGCAGTCGATGATGTCTTGGTTCGCTCACCATTTGAAGCAGTTTCATTTGAAAATTCTTGCTTGGGGGTCGAGGTCTTGTCCGACTCCTGTGTCGGGGTCCTGTCGCTTTCCTTCTGATCCATGGGGTCCGACTTGGCCCGCGCAGCCTCCTCAGCTTCAGCCTTGGCTTTTTGCATGCGCTCGAATTCCTCCTGTCGCTTTTGCTGCTTGGCCTTTGCCCGTCGATTTTGGAACCAATTCTATATCCACACCATTAGCTTGCGTTCATTATACCGTAATCAAAAGACAAATACTGACAGCCACTCGAGGCAGACTCAGGTTTGTCTGAGCCGCCAATTGGCGCTTGACGTTGCTGCTAGGCTTAGGGTGAGCCTGGAATTGAGCCTCCAGCGTCTCCACCTGTTCCTTTGTCAATCGAGGGCGGGAGAGGTTCTCTGCGTATTCCTCGTAGTCCATGATCGGCTGGTGGTAAAAGTCCATCATCTCGAACGGCGGTGGGTGAGGGTAGAGGTAACCATCCATGGGGTGAACCATGGACGGGTGAGCCATTGTCGGGTCGAAAGCCATGGGTTGGTCCACTGGGACCGTGGTATAAGGATATGGATGGTGAATGTAATTCATTGTTGCGGTTGAAGAAGAGAAGATTGCATTGAACAATTGGGAAGAGGGAATTGAGAAATTAGAACAGTGAGATTGGTTGGTCGATGTGAGGCGTCGCAAAGAAGATATTCGGTACCGATATAGGTATAGTATATAGAAATAGTTCAACACACAGAAAGAGAAAAGAATAGTACGAAGGAATGGAAGGTAAGTCCGGGAGGAATCGAGACGATAGATATGTATAAAGAAGAACGAACCGGGGAAAGGGAATAGTTAAGAGAGAGCACTGTCAGAGAATGACTGAAAAGGAACGAACTAGGCCGATGGAGCCCACTGCTAAAAAAAAAAAGAAAATAAAAAAAAAAGCGAAGGAGTGTGTCTGATACCAAAAAGGAATGGAAAGGAGGTGAAGCTCCAGTAACTAAAAAAAATTAAAAAAGGACAGAATGAGTGTCGGAGAAAAAGTGATAGAAAAAAAAAAAAGAAAAGGAAAAATACAATACCAGCAGAAAAAGAGAGTTGAGATGGAGTTCGGGAGGGGGGGGGAGAAAGAAGAAGCGAAAAGAGAAGGAAGACGGAGGAACAGGCTGAGAGAAGTGCTGTCCGGTGATTGGCCGCCGCAGCAGGGGAAAGAGGTGTGGAGGGTGTGTTTCTGATTGGTGGATCGTTGCTCGGAACGGGGCCTGCTCCACCCGCGGCTTACGGGCTGTATGTGGTACCTGTATCTGTACGTACCACGTACCATACCTGGTACAATATTCTATTTTTCTATTCTACTTTACTTTTATCTAGATTTAATACTACTTTCATATATGAATTAACTATAATAACCAGAGGAATTGTACTCATGATTAAGATCAGTAAAAGTAAAGCATAGAAGACAGTTGAATGTCACGATCACATGTTGTAGTACGATACAATACGCCTCGGCGACGGTCGAGCCACCGAGTTCTGGCAAATGATCACAAAAGTGGATTGGCCGTGCTTCCGGCCGAGCGGTTCCAGTTCTAGGGGGTGGCGGTTGGGCAGCAGCGGTGACAGTACGTTACAGTATCCCGTGTTATTGTTATTGTGCAAGTACAGGTACGGAGTACTTGACAGCTGGATAGGCAGTAAGGAAGAGTGTAGATAGCTCGTGTCGAATATACAGTACATTATGGTATGCGTACAGAATAGTCCTCCGCGGGGGTACCAAGGTAGTAAGGGCTGGTTAGCTCATTGCGCCGCAGTCCCACCGTGATCAGATTACAGCACAGAATACAAACACAGACGACTGGGTGGTTTGCGAAGAGATACGTACAACCATGCCGAATCAGTTGGCAGGAACAGGATGAAAGGCAAAGGATCGCATGCTAACGGCCAAATAAGCATATCAAGTGCCGGGAACTGACACCATTTGACAGTCGCTTCTCAAATTATATTATAACCCATGAATCTCTCATGCTTTCCACTGACTCAGCTGGGGGTGGTCTATTTCGTCAGTTCCTGCATTAGCGCCATGTTATGTTGTCAGCATCACTGTTCATCGGGATGTGATAATCTGGTTCAGGGGGATCCATGTGTAGATCGATGGAATTGTAGATTAGCACCTTTCTATCTGTACTTGTACTTGTCTGCACTCTGTAAAACATTTCTGTTCGATGTGAACAGATACAAGTACCAGTACGAGTACCATGAATACTCTGTACTTTACTCCAGAGCACATACGGAGTACAAGTATTGGACAAGTCACGGGAAGCTCCATCGAACCTGATTAGCCAAGACCTGCTGCATCCTGGATCGGTGGTACATATTCCTAAAACGGTTTAGTCTCAGCGGACCGCCTTCCAAGGTCCCATTCTGCTGCTTTTTTCCCTTTCCCTTTCCGACTGCCCCGATTTCTCCCTTCTTCCTGTGTTCTTCGTTTCTTCAGATGCCGTCAAGATGCGCGGTTCGCCGTATCATACGCTAGTATCTATCCTGTATTGATTTCAGTACCGTACTGTACTGAAATCCTCGGGGACCTCCCTTCCGATGAACTACCCGAGGCCCCAGCACTGAACTATGTGTGTAAGCGAGATTCGGATTGCTATTTCCGCCTTCCCTGCCGCTTCTACCCCCAAGCACAGATCTCCATCTGTCTGGGTTGGCAGCATTGCTCGCAGACCTGTGAATAATAAAAAAGGACAAGTGACAAAACAGAAAAGCAAAAGAAAGAGCGAAAGCGTGGCAGCAGTCAGCCAAGAGCCGCTAACATCAATAGTCAACAGATCCCGTCGATCCCGGGATCTGGGTGACTGTATTGGTACAGAGCAAGTACACTCCTATATTTGCTCCCAGGTTGCCGGGTCGCCCGCCAAAGGAACATACAGCCCACTTCCGGACGATCCCCCAGTCACGAGGTTGATTGATTTCCAAGAATCGTTGACTGCAGCGATCCGGCCATTCATCGGTGCCATTTCAAGTGAGGGGTTCTTTTCTCTTTGATACTAGCTATCGGACGAGTGGCGCTCAGGCGCTCAGGCGCGTTACAGGGTAGGTTTTTTTTTTTTTTTTTTTTCTCTTTCCTTTTCGGTCTTTGAACGATGAAACTGCAGGGACTGAAACTGACAGGCTCCTCAAATGGAACATTTCGGAGCCTATCCTTTTGATAATTATCAAACGCTCCCCAGCATTATTCAAAACCCGAAAGCGGCCTTGTCCTGACCTGGACCTCATCCTGGCCCAAGCAGTAGTGTAGTGGTCCGGGTTTTGCGGGAAATAATAATCCAGATACTACTGCTGCCCAGCTGGCATTGACTCCGACGGCTCCGAATGTTCTGTAGATCCAAGATGGGACTAGAGAGTAATTCTCCATAGTAATCATGACGCCGGTGATAGTGATTGTGACAATCAATCGGCTCCTGTTTGGTCATTGACGTGATGAATTGGAGAATTAGAAACAGAACTAGGCATGGTGGGGTTGGGGGTTGGGGGGTACGTACGTATTAGGACTTCTGACAGGCAGAACTTTTTGATTACTTTTTGGAGAACCGCTTTGAAGTCGAATGATGTACATTGAATCCGCTCACGTGTGTACCCTGTCTAGCGCGGATTCGCATAGTAACCAAATGGGGCCTTGGGTTTGACATTTCCCTCACATCAATGATCGTCTGTAACTCGGCAGCTTGATGGGGCAGAGCATTACTCCTTAGAGATAGTTTCTGATGCCAGGACGCAGCGCCGGTACCTTGTCAACATCATAGTTTGAGATTCATTTTACACTGATAGAAGGAGATTCACGCTTCAGGAGGATCCGCAGAGAATCCGCACGGATCGCTTCCCGTTCCTAGAGACTATTGAACCGGAACCAGACGCTGGGACGTTGGCTGTCCCGGTGCAAGAACCAAGGACAGTATTATTGGAGCTTGAGTAAGAGAAATTCCCCGAAGATTAGCGAATTCCCTCACGGTGATGGCGGAGTAAGAGTACATAGTAAAGTGATGAGACAGTACTCCATACTAGACGGCGGCATTTGATTTGAATTGTATGCCCCATGAACTAGTTGCTTGTCGCCGGGCATAAGGTTTACCGGAACTGTATGATGTGCCTTCCATCCCCTTGGGTTTTGGAGTCCAGAGTTTTACAGGTTCATGAATTCATTCAGGGGCTGAAATTGATGCCTGTGTACTATTTACCGAACAGGGAAGACGGTGGCGGTGCAACTGCGACTACATCTCAGCCGCAATCTTCGCTTCAGCCACAGCCACAGTACCCTCATGCAGGGAATTTGTCATGGCGGCTGCAAGATGCAACCCTCCAACAGACAACGGACACCAGAGAGCATGTACTAGGACGAGAATAGAATGACGGTGTGTGTGTGATGAACATCTGTACGTTTGCGCTGGTCACATTCGCTGCCTGACTTTGACTTCTGACTTTCGGTGGGATTGTCGCTACGTGACAGCTGAGTGTTCTCTTGCTGTACTTCATACCGTACTCCGAGCCTGACAAAAAAAAAAAAAAAACTTGCACGGTATTTACCTACCGTGCATATCCGCTATCCCTTACATCCTTCAAGCCCAGATACAGCGATGCAGCGATGCAGCAGCTGTGAGCCTGTGACAAGACCGTCCGGCAGAAAGACCCGATGCACAATTGTCACCAATTGGTTTTGTCGAGTGCTTAACCAGATGTCCTGAGGCTTCTTTCTAGCCGCTGTGGAGTACTACGTTCTGATTCGTATGCATGATGTGGATTGCATTGTGGATGCCATCCCCAACCAAACCAAACCAAGTGGAATCGAGTCCTCTGCAGCTGCTCGTGTGCACGGTTCGCGGGTTTGTGGTTGGTTTACGGGTTGGTATATACGAGCGTACCCCGTACTTGTACAAGTGTATTTGTACTTGTCAGATACAGGTACACAACACCACATCGTACGATACAGACACCTGCACCTCACCTGCTCATGCCCACTCGCCTAACCGTTTCAAGGCGAGGCACCTCGGCTCTGCAGGCGAGGTAGCAGTAGCAGTCACATCTGTCCCGTCCTGCAGGATACCTTGGTCGATATCGGCGGGGAAGATCGGAACCTTCTTTTCGGTGAAGTCGAGGCGGCAATACTACCCCCTTTCGGAGTGTGGCCAATTGCCCTCTCTTTCTTCGTATCTGGCTGATACCGATACTGTTCCCTGGACAATCGAATGGGGCCGCACCATCATAATCTTCTCAATTGAAGTAAACTACTCGTGTACCTACAGCGTAGCCAGCAAGGCTCACCGCCGCATTGCTTTATATGCTGATAATTGGATCCTGAAATCTTGAAAAACCCCTCGGCTACCCTGATTCGAAGCAAAAGAGGCTCGTCTTCCCGTCGATAGTGCAGTGCACTGACAACAGCAACGGTAGCAACCCGTTTGCCATATGGGACCCCATGCGTTGTACAGATAGTACGGAGTAGAGTTGGGTTCTATATCTATCCCCAGCATGAGACGTTGGCTATATCAGCCGGTAATTAACGGTACGAGGACACAGGGCATGGGCTAGCCGGATTCGATTTGATCATTCGTTGGGCGTTGATGGTCGATCTCATCTTTCCAAGGGTGGCCTTAGGTACTCGTATATCATGCAAGGTAGATACATGCAAATGTACATGTCACATCGTTTGACCCTATCTACAGAGCGAAGGATCCAGAGCTTCACCTTCTGTTCCATGGATCGTGAAAACCCGCCTTACTGATCATGTCTTCCGTACTCTGTACTTGGGATCAAATGTCTATTGAAGCGCATCCCGAATCTCCAACGTCACCCTCCCCCCCTCAACACCTTTCACCTCAACACTCTCCAAATCCCTCACAATCCAATCCGCCCCAGCATCCCGCAACTGACCCAGTGTATGTGTCGATGCAAGCGCAAGCACCTTAAATCCCGCCGCTTTCCCAGCCTTAATCCCCGACGGCGCATCCTCCAGCACAACAATCGAGTCCGAACCCGAGTTCTCCAGTCCCAGCTTCGCACGGCCAAGTAGATAGCAGCGCGGGTCAGGCTTGCCTAGCTCAACGTCCTCCGCGACGACAAGGACGCGTGGGTGTGCGAGGCCAAGAACACCAAGCCAGCCGTCGACCAGTGCGCGGGTGCCGGAGGTTACGACTCCCCAGTTTGCGCGGGAGGATTCGAGGGCGGAGAGGAGGGCACGGGCACCGGGGATTTCGATGGCGTCGGAGCCGTATTCTTGGGGGATGCGGCCTTCAACGTAGCTGACGTCTTCGAAACAGGCTATCAATATCTGCTTGCTCCCTCCCTCTCTTGCGGTATGTTAATCGGATAGATAACGTACACTCCCAATTGGCTTTGCTCTTGTCATACAGCGCCAATGTATCGATACTCCTTCGTCCGTGAGATGTAGCCAGGATCGCTTTCGGGTCTACGCCCAGTTCATTGCCGATTCTGTATTGTATTAATATATGATCTTTATTCTGCGGTGATCTGCGGGACGAACTTGTGCCAATGTTTGACGATTGCTAGCGTGGGTTAGCTACGAGCATAACATATGTAAAGAATAGCGTACCATCTGTTGAGTCAACGATCGTTCCGTCAAAGTCGGAGAGGACTCCGTCGAAGGCGTGGATTTGGGGAGGGGCTGAGAAGGATCCTTCGGCCATGGTCGTGATATGCGGTATAGAATAAATCTAGCAATAGGGTATCAAGTAAGTCAAGGAAAGAGAATCCATGCAACAAACAGAAAGAAAAAAAGGAAGAAAGAAAGAAAAGAAAAGAAAAGAAAGCAAAAAAAAAAGTGTTGTACAATCGAATTGCCCAATCTGTAGAACGGATGGCGGGGAAATATCGGACATCGGCCAAAGTTTTCCCGTTTATCTTAGCATTGCCTGTTTCATCAGGACATCGACGTCTTTTGTTCAGTTTCTTGTCAGCTACGTTTACAGCGCAAGGGTCTACGATGATGTCCATGGTTACTCTGGAAATGAGAGGAAGAAAATTGGCCAAGATAACTCTCGACCAAGGCTTATCTTAGATAGCCTTTCAGGCTATCTCAAAACGAGCATCTAAACAATCTAGAGGCACACCATTAGGGACCCAGCAATACCAGTCGTAACGAGATACACCGTACCAAGTCCTCCATTTATACCAACTGTAGCAGGTCTTACTCCACCAGCAGCATTCTCAGACGTGGAGAACACGGCAGCAGTACCACCTCCAGGTGTTGTCGACGGTGGGGCATGCGCGCGGGGAATTGGTTGGAGTTTAGCCGGCGTTGTTAATTCCTGTGGGAGTGGTGCTCTATATCTCCTTGGAGTAGTAGCTGAAGTCGACCTCAGGGGCGACATAGTTCCCGTCGACGGAGACGAGGCCGTAGTCGTTATCCGTTTCGAAACTCCATTACCAACGAAGGGGCCGATAACATTATCGTACTTCTGGAACACATCGACAACAATAGTGCACCACTAAGTCTGAGAAATTGTTCAATCCGGCGAGTTGGCTTCGATCGAATCAGCGGGAGAAGCCAGACCAGTGGTGACATAGATGCCTGCATCGACTAGCTTGCGCATACAAGCATTGTGGTTCGTTGACAGGCTAACCGCGTACATGCGGATGACATTTGTTTGTAGCTCCGTTAGATAGGGGACGTCGCACTCGCATTCGGAGATATTGGAGAGGGGGTCTATATAGCCGGTTGGCCTTGAGATTGGAATCTGAGGCATACCGACTCTCATTGGACAGGTTTGATCATTTGTTCGCTCTTTGGTCGTAAAGGAAGACCCACGGAGTTGCAGCACAAAATGCTTAAATTGTGCTAGTAAGCTCGTCCTTGATAGTTAGTTGCAATGCAATGATTCACGCCCATTATGTTCGTCAAATTCGCTGGTATGACCTAGTAATCGAGTAATTGAGAATGCTCAGCTCAGCTAAGTTCAGTAGAGGTCATGTGTTGCTAGATCTAATGGACTTTGTAGACCAAGCAAAATGAAAATTTGAGCTTCACACTGAGGCGTTCCTAGTGAGAGTCCCCTAAAAAGAGGGTCCGTACTTACCAAGGGTCCTCCTGTGGGGATATCCGTACGAGTTGGTACAGTTCTCTTCTACTTGAAGTGTTGGAATACTAATTCAACATTGCTGTAAGTTTGACAGATATTGCAAGGCAACACTCGAAGTAATCCATATAAGAGCCCCTGTTTTCCTATCAATGTAGAGTTAAACATCACTAGACTAGCAATTGCTTGTTTTCAAACACTTCGCCTCAGATTTGCCGAGCCTCACTTCCTGACTATTGCTACTAGTCAGATAAAGCAATAACGACGTCCGTTTATATGAGTTTCCGATCTCGCTACCTCTCCTCGATATGCCTTGTCAAGAAAGAGTCATGACCGGGCGAAACCCTTATGCAGTTCTACCACGGCCGGTCCTGATTCGAAAATTTGCGTTTTTACAATTAAATATCCGGCCTGTGTCAGGCCTCGGTACCTTCATCGAAAAACATATTAAGAATGACAACGATTACGATCCTTTACCTCGCAACTGTCTACGCCCATAGTATACGATATATTGGCCGTGAAAGCAACCATTCGATATCTGGCCCATGTCGGTATGCATGAGATGATAGATCGCTGCAAGTCTCTGGAGCTATTACGTATGCAGAGCTCGAGGAGATAGGTTCGCAATCCACATCGTACGCCATCATTGTGGACCTCATAATCCCTTTTTTTCCCAAAGCCACCTCGAGGGCGATACTAGCAAATTGATGTTGGACTCCAATTGAGGAGAAACGAGCCATTCTGCTCTGTGGCAACTTTTCCTGATATAAGAGCTATCCAGTGTTGTTAGTGAGCCAAATTCTCGCTGGGACTGAGCCCCCAATGAGGTTCATCAATTGCAAGACTTGCGTTTTGATGACACCTGGAAGCACTCTACCAAATGAAATTCGGGAACAAATTAGGACCATGGCTGATTGTAGCCATCTCTTTCCTGCTATGTTCCCCCCAGAGTGGAAAACTACTCAGCTGGCAGATCTCTCGCGCGCAGTGTGCAATGGCGTTGTCAGTACGACTCTTCCCATCCTGCTATACCCGATCTTGATAACGATGTGGAGTTTGACATCGGTGCTCCAGGATATCGCTTTGAACTTGGTAATCTTTCTAGGTGATACTTAGCACTCATCCAGGATGTGGAATTTCGTGTCTATCGTTGTTTTGGTTTTGCAATTTGGGATCATAAGCGGTGGAAAGGCTCGGACTTCTGTATCAAGAGCCAGATGGTCCTCGGATGCTTCAAAGTCCCAGAGGTGAACCAGATTTGTGTGTCCAATGGGAAAGTTTTTTTTTTTGGATGAGGATAATTTGGAGGAAATCGAGCGCAAAAAAAAAAAAAAAAAAAAAAAAAAAATTCCTGGTCAGGCAGAGAAAAGGTCAAAATGAACTTCCATGGTAAAGAAAGAAGGACTAAGGCACTTTATCAGTGCATATATTCTATATTCCAAACCGAAACGAGATATATCACCAGCAGTGAAATAAAGGTGTACCTTATACTTCTCCTACTTCTCCTCTCCACATGTAATATGTATAGCGCTTGTGAATGTCATTGTTGATGCTCTCTCATCGAAGTCTATGGATTGCTCGACTTCAACATGCTGATGGATGAAATGGCTTTAAGCCCCAATTGTGCCTTGTAGCTTATTTAAAACTATGCTATTTGCTCGCGTGTGGAGTCTCATTGAGCTTTTCATTCTCAGGGGTGAAGGTTGATAGTGATAAAATCGGATGCATATTTAGGGCAGGCGGGGAGATATCGGAGATCGGCGAGATTTTTTCCGTTTATCTTAGCGCCGTCCGGATTTTTGCAAAATTTCTCGACATCTTCAGGTGTTTTCCTCATTTGGTATCAACCCTTTATCCTATTCTTTTGTTTATCATATTGGCAAGATGGGTTTTAACATAGGTATGCTATACTACTTACAGTTTTGTTTTTAGCCCGGGTCAATGTGCTGACTGTACCAGGAAAAACTTCTAAGCGGACGCCCACGCGGTTACGCCACAAGATCGCAAAGGCTTCTGCATCTAAGGGTCGCAAGGAAAGAAAGCTCGCAAAGAAGGTATGCCGCCAAATTATGTACTTTTGCTTCAATTAGAATTCTTACATATCCCGATAGAACCCCGAATGGCGCTCGAAAGTCAAGAAGGACCCCGGCATCCCCAACCTCTTCCCGCTCAAAGATCAAATGCTCCATGAAATCGAGGAAAAGAAGCGCTTGAAGGAGGAGGAACAGAACCGGATTCGTGATGAGGCTCGTGAGCGTCGTCGTGCAGAGAAACAGCAGCAGAAGGCGCAAACCGAGGCCGAGGGCCAGACTATGATCGATGACGAGGAGCTTATGGACGACGACGATGATATGGATGCGGATGTTGGTGACTCGTCGAACCCTATGGCTGCGCTGCTTGCTTCCGCGCGGGCCAGAGCGGCGGAGTATGAGGACCAACACGATGATGAAGATGAGGATGATGAGGAGATGGATGAGGATGATGACGACGAGGATGGTATGGATGAGGATGAGGAGAGCGGTGGAATCTCGCTTGGCGCTTCATCAGTGACACCCGTGGAGTCGAATTCGTCCAAGGAAAGCTCAAGACGTGCATTCGACAAGGTGTTCAAGCAGGTCGTCGACGCAGCGGATGTCGTCCTCTACGTGCTGGACGCCCGTGACCCCGAAGGCACCCGGTCGAAGGAAGTCGAGCGCGAAATCATGGCCGCCCAAGGAGGCTCGAAGCGACTGATTCTCATCCTCAACAAGATTGACCTCATTCCCCCAGCGGTGCTGAAGGGCTGGCTGGTGCATCTGCGCCGGTACTTCCCTACCCTGCCGCTCAAGGCATCCAACGGTACTGCCAACGCACACAGCTTCGACCACAAGCAATTGTCCGTGAAGGGAACCTCTGAGACGCTCTTCCACGCGCTCAAGTCATACGCACACAACAAGCAGATGAAGCGCTCAGTCTCGGTCGGTATCATCGGCTATCCCAATGTCGGCAAGTCCTCCGTGATCAACGCCCTCATGTCCCGTCTGAACAAGGGTTCCAGCAACGCCTGCCCGACGGGCGCTGAAGCCGGCGTGACCACCAACCTGCGCGAAGTCAAGCTCGACGGCAAGCTCAAGCTCATCGACTCCCCCGGTATCGTCTTCCCCAACACCAACAACTCCGACAAGAAGTCCAACAAGAAGAAGGTAGATGATCACGCCCGTCTTGTGCTTCTCAACGCCATCCCACCAAAGCAAATCGAGGACCCCATACCCGCAGTCAACCTCCTGCTTCGCCGCCTATCTAAGTCTGAGCAGCTCATGAACAAGCTGGTCGAGGTCTACCAGATCCCCGCGATCCTCCCTGGCCAGGACCAAACCACCGACTTCCTGATCCACGTCGCCCGCAAGCGCGGCCGTCTGGGCAAGGGTGGTGTTCCCAACGTCGAAAGCGCAGCAATGACCGTTATCAACGACTGGCGCGATGGCCGTATTCAGGGCTGGGCCAACGCCCCAGTCTTGCCTGTTGCTACCACAACGGCTGAGGGTACTACAACAGCCCCCGCTGCTGGCGAGGGCGTGGACACGAAGCAGATCGTCACGGAATGGGCTGCTGAATTCAAGATCGAGGGATTATGGGGGAATGGCGAGGGTGATGAGATGGCCGAGTAGATGTGTTTTCTTTTATTTTCCTATCATATTTTATTTATGGATACCAAGGCGTTTCTGGTATAAAAAGGTGGTCATGATAGTCATGCAAATATAAAATCGTTAGTTGTCTGTACAAGTAATATTCTTGATATGAGAATCGTACATCCAACCACTCAGAACGCGCTCCCGCGGGCAAATCGCGTCACTCGTGGAGATCTCTTCACCTCTATCTTCCACTACACCTCTATATCGAAACCTATAAAACATATATAAACCAACGATTAGATTTTTTCACTACTCGAACATTTTGGAATTTCACTACACTATCTCGAAAAACTCGTCCAGACTCGATCAACCATATACAGACAAACCGCTACCATGGCCCGAAAATCCACCAGCACACCAGCCTCTGCCTCACAAGAAGACAACAACATAATGCCCTCCTCGCACCCATCGTCCTCGCCTCAAGCAACGCCCTCACAATCGCAGCCGCAATCCCAACCGCAACACCAGCAAGTAACAGAGCAGCAACTGAAATCTCGGGCTGAGAATGGTGTTAAAGTTGAGGTCTGTCTTCCCTCCCCAACCAATCCAGATTGCGCCCAAAACCAGAACAAAAGAACCCAAGTAAAAAGAAGTCTACTAACAGATATATAAAAAAAAGGACTACCTCCTCCCCCGCAGCCTAACCGCGCGCCTCGCAAAATCCGTACTACCCCCAAACACCACAATCCAAAAAGACGCCCTCCTAGCCATGCAAAAGGCCGCTACGGTGTTTGTCTCATATTTATCTTCTCAGTACGCCCATCCCATTCCTATGTTTCATATCGCGTAGCGAGAAGTAATCACTGGTTTTGGAACGTTGGGCTGATAAATGCAGTGCAAACGAAGCAACCCTGAAACGAACCGTCGCGCCGACAGATGTATTCAGCGCGATTGAGGAGTTGGAGTTTAGGGGGTTTAGGGAGAGACTGGAAAAAGAATTGGATGTTTATACGGAGGTTAAAGCGGGGAAGAGAAAGAAGGCCGGGCCCGGTGGTGCTGCAGCAGCAGAGCAGAAGGGTGAGGAGAAAATGGATGAGGAGGAGAGTGGTGTTCGTGGTGCGAAGAGGGTGAAGAGGGTTGGTGAGGGTGAACCCGGACAGACTAAGGGTGATGATGGCGAAGGAGAGGGTGATGACGATGAGCCTGAACCGGAAGAGGAAGAGGATATCGAGGAAGAGGAGGCAGAGGACGATGAGGACGATGAAGAGGAAGAGGAGGAAGGAGAGGAAGCACAAGAAGATGATATCAATCTGGTCGAAGATCTGGATCGGGACTCCCACGCGCAACGCACCATGGATCCCGATGCTGGTGCTGATAGTGACTCGGACGATGAAGAAGGGGGTTCGCAGTTGCGTGGGGATATGGGAATGGATTAGATACCCTAGTACATTCATGGTAACTATATTGGATAATACGAGTATCACGGTATGCAATCAATGTACATTATACATCCAACTATAAAATTATACTCAGTCGCTGCATCAAACATGAACTCCCCCGTCAGAAAGATATAGGAATACATGTATTAAATGAAATCCGAGAAGAATGAAGCAACCAACGCCATGATACCAGAAACGCCATACCAGACCGCAGCGACTATGCAAACATCATCATCTCCAGCAAACGAATAAACAGGAGAATTGGGACAAAATGAATCGTTCATATACAAAGTGCAGTCCTGGTAACCAAGTAGGACGTCCAAAAAAAAAAAAAAAAAAAAAAAAAAAAAAAAAAAGAGAAAGAAAGAAAATGACCAAAACGCCATGAGCATGTAACACTGGTATCTTAAACCCATTGCCACCAGAATAATAAAGAAGAAGACAGAACGATGGGAACTCCTGCAAATAGTCACACGGGCCGGTTCAACAGATTGTCGAATCCTTTCGGAATCGAAGGCGAGTGAATCGTATCCAACTTATCACCCGTCTGCTGAGACATAGGGCCATTTGTGCGGGCTGCTCCGGCTGGAAGTGGAAGCATAGCTTTGGATGCTTCTTCTTTGGAAAGTTTGTCGGCGCCTGCTGTTGTGCCCTTGGTGACTGCGCTGAATTTGGTAATCTTGGAATTCTTGGGCTGTGCCCTGGTTCCCTTCTTGGGAGCTTTGGGCTTAGCGGCAGGCTTCTTGGATGCGGGTTGTTTCTTCGGAGGATTCGTCTTAGCGGCACTAAGGACATCCTTGAGGTTACGTCCGCGACTGGCTGGGTTGGGACGACCCTTGGCAGGTGCTTTATGCGGCAGCTCCATATCCTCATCGTGACTGGATGACGGCGTGGGGAAGGCCGTGATGGTCTTCTGCTTCTTCTTGGGCGTCTCGATGACAACAGACAATTTGCCCTTGGCTCGCTCCATCTCGGACTCTTCGAGGAATTCTGCCGTATGGTCGTCCCAGCGTTTCAGGTTGGCTAACCTGGCGACTTCTTCGCAGTCTCCTTTGACCATCAAGTCAAACGAGTCTTCAAATTCCTTGCCCGTTGGCGGCTCGTTGTTGATCCACATTGTGACTCCGTTCTTGCGACCCTTAATCACATGGCAGAGGCTCTTCACCAGGCGACGCACTCCGGGAATTTTCATGCTGGTGCCAACGACGATTAACGCGTCCGGACGCGAGCGAATGTCCGCGTTCATGACTGATGTGATGGCTTCCTCGTCAGGGTTGTGTTCGTTGTAGAGGACAATGCGGGGTCGCATCTTGCCCACACCATGACTGCGCTGACCGGTTTCGAGGCGGAATTGGTTGGTGCGCGAGCACTCGGGACATTCAGGGGCATCGGGGCGGGCAAACATGTCGCGATCGAAGGTTCCCAGGTGACGACATTTCTGGCAGACCATCTTATCCAGACTGCCGTGGAGCTGAATTGTGCGTGGCCATGGGGCCTTGACATTGAGGGGAACCTGGGTCGCCAGCGGGGGCATAGACGTTTCAATACCATCAATGTTCTGCGTATACAACCGCGTGAGACGGTTCTCCTGCCCAAGAGAGGCCAGCATGTGGTGGAAGGCCGTGGGGCTGGTTTTCTCAGCCTCTTCCGACAGCGACCGCACCATGTCCTGAAACGACGCGGTCAGGGTATCATCTTGGTAGACGGAGGCGTCAAAAAGGAGTTTCCCAGACGCCTTAAGATTATGCTTCTTCTGTAACGACTTGAACAAGCCATCAGTGGAACGAAAATCTGGAACTGTTAAGTCGTCAGATGTTAGCTCGTGGAGTATGGTTGTAGAGGTGAGGTAAGACACGTACTACCCGCGGAGGTTGAGATGCCCGCACCGGCGATGACGACAATCTTGCGGTGTTTCTGAAGGGTCTTGACGAGTAGATCAACTTGCGATTGCTGTTCTTCCTGCGACAAAGGCGAATCTGGCGTGAGGTCGAGCTCGCGAGAAACGCGCTCCTTGGGTACTTTTGGGGTCGCGACTCGGCGTCGCTTGTTGGCGGGCGGCCCTTCTTGGCGTTTGTCCTCCTGTGATGGCGGCGGCGAAGGGAAGAAGCCAGGAGGAGCGATGGGAGACGATGGAGGAGAGCTTAGCTCTGAGGCATCTGAGAAGTCATCATCCATGGCGATATAGTAGAATAGAACTCGTTGTCGTTATCGTGGTAGCAGGATGGTAGTGGTGTGGTCGTAGTGGGAGTAGGGGTGAGGTTAGGTCAGAGAAAAGGACCACAATCAGGGAAACCGCTTCAAAAATTCAATCATGGGGAAGGAGACGGGTATAAGGGTAGACGAAAATATCCAAGAACATAAGAAAGAAAGGTCTCGCAGTGAATGAATGCCAAAATTGCCAATATCGGCCAGGACAGGGCTGAAAAGAGGAGGTTGAAAAAGAGAAGTAGCAGCCCCAAGAGAATTTAATCGCGCGCCGACAGATGACAAGAAGAGACTTGGATCTGCTCGCTTGGGTCCGCCCACAGTAGTAGCATGGAGTACTACGCTATGGAGTAAGAAAAAAGAAAAAGAAAGAAAAAAAAAAAAAAGAATGTTTGTTTTGACCCCGCGAACAGCAGATACAGCGAAGACGACGCCAGGAATGCAGTTGATAGGTTAATTAAGAGCGAGTTCTCCTGCTGATGTTCTTAAATGGACATCATTCTTGCGGGTTGTTGAGGAGTGATGCTACTGCTACTCTACTGTACAGGTACGGTGTGGACGCTTTTCAATTGAACAGCACTTGTACATATGCTTATACGGTCTATGTCTGCCTGTCTTTTAGGGCAGTGGGAATGACCATAATCCATCTGATATTCTTATATCCTTATGATTGTAACCCATCGATCAACGTTGAATTGTTTTGATCGTGTTTTGATTTTGCATCGATGCTTACCTCATCTTGCGGATGTGCATACAACCAATCAAGATTTCGGATCTGACGGGAGCTAACTTGGTGGGGTAACACTGTTAATTACTATTGGCTATTCCCGTTGGCACGGCTACCGACCGCACATGACCTCACCTGACCGCTGAGTCAGCCGCTCATATGCGAGTCAAGGCGATCAAAACGAGCAGCGATGCTGTTCTGGATAGAGATGGTTGTATGAGTCGTGATATTTCTCTTTTTTGCTTCTATTGCTTCTTTTTGCCGGCCTATGGCTTGAGATACCCTTTTTTTGCTGTTCTGCTCCGGTTCTAATCGTATACGTTGGTTGTTCGTCAGTTCCATATTGCAACTGCCCAGAAAATAATGGTGCATTAATCTTCTCTTTATTCTGCCTTCCTAGTACGCCCTTGATGATGGACCACGACATCAACGTGGACGACTTGTTTGGTGAGCCCGGCTCTCTCGAGCTGGGATTGTCTCCAACGGCTCCTAAAGGTCTAGCTCAGCGGCTAGATGAAATGCGCTTATTAGGATGTTGCCAGTATGTGATTACTGTATATGTATAGATGTATATGTGAATATACTGACTGGCATAGAAAAATCTCTTGGTCACGGCTCGGGTGCATCGCGTACATCTCCCGAGACGGGTTAGCGGTCAACGTCCGTTATCTTCATTGTCAACCCTCCGATGGCAGGTGGCGTCTCAGCGAGGATACGCCTTTGTTCCCGGTTACTGAGGCCCATGGAAATCATCCACTGGTCCATATCTGTTGGAATGAAAGCGGGTTGGAATTGGCCGTTGTGGACTCGTCGGGCCGCGTATCGATCTATTCTATCTCGATTGCTCTTAATAGCATTGCTGGCCAGCGCCAGGCAGCTTTTGACCCTGATGATGAGATAAACCAAGTTGTTGGTATGATGTGGCTGAACACGCAGCGTTCGGTATGCCATCTTCCCCAATTACTGTTGATCGTGTGTTGAACATTTCAGGTCCACGCGTTTCTCCAAGCAGCCAAAGTAAATGGTCGTTGGGCCTATGCTCCCTTTCGACGTCGTCCAATTGGTCCTTTTCATCCGGCAAATAAAGCAGCCCTGATTTGCGTGACCAGATCTGGCCTGATCAAGCTGTTGTACCAGAACCCCGATAGTCGATGGGCAGAGATATCTGCAGAGTTAAAGAACACCAGCTACTCTGACAGGCTCCTGACCCATGCTTCTCTGGTAGCAACTCAAGGTAGCCAATCCGTTCCCCCTGATACGCAACTAGACTAACAACGCGAAGCCGGTATCATTGTCGTTACTCATTCAGTATGCCAGAAAATTTGTGTCTATCGCGTTCACGTCTCGTGGAATCCTCCTCAATGGGACCCAAGTTCACCCAAACAGTCAAATCTCTTTCCTGTGCCGAGTTTTCGTTTTGCACACGGCAACGTCGAAACACCTAGTGGCTTCTGGAACGCATATCGCAGCACAGGCGAAAATGAAGAAGCGCCATTATCAACCAATTCTATTTATGCCCTGACTCACTTGGAGATTATTCCTGGTGCTGCCGATAACCCGACGGGCTCCACGGCGAATCCTTGGATCCTTGCGGTCTATTCGAACCCTGTCCCTGCCACGCCTGATCACACAGAACAAAATGGTTCTGCGAGCATCATTGTCCGATGGCAATTAGAAGCAGCTTCACAAAACCTCCACCCCAAGTTTGACGAGGTGGCGTCGAAAAAGAACCATAATGCTCAAGCTAAGGTGCGTCTCTAGTACATAACTCGATGTATGGAATCAGTTGCTCACGATGGTAGCCAAAAATGGAGCTGCGCCGGCTCGAAGACATCCATTTTGACAAATACGTGATTTCAGTCGATCAGGCAGAACATGGCACTGTGCTGGCCATCACCTACGACGACAGCTCAATCACTTTCTACGATCCGAAGACTATGGCTATATTCAATGGGACAGACGATAACTCGACAGTAACATGCTTAACCCAAGCAGGATTCCATTCTCCCCCAGAGGTTTCAGGCCTTCAGATCAGTTTCTCTCCCAGTGCTTGTGGTGCTGTCATGCTAGATAGCGAGGGGCAAATGCAACTAAGGCTTATGGAGCATTCGTACGGGGCAGAAAATGGCCTTTTCGACGAGAGTAGGTTGGTGTCCCTGGATTAACTGATCTGGACTAACATTTTTTAGGTAAATTCTCTGCAGCCATTGCGGCGCTTACACTGGCGTTCTGCCGGGGTTGTGGAAGCGACATCAACACGGACGATATATTGATGCTTGTCATGCGCCAACTCTCATCTGGTCAGTTCTATACTCCTTTTCAGGACTTCCCCTCTAACAACACACAGAGGCTCAAACTGCGTTCCTTAACGAAATATACCGCGCACTACCCATTAACTGCAACTTCACTGTGGATCAGGACAAACTCATGAACCACCCATACATCCCCCGCTGTCTTAGCCTTCAAGCCGCGTTGGGGTTCAGAGATAGATACAAACCACGGATCTTTACGTCTGCTGTTCCCTGGGCGATCTTGCATCTTCGCCACGGGGCTGTTCTGTTTGCTTATTTCTTCCAGTACATCAAGGGTACTCAGACAGACCCTCATGACTCGGGTGAGTTCTGTCACTGAGCATAGTATGCAATATGCTAATGTCAACAGACGTACTGCGGATGGTCTTGGGTAATACCAGATGGGTCCTCGATTTCTCCCAATACATCCTAAACGAAGTCTTCGACCTGGCAGATGAATTCGAAAGCGTCCTCTCCGACCAAGAGGCCTTTACTCAGAAACGTAAGCACCACTCCCTCACTTCCACTGCTATCATTCTGACAATACTAGTAAAAACAACAACCTCCCTCCCCCTCATAATCCTCCTCTCCAGCATGTCCCGCACTTTCCTCCGCTTCATCTGCCGTGGCCTCCGCGGTGTACACTCAGGCTACAACCCCTCCGCCGCAAACCTTGCCGGCGACTCCCGCATCTACTACTCCGAAACCTGCCACCTCCTCGACACCTCCCCCGTGCGCATCGACGTCTACGAGAAGTTCCTAGCGGGCGTCGACTCCGCCGTGCGCCATGCGTACCACGGCGCTGGGTTCGGGGATACAGAGCGCCCTGGACCGGAGAAGGAGTTACTTGTGAATGCGAGGATCCCACCTGTTCTGGTTAATGCAGTTTCGGCGATATTTCGATCCGTGGTCCCTGCGGTTAGGGGCGAGGTTGATCGGTTGGCAGTTTATTTGGGGGATTATACGTGGTTGGGGGTTGGGGATGATAAGCGGACGGAAGTGTATAGGCGGACGAGGGATGTTGATATTCTCAAGAAGATCCCGTTGCGGGTTATTGTTCCGGACGCTGGGTCTAGGACGAACACCACTACGCCTACCAACGATGACAACAAGGCCGGCGCCGAACAGCGCATCCGACGCTGCATTCGATGTTGTGAGGTCTCGAGCGATACGCACCCGCCGCGGTCTTTGCCCGCGTTCCAGATGATTGCGAGACTAGGCTTGTTGCGCTCGTGTATTTGTGGTGGGATGTGGGCGTTGGAGTCGCGGTTGCCGGGTGGTCAGTTGGATGGTTCAATGGGGTCGTCTACTTCGCCACCGGCGCCGGGGTTGCAAACTGAGTCGAGGACACCGGGGTTGATGCAGGGGTCTTGACATTATTGCATGGGGTTATTGTTAGATAGATATTGTAGTTTAATCGATTATGGATCTAATATTGGGTTGTGTTTTCGCGAGGAAGAGATAGTCGGAGGCTATTCATTACTCATTCAGAAAGCTTCATTTAAGATCGATTTGCATCCCTACGATACAGAATCAAAACGGTCCTTTTTTGTATGCTGAAAAAAGAAACTTCGTTGAAACCGACCCACGCAAGGTCTAAGTCAACTCGTCATTCTACTAACGACTTGTTCCCGTAACTCCAAGATCCGCTCCCATCTTTTATTTAAGCCTGCACGAAAAAGAAAGCCATCAGCCACGTCCACAGCCAACCCAAATATTACCGACACAATATCCAAATTCCACCAGGAAAGACCGGTCATACCTTAATGGCGTACTTCCGCTGGGGGAAGTGGATCTCCTTCTTGACCTGCTTCTGGGTCTTCTTGGAGGCCTCGTTCTTGGTGAGTCTGCGGCGCAGGGCACGGGTGTACTTGGGTCTGAGGTCGAGAGGGAGGTACGCCTTGTTCTTGTAGAACAAACGGAGCTGGGCGCGCTGGTTGAGGTTGATGACGGTGAGAACGCGGGCGATCGACTTGCGAACGTCGTGGCTGTAAATTTAGTTAGTATTTATTGGTCGTATTTTTGTGTGATGCGATTGCAGTGCAGCGTCGATTTTGTTGTTTTGCCTGTCATTCCTCCTCTTGTATATTTCGCCTCATGCGACCGGGTTCGTGTTCGGGGGGAAATTCTAGGATCGGGATAAAACACGCACATTCTCTGGGTCTTCGAGGAGGCACCGCCAGAGATCTTCTGGACACGGAGCTGGTTAAGCTCGGTCTTCAACTCCTCCAGCTGGTTGGTGAGATCATCCTTGCTCTTTCCCCAGAGCTGACCAGTCTTGACCTTTGTCGACTACCATCACGCAAACTCGTCAGTTTTCGATCGTTGAAAATTCATCTTAAATCCCTCAAAAAAAGTAGTTCATTGCGAACAGAACAGCAGGAACAATAACACGCAAACATACCATGGTGGGCGGCTTCAAATCGAGTCGTACGGGTTGTCGACGAGAGAATTGAAGATGGACCGGGTCAAATTGGGGGATTGCCTTTCGTTGTGGGACTAGGGCTTTTTTTTCTGCTTTTCCGTTTCGTGTGGCCGCCTTAAGCGGGCACGTGACCCAATGTGGCTGTGTATATCAGCCACAGTGTCTGTGTCTCCGCTTTTACGTTATCCGGAGGTGTTATGGCTGTTGCGGGCCGAGATAGGCAATGTCGTTGTTGGCTTGTTGTCAGTAGCTGGTCTAACTGTCGGTCCTTCTTCACATCTTATCTTCCCTGCGACTTGAGATACTCTCCTCCTAATTTGATAATCTGAACGTATGGCTTCTTCGACTGGAACCGGGTGGGCTCAGCTACGGCAGCAGGCCCGCTCGCTTGAGACGCAGGTGTGTACAGAATACCACCGATGAGGGATACAGATGCTAATGATGATACAGACAGAAAACCTCTTCCATACATACGCCCAATATGCCTCCATGACCAAACCGCCACCAACCCCTGCAGAGGAAGAACTTCGCCTAGAGTCGCAGCTCAAAGACCTTCTCCAACGAGTACGTTCCGCATGATATACAGAACAAGAATGGACAACTGATGACATGACAGAGAGAGACCCTAATCGCCCAACTGTCCCGCCTTCTCGACTCCGAAGCAACCCTGACCTCCTCCGCCCTCAAACAAAACAACCTAACCCGCCACCGCGAAATCCTTACCGACCACCGCCGCGAACTAAACCGTCTAACCTCCGCCATCGCCGAGACCCGCGACCGCGCAAACCTCCTCTCCAATGTCCGCTCCGACATCGACGCCTACCGCGCCTCCAACCCCGCCGCCGCAGAGGCGGATTACATGCTTGAGGAACGGGGGCGGATCGACCAGAGCCATAGCGTAATGGATGGAGTGTTGAGTCAGGCGTATGCGATTAATGAGAATTTCGGGTTGCAGAGGGAGACGCTGGCGAGTGTTAATCGGAGGATTGTGGGAGCTGCGAGTAAGGTTCCTGGGGTGAATCATTTGATTGGGAAGATTGGGTCGAAGAGGAGGAGGGATGCGATTATTTTGGGGGCATTTGTTGGGTTTTGTTTCTTGATGTTATTGATTTTTAGATGATTTCCTCCGTCTTTTGCGTTGTGCATTCTGTTGATTGGGATGGGCTTGTTTATATGGGTCAGGCGTTCGAACGGAGTATCTTACTCGAACACATACTTAATAATGCTTTGGATGGAGCGTGGTTTCTCATTATACACATCTATGCTATTGTACATACCAAACTAATTATACGATGACCCTGGGTTTGGCCTTATCTGCGTCCCTCCAAGTCTCTGCCGGCATCTCTGATTCTTTGCTTATTCTCTTCTCCTCAAGTAATCTCTTGACACCATTGTTCAAAGCATCAATCTCCGGTCCCTGAGCAGGGCCACTGCCAGCCCACCGAATGCGACAGTTCTCATCCAAGAGATAGACATACCCAACCTTGCTGTTCATCATCCCAATGCTCTCCTTAATTCCATCGGTAATCCCCTTCCTCACCAGGAAATACCGATCATGCTGCTCCTTCGCAAACTTTCCCCTTATCTGCCACATGAACATCCTCACCAACCACGCCTTAAACCTATTCTCCTCCAAATTAATATCAACCTTCTGCGCAACCTTCACACCTCCCTTCACACCATTCAATATCTTATAAAGTCCCGGGTTGTGCTTTTCACTAGTGAAAGTAGCAACCTGCGTCTCAGCCCAGACACTCGAAAACACATTCACAACGGAGATCCGGCCGCTGAAGAGCGAAGTCGTGTTCTGCGGCTGTTTGGGAGAGGCGAGCGTAATGCCAAACATGTTGGGGAAGTAGAGGGCTTTATCGCGTTTAAAGAGACGGATGTTCGAGAGGAAGGTTTTGCCTTCATGGTAACGCATGTTGGTCCATTCACGGAAGTAGGGCTTTGCGACTTGCTTTGTCCTGTACGTCACTAGCATTAGTCCGTGTCATTTGTGACCGGGGGAAAGAGGTGAGGCATACAATTCCTTCCGCCGCTCAATATGTCTATCGTAGCTGACAAAGTCATCTCGTCTTTGTCGGAGGGATCGTTCGTCAAGGCCGGTGTTTTGGCCTTCTTGGGGTGGGATCACGGAACCGATTGGGCGGTCCAGGGCGCGGGGTGCGTTTTGCTGTTCATTTGGTTTGTTCGGTTGCAATTGGGATGGGTTTTGATTGAATTGGACTCGATTCGAGGAGTTTGAGGGAGTAGATGTCGGCTCGTCTTCTTTCTGACTCGGAGTCGAGTAGTAACGTAGCGATGACCTCGAACGGAGAAGAGCAGCGGTGGTAGGATTGCGGAATTGACAGCTGAGACAGCGGCCCCCTTGCAAAAGGGAATATCCTGCCGAGGACGAGAGAGATATCGAGCGCTTCCACATATTGACCGGAGTGATTGACGACCTCCCCGCTGGTCCTTCCGCGATGTTTTCAACTCCGACGTTATCACCTATCAGCGTGGTCTCGTGACTTCGCGCCGTTCCATGGTTTTTCCCCCGGCCCTGACCGTGGTACATTAAGACGTTCACAACTCGACCACATTTTACATTACCGTTATTCATTTTCTAGGCAGCAGGCTGCACAAGATTATCCATGGCTGACCAAATCTTACTGTCGAACTCCAGACAACCCAGAAAATGGGGGAAGCGACGACTAAAAATATTCATAAAGAGACTTTCTTCAAAGGACTCGAGTTGAATGATTTGACAGATAACGATAACGATTGTGGTGGTGATGACTTTGCTCGTCTTATAAGGTTTTCGAGAAGAAGCCCGGAAGTTTTGGATCCTACGCCTTCGTTTATGTCTACTTCTTCGTCGGCTTCGGCGAGTTTGGAACTCTCCTATACGAATACGGTGCCCGAGTCTCCGTCACGGAGTGAAACTGCGTCTAGAGCAGACGAGATGGTGTCCATGGCGAAGAGACCACCATTGCTGAAGAGCACAAAGACAACTGGGACTCTATCCGAGAGGGCACAGGAGGGCCCTCCTTGTAAGAGGAGACGGACCTATGCCGCCAGGACCGTACCGGAACAGCAGCAGATCTTCAAGGGTCTTGTATTCTGTTAGTTGCCTCCCATTTCCATGTGTTGGATGAGGAGTTAAGGACTAACCTGCGTCTAGTCTTCTTCCCCAACAGCGATGTCTCGCCCGTGCGACGTCTGCGAATCCAGCGCGTACAGGAATACGGTGCCAATTGGGCTAGGTCGTGGGGAGACAATGTGACCCATGTGATTGTCGATAAGGGATTGAAGTATGAGGATCTCGTACGTCATATGAAGCTGGACACTTTTCCGAGTACAATCGCCCTGGTAGATGAAGGCTATCCTGCTGAGTGTCTCAAGTTTCGATGTTTGCTTAATCCTGCGCAATCGCGGTTTCGTGTCAGTGGGCTCCTGACACCTTCTGTGGTTAAGGAGTCGTCTATTAAAGTTAAGGAATCACTGCCTGATTCTCTACCTCTGAAGCCGCCAAAGGGGCAGCTGCAATATACTCCGACAGAGTCAGAGCAGATGTCGAGTGGCCAGGATAATCGATCAGTTCAGGGACCAGTCCAGCGACAGCAACTCGAGCCAGAGCCTTTCCGCGCGCATGAAGAATGTCCTGCTCGTGAACGCGATGCCCTAGATGATATCATCGAGGAAACCAAAGTCACGAAAGACCTAGTGAGTTGACTGGTTATTACCTTCATGATGCTTTAGCTGACTATAACAGCCTTTGGACGAGTTAGAACCTGGAGAGGAAGATACAAGTACAGCAGATTTAGAGTCCGACTCTGAAACAGGAGGGAAAAAAGGGAAATTCGTGCAAAAGCGCGACCTAGTGGTTGAATCATGGCAGCAACGATTTGCATGCATGCAGAAACATGAGATGAATTTGGATTCCAAGAGCCCTAACAGCCGAACGATCGAGGTTTTGCAGCAAATGCTCGATTACTACGAGAGAACTGCAGATCATTGGCGAGTGATTGCCTATCGCAAGGCCATTAGTGCTCTTCGTAGACAACCCAAGAGGATCGTAACACGGACACAAGCTAGGGTGATTACGGGAATTGGGCCACGTCTGGCAGACAAGGTCGAGGAGATTGTTTTAACGAACCGGTTACGTCGCTTAGAGAATGCCAACTGTTCACCGGAGGACCTGATTCTCCAGAAGTTTCTGGGAGTATATGGCGCCGGCGTCTCTCAAGCATCTCGATGGGTCGCTGAAGGGTACAAAACACTTAATGACTTGAAAACGAAAGCGACCCTGACCAAGTCGCAACGGATTGGAGTCGATCACTATGACGATTTCGCGCAACGTATTCCACGGAAAGAAGTGGAAGCACATTGTGCCATTGTCCAAAAAGCCATACACAAGGCCGATCCCAATATGCAAGCCATAATCAGTGGATCATACCGACGAGGGGCCGCCAGCTCGGGAGACATCGACATGCTAATCACTAAACCCGACGCAACCATTGAGCAGATTCGCACCCTAATGATGGAAGTCGTAGTCCTGAACCTATTCCAGCAGGGATTTCTTCAAGCCAGCTTAGCTAGCACGTCCCGTGGGGATGGATCTAAATGGCACGGAGCGTCCGCACTACCCGGCAGCCCGATTTGGCGACGGATCGATCTGCTCTTCGTGCCTGGATCCCAGATCGGAGCGGCGCTAATCTACTTCACGGGCAACGACATATTTAACCGCAGCATGCGTCTCTTAGCTAGTAAGAAGGGCATGCATCTTAGTCAACGAGGGCTCTATGCGGACGTTTTGCGTGGAGAGCAGCGGAAGAAGTTGGCAGAGGGACGTTTGATCGAGGGACGAGATGAACGACGCATCTTTGAGCTGTTGGGCGTGCCTTGGCGGCCTCCTGAGCATCGTATTTGCTGAAATCTTTATTCTGGAGACGTGGGGCGTGATGTGAGCCTGCTATTGCTAGATCTAGAATCGCTAATGCATGATATTTGTTCGGTGACGGGAGTGCAGATGGATCTGGAGATGTGTATCCATACAGACGAGAGGAAGCCCGCAATGCACACTATTACTATAGAAAAAGGAAACCCTTAGAAAGGGTAAAACTGAATCATTAAAAAATTGATGAAAATTATTTTGTTATCGTGTAAAGTGGATTGCAGTGGAAGAGCGGTCTCTTGCCTATTGTAGCGATAGCTGAGTAGTAAGAGCTGTAGTACAGTCGAGCTCGTCACTGGAATTCTCTCCTTCCTTCTTCTCTCATCTTCGTCTTCGCCATCAACACCCGCCATCTTCCATCCTTCTCTCATCCATCAACCGTATACTCTTCGTATATTTTCATCTCTGGTAAATCTCGACTCTGACCGATCTCATCACCGCCTTTTGTGCGGTGAAGCCATCGCAGCAAGCCGCCTTTGCCTTGTTTCCAGACCGCCCACTGTCGGCGTGTTTTTGCCATCCTTCGACGTAACGGGCGTTCGTCTCACATTTCGCGGTGACCAAAAGTTCAGCTACTGTTGTGTTTTGGAGTGGTCTTTTTTGTTCTCGACGTTGATTGATAAGGAAATTGATCCCAGCAAAGAATTGCGCAAGTGGTGCGTTTTCCTCGCCGTGTGGCTGCCACACCCTTTTTTGCCATCGAGTTTCGACCACCCACACCCCTCTATCAATTCCGGTCTTGATTCTTGCGGCAGTATTATTGATTCTGCCACGATCCCTACAAAAACTATACTAACCCTAGGTTTGTTGGTAGGGTTGCTTTGGAGTCTGCTACTTGACTCTCTGTTTTCTCGTGGTTTCGCTTTGCGCATTACGTGTTAGTTCCTCGATTTCGCACAAACACCACAATAATAATAATACAACAACACGACGCCACAACCCTCTCCCATCGCAACCATAGACGCCTCGACTAAAACACCCGCAATGGGTCGCAAACCAAACCAGCTCATTCTCGAGTTCTTCATTCGCGGCCAGAAGCTCGAGGATGCCAGTAATCGCTACCAACACACCTGCAAGGCCTGCGGCGAGAAATTCCCCAAAGGTCGCATCGATAGCTTAACCAACCATCTGGTCAAGAAATGCCAGGCCATTCCCCTCCGTGACCGCCAACGCGTCCTGCTACGACTCCATGAACTTCCCGACCTGGCCGACGGCGATCTAAACAAAGATCCGAACCTTGCAAGGGCGGCAAAAGGCAAAGGTGTCGATGATCTGCCTTTTACCACTCGTCAGAACTTTGATGGTTTGAACGTTTTGGCCGAGGCGTCGAGACAGGTGGGCGCGTCCGATACCGGTAAACGGGGTCAGGGGGGTAACAATGGTAACAATGGTGGGAACAACAATGGCAACAGCAATGGGACTCCCGCGTACACCCAGTCCACTGTCGGGGGTAAGACTGTTGTCGTCGACCCAGCGCTCGAGGCAGAAGGCTTCCAGGGTAATCCGATCCAGCCGGATAATCTTGAAGAAGACATCAAGCCACAAAGTAAGTTGGCTAGTTGATTGTCGCGTCTGCATTGTGGACTTGATTAACAAACAACAGTCCCAGACTCTCCTCAACCCAGCACGTCCGGTATCCCCGCTCTTCCGAATACCTCGCAAGATCAAACCTCGTCCGCATCTCCTCAGTTGGAGGCATCATTGACACCTGATCCTGGAGCGAACGCTCGCCAGTCGCAACTCTCGATGATTGCCGCATCGGCCAGTGAGATGGTCCCACAAGGCTTGTCGTTGGACCACGATGGTACAGGTCTTGGAGAGGGTCTATCAAGACTGGCGCCTTGGAACCAACAGCTCTCTACCCATGAACAGCTCCTCTTCGAAAGTCTCCAAGAACACGATCCCTCGTTGACCGCTGCCACGCAACGGGCCGCTACTTTCCCTCGTCCGATTGCTATGAATCCGAACTCCCAGGCCAAGGGGTTTGTTAATGAGTTCGGTAACTCGACCAAGCCGTCAAAACCCAAGGTGCGCGGACGGTTCTCTGCGGCTCGTCGTAGGGAGGTTCAGGAAGTTAGGAAACGGGGTGCATGCATTCGTTGTCGTATGCTTAAGAAGCCGGTATGTTCATTCCGATGTGAGTATTAGGGTCGATATTGACTTGTTCAGTGCTCCGGTGACAGCCCGTGTACGACCTGCGCCAGCGTTGAAAGTGCGCGTCTTTGGAAGCATCCGTGTATCAGGACACGTATTGCTGAAGAATTTGAACTCTACAACGCAAGTACGTTCCCCTATTTTCTCTCTCTTTGAGACATTAGCTGACTGCCATAGACCTGCACGCAACGCTTGCCTACCATGATGTGAGCAGTATCAGAAACCAAGTCAAGTTCGAACACTATGCTGGTCGCATCGAAGTGACGCATTTCGAAGAGAGCATGATCTTTGTCACATTCAGCGGTCTCCAAGGGCACAAGCCATCCGTGTCAGCATTGGACCCGCAGCTTCAAGGCCTTGGGGAAGACCAATTCCAGGGGCCTTTGCATGAGTTGCATCTGCTCGACAGCGATGCAGATGATCTGCCGGGCAAGCTTGAAATGTACATTAAAAAGACTGCTCCATTCTTTTACGAGCGAGAAGCATCCGACTTTATGAAGCCTACTCTACTGCTGGCCTCAGAGTTGAGCCAAGTGAAGAAGGTTTGTCGAGATTCCTCGGTAAGAAACACAGAATCTGACCTTTATAGGACACTCTCCTGGAACGCGTGCTTGAGCTCTGGGTTGCAACACACATCCTGGTCGATTCTGAACTCCGTTGGAAAACATACTGTAACCCCACTCTGCCGCCGACCTCGATGCACTCTCTTGCACAGCCCTCCGATGACGGGCGTATGCCGATTGATGAGATCACAAACCCAGAATCTTATTCCCTTCTATGCAGCCAGCTGCGGGCAGCGACAGAGAAGCGTGCTTCGCAACTCAGCAAGTCTGTCATGAACGATCTTGAACGCAGACTCCTTCAGCGCCAGCAAAGCGGCTGGTTCGAAACTTTCCTGGTGGCCCTTATCCTTTTGAACTGCGTGGAGCGGGCATGCTGGCTCTTCCGTTCCTGGGACGATGACACCTTTACGCAACGCTGGCCATTGGACAAGCGTCCTCCATACTATTCCAACCAAGGCGACCGCTTCTCGGACATTCTGCACATGTTGCTCAAGATGCGCAGCCTGCCGCCAAAGGCCACTCCACGACCGGAAACGGGATTTTTGAAGGCGGTGGACGGTAGTGATGAGAATGCTGTGAGATGGTTTGAGATGGTTCAGGTGTCTCGTAAGTCACCTCTTCCTCGTTTATCGCAGCGAATGCTGACCTTTTAGCCATCTACCTTGAACAACGACAAGCTGCCATGTTCGATCCGAATGACTCGCGGTCATTTGATTTGCGGTATGGGGCGAAATTGCTGCCGCCGGCTAATATTTATGCATAATGTCGCTACTTTTTAGCTAATAGCTAAGGAAAACTGAATGATCCATATGATCTATGGTTATGATTATCAGCGGAATAGCACTTTCTTTCTCTTTATATGGTTCTTTTAGGAATGATCAGGAAGGTCGTTGTCTTTTTCCTGGTGGTTTTTCATTTACGCTGCTGCTATAATAATATCCAAACTGTATTCACTTGCCATTCATCTATTACTATCTGCTAGACATCATACCACAGAGTACAGCACACAGAGGTACTACCAACCACCACCTCCCTTGGAACTACCAGGCGTACCACCAGAACTTCCCCAAGCACCTCCCCCAGCACCAGTACTAGCTCCTCCCACCTCTGACGGACTCTTCGCCCAATCGCGCACATCCCAATCAGAAGTCCCGCTAACAGCGCGTCCACGTCCGCCTCCGTTACCATTACCATTGCCATTCGGGGTATTCGCATTCACCATGCCAGCAGGCCACTCGTGGTTCTTGAATTCAGATCCAGCGTTATTGCTGCTGTTATCCTTCACGGGGCTACTGGGAGGAACGCCCCAGGCATCATTGCTGGCGCTGTTGTTGTTATCATTCGAAGAATTGTTATTGTCTCCCCAAGCCGAACCCGAGTTCCCATTCTGGTCATTGCTGTTGTTATTGTTCGTGTCGTTGTTGTTATCACCCCAACCACCCGAGTTTGACTTCTGGTCATCGGGTTTATCACCCCACGGCGAGGAAGAGTCGTTATCATCTGATTTAGCCTTGGGAGGGGGACGCTTCTCGAGAATCACGTAGAAGTGGCGGAAGTCGTTTGCCGTCCAGCTCATTAGGTATTCACTACCATCGTCACCTTGCCCATTAGCACAACTTATCCAAGTTTATTACTAGTATAGAATGGTCGAACGCAGCGCAAACCAAATCCAACGAAACTTACAACCCCCCAAAAACATCCTGATTCGCACGCATCGCCTCTGTAACAGCGACGAGGAGCAACGGCGCGACGACGAGGGTTTTGCCCTGCGTTTGGGAGATGAGTAGCGGGGAGGTTGCGGAGATTGGAAGGCCCGTTTCGTTGAGGAGGTGGAAGAGATCGGGGGATTCTTTGCGGAAGATTAGGAGGAGGGTTTGGGGTTGGGTTTGTTCCTGTGAGGGTTAGTTCGTGAGATGGGATGGGGTGGTGTGGACTTACGGTCATTTTGGCTGTGTAGAGTACTTTTGACCTGAGGATAAGGATGTAGGAGAAGAGAGGGGGGGAAGAAGCCGAGGGGTATTTGTGGGAGGTACTAAAAGTAGGGCTGTGAATATCAAGTCTAACAAATCGAACAAACAAACACATCCCATTAGGTCATTACCATTAACCATGCATATCCATTAACCAAACAAGCAAATAAACAATCATCATCGTCGTCGTCATCATATGTATACAAGTGTATCAACTGCAGAATACAACAAAGAAGTAGACGTAAACAATACCCAGCGCAAAGAGCCAAAGTAAAAGATATCAACCCGCCAACGAAGCCACCGAATCCCTCGGTCCACCACTGCTATTCAATGCATCCCTCACCTGCTCCAGCACAACGGCGTAGTATTTTCCTTCTTCCGAGACATCGTGGTATGGACCTGCGGATATAATCGCCCTACATCGTTCATTTATTAGCACCCCGCTATACTCCCGCGTATAAACCAACGCAACGCAATCTACACACAGGGGCAAAAACGTACCACCCCTTGAACTTCGGCTGGTTGAAAATCTCCGTAAACGCGCGCAGAATTCGCAGTGGCAGTTCGAGGATCGAAGGGAGTTCAGGACCAGGGCCGCAGATCGGGAGACCAAGTTTGTTGACGGGGAGGTAGATGAGTTCGGAGGGGTTCTGGGGGTTGCGGGCTTCTTGGAAGATGAGGAGGCGGCGGGATGTCATTTTGTTGGTTTTTTGTTGCGAAAGGTTTGGTTTGTTGGAGGATGGTGGAGGGGTTGTGTTTGCGTTGCGTTGCGTTGCGGTTCGATAGGTAGGTGGAGTCGGCGCTGTGCAGATTCAATGTTTGTCCAATCGATAGGATCAATTATTCAGGCGCATGGAGTCGGTATGCGCCCGCTTATCTAGACAAAGGAAGAGCAACAATGCGTAGATGCGATGCGATGCCGAAGATGATTAGGGGCGCGTGTGTTCGCGTGTCGCGTCTAATCCACGTGTGGTGGGGTGATCGGCTTACCGATTTTAGTATTATCACTACTACTATTCCAGAAGAACTGTAAACTCGACATCGTATATATCGATTACATCAGTAGACATTACGTCTTATATATATGTATACCAACGTCCAAAGACATCAAAAGGGTATCATCAATCAATCCAACCAACCAACATCAACAACAACAACCAAACCAAACCAAAAAAAATATTCCAAAACAAAGTTAAGCATCCAACTCCCCATCCAAAACCCTCCTCGCTGCATCCAATCGCCTCCTCAACACCCTAACTGCCTTCTCGTCTGGCTCCGGCCCCGTCGTGATACTCTGCAAGTCCATACACACGTTCCCCAGACTCTGGAACAGATGTTCCAGTAACCGTTCATCATCATTGTTCAACCCCGTGTTCGGCTCTATAGGCGAGTAGGGACTGCTCGAGGCTGCGCGTACCGTCGATACAAGTGACGAGGCGAGGGCGGTTGGGGTCGCGGACCCCGTGGTGTCGGAGCGCGGGGGTGGTGGCTCCAGGGAACCGGTTGAGGTGGGGATGTGACCGTTGATGCGGCCAGGGGGTTCGCGGCGGGTGGCTTTGGGGGTGCCCATTTCTTCCTCGGGGAAGGATTCGGCGTCAATGGGGATGTCTTCGTCGCTGGGGGAGTAGTGGTGGCGGGCGCGGAGTTCTGCGAAAAATTAGCTGGCGGTCAATTTGAGATTGTTAAAGAGGCTTACCATCGTTGAACTTCCGGTCCCAGTATAGAACACCATTGAAATCACCCTCCTCTGCGGCAGTAGCAAAAGTAGCATCAGTAGACACTGATGCTCCGCTGTTAGCCCGCGAGTGTCGCGTAGAACGATTGTGCACCGGTCGTGTGGTCTCCACAGACGAATTGGAGATGTTGCTCGCGCGACGTAGTTTCGAGCGCGAGTAGTTACCCAGCGCACTATGCAGGATAAAATGCTCGTAATCAAACGCATCCTCGCGCTCCTCGTGAGGTGTCGCATCGGCATTGGAAGTTCCTGGGAAAGGCCCCAAGGCTGGATCGTCCAGGTCGTCATCTAGAGGTTCCCGGAGGATTTCGTTCAACTCCTCCCGGTTGATTTCAGCGTCATCAGAGTCGTCAAATCCACCCTCTTCCGCGTCTTGGTAAAGACTCTCGTTGGAGGGTTGTTCGCTGATCTGGGGGCTTGTATCTATCTTCTTGGGTTCATTTGCGATTACTGGCTCATCGCTCTCAACAGTGCGCGGCGACTGACTCTTAGAACTAGGCGTTTTCTGGCTCACTTCTTGGGCACTCTCGAACGATAAACGAGAACCCCTCGGATTTGGGCTCAAGTGACCGCGCCGGTCCTTATAATCCATAGCATGCGCATACCACGACTCCGCATCTGTGAGAGGACTTGGCGTCCTGAGACTTTGTAGACTGCGACGGCGAAGACCGTCCTCTTGCGCCTTGACCTTCAACGATGAGATTTTGATATGAAGACCCTTCATCTGGTCCTGAAGATCGCGCACTTGGAGCTGCGACTGCGTGCGCGAAGGTGGATCCGCGGGATAGACCGAGTTGAAGTCGTCTATGTTGTTGATCTTGGCCTGGTTTTCTCCGTCTGATACAATACCCAATCCTGCCGGTGATGTCGGTGTGCTCTGCTTCGAACGCGAGCTGTTGCTGTTGGGGGCTGGCGAGCTTCTGTGTTGTTGCATCAATGGTGTAGACGCCCGGTGGGTGAGATATGCCCTTGTTGGTTCATAGCGGAATGACTTGTCGTCTCTCGAGAGGGTGGTCGTTCCCATTGCACTGACGGAGCGGGAGATGCCATTGGCTTCGGTGGCAGAGGTGTTCTGTCCTGACGGGAGGTTGGTCTCGCTAAGTACTCGGGAGTGTCTGTTACCAGCCGCATCTTGGTAGGTGCTGTACATCGGACGAGGACGAAGGGCAGCGGAAGCTTGGCGGTCTGAATTGGATATCGTGCGATATAGCCCGCCTACCGGCTGGCCAAGTCCCAGCTGTGGTGAAGGCGAGGCTGACGCCGACATGGACGGAGATCGCATCGACGAACGGGCTCTGGTAAGGTTTCCCTCCATGAGCTAAATACATCAGTTTCGCGCGCAATACAATTCAACCAGTTTCTTGCACGCACCGTAAGTCTCTTTTTCGCATTATCCAGAATCCTCTCCGCCTCACTGCTCAGAATCACTGACGAGAATTCCTCCCCCGGACCGTCCCCCTCAGCAACCGGGGCAAGCGGCGTACCGCCCCGGCCATTCACATTGTGGTTATTCATATCGTTCACACCCATATGCAGCGAATGCACTTTCCCAGGAACCGCCTTCTGATCTGACCCTTGCCATTGTTGCGCTTGGCCACCATTATTGACCATCTCGCTCTCCTCCCCTGTCCGATTTCGCGTCGCCGGAGAGCCAGCTATCCCCCGCCAATCCTGCCCCGTAGAAGGCGTGTTCACTGGAAATCGACCAGCCCGCGACGATGACCGCGAAGGTGGCACGGACCCCGGCCCATCCTCCTCCCCTATATCCGACAAGCGGTGGCCCGTGTGACGCGAAAAGTTCTTCTTCGAGGATCGAGTATTGCCAGTATTAGCGAGGGGATAGGCGACGCCAATGGAAGACGCGCCGGCAACGGCCAGGTGATTATCATTATTATTATCATTATTCGGATTAAGAGTATTATTATTATTTGTATATCCATAGAACGCCTGCAGATGCGATAGAGAGGGGAGATTGAATGGCGGAGACGGGGTTTGCGATTCGCGCTCGCCTTCGTTCTCAGGCAAGATCATATCGGGGTTCGTCAATGTTGGTGATGGAGGGATCACCGGAGGTTGACGTTGGGCATCGTCAGTCGGTGTAGCCGCCATGGTGCCCGTCGTTTGTCTTCTTCGGTTCGTTTATTTGCTGTCAAACGGAGAGCGGGTTTTTTTCTTTAAGCTGTGCGGGTTGAAGAAAAGGAGAGACGGTCCAATTGCGAAGACGACGGTGAGGGACAAAACGGCGAACGTTAGAATGGAGCCATTGGCATTTATCTATAATTATTAGTGTGAACGGGCTTCCTACTCCCTTTTGAATCGGCATTTGGCGTCTGGCAGCGTTTTAAGCACCCGAAGGGGATATAAATGTATCCCCCTGTTCCTGAAGCTATACCCGTTTTAGAAGGGCGCAACCTTCCATCTCCACGTGACCCCTAACTTTGGCTTATTTGGTGGGGCTGATGCTTCTTATTGGTTGGGTACTGTCCATCTTTATCTTCCCCTTTCGTACTTGATACGGAGCACGTGGAATGACATCTCAGTACATATATCATTGACTCGTACTCATTGTGATGTCTCTGTTTATTCCATTTCAGGTAAATAATCAGCTGTCTTTCTCAAATGACAGATCGAGAAGTGCCTATCACGTGCTGCAGAACTCACTTAGGGTATGGTTCGCTATAAGCAGCGTTAGGAAGACCAGATAACTATTGTTTACCGTGGAAGTGGAATCTTCGTTGTGGCTATGGTTCAGAAGTTGCAGCTTGTTATGAAGCTAGGGCTTAGATACGGAACTGCGGTTCTATATATTCAACCCATGGATACCCGAATTGGATCCGCACAGGTGAAATAATGACTTTCGTAAAATCTCGTATAAACAGGATTAAACTTCATGTGGGCCTCCGGGACATTTAACATTCTCATCTCGGATCCTACATGTGTTGGCGAAATGAGACACATGCAGTAATACACCGTATAGATATCGATTCGAACAGTATTAAATGTACAAGCGAATCATGCCGAACAAGTTAAATATCGAAATGACTTTTTCCTGACCGCAAACAAAATCTGTACAAAGCCCTATCCAGGGCCAAATATCAAGAGAAACAATATACCAATAGAATCGCTCAAATGCACATGTCTATTAAACCTTCTCCAACAACAACCTCGCTCCGCTACTCGTAGGACCAGCCTTGCCCTTCTTTCCGTCCTTGCCTGCCTCAGCTGCGGAATTGGCAAGGGCCTTCTCCAGCGCCTTCTTGTTCTTCTTCAGCGTCTTCAGAAGTTCGTTCTTCTTCTCGAACTCGTCTGACTCTGCCAGTGCCACGACGACGAATACGTTCGAGCCAGTGGCCCATGACATGATCTCGCTCTGGATTTGCTCGTACAGGTGTGCGTGGAAGTTAAGTGGTGGCTGGACCTTCTCGACAGACTTGGTTGCGGGGTTGAAGCGACCGCCTTGCACGAGGGACTTGAGTAGTCGTCCCACAAACGGCGCGTCCTTGGTGTCGGAGCGCGACTTGGCCGCTTCAGCGACGGCTGTCAAGGCGGCGGTCTTGTCACCGTCAGCGTCGAAGAGGACTTCGGAAAGGAGTTGGCAGCCGAAACTTGTCTCGAGGAGGGAGTCGGCGCGGGCGGCGATCAGTTCGAGAAGTGTTGGCGAGGCTGCCTTGGCGAGTTCTTGTTGGCGGACTTCGGGGTCCTTCTTCGAGGTCTCCTTGCGGACCTCACGGATTTCCTTAAGGGCCTCTGAGGTTGAATCTGGGAGGAGCCACTTGACGCGGTCACCGGCGAATGGGAAGAGGATGGGAATACGGCCCGTCAGGTCGTTCACCTGGTACATCAGCTCCTCGTTTCTAGTCTCTGCATCATCGTTCTGGTTCAGCAGCTCCGTGAGGAAAGTCTTTGCAGTAAGCTTGGTATCGTCGATCACTTCGAAGGCTGTCAGAATGACGGTATGCCCGTAAAGGTCGCTTGCCATCACCTTAACCGTATCTCTGAAGTTTCTGATCAACAGCTTCCGGTCCTTTGCGTTCGAATGAGCCAGAGCAAGGCACAACAACCGAGATCCTGACTTGGTGAAAGACAGGTTCTTAAGTAAATCACCCTCTTCGTCACCCTTGAGCAGCTCGATAAATTCGCTGGCATCGGTACTGCCCGTCTTCGTGTTCAGGAAGTATTGCAACATTGCATCGTGCAGAATCGTGAATCCCGTGGACTGCTTCTGAACCAGCTGGTTAATCAGTTCGTGCAGGAAGTGCATCACTGGCGATCGCTTTTCCGGGTTCTTTGAGAGGATCTCGGACAAGTCTGCGGACGGCACTGCGCTCTTATCCCTGAAAATCGCAAACTCCGGCCCGTACCATTCCCTAAGCAGGTTGGCTTTCTGATCCTTAGTCGCGACCTGACGGTATATATCATCCAGAATCCAAGAACCCTCGGGGTGACGAATAAGACGCTTGACGTGGCCATAGAACTCGGGGATGATAATGTCCCGGATCTCGGCATCTCCGTGCACGATCAGCTTTCCAATCAAGAACTTGGCGTACCGACTCTGTGCCAGCTCGACGTAGCTACCCTTGAGTTCACGTGCGATCTGCTTCCGTTGTTCGGTGTTGGCGTACTTCAAGGCTGTTTGGATGACACGGACCGAGTCGTGCTTGAAAACAAAATCCTTCACACGGCCGCTAATAATCCCATCGAGTTCTGCGATAAGCTTCTTCCGCTCTTCGAGTGGAACATGTGATTTCCGACGTAGACGTTCCCAGAGCTGTTTGGATCGGGCGATGATGTCGGCATTGGGCTTGGCGGCTTTGCGCTCTTGTTGGAGGGCTTTTTGTTTTATGTGCGATTCGCGCGAGTTATTGTCTAAAAGATTGCATAGACTCGTTAGCCATTGATCCATATCTTGGGATGCGATACTAGCATACTCTTTTCAGTCTCCGAGATTTTCCCATTCGATTCGGCCTTAGACTTCTTTTCCTCCTCGTCCTCTTCATCATCATCATAATCATCCTCCTCCTCCTCCTCCTCCTCATCCTCCTCCTCATCATCATCATCATCGCTAACCCCATCACTCAACCCGCCCATATTGATATCCTCATCCTGATCCTTCTCATCGTCGGAGTCTGAGAGATCGTCAAGGTCGAATTCATCCTCCTCTTCTTCAGATTCCTTTTGCACCTTCTTGCTCTTCCCATTCTTCTGAACCGTCTTCCCAGACTTGGCGAAATCCTTCTTCGAGTCAGTCTTGGGAGGCTTGGAAACCGCCTTCTTCACAGGCGCGGCCGCTTTGATCTTCTGTAGAGGGACAGCGCCTCCCTTCACTTTCGTCCGCTTGCCATCGCGATCGTCGCGGGCGTCTCCGGTACGCTTCAAACCGGCCATCCTGAATTGATTGATTTGCGATTGATATTTGGTTATTCCGATGTGAATAACTGCCCGGGGATTTTTTTTTTTGCTGCAATTTCTTTTTACTGCCGGGGAAGTTTTTTTCTGCAGGGCGGTGAGAGCAATGTTTGCACTGTTTGCGGTATCTATCGTGAGATAAGCGTCTCAAAAGGGTAATCATAATCATACCAGGGACTCCGCGTGGGTTCTTATGAACTAGAAGAAGGATGACTGATCTACAATGGGGTTAGATGGTGTTAATTATTCGCTATGGTGGCCATAGCACTGAATGGACATTGAAGTGCCATAGTGTATGAAAATTGCGTAGGATAGTCGCATCAATTATGTTCGAACGGATATATAACTCCCAACGCCTGCATATTCCAAACCAATGCATACCGCATTACTGTCCATTTACACTAGGGTCGGCAGATGATGGGTTCACCGTGCCTAACTCAGACCCTGCACCGCTCTGTCCTCGTTTCCTTCCCGGGAGATGAAAACCAAAGGGGGACGAGATTTTTGAACCAGTTGAAGACTGAGAGTCGCTCGAGTTTGCGAAATTCAAATCGCCAAATCGCGAGAACACGTTTTTCTTTTTCGGCGGTGGCTTCACTTCGTCATCAGTGAGCCCGACGTCTTCGAATTGCTCCTCTTCCATTGGTTCAGGCCTGTCAAATCCGTTGTGGCCCAGAGAAGGCGATGTGATACGGGAAAAGCGCGAGTCGAGGGAAGTTCGGGATGGCATTGTGTCACTATAGCTCACGGGGGAACGGGCAGAAATATCCTACAAGATAAAATTTCGATGAGTCTGGTTAGTTGGGAGATGATAGAGCGCATTACTCACAAAGGACCGACGATAAGAATCGAACGATTCGCGAGATATCGAGAATGGCTCATTGTCATTGACAAGGCTCCGATGATTATTTGACGACTTGTTTGAACCAGGGTACCTGCTCCAAAAGCTTTGTTTCTCTGGTGGTGAGGGCTATCCGTAAAAGTCTTAGTCTCTACATGGTAAGGATGCGAAATATGGCGAATCATACCGGCAGATAAGAACCATTGTCATCGACAACTGTAGCGCATCGAGGATCAGTCATCAAATCTAGATGCTATCGAATATCGCAAGTAAATGCCCTACCACTCAATTTGTATTCTGGAGGATCGGGGGTGTCGCTACTCGTCCTGACACTCAGGGGAGTTCCGCGCTGGCTATTCGTGGAAGGAGGCTCGTTCTCATTGTTGTTATTCTCGGTTTGCGTGCCGTTGAAAGCACCGGATTTTCTGGCCAAGAAGTTACGGAAGGGCACCATTTTGAGACCGGATGAATGCGATATTCAAAAATTGATCGAAATTAGGAGACCAGGTGAAAGAGAATCGGGTATTGAATGAAAAGAGTCCGGGATTATTGTGGAGGGGTGAGGCCGAGGCACATGATCAGCACTCGTATGGAGTACAGTTGCATTCAGGCACGGCGCTCCGTGTTGGGACGGACCCTGAACAAGGGATTAATTCAAAGGACCAGAGATCTCGAAGTACCCGGATGGAAACTTATTTCCACCACATATGTAAAACTCCTGATTGATCGTTTAGTTAATTGCTGCGTACAAAACTTTGAACACATTGATGTCATACAGGGCTGGAAATTAAGGGTATATATTATATTTGGAAAATATACAATGATCTGTCATGGATAACCTAGTGGGAGGTTCGCTGCTAAGCACGTGACCTTGCTTCGGCTTCGGCCAGCGAGACTGGTGCCTGGTACGAATCCCGGGGTCGTCGTTGTACTCGTGCGAGTAGTCCACGATCGCTACAACACGCTAAGCAATGGAGGTGACCCTTGAGGGAAGCAATTCTGCAGAGACTCCTCCACCCTGGGATGGCGTCGCCAGATGACACCGTTTCGTTACAGGGAAATGGGCTATTTGGTGGAACGACCACATCTTTCTTTTTTTTTTTTTCATTATGATTTTATTTTTGTCGTCTTAAAGTAGTAATTTATGCTCGTACTTAATTTACCCTGTTTTAGTAGGCTTACTTCGATACTGAGAGCGTTGCGTATCGCATTATTCCGCAACCCGTACTTCCCCATGCTTCCCAAAAAGGAAGGCACATGGCATCGCACCTTCCAGGAAACCCACGCCTGCCTTCCATTCTCGACCGGACTGAACCGCGTACTAGTCTTTTGCTTGCTATATTCCTTTCCTGCCATGTCCTGTCAACCATCCGTCTTCATCGCTACGCTTCCTTGCCAACCAAAAGCGAACGAGCGATCCTTTATTCCTTGTGATGGGTTGTTGACTTGTTTATTCTTGAGCATATCTCGACTACATCTACAGTCGACTAGATTTACCCCCCAATATCCTCAGCCTCGTATAGTCTTTACTGCTGCTGTTACTTCCGTGCACTCACCTAATTTGTCTCGCATTTGCAACTAGACGAACACCCGACATCAATCAAGATGAAGTTCTGGGTCGGCTGGGAAATGTGGCAGAAGCTATGCTTCGTGAGTTTCGTCGAGCATAGAAGAGCACTTGAAGAATCATCGCTGACCGTCCGTCGAGCAATAGGTGCTCGCAGGCATTCTGGTAATGAAAGCATCTGCCAAACTTCATGATCCTTCCACTGACAGTAATAGGCTGTCGTTCTCGCCTACTCCTTCTGTGTTCTCCTCCGCAATCGGAGAAAGCTCAGACGCGCTACGGTAGAGGCATATCAGAAAGCGGAGCAAGATACCGAAGCGCAGGATGGTGAATTGCGTCCGATGTTGACCCGTACAAGCGATATCCCGTTCGGCGCCAGGGCTCTCCAACGAGGCGTCCAAATCGAGGGAATTTGGATCTCTAGCAATGAGGCGCTGGACCAACTCCCCAAAGAGCCTGCACCGGCCATAAGCCCTCCATCGACCCCTATCACCACCGGCTCGCCCTTGAAAAAAGCGTCCTTGGTAGATGCAAACGATGACAAGGGATCCCTGCTTCCGGCACCACAGGTGACTGCTCCATTGAAAGCGTTGAATGGAAATGGCATAGGCAACGAGGGGGCTCCCAGCATCTCAACGAACATACCTCGTGCAAGCCTACACTCTACCCGGACCGCCGCAACGCACATTGAACCGCGAGCCTCGCATGAAACGGGACCACGCCTTTCGAGACAATGGTTCGGCCCCCGTAGCTCGTGGTTGACCAAGACACCAGAGACAAACAAACGAAAATCAGGACTCGAAGGTAATGCACATCTGCAACGTTTGAGCTTGACATAGTGCTGACAAGTGTTTTCCTTCTAGGAAAATACGTTCGCCCATCGTCAGAAGAAATCAGACGACGTTTCAGCAAGCTCTTTGACGAACAACTCCAAGTACAACCAATTGAAGCATTCCAGCTAGGCTCTATGTCCCTAGGCACGGAGGGTGATAAAAAGCGGATGTCCAGGTCGTCACGTCTGTGAATTGAGGTGCTGTCTCTTTGTGTCGGATTAAACAAACAATTTTGATCCGGTCTCACAGTGAATCTTGTGAGTCTAGAGGTTTTGTGGTCATGTTTTCGTCCGAGAGCACTGCTGTATTCCTATCTTGTCGGAAATTTCAGTGGATGCTGTGAACATTCTTTTGGAAGGATGGCCAATTGAGGGGAGGGGGGTATTTGTATTTTTCTGTTTTGGGATGACCATCGCATGTTGTATGTATTCAACATTGCAGGAACTAAATTTTCTCTACGTGACAAGAGGCAAAATGAATGGTTATTGATATCTGCAGAGGTGTACGGTACTGCTAGGATCCCGAGGCATAAATATGGCATGAGTCACATGACTTCGTGACGGACCCGACGCGTCCGCAACGCCCAGGCAACATTTGGTTTGGTAGAAGACTATTTGCCACAGCAACAAACCCGAATCCTTTATAATCAAGATTTCTACCTGGTTAGAGAAGTACTAGAAGGCAACAGACCCCCTAAATGCTTTAAAATATTGCAGAATTCCAATCTAGAAAGCCAGAATTGCAACCGGGTCCCAACTCGCGCCTTTGCGTCGATTGACCATTATCCAAAGACTTTACTCTAGCGAAATCACGAAATCCCACCATCCTACCGACAGTCTTGCAATCCAAATCCCACGATGACCGGCGAAGTCGAGTCCCAGAATGAAATGTTTGACGAGAATGGGCTTCCAGGCCCAGGAGCACCCACCCCGCTCTCGGCGCTGGAGGTAAGCCGTGGTCCCTTGAGATATCGTGAATTATAGGATACCGAGAAGCCTTATTGTTTGCGAAAACGCGTTTCTAACATATACTTTTTTTGTAGGGCGTTGCAGGTTTGACGGGAAGAGACATCAAGCTGTTCGTCGATGCGGGCTATCACACCGTTGAATCAATCGCATATACGTATGTTTGCTACGTTAGGATTCGAGACTTGGCTATTGGCTTATACTGTATAGACCAAAACGTTTGCTGGAGCAGATTAAGGGTATCTCGGAGCAGAAGGCTACTAAAATCCTTGTCGAAGGTATATCACAAAGACGCTGTCTGAAATCGCATTCTAACTTGAATGACTTATAGCTGCCAAACTCGTACCGATGGGTTTCACAACTGCCACTGAGATGCACGCCCGAAGAAGCGAGCTAATTTCGATCACGACCGGTTCGAAACAACTGGACACCCTCCTGGGAGGTGGGATAGAAACGGGATCCATCACCGAGATCTTCGGAGAGTTCAGAACAGGAAAGAGTCAAATATGTCACACACTTGCGGTAACTTGCCAATTACCATTCGACATGGGAGGGGGCGAGGGCAAATGCCTGTACATCGATACCGAGGGGACATTCCGACCCGTGCGTTTGTTGGCCGTCGCTCAACGATATGGATTGGTTGGCGAGGAGGTTCTCGATAATGTCGCATATGCCCGAGCATACAACTCAGACCACCAACTTCAGCTCTTAAACCAAGCGTCCCAGATGATGTGCGAGACACGCTTCTCGCTCCTTGTTGTCGACTCCGCTACCTCGCTATATCGTACCGATTTTAACGGCCGTGGAGAGCTGTCGTCTCGACAGACCCACTTGGCTAAATTCATGCGCACGCTACAACGGCTAGCGGACGAGTTTGGTATCGCTGTCGTCATCACCAACCAGGTCGTTGCTCAGGTTGACGGCGGTCCGAGTGCGATGTTCAATCCCGATCCCAAGAAACCGATTGGTGGTAACATCATTGCGCATGCTAGTACGACCCGGTTAAGCTTGAAGAAGGGGAGAGGCGAGACGAGAGTGTGCAAGATTTACGACAGTCCATGCTTGCCTGAGAGTGATGCTCTGTTCGCTATCAACGAGGATGGTATTGGTGATCCTAGTCCAAAGGACTTGGAGAATGAATGAGTAATGATGCACCGTTTTCTTTTTCTCCCCTTTCTTTTCTTTTCGCCTTTTTTTTTTTTTTTACGATTCCAACGTTTCCATGAGTATGTATGGCATTTTTCTGCTCATTTACTGTATGTATTAGTTATTACGAGCAACGTTCCCTGTCCAGTTGCCAATTCTTGTACTTATATTCTATCCTGTTTTATCTATCGATGCTCTGCAATTATACTGATAGACTTCTTCACGTGATTAATACTATAAATTCTCCCAATTTTCTTCATTTGTTATTTATTACTCACATGTCCGACTGAGACACGATTGCATAACACTTACTAGATACACAGCAGCGATATCAACCAAGGATTAAAGTAAATCATCACCTTTCTTCCATTCAACCAACTGAACGCTAACCCCGCTGAACAGAAATCTACAATTGTCACCATATCCGAGCAACGATCCAAGATCAAGAAACATGGAGACCCTATGCACAAATCAAGGAACTTCCTATGTCCAAGGTACAGCCTCTGGCAAACTCCTCGCCAGCAACATAGAATTGAGCTTCTGGGGCGGCGTAAACCCCCAAACAGGCGAGATAATCGATCGTCACCACACATTAAGCGGACAGTTTCTCCAAGACACCATTCTCGCTATCCCAGGTGGTCGTGGCTCATGCTCTGGTAGTGGGGTGATGTTGGAGCTACTGCTTAATGAAAAGGGACCTAAGGCCGTATTGTTCGAGCGAAAGGAGGATATTTTGACTCTTGGGGTTATGATTGCCGAGGAGGTGTTTGGGAAAGCTATACCGGTTATGATGCTGGGGCCGGGGGGTTTTCGGGAGATTTTGGAGCTGAATGGACATTTTTTGCATGTTGTTGATGGGCACATTTATCGTGACGAGTCTCTTATTACTTTAGACGGACTTTCAATAGAGAATGGTGCCACTCAGTCTCTACCTCTTGCGAGGGATATGGAGCTCTCGGATATCGATAGAGCCTTCCTCGACGGCGTCTACGGTGAAGCTGCCCGGGTGTCGATGCGAATCATCCTCCGGATGGGAGATTTACTTGGAGCTAAAGAACTGATGGACATTACTCAGGTCCATGTGGACGGCTGTATCTACACAGGGCCAGGATCTCTCATATTCGCAGAGAAGCTTAGAGACTGGGGAGGAAAAGTCCGTGTTCCAACATCTCTCAACTCCATATCCATTGATCAGCAACGATGGTGCGCTCAAGGAATCGACCCCGTTTTCGGTGAAGCTGCTGGGAGACTTGCAGATACTTACATCAGTATGGGTGCACAACCAACCTTTACCTGCGCTCCTTATCAGCTCGAAAGCGCACCGAAACTTGGTGAGCAGGTGGCTTGGGCTGAGTCTAATGCTGTTGTTTACGCGAATAGTATTCTTGGGGCGAAGACCATGAAGTATCCTGACTTTCTTGATATATCGATTGCCCTGACTGGTCGGGCGCCAAAGGGTGGTCCTCATGTTGAAGCTAATCGTCTGGCTTCGCTTATTGTAAGGGTTATAGACGCAGGAGCAGCGAGGACTGATGACTCTTTTTATCCTCTCTTGGGCTACCATATAGGAGCTATATCCCCTAGCCAGATCCCCGTGGTAGTGGGAATTGGGTCATTGAGCCCATGCAAAGACGACCTAAAGGCCTTTGGGGCTGCGTTCGCGACAATGTCGAGTGCCCCGATGTTCCATATCGTTGGGGTCACACCTGAAGCAGCTTCACTTGACGCTGTCCTCGACGAAAGATCCCATCCACAATTCATCAACATAGAGCCGAATCAGCTAGCTGAGAGCTGGGTCCAGCTCAACAGCGCATCCCATCCTCAACCAGTGGACCTGGTATCTCTCGGAAACCCTCACTTTTCTCTGGCCGAAATCAGAAAGCTCACCGAACTCTGCCGAGGTCGCACAAAGGACAAGAGCGTTGCTATTACAGTTACTTGCGGACGTTCCCAATTCAGCCTTGCTTCTCAAGCCGGACTCATTGAGGAGCTAGAAGCATTCGGGGTTCAATTCATCACTGATACCTGCTGGTGTATGATTACTGAGCCGATCATTCCACCGTCGGTGGGTGCTATAATGACGAATTCCGGCAAATATGCACACTATGGACCTGGGTTGACTGGAAAGCCGTTCTACTTTGGGAGTTTGGCTAGGTGCGTTGAAGCTGCATGTGGTGATTGTATAGGCGATATACCGGGGTGGTTGTCGAATTGATTTCTTCACCCTGCCCCATAAACGAAATTATCCGAGACAACCTGCATTATCTCAAGCCACTGTAGCGTTTTTCTCCAGAAAATCCATGACTTATAGCTATTCAGCATTCACGTGTATGTATACCGATGGCGGTGACCGATGCCAAGACTGTAAAATAGCTTCAGCTTTTTCCGCCTTTGCGCCTTTCAGCAAAGAGAAAAAAACAACATCGCGACAGACACTGCAGCTGACGAGGAATGACCATGGAGCCTTGAATTGAATGTGATTTAAGTTTTTAAGAAGCTGTTTTGTCGTCAATTCCCACGACCATGGCGAGAATCTACAAAGACACCCGGGTCGATCTGCGGCCGTACTCGTCGACCACCGTCGTCAACATCCTGATCCCAACCCAGGGGAGCGCGCAACGCCGGGCCCGATTCTCGCTTTCTGCTTTAACAGATAATAACCTGCCAGTAGCGAAGGACGACGAAGAATTCACAAAACGCCATCTCGCGACCCAGGGATCCCTCTACTTTCGGAAACGCAAGCTCTACCCCCGGTCGTTCCTGTGGAGGGTGATCAACGACAACAGAGTCCTAGAACTTCACTGCGTCGACCTGACCAAGGCCGGAATCGAGCACCATGAATATAATGTCACGTTGCGCCTGGATTTTCAGGAGGAGATCCTCCCGTGCGGTGTCGAGTTCGCGGATTTGGAGGAGCATGAGGCGTTGAACGTGTTTGTTCTTACGGCGTCGAAGCAGCTACATACCTTGACGCTGCGACCTGAATTCTTCCGCAGGGTGTCTGCGATTGATGATAACGTGTCAGAGTGGTGCAAGACATGTGTTCCGGCTCCGCTGGCGTTTTCGTATCCCCATCGGCTTCATGCTAGCAGTCCGTTGGAGCTATTTGTTTCCCTTGACAATGGGTCGCTTCTGCGGTTGACCAGGAGGTCTGGTGATGACGGTATTTCTTTCTCTTCCTAAACATGGGCTTCTGATCGTGGCATGGGGACTGATTATGATTTCTTAGGCTCGAACTGGTCACCTCTTACTTTCGACGAACGAACCTGGGGCTCCTCGATCCGGGGCCTTGTCCGCTGGCATGTGCCACCGCCGGTTAAATACAGAGGTCGCAATCTCGATCAGAATGTCCCCAATGCGATTGCCACTACATCCGACCAGACATATGTTTTTGTTGTCTGTCTGAACCACACATTGAAGATATGGAACCTTGCCACGAATAAACTTGTCGCTTCGAAGGACCTCTTGAATCGCCAAGTACAACAGAATGATGCCAATTTCTTATCCCTGAACCCCTCCGAGTCGTCGTTCATCCGCGTGTTTAATGCCGAGAGAGCATTGGATGGTGAATACCGTTATTTCGTGGTCACATATTCGCCTTTCGAGGATGGACGCTTCAAGTTCTGGGCCGTTAAGGGGGGTCTTACATCACAGTTAGTTATCGAGGATTTATACCCGGATGCGCCCCTTAGGCCAATGGACCCAGATATGACAGGGAACATGTTGTTCTGGAACATTGCCGACTTCCAAATCAAGCCCGCGGAAGCAGGAAAGGGCATGGAGCTGTGGGTTCTCTGGAAGAACAACAGTTTGTGTCAGCTGTACACACTACACTTCAACTTTGACACTTTGGAGAGGGACTGGTATACAAATTGGGTGTCGACAGCTATGGAGTCACGCAGACAGGAGGCACCACCGGTGTCGGTCTCCTCCGATGTCGTTGATCCGACCGAGAAGTGGTTGAAGTACCTCTTGCAGCCTAACAGGTTTACTCCAGAGGTGCTTGAGACTGCTCTGGCCATCTATAACGAAGCACTCAGACCGCTCGCATCAACGTCTAGCAACTTTAAGAAGAACGCATCTCTCCCAGAGAGACTCTGTACCGCAGTCGCGGGAACAGTGTCTCTCCGAAAATATGCAGATGACCACATGGACTTCACGAGATACCCCACAGATACAGACACCAAATGGCGGCAGTTCTGGCAGACCGCCGAAGACATTAATAGGCGGAGGTTCGAGCCTGTTTCTATTGCCTACGACACCTATTCCGAAACTCCATGGCTGCTTCTTTCTGATAGTTGCGCTGTGATCCGGGAATGCAGTTCTACGGAGCTACTCCTGCACAATACCGGCGCTGAACTCCGTACGGAAGGAACCAAGATCGTGGACCGCTGGTCGCACAGGGATTTGGGATCGGAAGTGGGTGACCTGTTCGAACAAGCGTCTCACTTGATGAAGGTTGCTTCGGGCTTCAGGAAGCGGTTCCCAGCTGAACTTGAAGCGGCTTGTTGGGATGCTATCGAGGCGGAAATCTTCACTGAGCCATCCTCATCTATCCCAGACCGATTGGACGTCTTCCGGGAACGCTGTGACTTTGGGGAGCGGGTTTCCAATAAGATTTTCGACGGTTTGTTCGCTGCTATGAATGAGCATCTGAGTATCGATAATCTGCCGAGTGAGGTCTTTTACGCAATTCTCGACACAATCCCGCTCGGACCTGGCAAGGACTCTGACCTTCTCGCCACACATTTCGGGGTCAGGGCTACGGTAAACGGTGTCCAGGAGATGATTTTGCAAACGCGCCAACTTCTCGTTGACTTGCTTGTCCTTGTTGTTTTCTTAGACGGCGAGGTGGACCAGGAGGAGGGATCGACTTTTGACGCGGCTGATTTGTTCTCTACCATCATTCCTCTGCTCAGGGAGTACGAGATGATGCACTGGCTTAGCTCGAATGTCCGCAAGAGCAGTGGCAAGCCGACAAGTGATGCAACTGATGGATCAGGCTCGCCATTTTCCTTAAAGAAGGACACAAGCTCTAACAAGGACGAGAGAGTGGTGACTATTCTTGAGGATCTATTTGCTTCTAATATCAAGCCACGCCAGGCAATTGGGCGATCCCAGAGTTATACCTTGACCCTTGGGATCCGAGATGTCCTCTCCTGGGTTACGCGTCAAGGAGAGGTTGCTTACCCAAATGCGTTAGTCTACATTCAGTGCGATCTTATTGCGAAGAAGAACATTGATCTCGCGTGGGACTTCTTACGATTCCAAGTAACCACGTCTTGGGCGACCTACGTTAAGGGCCGGCTGTACGTGGTCATGTCGGAATATGATACTGCAGCTTTGTATTTCCGAAAAGCTGCTTATCTTCTTTGTAAGTTGTCGGTTCTTTTGGATGAGTTTTGGCTAACATTTCGAAGCTTGTGGAAAGCCCCTGGGCAACCTGCACGAGATGTCGTCGACACTTCTCGATATTGTCTCGGTGGACTGCTTCCACAACGGTCTCCCCAAATACTTCCAGCACGTTCTCTCGATATTCGAGCAAGTGCGGTCATTCTCGCACGTTGCCGACTTTGCCAGTCTTGCTTTGCAAACATTAGAGAGCGAACTCAGCGAGCAAGATCCAGAGTACAACGTCCTACGAACCGATCTCTTGTCCCGCCTCTTCCACGCATCATTAAAGACCTGCCGCCACGACGAAGCATACTCCGCACTCACCCGATACAAAGACGTCGCTTTGCAACGATCTGCCCTCAACTCCCTCATTACCACCATCCTCACCGCATCGGGACCAGGAAGCACAGGTCTCAAGCAAATCCTCCACTTCCCCACCTCCCTCGTCCCCAACCTCGCATCCTACGTCGATGAGACTCTCGTCTCGCTCGCCAAGAAACAATCTTCTTTCAACTCCTTCCTGGAAACCGAAAACAACAAATGGGCTGACTCTACGCCCGATTTCCAACGAATCCTCCAAGCCTACCGCATCGCGCGGGCCGACTACCGCGGCGCAGCCGAAATCGCATACCGAAACGTCCAACGCCTGCGACAAGCACGCGACAACCCCTCATCCCACCTAGCCCTCGCCAAGGCCAAAGATGCCGACGACCAAAAGTCAATGGTCGAAGAGGACGACCCAGAGAGCCAAGAAATCCGCCACGAACTCCTCTCCCTAATCAACCTCCTCGCCTGCGTCGACAAGAGCGAGTCTTACATCCTTGTCGAGCGTGAAAACCCCTCTTCCACCCAGTACACGGGCCCAGATTACAGACCCCGCAATATACAAGCGCAAGCAGTCGATGACGATGGCAATGTCTCTATGGATGATATTGACACGGAATCGCCTACAGTCCGCCGCACAAGCTCCAACGCAAGTCGTCCGTCTTCATCATCCGTCCAGGGCCACAGCCAGAGTTACGCACAGAACCAGAACCAGAAACCGCAGAAACGGGTGATTGTTACGCTGGACCATTTACGGCGTGAGTACCAGGGTGAGTTGGATCGGGTTAGTAGGATCGAGCGTGGGGATTGGGAGTTTGGTGCATTGGAAGAGGAGGACGAAGATGTTGATGGGGATGAGACGATGATTATTTCGTGAGACTGATGGAGGAAGAAATTGTATGGCTCAGATATTCCCCGGTTTATTAGTTCATTTTCGAGGATTCAAGGTGATTTAAATTTACGTTTGGGTCGAGGGTAATTGCGTGTATTGTATTTCGATTTTTGCTTGGGAGCAGATGAGCAATTTACAAGAATTTCCTTCTACAATATTAATGATTCTCGACGCATTGAAAATAAAACGTTACAAATCTTGAATTAGGTTTTAGATACAACCATGCTAATGCAAATCCATTATAATATGTGCAAAGCCCTAATATGCATATCAATGGTATCACAAGACAATAGGAAAACATTAACAGCCGGGGTATGTCGTAAACAGAAAGCATAACTTTTCAACCCATATTATGTACCAGGGCATATTTCCAAATTAAGCATTTTCAACAGCCCAAGGATACTCGAGGCCAGGGGCAGTTAATCATGTCCATAAACAGACGCCCTAGACCACTTTCCCCTCGCCCGAATCCTCTTCCCAAAAATATAAAACAAAAACGGAATCGGAATCAGCGCCACGGCAATAAACCCCAGCACCGAACCAGCCCACCCAATGCCCATATTATGGAACATAATCTGCGCGAACAACGGGAACGATCCGGCGAACATACTTCTGAAAAACGTATTTGCTGCAACAGCAGACGCAGCAAATTTCTGAAACGTATCGATGAGGTAGTTCAACGCGGCTTGAAAGATAGTGAAAAATCCGAAGCCCATGAGGACCGTCCCGATGACGGGTGCTATCCAGTGGATTGATGCGGAGTTTCCTGTCCATGCCCAGATGAAGAGACCCGCTGCGAAGAAAATGGATCCGAGCATCATGGGCGGAAGACGGGCTTCTGGGACGGGGAAGTTATTGTTTGCTTTGAATCGAGCGATGTAGAATTTCTGGTTTGTGAGGTTGATGGCTGCGCCGAAGAGGACGCCTACCAATATGCCGAGGAAAGGCAGCGCGCCGACGACTTGATTCCACCCGCGGACTTCTTGGAAGACAATAGGAAAAGCGGCCAGGCAGAGGTACAGGATGCCGTAGACGAAGGAGGCGTAGAGGGCGACGAGGAAGCAGATGGGTGTGGCGAGGAGTTGGAAGGGGCGGATGAGGTATTTGTTGGCTAGTTCTTTGTAGGTGACGTCCCATTCTTCGTGGCGGGCGTGCAGGGCCCAGTTTCCTGTGTTGAAGCGCAAGCGACGCGCTTTGTAGACCAGGAGGACTGGGGCGTAGGTTTCGTCGAGGATGAGGATGTCAAGCGTGAGGGTGAACATCATTAGGATGCCGGTTAGGTATTCGGTCCAGCGCCAGCCTAGGTAGCTTTGGACGACTGCGCCGCCGACGATGGGGCCGATTACGGGTCCTCCAACGACGGCCATGGCGTAGCCGACGATGGCGGCGCCGCGTTGCTCGGCTGTCCAGATGTCGCCCAGGACGCCGCCGGTGTTGGTGACTGGTGCAGAACCGAAGAAGCCAGTGAAGAATCGGGTGATCATGATCGTTTGTATGTCTTTGGCTGTTGCTGTGCCGAATGAGAAGACCGCGGCGATGAAATAAGGTATTAGAACCGCTGGTTTGCGGCCGTAGACTTCGGATAGCGGCGCCCATATCAGGGGACCAATACCTGGTCGTGTTAGTCAATGCTTGTGCAGCTTAGTTTATAGCTTGCTTACCAAAGCCAAACAAGAGCAATGAGGTTCCTAGTAAACCGACTTCTGATCCAACACCGTATTGCGCATCAACCTGTGCAGTGCCGGTAGAAAAACTAGCTAATCAGTATCCAAATCTCAAGCTCAGTTTATCGAAGACATACATCGAACTTGCCCAAGTTGCACCCATTGTAGTCAACCCATACAACACCGTCGTAATCGCCTTCTTACGAAACGGCCAGTTCAACGGCCGATACGGATCACCAGGCCCATCAAAATCGACAATCACATCAGTCGAAGTCTTCGTATGCGACAGTGGATGATTGAACGGTATTGTCTGGCCAGGGTCTCGACTCCGAATCCTCGAAACTGCCGATTGCGCACGACTTTCGAATATCGACAAGCTAGACGCAGTGGTCTGCTTTTCCAGATTTCCTCCATTGGCATTGCTGTTTCCGTTAGTCGCATGTTGTCTTTCGTCGTCGATCGAGGAAATGTCCTCGTCGCTGGATGATCGAGAGGCACGATCGCGCTCTGCCATTGTAAATTTTTCGAATGCAGATAAGTTCTCCGGGAAACTTTCCGCTCAACTCAATTGATAACCGTTTTATTATATAGAGATATCGAAGATCATATCAAAAGCGAAAGCTAGCCGTGGTAACAGAATAGTCAAAAACGTCGTAGCCAAGACGTCACCGGAGTTCGACAGAGAAAAAAATAGCAGGGGACCGGTAGTATATATTGCATCTCCGAACGTAAGTGGATTCCTCGTCATTCTCGAAAGGCCGTAAAAAATTTCAGACCCAGCCTAGACACTACTACCATTCATTGTATCAGGCTCGCGCTTACTTTGGCGCTTTCCCCAGTGGCAATGCCGTTTTACCCGGACCCTTTAAACCCCGAGCAAAGTACTCTATAAGAATATCGGAGGTCCGAATCCGAACTTTCAACCAATCCAGAAGCGAATTCCATCGTTTGCCGGGCCATATATAGTACTGGCGTGCGGTGGTGGGCCATCGGGCCTATTCCGTACTCCGTACTCCATACCCCATAGGGGGTAGTGAAGATAGCCGTTGAAGTCGGCATTTCGTTGGACGCCCTACACCGATAGGAGTAGCTATCTGCATCCATTCAACAGGTCACCAGATACAGATGACTCACGAAGCAATGCAGGCAGATAGTAATAGCACATCTAGATCCTAATCCTGATATCCTTCGCAGGTAATAACGGAGTACTCCGACAACGGAGACAGGACAAGCTTTCACCGCGGGTCCTAGCCGAAATCCACCCGTGATTCAGCGTGGAGCTGCTTGCTTTCTTTGACAGTTCGGCGTTAACACTGCGAAGTCCGAGACTCGGTGGTGTAAGATATTGCCCGGGCTTTTTGTATTTGTATGCGGAGTTTGCGTATCTCCGTTGGGTATAGTTGACCATTGATTGTGTCAAGGTGGTTTGAAGAAGATAGGGTTGCATCTCATGGATAGAGGATGAAGATGCACGGTGAGATCAAACTGGTCACGTGGAACGTATGACAGTATATTCAATCTTGAACACTTCACGAAAACTATCTAAATGATCCAAAAGCAAACTAATTCTACAAATTCATCACCATATATAACCCAAAACCCAATACAATCTCCGTGTTTCATCCATCAAGTAAAACCAAAGAAAATCATAGGGATACATCAAACATAAATCATGAATAGGACCCTGCAGCCGTAGCAGGGTCATGAATTTGCTCCCACTTCCTTACAGCCTCCATAGCAGCCGTAACCTTGAGCCCGATCCGAGCATCAAGTTCATAGCTTTCCCATCTCGCCGCTTTCTCCAGGTACTCCTTGCACGCGAGGGCCTTTTGCCGCTCAAACTTCTCATCCGTGGCTGAGGGCTTGGAGTCTGTCTTCTCAGGGTCAGAGTTAGGATGACCATGCACGGCGATGTACGCTGGCCTCTCCATCCAGAGATTCGCGGCCATTTCAAAGTGCGCAACGGGGCAGATCCAGTCGTCTTTGAGGTGGCCCTTGAACTGGTTTTTGTCGTGGTTGAGGATGTGCATCTGCAGGAGCTCCCTAGCTTCATCGTGTTTCCGGAGTGAACGCAGGACAGCAGCACGGAGGAGTTGCAAGATCGCCTTCTCCTCCAGACCTTCCCGTGCCCATGTCTTGTTGGCGTCGCTTTCGGACCATGCCAGGTTGATCAAGGAGGCTTCCAGCTGCTCTTGAGTCATGCGGCTATGCCCGTTCCAGAAGAATATCATCTCTTCGATGGGATCGACACCGACTGCTTCGACAAGCGGGACCTTCCACTCCTTGGCGCGGGCTTCCCATTTAGCGACTTTACGACTAACAAAAACGTCAAAGGGTAATTGACGGGCCATGAAGCGCTTCTTGCCGGCCAATGGGGGTGCTGCGCGGAAGTATTCCGTGGCTTTCTCAGCGTGCTTGGCTGCTTCGGTGGGATCTTTTTGGAGGGTTTGGCGGTAAAGAGTGAGATGCGATGATCCAATGATGTAGTAATACAGACTTCGAGACCAGGAATTGAGATCGAAGCACTGCAAAATCAGCAAAAAGCCTAGACAGGAAATCTGTGTGAACTTACCTCGAGAAAAGACTGCGCACAAAGCTCATACTTGTGAAGATACATCGCATTCAAACTCCGCTCGAAAACTCGTAAAGCCTCCACCTGTTTCAGAGGACTCTTGTTCTCCCCACACAGAAGTTCCAATGCCTTTTCGAGGTTCTTGTTAGCACCCTCCATGCGGGACTCTTCAAGCAGCCAAAGCTGGCTGTTCGGGAACCGTTTCCGCATGTCTGCAAGCAAACCCTCGAGTCGTTCTTGCGGGTATCCCTCCACGTCACTGTCTTCTCCAGGTATGGCATCTGGCATGATATCGCAATAACGAACGAACCCATTGTAGTAGCCCAGTACTGCAAAGGCCGCAATGGCACCAATCAAGTTGTGGAACTTGCTCGCCTGCCACAGCATCCGTAAACCTCGTTGTTTATCCCCGTAGAACCCGATGATGCCGAGTAGTTTGCTGAATGCCGGCGGGACCATCGAAATCAACAACAGAAGAATACCGAAACAGAAATTGGCCCCGGAGTGTATAAAAACGTCAATCTGGTTCCTGAAAAGATCGGAATCGGGATCGATGTTGAGCATGTTCGTCGATGCACCACCTGCGGACGGGGTTGAAGCACCCGAATCGTAAGAAACGTCAAGATCATCCAGTCTACGCGATAACGCATCATCCGACGAATGCGACATAATGGGATCCGTATGCGCCTTTCCTATTCCACGGGCTCTGTTCAACGACTCGCTCGACCTGGTTGGTGCTGAAGCCTTCCCGGATTGTCTTTCCTGCATAAACTTCTCTTCCATCTTCAGAATCGCATCGAGGGTCAGATATGCCTTTCTCAGCTTATAGAAACCCTTAACACTCTCCGTGAGACTCTCATTCAAGACACCAACAACAGCACTCATCAGCTGGGCCATCGCCTGACAAAGCGCGAATTCGGTCCCGGGTGTATATATCTGCGAGTGATAACTGTTCGGGGCGTGCGCATTGTGCTGAGCTCGATGCTGGTCGTTGGATGCGCTGGTTTCGGCTTCGACGAGTCGCTCGGATGCTGCGAGACATTATCATTCAGAGACAGCTTCAAAAACAATGGCAATTGGCATCAACAAACCTTGCCGCATAATCTCCTGTTCAAAACCTAATGTCGCCCGAATGAATGCGACTACACCTTTTCCGAGCTATCCGCGAAGAGTGTAAGCGCATTGGCCAAATTGTCTTCAACACCTCTTCCAAGCAATGACAACCCACATTATGGAAAGACGAAGTCCCCTCCGAAAGACCGTCTTCGGCACCATCGACATCGTCGTTCATAATCAAGGTCGCAGCTTTAGGGGGCACGATTAGCATGTTACACACGACCAGGTTCATAGTTCAAGGTAAGCCATACCCTGCAGCGCATCCTCGACTGTTCACATAACAACAGTCAGCCAACATTCTCAGTCACTCACACACCCACAGATCCATCGTCAGATCCGGAAAATACTCACGGTCCCTCAATTCAACCAACGAGTCCAGCGACTGCACCTGGGCCGTCGGCTTTTTGCCATAAAACCACGATCCAACCTTGAACATTTTGGCCGCGATAGAATTTTTTTTTTTTAAAAAAAAAAAAAAAAATGAACAATAAAGAATGTGAGAATATAGATAAAATAAAAAATGAGTTATGTTCAGAATGCGAAATTGGCAATAATCGAATTCGAAGATCCAACTATGGCTCTCGCATGTCAGAACCGCGAGCCGGACACTTCCGGACCCCGAAGAAAGATAATGGACGACGGATTGGGAAGAATGCAGACACTTCCATCAGACACGGCGCAAGGAAGGAGAGGCGGGGCGATGATAGCATAACACTGCTGGCGAGAACGACAAGAGCTGAGTAGTGGAGAGGTGAGGCGAGGCAACGAGGCGTGGGAGGATAAGAGAGCGAGAGGAACTGAGGCGATGTCGATAGAATGCAGTAATCAATGCGAGCAGAGGTTCTCGCCGGCCGGAGAGAAAAAGAGTAAGATGCAGTCAGAGTGGCTGTTGATTTTCAGCGTATATTGGCATTTTCTTGTTTTATGATATGCATAATGTTTTATTAAAGGCGTAGTTGTGCCTGGAGTCTAGTTGGAGATTAGCGACAGTGGCGCCAAGTCCATTCTGTCATCATCGCCAATCAATCCTCCTCCGACCATCTCAGAGTCCTCATACAAACACCTGCTCTTACATTCCACCTCTTTCAAGTCTTAATTAGTTACATTCTAATTTTTTTTTTTTTTTTTTTTTTTTCTCTAAACCTCCTTTTATCCTCCACATCGACCCCACCATGTCGAACACAACACAGGACAAGCCCGAACCCTCGCAGCAACCGCAGCAACAGAACCCTCCCGTTCTGGAGGAAGACGATGAGTTTGAAGATTTCCCCGTTGAAGGTAGACAATACTATTTCTCTCTTAGCGAAAGATTTACTCCTTCAAGAGCTGTCCACCAGCGGCAGCACCAACCCAGTTCCTAGCTAGCTACCTTCAAAGACACAAACGCTAACACAACTCCATCCACAGACTGGGACCAAGAAGAAGCCGAAAAAAACTCCGGAGTAGCAAACGACAACGTGCACTTGTGGGAGGAGAGCTGGGATGATGATGATGCCGCCGAGGATTTCTCGAAACAACTACAGTGCGTTTCCCCGCTACCTACCTACCCACATACATCTGCCAGGAATATAATATATGCGGTTTGAAGGATATGGCTGATGGATTATAATTTACAGGGAAGAGTTGAAGAAGGTCGAAGCGTCGAGTTAATTGAATCGAGCGATGGGATAAGAAACGAATTGACAGTTGATATGGGTGCCGCCAGGTCGCAGCGATGCTAGACATGCCGTGCTAGATATTAAGTGAGGGGATTACGCTACGTACGAATAGAAAATGCTGTATTGGGTGTGTTGTGCCCTGCACTGTTTGTCTGCTGGCGACACGGCTACTGTCGCAGAGCAAGGCTGTGACTGGTGCGGTACTTTACCATATGCTACGAACCATTATTGATTGTTAATGAATGAGCCATCATCAAGTACATGTATGTGCTGATTATTCGTTATATGCTGATCTATGGGATAAGGTTGACATCGTATCAAGCTCAAAGCTTGGGGCCCGCTTCTAATATCACCCTGTATTAGAATCCCATTTCAAATGTTTTTGTAGTTCCGTTTAATTATTCTGAATTTTCTTGTACATTACATTCATGAACCATCATCCCCCGTTTGGGGGTATATAACTTATGCCAAAACAGGACTGGTTAAATAGCCAGGTAGATTTCCAAAAACCCTTCTTACAGGGTACTCATTTACTTACTCGACAGGGCAGCAACACCAGGCAGGTCCTTGCCTTCCAAGAGCTCCAGCGAAGCACCGCCACCAGTGGAGACGTGGCTCAGCTTCTCCTCAGCACCGTACTTGGCAGCGACGGTGGCAGTGTCACCACCGCCGATGATGACGATGGTTCCGGCCTGAGCAGCAGCGACAGCAGCGTCGAGAGTCTTCTTGGTAGCGTTGGCGAAAGGCTCCAGTTCGAAGACACCGGGGGGACCGTTCCACAGGATGGTCTTAGCAGCAGCAATGGTCTTCTTATATAGCTCGACACTCTTCTCGCCAACGTCGAGACCCATGTAGCCGTCGGGGATGCCGTCGGCGTCGGTGGCATAGCCAGTCTTCGCATCGGCGGCGAACTTGTCGGCCGTGACGTAGTCGACGGGGAGGACGATCTCAACGTTGTGTTTCTTGGCCTTCTCGGTGATCTCGCCGACGATCTTGCTACCGGCCTCGTCGAAGAGGGAGTTTCCGATCTTGACGCCCTCAAGGGTTTTCTTGAAGGTGAAAGCCATGGCACCGGTGATGATGAGGCTGTTGACCTTGGGGAGCAGGTTGTCGATCAGCTGAATCTTGTCGGAGACCTTGGCACCACCAAGGATGGCAAGGAAGGGGCGCTGAGGCTTCTCCAGAGCAGTAGCGAAGTAGTCAAGCTCCTTCTTGACTAGGAAGCCCGAAGCCTTCTGGGGAAGGTCAACACCGACCATGGAGCTGTGAGCACGGTGAGCGGTACCGAAAGCGTCGTCTGCAAAACATTAGCAACCTCCTAGGTTAGATCGACCCTGAATCGAAACTTACTGATGTAAACGTCACCGAGAGCAGTCAATCCCTTGCGGAACTCAGAGACCTTCTCCTTGTCGGCCTTGACCTTGTTGCCTTGCTCGTCCTTCGAGCTACCCTCCTCCTCGGCGTGGAAACGGAGGTTCTCAAGCAGAACGATCTGACCACCGGAGGCCTTGTTGACAGTCTCCTCGGTCTCCTTGCCAACGGAGTCCTCAGCGAAGACAACGCTGCGGCCCAAGAGCTTCTCAAGCTCAGGGACAACGGGCTTCAGACTGTACTTGGGGTTGACCTTGCCGTCAGGACGGCCGAGGTGGGACATAAGGATGACGGCCTTGGCGCCATTCTCAACTGCGTATTTGATGGTGGGGAGGGCACCGACGATACGCTGGTTGTTGGTGATCTTCTTGTCGGCATCGAGGGGGACGTTGAAGTCGACCTAGCGATCTATTGTTAGCATTGATCTGTCCTTGAGGATTATTTCCAACAGAAAACTTACCCGGATGAGGACGCGCTTGTCCTTGAGGTCAACGTCTGTGATGGGGAGCTTGTTGCTGAGAGACATGATTAACTATGATTTGGTTGTCAGTGTGTCACAAGTCAGTATAGAAAGTAACGTGTGAAATACCTTTTTATGGAATAAATGTAGGAGAAAGAAGAAGAGAGGAATCAGACAAGAATTAATACCCAGGAGAATGCTCGCGGTGAACCTGATAGAAACAACGTCGGTTCAGCGGCGGGGTCCTCTGTAGCATCGGTGGGGCTTCCGGTGAGAGAGTCGAATGCGGACAATAATAATAATACTGTATTAGGCACTGCTCTGTAATGCGTGGGAGGCCTATCGGGCTTATGCGGAACTGACATCAGTGTCCCTACAATCCATGACGGAATAGTCCGGGGTTGTTCTCGAGCCTCGGGAGAATAAAATAAACACATGGTGTAAGGGAATTATCAACAGCCGTGGGATTTTCGTATTTTCTTGTATGAGAAGAAAAGGTTCCGGAATGTGGGAGAGCCAAAAAAAAATAAAATAAAATAAAGGGACAAAAAAGGGCCGGGCGAGGATCGAACTCGCGACCACCAGATAATTGGCTACTTATTGGCACATTGCAATCTGATGCTCTACCACTGAGCTACCGACCCAACTGTTGAGGTAATAGCAAATAATTTTATACTATACCACATTTCCACAATGTTCATCTAGGATACCCCATTGAATTCCAGGTTTTTTGAGTATTCATCCAACTCCAAATCAGAGGTCAATTTATGAATTTGACTCTAAAGATAACCGACACGAAATAAGAGAAAATGGAAGAATCCTTTTGATACACTATAGCAAACCGAACACACCAGAAATATATATAACGCCTGTGCCTCGATAAAAATAAAAGACCTGCAGAAACAAACCAACAGAAAAAAAAAAAAATAAAAAAAAATAAAAACAAAACGAACGAAAGATACAAACATAGGAATAAATGTAAGCGTTAATCAATAAGTTTGCTGTGAACGTCGAGATAGGAGTTCTCTACTCTTCCTCGGCAGAGTTGGTCAAAGAAAGGTATGCGGTCCAGGCAATACCTATCACGGATACAAAGGGCTGCGAGGGGTCAGTGATATGTGCACACAGTCCTGTGAATTTCGAGTCAACTTACAATTTGGAACTGGATAGGTACGACCCGGAAGTTTAGAACCTGAACTGCAGGCCAGATGAGAAAGTTGGCTTTGAGAGTCGGGATGTATACATCCTGAAATTTGCGAGCCAGGGCCCGTCGACCACCACCTTCCGTAATAGTCATATAAGTGAAGAAACACACCAGACCTAGCACGATGGAGTTAGCAATGCTTAGTATGGCAGATTCACATGTGTAATGGATTCGTACCGAACGGCGCAAATAGAAACTGGTCCGCCGCGACCCGTTTCAGAGCCGGTATAGTCGGGTTTTTTTTTGTGAGTGGAAATGTTCGCGACAGAAGCCCAAACCACTGGAACTGGATGGGTGCCATGAAGAAACCATAGGACATGAAGCGGGTAAGCCTCTCAAAGTCAAATGGTGGTGGCCGATTGCTCGCAAAGTCCAATTCTCCCACAGCAGGTGGCTTTCTCTTATCGAGCTCATGAATCTCGATCGAGATCAGATCGCTGTCTGTTTCTTCTCTAGTTGGTACTTGGGATCTGTAGCCCGAGATCAACTGTGCAACGGTGTCTGCGACTCCACCAAGCACCTAGGAACATTATTCAGTATTCATTGACGAATTCGTCTGATTTCAACGGCAAGGATTCTTACAGCGTTGGTGACCATAGTAGTCAACACTTGAATGAGTTATCATATTAGTTGAGTGTCCAAGTGTTATAGTCGAGCAGTCATCTTACCCGGCCTCTCCGCATAATAGGAGTTGAATTTGGCTGCCAGCCGCGCGGCGATCACCATCTCAATTAGAAAAATTATAGCGTGAAGTAAGGGCTGGAGGTTAGAAGATAGGAGTACATAGTCAGTATACTGACTTCTAGTGTTCTGTGGAAGGAAGTAGAAGAGTTTATGGATTCCGAGTCGTTCTAAATCGCCATGGTGTGGAGAAACATAGTTAATACATACCACACGACCATAAATATACCTCCTATCTAGTCCATCCAAAAACCGGCGTCGCGCAAATGAGAGCATGTTGGAAGAACGAAGGAAAGGGGCAATAAATAAAAGAAAGGAAGCGCAGAAGAACGACACCTGATTCCAAAGCCAAAAGAATGGGGGAGGCAAGGCAGAATCGGTGGACCAGGCCTCAGTATGACGCAAAGAACAGGGTAAGGGGAAAGAAGGCAGCGAGAACTAAGAGAATAACAGCCGGTCGCAACAAGTAAGCGCTGAGCGTCCTCAACGTCCAGAGTAAAGATAAATGGCACACGGTAACTATACAAACGTCACAAAATGTCAAGTGTGGAGTTTCCATCGAAGATCACAGTGTTATCCGAGTCTCCCTCTGGAGGACACATGGGGATTCCGATCGCGCGATAAGCGGGCGCCAGAGCAGCCAATCACAGTACATAGATCACATGATATCAGTTGATGCTCAACCCTACCTTCTTCTTCTTGATGCTGTGACATTGGCATCTACAAACACATCCGACGTCAAATAGCAACTACTACTACTATTTGGCATCTACAGAGCTGTTGATACGTAGAGGATAGGACTAGTAGGACGGGAATGGACTATTTACGGACAATTATGACGAGTGGTTGATAGCATTGCTCTCTTTTTCATCTTATGAATAGTGCTTGACCTGCACTTGATAACAACACCCTCAACCATGTGGGAAGCGAGGAACGTTTTTTTGTCAATTGGCGCAGTGTTACTTGTTATACATCTCAAGTGATGGTCAATAGATTCCCTATTTGAAATTGAACACTTTCTTCAAAATCGAGGATTCAGGAGGCTGCTTAAGTCGCTACGAACTACCAACAAAGCATGTACTCCAGCAGAGGAGCAGGGAAAGTAAATAGATTCAATAAAGTCGTGTTTTCGCAGCAGAGAAGAGTTGAATGAAACCATCCAGCACAGGCTACGTCTCATCGACGAGAAGGATGCTTTGGAAAATCCGAAGGGACGGGATAATATTCTGAACCTAGATAACTGGAGTTCATTGGAAACAGCCAACGACCAGATCCAACATGCTAACCCTTAGTTAAAGAAGATTGGACAATGAGCCGTGGAAATTGGAGCTTCAAAGCATACCAGTTGAGGAAAGATGGGAGCAAGAGCGATAGAATTGCCGGCTCCGTCTTGGGTGCTGTGGTTGTGGGTGTGGATGCTGTCACAAGCCCCGACCAAGTATGTTAGTCAACAGCTGACATTAGGAAATATTGAGCTCTCGCACTGCTCTGTTGAATGTGGTTGCTGTCGTCGATGGGAAGGGCTCGACAGCTCGAGGTTTCTCAGACATGCCAAGAACCGACAATGAATGAAAGTCTACTTGATTGAGTGGGATCGTTTCTTTGTTTGGGCTTAATTCTGTGCCCTCACATGCTTGAAATTATAAGACATAGGTGAGTAGTACAAGTATGATCAAATTTGCTCTCGTGTTGTTGTTTTTCTTTTCCTCCTGTGTCATCCCCCCCCAACGTCGTTAACTTGTGTACGGATTGGCTTCAGCCGCAGTTCTATTTTCACTCCCAAAAGAGGCCGAAAAATGTCTAGCCTTAGGGGAAATGAACCATTTGTCCTTCCATCTCTTTCACTCATCCCGATACCCTTTTCCTCTATCTCGACCTAACCTTCATCCTTCCGCTTTTTGCTTCGTCTGAAGTTAATTGACCAAATAGCGATGAATCTTGAGTATTTATATATTCCAAGAAGTCCCAATCAGCAGTAGATTGATGAACAAATTTTTGAATGTCCTCAAGCTACGGCTTGATGAAGAAGAAGAGCTTAAGGCGCATTTTTTTTTTATTCTAGGAAACCTATGAGCCTTGTCAAGCTCATCAGAAATTTGATGGTGAGTGAACATCGCGTTACATTATTCAGACTGCGTCCTTCAAGCCTACACGGCTCGCCACAAACGAACCCTCTTTGTGCCCTCGAGTCGACCTTGCTATTATTCTAATAGTAGCCGGCAGAAAATATAATTAGATGAAGCAGGATAGACTAGAAGGATTCTTCGTCACCAAGGGCTCTCAACAGAGCCCCAACTCGCTTCGGTTTCTAAAGCGAGACGCACGTCAGCATGCAAAAATAGAGACGGGCATGGAAACGGACCGGCCGTATGAACTGAAAAGAAATACTACTCCATATGGTACGGTAGCTCACAGATGCAGAGACAAATTCCGTCGTGGTCGAAACGAAGAGGTATTCCACATACTTCACTGAGCCCTAGTTGATTGGAAATGGTTATGGGTAGGTATAAGTACTAAAAGATCCCAATGACACTTCTTGACCGGAAACTGACATAACACACAATTTATTAGCAATTATCCACAATGCCAGGAGGAGGGCCAATGAACCGGATGCGCCTGTATACGGCATCTGGACGAATGGCGAGAATTGGAAGTTGCTCTGTATTGATCATGGGTCGCGAATAAGATGATACTGCAATGGGATGAGTAACGTGCTAATGCTAACATAGCTAGATCTCGTGGTTCACTCTAGGCTGGCACGTCGACAAGAAGAAGATTGTTCTCTTGCTCAATATCCTCGAGAAAGCTTCTCATCTCGCCACGCTGTCTTCCACGTTGACCCGGAAGTCAACTGTTAGTGAAGCAACTGGCGTTGAAGTCCAAAGCGTGGGCCAGATGGACACTGATGATAATGGCGACAGCAAGGTGGATAAGTAGATCGATTGATTTAGTTGCTCGGGTTGCTTACATTCTTCAATGTTATTTATGACTGCATTCATTGCGCAGGGAAACATCACAACCTATAGATACGCAGTGAGCTGCTAATACTGGTGAATGTTGTATACATAAGTAGGTATGACCTAGGTGCACCGAAAATCGTCGAAGATAATCTTTATTATGTACTATTCCTTGGATATCATGGACTCATGCAAGCTATACATCGACAAGTCCGTTAACAAGAGTAACACTATGAAGGTCCCTTCCGATCAGTGGCTACAATGTCCGGAAGGTCTCTGATATCTGTAGTTTCGTTTGTGTTGACGTCGACCAGTCGCACAGCCTCCAAGTAGAGTGATCCGACAGATAACGGAAGCAGCTTCAATTCGGTTGAATGACACGTTCCGGGCAAAAGTGGACTGAATCAATGTTAGACCGATGCGCGACAGCGACAAGAGAGAGGCGGGAAACTTACCCAACTCGGACGTCGGTGCTTAAACAAACCAATTCAGCTTCCTGCCCAGATGCGCTTTTCTGCATCGCATGGACGATGTTGTCATCCGTCACTGCTTCTGCCACCTGGTTCTCCTTGCTGCGATTCGACATGGACGAAGACGATGGTCGAGCAACATGTCCCCGTAGGTCTGTCCGTTTCCTTCGTGGAATGGCCACCATAGCGAATTTCCGAGGCATGGTCGATCGGTTGACAACAAAGACTCCCCAAGAAAATGGCTTTCCAACTTCTACGCTAACCGGACCAGAGAACGAAATGGTCACCCCCACGTCTGTCACGGAATAGGCACGTTCTCTGAAAGAGCTCCGGTTGGAAGGAGGGTTCCCACTGTTTTGGGTCGGCGTCATGGGGAGACTCGTTGGGCGGTTGTTTCGCTGCAAGGCTTGACTGGGCCCACCAAACATCGGGTTAAGCGCCATGGAGAAATCCACGTTTGTTCTCCATCGCATGGCGATCCGTGGTTGACAGTTCTCCGCCAGGTTAATTACTGCTTCTAGAGAGATGTCTAAGGTGCTGACCATTACAGTCGTCGAGGGATTAGAATCAGGGCCGTACTCGGGAGTTAGTTTGTACACCAGGGTAACATCATCTCTCGGACGACATGTTATAGGTGGTTTGAGTCCCTGGACATCGGACAATGTTTCAATCGTACCATCAGAGAGGCTCAACTCTGCCTTGTTGAACGTGACATCGCAGTTTATAAATGGAGTCACTTCGAAATCGAGACTTGCAACTGTAGTGGGGCGACCAGAGTACGAATTTAGTCGCGAGTAACGTATTCTCGCACCAGTCGCGGGGACAACGCGAATCGGATGTCCAGATTGTTGTTGAACATTATAAATCGGGTCCTCGCTGTAAGTTGCCGGCACGACTCGTAAGAGCCTCGACGCAGGAAGGAATGGGTCTGTACGGCGGAAGGTCCTATCCGTCGACAAGGGCTGTAGGATATTGGTCGACGCAGGAACCAGAGACGGGAGATAGTCATCATCCCGGGATTCACTCTGTCGGCCCTCCGTCGGGTTCAGACTAGCAGATGCGATGAAAAGGAGGGATGGGTGTTGGATGCGAATACGAGGACGCTCTTGTATACCATCAGCATGGAAGTCATATACTCAAACCCAAGATATTTGTCCTTACTGAGAAACGCTGGAACACCCCAAATCACATATACGTGATTTCCACGTCCATTATCTCCCTCAAACTCATTATAAACCACCAAAGGGTCTTCATCCTTCCCGCTCACGGCCCTCGAAAATATCAAGTCTCTTGTCGGTGTCGGGTTATCCGCAACAGATTCGGCAGGATCAATCGCAAACGTATCAAGCCGAACTTCAAGATGTTGCAAGTGTTGTTTTAGGCTTTCTTCCGAGCAATTGGATAATCTCAGGACGACGCGAGCGTTGCAGAATTCATCTATATTACTGCAGATGAGTAAGAGACGGAGTTCGGTCTGGGGGTTTCAATTCGGTACATACCAAAGAACACAACAGAACGCTGGGGAATATATGATAGGACATCCGTCAGATCATCTGCACCGGCCTCCAGGGCAGACGTCAATGCAGCTTCCAGATCAATATCATCAGCATTAGGCACAACCGTGTCTAAAACGGCATGTCGTAGGAATTCCCCTGGAACCTCGAGGCTCGGCATTGCGATAAGAGCGCAATGTGCCTACCACATAAATGCGAAAAAAGGTATAATAGTTGATTCGTAGGTAATCCAGAGCAAACTGAGCTCCAGATATTAGCTGTTATTTGAGAGGAAGAATGAGGGTCTAGTGTTCAGTAGTTGTTGGTTGTTGATACAGTTCCGCGGCGGTTGTTATGTACAAAACGGTGCAAACAATACAAACAATGCAAATGATCTTGGCAGAGTAACGGTTTCTCCGAACAGCTTCAAGCTTCACTTTTGCTGCTGTTCGACCTACCGGTGTTTATTTCCCGGATTTAATCGCGACAGCGCATTATGAACCCGATGAATGCCCCATCGGGGCCGGCCTCCTTATGGCAGGAGGCTCGCAACAAGGCCGATGGGAGAGTCTATTACTACAATGTCCAGACGCAAGCGACGCAGTGGCAGAAGCCTGTTGAGCTGATGGCTCCCGTTGAGGTTTGTACTTTTGCTGGTTTGTCTTTGTATTCAGTGCGCATTGTTGATAATTTTTGCTTTTTTTACAGCGCGCGCTGGCGAATCAACCATGGAAAGAACAGACTCTTGATAACGGGCGAAAATACTGGTACCACTCGGAAACCAAGCAAAGCACTTGGGATATGCCGGATGTTTACAAAGAAGCTCTTGCGCAGGCTCAAGCGTCTCAACCTCCGCCCTCAGCGTAAGTTTCAATTCTATTTCGGAGGAGACGATAGTGATGCTAACCGAAAGACTGTAGGGGCCCTACGTTTGTCGCAGGCGGAGCCAATTCGTTCCCTTCCTATCCACAGCAGCGAGAGCGCGACGACTATGGTCGAGGATTCGGTGACCGACGGGGCGGCTATGGTGCGCCGGATACGAATGGAATGGCAGCAGTTGCCCCTGTGTTAGGCGCGCAGGTGGAACCGGAATATAATTCGTTCGATGAAGCGGAGGGAGCGTTCATGAAAATGCTCAGACGTCATAATGTCCAGCCCGATTGGTCCTGGGAACAGACAATGCGTGCTATCATCAAGGATCCGCAGTACCGTGCCCTCAAAGACCCAAGAGACCGCAAAACAGCCTTTGAGAAATACGCGGTCGAGGTTCGCATGCAGGAAAAAGACCGAGCGAAAGAAAGATTCGCTAAGCTCAGAGCAGATTTCAATACCATGCTGAAACGGCATCCTGAAATCAAATACTATAGTCGTTGGAGGACCATCCGACCAATCATTGAGGGTGAGACTATTTTCCGGTCTACGAACGATGATAATGAGAGGCGACAGCTCTTTGAGGAGTACGTTACCGAGCTTAGAAAGGTGCACGTTGAACAGGAAGCCCTTAAGCGAAAGGCCGCCATGGATGAGCTGGTGAATATCATGAAGTCTCTGGATTTGGAGCCCTACACTCGCTGGTCTGAGGCTCAGTCCATCATCCAGTCTAATGAGACAGTCCAAAGTGATGCTAAGTTCAAGTCCCTAAGCAAGTCTGACATGTTGACGGCCTTTGAGAACCATATTAAGGCTCTCGAACGAGCATTCAATGATGCGCGTCAGCAGAACAAGGCTGTGAAGCAAAGGAAGGAGCGCCATGCCCGTGAACAGTACATTGAGCTGTTGAAGGAGCTGCGGTCTCAGGGCAAAATAAAGGCCGGTAGCAAATGGATGACTGTCCGTCCCTTGATCCAAGAAGATCCTCGATACATAGGAATGCTCGGTAATGCAGGATCTTCTCCATTGGAGCTCTTCTGGGATGTCTTGGAGGAAGAGGAGCGTTCGCTACGTGGCCCGCGGAACGATGTTTTGGATGTGCTTGATGTGGGTAAACCTATCCAAGCTCGTATGACATTTTATCTGACTCACTACTTCAGGATAAACGCTTCGAAGTCGCACCCAAAACCTCCTTCGAAGAATTCAACTCCGTCATGCTTTCCGACCGTCGGACTGCAAACATTGACGCGGACATTCTGCAACTCATCTTCCAGCGTGTCCAGGAGAAGGCTCTCCGGCGAAACGAGGAAGAAAAGCATGCTGCAGACCGCCATCAACGACGGGCCGTCGACGCACTGCGGTCCCGGATCAAGCATCTGGATCCTCCTGTCCGGGCCACTGATACCTGGGACCAAGTTCAATCTAGGGTTGAAAGACTCGAAGAATACAAGGCAATTGAAAGCGACGAACTCCGCCAAGCCGCATTCGACAAGGTCATCCGTCGCCTGAAAGAAAAGGAAGAGGATGTGGACCGTGACCGTTCTCGAGATCGTGAACGCGGCGGCCGTCGAGACTACGACCGCGACCATCGATACCGTGGCGAAAGACGCGGTGCCCCCAGCCGCGTCAGTCGCACCCCCGAACCAGACGCCTACGAAGCAGATCGCCGCAAAGCCCAAGCAGACCGTGAACGCTCCTACCGCAAAGTCAGTGGTTTCTCACCCAGCCGCGACAAACGTGAAGATCGCGATCGTGAACGAGACCGTGACAGGGAGCGCTACCGCGAACGGGACCGCGAGCGTGGACGTGATCGTGAAGAACGAGATCGCGAACGCGAACGCGACTGGGACCGCGAACGCAGCGCCCGGCCCATTAGCCACTACGAGCGTGAACGTCGTGACCGTGAAGAAGAGCGTGAGCGACTCTACCGCACCCGCGGTGACCCGCGCGGCAGCCGTGATGAACTCGACTACGGTGGTGATACGCCCAGCACGAACGAGCGGCGGCGCAGACGCGACAGCGACTCAGAGAGTATGGCAAGTCGGTCTGTGAAGCGTTTTCGGCGGGATCCTAGTCGTGAGCGTGAACGTAGTCGGGGGCCACGTAGGGATAGGGACCGGAGGGAGCGGACTCCTGCCAGTAATGCCGGTAGTGCTGCACCTGCAGCTGCACCTGGCCCTGTTGAGGATGCTAAGAAGGTGGATGACAAGGCTATTCATTCTGGAAGCGAGGAGGGGGAGATTGAGGAGGAAGAGTAGTTTGATTGCACTTCGTTTTGCGAAAGTTGTTGTCACAGCATTCTGCTGGTCTAGTCACCCATCAGGTCCCTAGCAACGTACACTGGTCTACAAGGAACGAAGAAGCTATTACAATTTAAATAAGAGACCCAGAATCGATATGTTGACGCATCCTTGATAACTGAGTATATATACGTAGGAATATCAATATCAAAAAGTAACAGAATGAAATGCGATAAATGAAGGACAAGAGCAAAACAAAGCACTTCTCCTAACCATCATAGAATATATCTTTCATTGATAGTCATCTAAACCTGAATCCAAACCCGTCTATGCTTTGAAGTGTGATCAGGAAACGAATAAGTATTCAATATATAAACAGACAGTACATCAAAACAGAGACGGAAGGCTATTGGAACACTTGGCTAGGGAAGACAGAAGAAATCTCTCGTGCGTCTCTGGCTTGATTGTTGCTGCCGTATACCCAAATTTTGCTTCAAGCCAGCGTTGCCAGTCCCACTCAATCCAGTTTTCGAATCTATAGGTTCTGTCTTGTGCCTCACGCCACCACAGAAGGGGTGAGATATACATGCCTGGTATGACTTGGTCACTATCTCCGGAATATCAGAGTTATCGAAACATATCCCCGAGATCAATAAAGACAGTTCCACGATCAGTCAACATGATATTTCTTGGATGTAAATCACAAAAGGACATGTCTCATGTGTAGACCCATGTGTCGAATTTAACTAGACTTCATAATCTTTTGACGAGCCTCTTGAGAAAAGCCACAGGGTTCAGCTTCTAGCATGAACGGCTCCGGTATAAAATCAATCAGAATGAGCCGGACACTGCGCTTGTCTTCCTTCGGCCCAGGAACAGGGATGTCAAGGGAATAAGTCCTATAGTACAGAGGAATCTTAGAGCCTTGGAGGCCCGAAAGGGCCTGATAAGCTGCTGTTTCATTGGTATACTCTTTATCAGCAACCAGGAATGGATTGGTGTAGAATCCATCATCATCCATATAGATAAAAATATACAGCTTAGCCACCACCTGCTGGCCCTGTGAAAGGTTCTCAATTAAAGAATCTTCCGTGAGAACTTCAATCACAACCAGTTGAGCATGCTAACGGTTACCGATTTGCATTGAGTCATGAATCTGCAGTTCAAGACTGGATGAGCATATGGCCCTTGTAATGGAGGATATTAAAGGCTTATTCAATAGGATGCAATTCCTACATTTTGCCACGCTCCTCATGGCTATCAAAGGTGCAGCCCTTGAAAGTTTCTAGCTGTATTGGAGGAGGAACATGTTGCCGGACAGTAAGCTGGCATCTTTTGACATAAGGAATCCGGGGCTTTGTCTTGTCAAATGGTCTCGTCGTCTTCCGCATAGCAGGTGCTATCGTCAAGCAACATTGAGTTTTGGATTCGTTTCGGTTCGATCTGATATGTACAGTTTAAGAAATAAGTATAAGATGTTCGCTTGAGGAATAAGCGAGAGTTGGGAAAAAAAAGGGGGAGGGAGAAAGAGAAACGATATGAATGGCCACATGGGCACATGATAATTGTACCTTTCAGGGACGTTGACACCGGAGATTGCACTGTATTAAGATTAATCAACGATAGATGCATGGCCGGTTACTTGGAACGTAATAAATAGCAATTATCGACTCAAATTCAAATAGGATAAACGAAAGGCAGCCGGTCACCTGTCTGAGTTTGACCTCTTCCTCTCCTAGTTATATCCTCACTAGTAGACATCTAAAAGAAATCATAACATCATCTGAGCTTTTGCGAAACCAAAGAAACTCCGATGATCAATGCCCAATCCATAAATTAACATTTTCCGGTGCCCACAAACACAAAGCCCTAAGGAAACTCCTATCCTGGAGTTCCCCGAGAAAGTAAATTGAAATACTCAATGACATGCTGGCGTCGGATGGGATGGGCGATATCGAGATGACTGTTTGACAGTAACCTGCGAGGAAATTAGGGAGGACAGACAATCCACTCCTACGCAGAATCGTCATCGTCATCGTCATCACCATCATCCTCCGTCGCGCAAGCCTCACCACCGTCAAAATGGCGCACACCACATCGACGCCGTCTGCTCTGAGCAGCAGAAGTCTTGAAAAAGCCGGAACAATTGACTAGGTTCTTTCGTCTACCACGACGTCGGTCTTGTCGCTGGTGGGTGTCGCGTCCATCACGCCGGTGGTGGTCGCGGTTATGCTTGCCAGGGATGCCCTTTTCAGCTCTCTTCTTCCAAGAAGTACTATAAATCAAATGGTCAGTCTTTGAACTATGATAGAATATCTTTTTGAGTGCAAGAAGACTACTTACGTAGTTACCGTTCAACTTTTGCTCCTGGTCCATCTGGGACTGGTACTTGTTGATACGGGGACGGTAACTGTTGGGGTCACGACGGAAGGTGACATCCAAGCTGCGCAGGAAGCTGTTGCAGCCAGTGACCAAGGACTCGGGAGAGTTGGCGTGAGCGTCAACGGATGGTTTGCCGTCGAAGACAATGACACGGTCAGCAAGGTAGGTGGCCATGATAAAGTCGTGCTCGACAATGAAGGCAGTCTTCTTGGCGTGCATGATGAAACGTTTGATGACTCGAGAGGCAATGATACGCTGCTCGGAGTCTAGATACGCACTAGGCTCGTCAATCAGGTAGATATCGGCCGGCATACCAAGTGCCAAGACAATGGCAACACGCTGAAGTTCACCACCAGACAGGTTCTGGACTTCCTGGTCGATGAAATCGTCGATTCTAAGGGGCTTGTAGACATCGGTCTGGAACTGAGGGGACAAGAAAGAAGCCTTGATTTTCTTGAAGAAAAGCTGACGCACGGTACCCTGGAACTTGGGAGTGATCTTCTGGGGCTTCATACTGATGTGCATGCGGGGAATCGTAGCATCGCCGTCCGGCTTCTCAGCACCAGCAAGCATCTTACAGAAAGTAGTCTTGCCAGTTCCGTTCTCACCCATCATGACAACAATCTCAGAGTCGGTAAACTGACCGCCATCAATGCGCAGCTTAAAGTTACCCAGGGTCTTGGTCATGCTGGGGTAAGTGAATGCACGTCCCCTGTCGGCCATGAAATCATCACCAGCCTCGGTGAGACGGAAAGAGAGGGAATCCTCACGGAATCGCAAGTTCTCGGTGGGAATGTGACCATCCAAGAAGATGTTGATACCCTCACGGACGGAAGCAGGGAGGGTGACAACACCATAAAGCGCGGGCTTTCCGTAAAGCACACAAATGAAGTCGGAGAGATAGTCTAGCACGGACAAGTCGTGCTCGACAACGATAACATAGTCATCGGGACGGAGCAATTCACGGATCGAGCGGGCAGCGGCCAAACGTTGCTTAACATCGAGGTAAGACGAGGGTTCGTCAAACATGTAACTGGAGCATTGTTAGGACCGTCCAGAGTAGATATGTGAAAGGGTTGTCTTACACATCGGCCTTCTGGACACAGACCATACCAATGGCGAAACGTTGCAGTTCTCCTCCAGAGAGCTGGTCAATGTCACGGCTAGCAACCTGGTGAAGCTCTATTCAAAAGATGTGAATGTTAGCGACTGTACCATCCGCGGAATAGCAAGGAAAACCATTACCAAGGACGTCCATAATGTGCTCCAAGTTGTCCATCTGGGTTCGAGCTTTGATCAGGTCCTTGACCCCCTTGACCGGGCCCCTGACAGCTCTCGGAATCTGGTCGACATACTGAGGCTTCACGACAGCCTTCAGATTGTCCTCGAGCACCTTGGTAAAATAGTCTGCGTTTCATTAGCAACAGTCCTGATCCATCAAATGTGAGCAAATAACACGTACTCTGCAGCTCAGAACCACGGAAGTACTTCAAGATCTCTTCCCAGTCCGGAGGGTTCTCATAGCGTCCCAAGTTGGGCTTCAGCTTTCCACTCAGAATCTTTAACGCCGTACTTTTTCCGATACCGTTGGTTCCAACGAGACCGAGAACCTGACCGGGACGGGGCATGGGAAGACGATGGAGCTTGAAACTGTTGGCCGAGTAGCGGTGGGTAACCTGGGTCTCCAAGTTGGTAGGCAAGTTGATGATATGGATAGCGCCGAACGGACATTTCTTGGGACAGATACCGCAGCCAATGCAAAGGCGTTCGGAAATGAAGGCGATCTTGGATTCGGGGCTCACTTCAATACAGAGCTTTCCGGTACGGACGACGGGGCAGGACTTCTTGCACTCCTGGCGACATTTCTGCAAAATGAGTATCACTGCCACGTATTTCAACAACTTAGGCTCAGTAATCGTACCTTCGGTTTGCACTAAATGAGACAAAACCTCCTTTTAGCAACCATCTTAATCCATCGTTGTAGGGAAGGGGGAAAGGGTTGCGAACCTTGTCACTGTTGACAATAGCAATACTGAGCGACAGAACACCAGTCAGTTTCTTCCATCTAATCCATATATATAAGATGAATGCCATACCGGGTCAACTTTTCAGACATGGTGTCTGATATCGCGCGATCTCAACTATACACGTTGGGGTTGTTGTGGTGTATAATGTGAGGGGAGAAAGTGGGCTGTAAAAAAAGAGAAAAAAAATCCACAAAAAAAGCGAACCCAGCTAAATGGCCGATGAATGACCTCGACCGTAGTAAAACAGCACACAAATATATAGGTATTGTCCAACAACTGCAATGAGGCAAAAGAGTCAGAATGAGAGAGAGAGAAATTTGAGAGGGCAGTTGATGACAACTTTTTTTTGCTGGCCTCTCTTATTCTCGTTATTATTGTTCGTGGGCGTCTAATTTCAAAGTGCCTGAGGCATAAACAACCACATTATTTGTGAGACCACTAATTGGCTGTCAGGCTATGTACCGGTCCGGATATTGATCCTACACTCACGTGATGAATAGGCAATGCTAATCCAAATTGGGACTCGCTTGTGCCACCACGTGATGCACGTGACACACACATGGCCTTAATGCCTGATTTAATAGGCCTCAGGCACCAACACAGCCGCCGACGACCAACTCAGATTCTCTCACTCTTTCTCTCCCTTCTTGTCCGTTCATCTTCCCCCACCACTTCGACGCCCCAGTCAACCACCCACCAACCCGCATTCGTTCCTTTCCTCATTGATCTTTTGCATTTCCCCAAATCTGGGGTCGCCAAGCTATGGATCGTGAGTATATTTCTGTCATTTCTTAGCCTTTTTATACGTGTTGCAAAGAGGCGTGCCCGGCTGGGGTTACTTCTCCACGTCTATCGACCCACCGCTAAAAGCTCAAGAACTTGTATATTCACGTTGCTGAGGACGTTGATGAATATTTCTTAGGCTGAAGACTCGTGTTATTTCATCTCCTGAGTCTGATTCTGCCTTCGAATCTGATTTTTCACTGCTTGTCTCATCATTATCTCTTGTCGCGTTTTCATCGCACTCGTCATCAAAATCCATCATCCTACATCATACCTCATTTTCTGCTAGACCTCTTGGGTCTTTTGTTTCCATTTAATTGAAAACTGAGTCGCGTATGTCTGATTTACCCCCTACTGCCTCTTGCATCTCCGTCCGGTCTCGCGTGGTGTCTCAATGCTGATTTCTTCATCGTCGATAGCTACTAGCGTGGTGATCCCATCTACTTTCCCGTCTTCTACCATGGCTGCGGTTGCCAATGGTGACATGGCCTCTCCGGTCTTCGATACAGCCAGTGCTCAGGACGAGTTCGCTGGCAATGATTCAGATAGCAATGCCTCCCATCCTCCTCGCGACGCATCCGAGTCCTACGAAGCTGGTTCCCCCGATGCGGACGGGGATGAAGAAGAATTCACAATCGAGAACGGGCACCAGGAGAGCAGCCCCTCCAATGATGAAAATTCTTCATCCTCAGAAGCGAGAAGGGGTGCCAAGCGCAAATCCTCTTCAATGGATGAAACCCAATTCATGAGGCAGAATCCTGACCTCTATGGACTTCGGAGAAGTGGTCGTGCTCGCAAAACGCTTCAAATAGTTGACTCGGATTCGGACTCAGATGCAGTCGCGCCGCGTACACAACGTCGACGCCAGGTTGCACCCCGGCAAAACTCGAAACGTCCCTCTCACTCCGCCACTCAGTCGCCGTTCTCAGAAGAAGAGGAGGACAATGATGAAACTGAAGATTCGGACAGTGATGAGTACGGAGGACCTCGAGCTCGTGCCAGCAAGGCAAAGCGACGACGTCTGCTACAAGCCGTGTCGAGCAATGAGCCCCCTCACGGCGAGGTTCGTTTCTCCACCAGAAACGCATCCAGGGTCTCAAACTATCGTGAGGACGATGACGAGTCGATGTTTGAAGATGACCCTGAAGATGTGTTGGAGAACTACTGGGCGAATGATACGGTGGAAGAAGACAACCGTCCTGCGGTGGATGTTGTCCTCAATCATCGCTTGAAGGAAGGTGTCGATCCCAAGAACACTGACTTGGATCGTCACCACTTTGAATTCTATATCAAGTGGCAAGGGAAGTCACATTATCATGCTACGTGGGAGGTGTCTGAGACCCTCGCCAATTGCCGTAGCACCCGTCGCCTTGACAACTACATTCGCAAAATCCTGTCCGAGGATATCCGCCTTCATATCGACGATGACGTGCCACCGGAGGATCGTGAAAAATGGAACCTGGATCGCGAGAGAGACGTAGAAGCAATTGAGGACTACAAAGTAGTTGAACGCGTTATTGGTATGCGTGATGAAGAGGAGGGCCCCGAGTATCTCGTCAAGTGGAAGCGTCTCTTTTATGATTCCTGCACTTGGGAGAGTGAAGAGCTCGTCAGTCAGATTGCCCAACGGGAAGTCGATCGCTTCCTCGACCGCTCATCCCACCCTCCCATCTCTGACAAGTCCGAGACCAACCCCGCGACGCGTAAAAAGTTTGAGACGATGAAGGGCACTCCGAGCTTCCTGCAAAACGGAGAGTTGAAAGAGTTCCAAGAGAAGGGAGTAAACTTTATGGCATACAACTGGACCAGGAATCGCAATGTCGTCCTCGCAGACGAGATGGGTCTGGGAAAAACAGTACAGACCGTGGCCTTCATCAATTGGTTGCGCCATATAAGGCGCCAGCAGGGGCCCTTCGTCGTCGTCGTCCCGCTATCGACTATGCCATCGTGGGCCGAAACGTTCGATCACTGGACACCGGACTTGAACTACGTCGTCTATAACGGCAACGAAGCTGCTCGGAACGTCCTCAAAGAGCATGAACTCATGCTGGACGGCAATCCTAAGCGCCCCAAGTTCAATGTATTGCTCACTACCTATGAATATGTCCTCCAAGATTCCGCGTTCCTCAGCCAATTCAAGTGGCAATTCATGGCTGTCGATGAAGCCCATCGTCTGAAAAACCGTGATTCTCAGCTTTACATTAAGTTGCTCGAATTCAGATCACCGGCCCGTCTCCTCATCACTGGCACACCTATACAGAACAACCTTGCTGAGCTCTCCGCCCTCCTGGACTTCTTAAATCCAGGTGTGATCCAGGTTGATGAAGACATGGATTTGAATGCCGATGCTGCGTCCCACAAGCTTGCAGAGCTGACTGAGTCTATCCAGCCTTTTATGTTACGACGGACCAAGTCTAAGGTCGAGTCTGATCTTCCTCCAAAGACCGAGAAGATCATTCGTGTCGAGCTTTCGGATGTACAGTTGGAGTATTACAAGAATATTCTGACCAAGAACTATGCGGCTTTGAACGACGGGGCCAAAGGGCAGAAACAATCTCTTCTGAACATCATGATGGAACTTAAGAAAGCAAGCAACCACCCTTTCATGTTTCCTACTGCCGAGAATAAGATTCTAGACGGGTGCATACGCAGGGAGGATATACTGCGTGCGATGATCACCAGCAGTGGAAAGATGATGTTGCTTGACCAGCTTCTAGCCAAGCTGAAACGTGACGGCCATCGTGTCCTGATCTTCAGTCAGATGGTAAAGATGCTGGATCTCCTGGGGGACTACATGGATTACCGTGGCTACACCTATCAACGTCTCGACGGAACTATCGCTGCTGCTTCGCGTCGTCTGGCAATTGAACATTACAACGCGCCCGGCAGCAGTGACTTTGCGTTTATTCTCTCCACGAGAGCAGGTGGACTTGGTATCAACCTGATGACGGCGGACACGGTCGTTCTATTTGACTCAGATTGGAACCCACAGGCGGATTTGCAAGCCATGGCGCGAGCCCATCGGATCGGACAGACAAAACCTGTGAGCGTGTACCGTCTAGTGTCCAAGGACACCGTCGAGGAAGAAGTTATCGAAAGAGCTCGCAACAAGCTCCTTCTCGAATGGATTACTATCCAACGTGGTGTCACTGACAAGGAAGCGTCTGAAATCCAGACTAAGATGGCTCGTGGAGGCATCGTTGGCGAACCAAACTCGACAGATGATATTTCTCGTATTCTCAAGCGCCGCGGCCAGAGAATGTTTGAGCAAACTGGCAACCAGGAGAAGCTGGAGCAGCTCGACATCGACTCCGTTCTCGCCAATGCTGAATTGCACCAAACAGAGCAAGCCGAAGAGATCCAAGCAGATGGTGGTGAGGAGTTCCTCAAGGCGTTCAACTATGTCGATATCAAGGTGGACGACCTCACCTGGGACGACATTATCCCCAAAGAACAACTCGAAGGGATCAAGGCCGACGAAAAGAAGAAGGCCGATGAACGGTATTTAGAGGATGTCATTGAGCAGAATCGACCACGCAAGCGCAATCAACCCGCGGAAGAGGGAGATACCCGCGAAGAGCGTAAAGCAAAACGGCAAGCTAGAGCACAGGTTAGCATGGATGATGGGAACGAGTCCGACAATAACAAATCCAGGGATCCGAAGCGACCGCTTATTGAAAAGGAATACCGCCATCTTATGCGGGCATTCTTACGCTACGGTGACATTGAGGACCGCGAAGAAGATATCATCCGGGAGGCTCGCCTGTTGGACCGTGACAGAGAGACCGTCAAAGCCTCGCTTCGTGAAATTACCGACAAAGCTACTGATCTGGTGCGAGAAGACATGGAAAAATTAGACGCACTGGAAAGGGCAGGCAAGGTGCCAACGAAGAAAGAAAAGAAGGCAGTTCTCTTCGATCTCCACGGGGTGAAGCGACTCAATGCATACACCATTGTCGAGCGACCTGCTGAGATGCGCATCTTGAGGGATGCGGCGGCCCTGTCGGATTTCAGGAACTTCCGTGTCCCGGAAGCTACCAAAGCTCCAGATTACACCTGCAGCTGGGGTGCACGGGAGGACGGTATGCTCTGCATTGGCATTTCTCGTCACGGGTATGGTGCATGGACTCAGATTCGAGATGACACTGATTTAGGACTCGGCGACAAGTTTTTTCTCGAAGAGCACCGGGTGGAGCGAAAGACTGAGCGGCTTACTACCGAAGATAAGTCGACCAAATCACCTGGTGCGGTGCACCTCGTTCGTCGTGCGGATTATCTATTGTCTGTGTTGCGAGACAAGGTTACCAATGGCTCCAGTGTCAGCGCCAGAAGGGCCGTTGAAAACCATCACCGCAACAACCGGAAGAATTCTCGCGCCCCGGCCAGTGCCAGTGTATCGGCATCACCGGCTCCTTCGATGTCTCGCAAGGGCCTAAGGGAGGCAGATCGGTCGAGAAACCGGTCTCATACCCATCGCGACAGCATGGATAGACATCATACTCCTGATTCTCGTGCCAGATCTGTACATCATAATGATCGGTCTCGTCGGGTCTCGGATGCCTCAAGCGAAGAGGTGCGTCGACGCAAGAGCGGCGAGAATGGTAGCTCTGGAAAAGAGGATATGTCTCGGTTGTTCTTCAAGCCCATCCGGGAAGATCTCAAGAAGGTGTCTGCGGTTACAAAAGAGAACTTTGCGAACAAATTAGAACGGGCTTCGGAGTTACGGCGTCTTCTCGGCTTAATTGGTGACTTTATCCGGAAAACTCTACATGGTGAAAAGTCGCTACATTCCCTGGAAGTACGGTTATGGTAAGTTGTCCTGGCGGAACAAAATAGGATCATAGTTACTCACTATATGATAGGGATTATGTTTCAGTCAACTACTGGCCAAACAAGGATGCAGGGGGGGCCAAGTTGCGCGAAATGTACCAGAAACTGCATGCGCATGCAGTCAAACCCGTGTCCAACGGAAATTAGATGAGCACGAGCATATTTCGGCATGTTTTATCATTGTACGGACATGATCTCTTATTTTGTTATCTTTTTATATGTGTGTGATTTTCTTGCGATTTTGTGCAATCGCTTTCTGGTGGTGCTATCCAGCGTTTTCTGTTGCGCCATATCCCTTTTTTGTCTGCAGCGTTGGGGTTGCATGACTCTTTCGTTTCTTCCTACCAGGCCCATCCAGTCTATATATAGATGGACCTGGCAAGGCCACTTGTTGATCATGCGTTTCTTTCATTTTGCTTGTCTGTTTCGAGGTACATATGCATTGATTGGGACAGCATGGCATCCGGCGTACGGGGACGATTCGACGAAGCGCAGAAAGCGCAGAGGTGCTTTTTCATCATTTTTTTATATGAAAGATCTACTTGCATGGCGTGGTGGCGTTGTTCAACTATACTCTCAGATTTTGTGTTATATATTCATCGAGTCTCGGTCCCTGACTTCCTGACGCAGATATTGTTTTATTTACATACCCGCATAGTTGGAACACAGGGTCCAATGTACTATGTTTGGGTTGGTTATCTTTGCTTCGTGTATCTTATATTCATCAGGGATTCGTCTTGGAGTTTGATTGGTATCTGATGTGTTTTATGTTCCAGTATGAATTCGATTCCACTACGGTATCTCATTCCCAGTTCGGCTATACATCAAGTGCAATACCGCCAACTTGACAATCTTCAGTTTCTCCAGCGAGGCATCGTCCGGTCCTTCCATAGTAGATACGATTTAGCTGAAATCTCCACGCTACTTCTCTATATCTATACCCTAAGATAAGATGAAATTGAAATATAAGCTGACTGGGAGGGAAAGAAAACGGCGAGGGCCACGTAGCAGGGTATGTGATGGCAATATTTGCGCGAAAATAAATGCATTGGCAGCGAAGCAACCCGCGAAATCCGAAAGAACAAATTCAAGATTCGATGCCTCCAATCAAACGCCAGACCCTAGTTCCCGTGTGACAAAGTACGAGTACTCCGAACAAACAAACAAGATAACCCTAGTCTAATGTATGTATGCATGCATGCATCTGACTTATTCGCCTGGTGATCAATCAATCCGTACATAGTTAGTATAGTAGCTCGACTATAGTATGGATACCCTCTCCCAACCATACATCTTGCAATTCACTTAGGAAGATGTTTTCCGGTGCGCAGAAGCTGGCCTTATTAGTATTCGATCGGGCAAATGAGATAGTGATGGTGACATACATGGTGGTAAAGATAAGATGGGACGATGCGTCTGTGACCTTCGGCTGGATGTCCGTAACGCCTAACATGCCGAACTGGGTTTCTAGTCTGGGTGCATTCTATATGAGTATAGTATAGCAGACAGACAGGAATGGGGGAGGGTATACAATTGGTAAATAATAGGTTCGTATATATCATAAGCTCTATCGCAGGAATATATGACTGTGAGATTCTGTAATGAATCGCAGAGTTAGTTGAGCTTGACTTGACTGCAAGTGTGCGCTTACTGGGCGTACATATGAAAAGACCATTTTTGCGTGTAATTCTGAGTTTGCCTATTTGCTCTTGAAATCTTAGACTAAGACGAGAAATCCCGTTTTTATATATTCAATATTCAATTCAGGACTGACCTTCAGCTGACGGGGAACCTGCAGCGACGGCCATGTAGGCAGCATGCGGAAAGGATCACCCTAGTCTGTTTGATTGGATACCTCAAGAAAAAGCAGACAAAGGATTACTTACAAACATGCACAGCACCAGAGTGAGATAGATTGGTACTACATAGATAAAACGCTAGAGCTGTACTTGCCCTTATTCGGCAATGAGTCAAAAGATCAATGGATTTGTGCTTCTATAGTGCTCTGTGGAGTAGACCTTGACCTCAACTGTATCTATACTGTCTGTGTTCGTCTATCGGCTGGATATCAGTCATGATAATCTCCCCCAGAATTACATCCCTCAGCTCATCCAATGGGGCGTCTCCCGGCGCCTCAGAGCTAGTTTGTGTGCTAGTCGATTCGTTCATCCTTATAGGAGATCAACTGTGTACCTGCTAATTAAGAGCAGAGGAAGACTTGGGGTTGCGTAAGATGGTTGGATATCCGTGACATCTAGTTCGCCACATTCCGTTTCAAGCCTGGAAACATGTAGCTGTAAGGTACAGTGTGCTTAGAGAGAAAGGAGTATAGACCACTAATATTTCCTGGATATCTTTATCATATGTTTCATAGGCGGCGTAGTTGTCATAGCGGATTAGGAGTTTTCTTCTGTACATTTGTAGTTTTGCTAAACCGAAGGTATAGAAGAAGGGGGAAATGCTGGAGAATATATGAGCGTATTTAATATAGTCGGGCACCTTGCGCAGTAGAACCCTTCTTTCTGATGGCCGAGAGAGTAGAGAATGGAATGGTGATTACGTTGTAAACTCAGTTTAGATCTATTATTCTTTATACCCTAGAATGACGTTGACCTGTAAGCCGAGGGAGCAAACAACTGCGGTGAGACGAGCCTGATAAGAAATTGGGTATGAAGGATGTAACATTAATCACACAAGAATGTGATGATCTTACAGAATGCAGTAAGCAATTTTACTGACGGTGAGAGGAACAGGGTAGCCGGGGAGATAATTCTGCAGAGTCTGGAATAGGATATACTGGCGAATAAACTACTCCAAACCAAGTGCCTCTATACTTGCAACCTTCAATGTAGTTGATGGAGTGAGATTCTTTCTATTCTGTAGTTGAGCTTATGTTCACGTACTAGTGTATAAGCTAAGATATCAACCAAGTGAGAGCCTATTATACTCCTCCACCGGCTGAACATCAATCGCAATACCTTCCTCCAGCACTACATTCTTCAGTTCACTCAACGGAATGCTCGCCGGCGCGTGGAAACTAGAACAGTATTTGTCAGATCCTTATACAAAGGGAGAAGAAAGAGCTGAACATAAATATACCTAGTAATTAGAAGTAGAGGAAGGCTTGGATTCATGAAGCACGGCTGGATATTGGTAGCGCCTAACACGCCGAACTTGGTTTCAATTCTATAGGTTAACAGCATATTAGTCGAATCATAATGTGCAGAGATCAGGGAGTAGTACATTTTCTGCAAGCGGCTATCATAGTTATCGTAGACGACGTAGTTGTCGTAACGGATCATGAGTTTCTAAGTTGAATTAGTTTTGCTAGACCCCATATCCAAGGGGTGGACGAACATATTCGGGCATCCTGCGCAGGATGATTGTTGTTTTCTTCCGGGTTAATTGGAGAGAAACAGAAGAATCGTTGTATCTTATGGAATAGATACCATCTAACTTTATACTTAAAAGGTGACGTCGACGTAAGCAGACAAGTGCATGAAACAAACATCTGCAGTGAACAGCCTATAGACAAAAGCAATGTAGTATTACGCAAAACATGTGATGAGTTTGCAGAATAGATGCATAAATCTGTACCAGCAGCAGGGAATACTAGTGAAATATTCCGGAAAGCCCGAAACAATAGCATAAAAAATAGGATATCGCCGATAAAATTAACGCCAGACCCTAGTCTCCGTTTGAATCCCGGACAAACTGAAGACCCAACCCTACATCGACGGCATGCATGTCACTCATGCATCAGCCTCTCTCGGCCTGATACCCATGCATCTAACTCCAGTTGGCTCATGCAGACAATTTAGAGAACTAGGACAGCGGTTGGACTATAGTTCTGATCCCATCTCCCAACCGTACATGTCGCAAATCGCTGAAGAAGACGTTGGGTGGCGCGCCGATGCTAGTTCCTATTAGCGTAACTAACCAAAAAAGATGCGCCAGCTGACTCTGAGAAAACATAAACATATGTCGCAGTGAAGATTAAATGGGAATACGGATCTGAATTTCCTGGATCAATCTCTGTAACGCCTAATTGAGTGAATTTGGTTTCTAGTCTATTTATCTAGGGTTAGCATAAGGCTATAAGTAGCAGAGAAAGGGGAGTACACGTGGTAAATATCACGACTGTACATGTTACAAAATTCTTCATTGAGGAATCGAACCGTAAGTTTCTAGAAGCAAAGAATCGATTAGACTTTCCTCAATTAGAGAATGAACGGAAAAACACACATAGTAGAGTGTCATTTTGCTTGCGTGTATAGCTCGTTCTGGATTCGAGTTTGTCCTGACGTCTCATCTTTCTACCTAACATTCAGGATTCGATATTGAATTCATCTGACACAGCCGCATTGAGACGCTACAAATCATGCAAAAAGAAATGTCATCCCTTAATCATTGGGTACTTGTGAAACTAGGCATAAGCAGTCATGACAGGTATGCACATCTCGTATTAATTGTACGAGTAAATTCCGAGAACAGCATAGGAAGTATACAACCTCTAGCTATGCCAGATATATAGCTTTTATTTAATGGCGTCAAGTTTCTTCTATTTGATATCGCTTTATCCGGAGAAGTGTGGATCCATGTAAAGATACCCCCAAGTCAACGCCTCCTATATTCCTCCAACTGAATATCAGTAGCAATACCCTCTCCCAGCTTCACGCTCTTCAAGTCACTCAATATACCATCCGGTGCCTCGAAGCTAGCCTCGTCAGCTCCCTCCTGGCCCATTATAGATAATATAGGCAGACGTACCTAGTAACCAGGAGCAAACGGATGCTCGGACTCACATAGCACTGCTGGATATGCGTAGCGCCTAGTTTGCCGTATTTAGTTTCGAGTCTAACCATATTAGAAATGATTGGTTTTGAGTGATGGGGGGATTGTACATGTCTTGGATGTCTTGATCGTATTTCTCGTAGGAGTCGTAGTTTTCGTAGCGGATTTGGAGTTTCTGGACGAGTTAGTCCTGATAGATTGATTCAAGTAGGGGCTGAAAGACAAACATATTGAACATAGTCAATCATTTTTGCCAGATCTTTAGCTTATTTCTGCTAGTCTAAAGGATAGAAAAGAAGTGGATGTAACAAAGAGCTCATTATCTATGTACCTTGAGATGACGCGCAGAATGTAAGACGAGAGGAAGAATAATAGGAAACAAACTGCAGGGAGCCGAGCAGGCAAATCATGCAAGATGTAATGGTTGTACAAAATGTTTGCGCGACAGTAGCAGGGAATCACATATACTCCGGTAGCCAGAAAATTGTATTAGTAGAGAAGTATTCCGCAAAGCCCGAAAGAAGCATAGAGAATAATAAGATGCTTCCAATAAAAACGCCATTGTAGTTCCCATATGGAACAGACCGCCCAAATAATAGAAAGGAAAAGAAGACCTAATAGTCCACAGGGAACTTTTGCCCGGCTTGATAAAAGTAATCCGTCTCTTTCAATTGCCTTGCTTCCTCCTCGGGCATCAACCCTTTCTCGAGCCTATACCTCTTCAGTGCACGCTCAGCTTCCCTCGGCGGTGTCGGAAATAGCTCATTCGTCACATCATTACTTGTGCCCTCTCTCTCATGCACACCGACAATTGTCCCGAACCAGCGCAATTCTGCATCAATCACATCGTCAAAGACACCCTCCTTCTCTAACCAGGATTGCTTGCGCTTCGGAATTGTGCGCTCCCATTCTGCGCGCAGGTTCTCGCCTTCTTTTTCTGCCCAGTGGATCTGGCGACGCAGGAGACGGTAGAGGTCCCGCGGGGGGAGGGAGAGTTCGTGCTCGTCGAAGCCGATTTCGGGGCCATATTCGGGGAGGTCGATATCAATTTCGCCTAGGTCGTCATCGATGGTTGAGACTGCGGGTGGGTGTTCTTCGGCTGTGCTTTCGCTGGCGTCGTCGCGCGGTGGTTGGGTGAGTTTGAGCTTGATGCGTTGAAGCTTGCTAGCTGGGGTTGCGGTGGGACCACCGATGACAGGAAGAGAGGTAGTGCCTTTGAGAGCCTCGAGAGGGCGTAGCGCTTCGGCTTCGTGGACGGTTCGCATGTGTTTCGTCAGGGCGTCTGAGCGGGTAAAGCTGCGATCACATTCTGTGACAGTTAGCAACACAGGTACGCAGACAAGTAGGTCTATGGTAAGCATACCTGGCAAAGAACAGTAAAACGGCTTCTCTCTCGTATGACTCCGCATATGAGCCCTTAATGCATACCCACTAGCATGCGTCTGCCCCTTCCGATTACAATCCACCCATTCGCACGAATACTTCTTCTGCCTCGACCCAATATGTTCATTGTGAATGTGCCCCACCAGATCATCCATATTCCCCAAATCCCCCGAGTCGCACCCTTCCCACCGACACACCGTCACCTGGTCACTGCCCTGTCCGCTGTAATCCTCCTCTTGGCTGTTCCCCAGCAGCGAGAGCGCGGTGGGCGAGTTGGGGATCTCGCCGGACGTGTCAGAGGAGATGGAGGTCGAGGGCGAAGCGGGTGGTTGCAGGTCTTCTTGGTCTTGGTAGGTTGTTGAGATGGGGGTTGTGTTGCCGTCTTGAGGAGCTATGCCGGTGCGACGGCGTTTGGAGGGAGGCATGTTGGTGTTGACGCTGGATGGGATTGCATCTTCGCGGTCTGAGATATCGTCCGAGGCGATGGACGAGAGGGGGGAGCCGGGGGAGTCCATTGCAATGGTGATGAAGTGAAAACGCGACAAATGAAGGATTGAATGTGGAGCACAGGTAAAAAGTGAAGGAGTGAGGTTAGAGTTGGTTACTCTATCCGAGTCGAGGATATCGGCACGTGACGAGACTGGTAAAACTCGCACAAACTCCTTTCCCACAACAACTCTCCCACATAATTATGGGGATGAGACTATGCACCCTACGCTGAGAATGAGCTATGGCTAACTAATGGTGAGTGCGACTTATTTCACAAGCTAGTCACCTGCATGATGAACAAAAAAAAGAATTCTGCAATACAGACAATCTCCTCTCCAAGTGAGCTGTGAGATTGCATGTCGACATTCTACACTTGATCTGATTGCCAACTTCTCCTGGTGTCAAAGCACATTGCTAGTCAATTACACCGCTAACATAAAAAGAGTATTCATACAGACATTTACAACCATACTAGTACACCTAATAGTACCGCTTCCCAACAACGCCATTCTCCTTCAAAATTCCCTCAATCTCTGCCATCTCGCTCTCCGAAAGCCGCAGCACTCCATTCAAGTTCTGCGTGACTTTATCCTTCGTAGAACCGCCCGGAATTGGGATAATAGTCGGCATATCCTCTCTCTCACTTAGCGTGAGAATCCAAGCCAATGCAATCTGGACCGGCGCCACACTCTTCCGCTCAGCAAGGCTCTTGACCTCCCCAATCAGCTTGAGGTTGTGCACCATATACTCATCCTGGAACTTTTGCAGGTTGCGCCGGTAGTCGCCCTCAGGGAAGGAGTCTTTGCTGGTGAAGGCGCCGGTGAGCGCACCCCAGCCGAGAGGGGAGTAGGCGACGATGGGGATGTTGAGTTCGTGGCAGGTTTTTGCGATGTCGTTTTCGAGGATAGAAGTGTCCCAGAGGGAGAATTCGACCTCGACAGCCGCGATAGGACCCACTTTGGCTCTGTAGACACAGCGTAAGCACCAACAAAGTAGAATCAACGGGTAAGAGGGGAGAGAACGCACGCCCGTCGAATAGTCTCAGCATCAACCTCACTCAACCCGATGCCCCCGATCTTTCTCTCCTCCACGAGCTTCCCTAGAATGGTGACCGTCTGCTCAACACTCGTATTGGGATCCTGTCTAGCACACTCAAAGATATCAACCTTCTTCTTCCCATCCAACACCCTCAGACACTCATCCACCGAGCGCCTGATATTATCCTCCGACCCATCAGGAAGCAATTGTCCCGGCTTCAACCCACCCTTGATACTGAGCACCACCTGGTCCGCTTTCTCAGGGTACTGCGAGAAGTAGTCATGCAGGAGATGCAGAGAGTTGAAATCGGGGGTACCGTAGAGTTCACCGGCGTTCCAGAAGTTGGCGCCGTGGGCGAGAGTTGTGTCGAGGGTTTCGAAACTCTGGGATTGAGGGGGTGGGGTGGGGGTCCAGGTGAGTCCTTAGTCTTAGTGAGTATTGGGGCTCAATCGGTTGTGATGGTGGGGGCATACTCATTGTGCCATAGCCAGTGGCACCGACTTCGCGGCCAACAAGGGAGGGCATTTCAGTGTTGAGCACGGAGAAGATTAGATTGAATCGATTGAGCTAGTGGATAAGTTAAATGAATGTAGAGAGAGAAATAGGTGTATCCTGTATAAATAAGTTCTAAGTTCTCTTATGGACCCTAACTCCTAACTCCGTTTGTCCGGAGATAACGGATTTAACAGAAAACCATAACATCTCAGCCCCCAACGTCAGGATACAGAGTTCATATCACTCGTCCGATAACCACAATTCATCGCTACTATCCAGTGCATTTCGGATTCGCCCGGACAGTGTATCAAACAGCGAATCCCAGAGATCATCCCCATCATCTTTGCCAGTATCTGCAGAGGGGGTCGGGGATGCGGACGTTACAATCAAGGATGTTGGCGTTGCATATGTCACGGGTGTTACAGGTTCCACGGTTACTGGTATCAATGTTGGGGTCGGGCTCGGCAATGCCGACGAGGAAAGAACTTTGTGATCGGAATCCGCCCACCAACTGTGTCTCGATGAACTCAAACTCGGACTCAGTGACGGTGTCGGTGTAGCGGTTAGGCTCGACGATAGTGCCGAGGCTGAAATCCTCTCAAGATCCCAATCCGCCCACCAACTATGTTTTGTTCTCGTGGTTGAGATCGGACTTGGTGTTGGGTCTGAATTCCGAGCTGGAGCTAGTGTCGTCGTCGGAATCACATTCGCTCTTGAGTATCCAGTCGCCTCTGGGATCGGCGAGGGCAATGCAGATGAACTGGGGACGGGATTGAGCGAGGAAGAGATATTGCCAAAGGCATCGTGTTTGTTGTCGAATGGGAAGAAGCTCTCATATAGACTCTGGAGACCGATGCTGGCGAAGTATTTCGAGAGGTAATCGCTAACTTCGGGGATGAGTCTCTGTCAGCCAAGGGTTAGCATTGCTTATTTATTGATTAGCGGGAATGGGCCGTACCGGGGATGGAGAGCGATGGTGTAACGAGATCGGACGAGCTTGGAGGAGGGGTAGGAGAGAGAGAAGGGTCAATAGGGTTGTTAGTGGTGTCATTTTGACACTTTACAGAGTCCTGTGGACATGAGAATGGCCGATCCAACTGAAACCTGGGGAAGGGGATATATATATGTTGTGCCGTTACTGTGCTGTGAGGAATGGAATGCATTCTTGCAGAGTAGTATACAGGAGTTTCACAAGTGCAAGGTGTGGTATCTGTAGGGAGGAGGAATTTTGGTGGCAAAAGACAAAGACAAATATGATAACCAGAGACTTCAATAGTTATTCAATTGTTGTTAGAATATAGAACACAAAGAGTAGAGATGGTAGAGGTGTAGAAGTTTTTGTTGTATACATTCCACTACCCTTTTGGGATGCGGAAATATGCTTATATAATCCGTCTGTTCTCCGGAGATTTTAACATGACATTTTCCACTACTCTATCTCTACACCACCACTCTCTCGACTTTACTCTGTACTCTGCTCGGCTATTCTATATAGCCACTGATATTCCGAGTAATTGCCGACGAGTCTCAACTGTCACTATCTTTAGTCAATCACATCACATTAAACTCTGCCTCTCCGTAAACCCGTTCATAGTACTCTCAACTTTCAACAAGAACTTCAACACAAATACAATACCCACAATCAATTCGTATGCATCTACGTAAGTCATCAGGCAGACGCAGCAGGGTCTGTGGCTTACGTATTCGGCGGCTGCAAAAGCCCTGGCCGGAGGTTAGTGTTTGTGGTTAGTGTGTTGAGTTAGTGCGATCTAGTGATAAGATCCACTGGTGACGAGTACTCTTTAGTCCGGAGGAGCAAGTTAAAGATAGAGTCAACTCGAGAGAGCAGAATATGTCGATAAATGTGTGATAGAATATAAAGTGTGCAGGGTATAGTTTCGAGTAGAATAGTGTAGTAGAATAGTGTAGTGAAGCCTAACTTGCATGTACTCAGTGCATGATCATTGATTGATAGTTCCGGATATCTACCGATATCTCTCTGATTCAAGCAGATACAGATACGACACGTCAGGCTAAGCCTTGTGGCTGTTGACAGCCCTAGGGTCCTACGTACGTACGCAGTGGGCCAGGGTTCTATCTAACGCAGAAACATATTCCGAAGTCTAAACAAGGACTAGATGCCTTGCTAGCAAACGAGTCCTTACGCTAAAATTATATTATTATTTTTTTTTCTCTGCCTCAGATTTCAAGTATTCGTACTTGTCTCCGGCATCGGATGTGACTTCCTGGATAGATTTAACCCCGAAGGTCTTCCAGAGAGCGCTGTGGATGGGGACATTTTAGACTCAAGGGCCGTCTATTGGTCCCTGAAGGGAATCTGGATGAGTCTGGATAATAAATAGCAAAAATAATAGTTTTGCCTGGGTTATGCATATGGATGACCGCCGAGTCAAAATTTATTATTTTTTTAATCTTCGTATCGGGGTCTGTAATACGACAGTACTGTACAGCGTGTGTATGGGCACATGCAGGGTACGCTAGCAGGATCCCACTCGACAGATTCCTCTACAAATAATAATAATACTTTGTATGGATATAGGCAGAGGAGTCAATTATAAGGAGTGATAGTAGACCATAAACCAGCACGATAATGACATCCACTTAGATGCTCCGAGTAGACTCAGAGTGCTTCGTCATCACCTCGAGGCTTGTTTAGTCCGTGGTTGTAAATACCGTACGGAACGGTAACAAACCCCTCAACCGGCAAAGATCGCCGGCTGTTTGTACATTACGCTGAATAAGCGGAAGCTAGCCGGTGCCGGCAGGGACTGTACTAGTCTGTTTTTGGACTAGTGCGTATAGTATAATGGAGATGATTGGGTGAGTGAAAATGGCCCAAAGTATGGATGTACTTCGGAGATTCTTGTTCTTCTTCTCCTGGTAGGATTATGAGTCCCTTTTTTTTTTTTCTTCGGGTGGGAGAAGATGAAAATGAATACGATAAAAGAAAGAATAGAGAGAACATTGAAGAATAGCAGTTAATCATTTCATTCATTCCTTACAGAGGCATCGTACTATCAACGAATTCAACTGACAAGACTACTGCTGCCCCACTGGTCGAGCTTCTGGAGAAGACAGACCCTGGAGTTTCAAGATAGCGTCAGTTCGTGTCGGCTTTTATTTTATTTTTATTCTCGCTTTTCTTTTCTTCTGCGCATCGCCTTCCTTGCGTCGTGTCGTTTATCCTTCTATTTTTACTGACGGCCGTCGCTGCGTGCATACATATACCGGCATTACTCCTGCAGAGTCCGAGTCCATCTCAGTCTATCTATACAGTTACACAAGCAAACATTATATAAACAGTACGCTGACTCGATTGTCGATGCATGAACTCGACTGACCTTTGCAGATATCAACCATCATGATCATGGCCTCCAGGCCCAACTTTGTCTCCATCCTCAATAATGACGACCATCCGTCTTTTACCGTCCGTTCGAGCCCCCGGTTGATCAGACACCATTCCTCCTCTTCCTTCGACCCAGTCACTGAAGCGGCCCGCGCTCCTTCGCCTGGATCGTCCGTGTGTTCCTACGATTATGCCACTAGCAGCTGTGGCTCCTACTTCCAGCCCAATCCTTCCTCTGCCTCCGATTCCTACTTTCCTCCGACTTCCTCGACTGCCCCATCCGAGCATCATCGCAGCGCTACCTCCGCAGACCCTCCCTCGCCATCGTCCGTCGGTGCCTCCAAGGACTCTCCTTCGACTTCGACCATCTCCTCTTCTTTCTCCTCTACCACCACCACAGCCGCAACCACTGCAAGTGCCAAACGAGGCGTTCGCAAGAACAAATACCCTTGTCCATACGCCGTGAGCCACAATTGTTCCTCCACATTCACCACCTCGGGGCATGCAGCACGGCATGGCAAGAAGCATACGGGCGAGAAGAGTGTGCATTGTCCGATTTGCAACAAGGCGTTTACCAGAAAGGATAACATGAAGCAACATATCCGGACGCATCGGAACCATTCAGAGGAAAACACAGCCCCAGGTGCGGGAGCAGGGACAGGGAGGGAGAGCGGTGCTAGTACCCCGACGAGCGGGTGGTCAGCCCGGAAGGCGAGCCCGGCGGCGTATCATCAGCATCAGCATCATCGGTCGATAAGTCAGTCGGAGGGGAGGGAGTTTCTGAGTGTCAGACATGCGCCATATTGAAAGACATTTAACTGAATGAGTTACGGCAAAAGAGTAATGGAGATTATGAAGTGGATGAGTGAAAAGTGGCCATTCCTTTCGTTTCATTTCCTTTTTCGTTATCGTTACCTGGTTGGGATTTTCAAGCGTTCTGTTGGTTTCTGGCGCATGTTGAGCAAATGTCTGCATTTTTATCTTATACCATTGTTTTGTATACCTGTCTGTCTTTTGTTTCTTCTGTGATTTCCGATTGATGCCTGATTCCCTGTCTGCGATTCCTAACTCCCTTTTTTTTTTTTTTTTTCTTTTCTTTGTGTGTTTGTATGACAATGAACCATGGAACCACCGAACCACTGTTGAACGGATACCATGGATCCATCTAGAGTATCTTATCTTGATTTATATCAATGTTTCTACATCTATAAACCACAAGTAGATGCTCGATATCTGTACTGCATGAATAGTATCTGTATGCGTCTAAATTTCAAGCCCTGCAATGCACATCAATTAAGTTTGAATGATGTAAATCCACAATGTAATAGGATGTGTCATTGCCCATTCACTGAGTCCAGTTCTTTTACCTGTTCCGTCTTTCTCTGCCGTTCATTTCTCTTCTTTTGTACTGTTTGTTCATCATTCTTCAGCTTCCATCTTCAACCAATCGACGTCATCGCCCCGCCTCGCCACTTTTCTGCTTTCCTATTTCAATCTTCCATCTCATCTCATCATCTCACCTCATCTTCTCTCTTACATCCATTTCTCCTATTTCCAACATTAAAATAAAAAATGGCATACTACGACCGCCACTATTATCCACCCCGCGATCGCAACCCCCCTCCCTACCAAGGCACCATGGACGTCGTCCCCGGCCGAGGTAGTCACGACTCCATCCCCCGCAGCGAGCACCCTTCCAACTACGACTACTACGGGGGCTACGGCCACAGCAACGGGAGTGGCTACGCGCATGGCTATCCTCCAACTCACTCGCGGCATCCGTCCCGCGTAGCTACTATCCAGGAGGGTTCTCGTCGGCCGCACAGCAGCTACTACGATGGGTATGATGACCGTGGCCATCATCGACGACACCGTCACCATCGCCCCAAGAATGATTACTATGATGACCGTGGTCGCTCTCACCGGCATCGCAAGGCGTACTCTGTTTCGCCGTCTCCAAGCCGTGGCCGATCTCGCAGCCGCGCCCGCGGCAGCAAGAAGAGTACCCGCAGCAAGAGCGAGGAGAAAATGCAGCAGGCCATCCGTGCAGCCATCACAGCAGGTGCCATCGAGGCGTTCCGCGTCCGCAACGAACCAGGTGAATGGAAAGGTGAAAAGGGAAAACGCATCCTTACTGCCGCGATAACGGCCGGTGGTGCGGATGGACTTGTTGACAAGGATCCCCGCAAGCACGAAAAGAGACACATCATCGAGTCTACGCTGGCGGGTCTTGCCACGAACCATTTTGTGAACGGGTCACGCTCGAGATCGAGGCCAAGGTCTCGTGATGGCGGCCATGGTCATAGGCGCGGTCGCTCCAAGAGCCATAACCGGGGGAAGGAGCTTGCGGCGGCAGGACTGGTCGCTGCGGCAGGAAAGAAGGCGTATGATCGTTACCGGTCCAAGTCCCGTCCTCGTGGAAGTGGAGGAGGTGGACGGTCCCCTTCGCGAGGCCGTGCATACTCGGATGAAGATGGATACGACAGCTATGACGGATCGCCCCGTCCTTCCCGCGGCTCTAAGAAGCGAAGCAAGAGTGTCTCCGATTACATCAGCAAGGGCCTCGCCTCGTTAGGCATTGAAGATTCGAAGGACAATGACAGCCAAAGCCACAGGGGCAGTGACAGAGACGGCAGGGACCATGATCGGCGCCGTAGGCACCACCATCACCGCCGTCGATCCTCGCCCCCTCCCTCCGACGGCTCGTATTCCGACGATAGCGGAACTGCAAGTGATGATTCCAGACGTCGTTAGAAGAATCCCCCGAGACAGAGCCATAGAGCCATAAAGATGTAAGACAAGACCCCTACTCCGTTTCTGGCCCTGACCCACCCGGACCTTGGATCTGCAAGGGTTCGTTCCGAGTTTTGAGCTTGAGGCTAATTTATGCAGTAACGTTAACCGTTGAGTCCCTATTGACGGTTTGATGGAATTCTCCTAGGGCAGGGGGTGATTGGTCATGATTTATGATATCATGCTATGGTATTTTGATCTGATGATTTATGACATGATGACATGATAACGCTATTTATGCTATTTTATGTTATGCTTTATTACAGATAAATAAAACAAATTGAATGATGATATGAATTTGTTTCCAAGTAATTCTATTTTACATAGTACGAAATAGCCAGCTTTCGAGGCTGTAATTGAAGGACAAATTCAATCTACAACAAAGTATTACTTGTAGAACTCCGTAGAAACGATTACTATTGATGCATATAATTTAATAGAAACGCTCAACGCTCGATAGACTGAGATTGCTTGCTGCACTTGAATGATCGAATAAATTGACAGTCCCTTTCCAAATATCCCAGATAGCGCAAGATGACACGAACAAGATCAGACAAGACAAGATCGCGGTAATGACAGACATAGGCAAACAGACACAGACAGGACAGGTATCTAACAGAGCTGAAAATAAAATAAAACAAAAAAGATAGTGGCAAAGCTGTACACCCACGACGAGAACGAGAAAAAAACGAGAACGAGTTGGAACTTTTCGTTTTCTTCCACTTCATCTTCGAGACAAGACAGAATCAAAACAAAACACACGAAAACCAATAAAGAATGCAACCATGTACAGTCATAACCAATAAATGAACGAAATCAAACGTATTCAGCGAGCTCAGCGGTCGGCGTTCAGATTAAGCCAGCTCATATCCGTATTGACGTTAGTCTGATTTCGGATCGGCGGCCCATTTTCGTCGAGTGTATTCGGGATGATGACACTCGACTGCCGTGCTTGTGACGAACGAACACCATCGTACAGCGCCGGTGGTGCTGCCATTGACGACACGTTGTTCGTGCTGGCATAGTAGCTCTGGCTGTACATGCTGCTGACCGGACGGCCGAAGTAATTATCGTGTCCTGCATCGACCCATCGTGTACCCTCAGCAGGGAGACCAGATGAATACCGGCTGCGGTCGTATTCGCTGTTGTCGTCTGATGCCAGGCTGATCGAGTCTGCGCTGGAGATGCGGGCAGACTGGCCCTCTGGGATCACGAGGTGACCGTCTGTGGCGGATGAGGGATGTTCGGTCGTCGGGCTGCCAGTTACTACGCGTCCCAATGGTTTGGGTTCTTCGAGAAATCCAAAGTTGAGCGGGGTGAGTGTCGTCATGGGCCATGCGCTGCCCCGTCGTTCGGATTTGGCTAGGTCTGCGCTCGCTGTCGGTTCGTCTTGTTGTTGTATGCCAACCAAGTCTGTGGCATTGTTGTCCTGGAAGTACTTTCCCCAGCCTTCGTCAGTCCTCCGATCTCCTGGACAGCCTCCAGCTCCGGCCTCAAGAGCCTTGTCCGCATCTGGTGTGTATGGTCCACTGAGGAGCTCCCGGCTGGACTGTACAGTCGACAGAGGGCTCTTAGTCGGCGGCTTTCCACCGTAGACAGGGTGCGCGGCCGGTGCTGCCTGAGACTTCTTCTCGTCGTTAAGCTTGCCTGAGAAGATCGCCAACGAGTCGACCGACGACGATCCCAACGGTGCTTGGCTCTTGGCCATGGGGTACGCAGATCGCGTTAGAGGCTCGCCTTGGTCTTGAATGCTCAATCGATCCTTGTCATCGGAACCTCCGCGACCTTGGCCAGCCATATTTTGCTTATCCTTGCGTTTCAGCAAGAACAGGATCGCAACCAAGATCACGGCGAAACCGATGACACTTCCCAGTGTTGCGCCGACGATGGTGCCGACCTTACCGCTGTTAGATCCATCACCACCAGCAACGGCAGAGGGAGTGCTGGAGGCAGAGCTGGAACTGGTGGGAGTCGCAGTGGTCGATGAGGAGGGTGAGGAAAGAATTTGCTGCATAGATTTGTCGCCGTAGAAGAGTTTGGTGGCGTTCACCCAACTATTCGAGGTTTGGTTGAAGAGGGCCAACGAGTTGGTACCACTGCCGCCGGAAATGGCCACCAGCTTACCACCGTCGTCCTGGGCTAGCGAAAACTGCGACCAAGTCTTTGAAGACGCATATTGATCGTTATATTTCGGGTAATTGTCCACGCTGATGGCCCTCCGCCTGGAACGTTTTCTGGAAGATGCGCCAAGCGCCTTGGCTGGGTCTGCAGGCTTGCCACCGGGGTTCACCAACAGCAAGCTCTTAACCGTATTGGGCGATTCACTCATGTCGAACGATTGGAGCACCTTGCTGCTATCGGACCCATTGATTAGAGCGGCTTTGACGTCATCCGACAGCGCCTGAGGTAGAGTTGCGCCTGAATCTGACCAGTCACCGGTGCCATTGAACTTAAACAAGTGAACTTTTCGGGCCGTTGTCGTACCACCAACCAAAGCGGCTTGATCATCGCTCCAGGGTAATAAGATAGGGGCACTAGCAGGCGATGCGTCGGCACCACTGTATGAAGAGACGTTATACGGTTCGGCGGTGTTGATGACAAAGGTATCGGAGGTTGGAGTAGAGCTACCGTCGCGATTACCAGCATAGACAAAGATGGAGGAGGAGGATTCGAAGAAGACGGCGCCGTGGTTGGTGCGGTTGGCCATGTCTTTGGACGTTGGCGTGATTGTTTTCCATTTGTCGTCTTGGAACGAATATCGTTGCAATCCTGTGTAATCGGACGAGGATGAGCTGGTTCCACCGACAACGTACAGGGACTCTTTGTTTTTCACGCATGCTGCGCCGGAGACGGGTTCTCCCATGGTGAGATTGCTCCAGGTCGCATTCTCACTGAGGGCGATAGAAGCAAAGCCATTGGCTGAGTAGGTATAAAGTGTGTTGTTGTGAATAAGGGAGCAATGGTCCTCCAATGTCATGGGAGGTTCGGGAACAACCATTTTTCGAGGGTTTAGCGAATGTTTCTTTCTTCGAGAATACCAGCCGAAGGATAGGGAGTGGGGGGGGGGGATAGCCAGCCGTCGAGTCAATGGCACGAGCGGAAAAACGAAAGACGTGGGGGGAGAGGAACGAGGGTGATATCAAAAGAGAATGGAGTGTGGCTGCCAGAGCACTATCTCATGGTCACAGCGAGGGAGGGCGGAAAAAGGGTAGAGACTGGGGCTCTGGTTACTCTTCGTGATGGAACTGTCCGCGTCGCAATCCTTGATATGACCAAAGTAAGAATATCTTCGCGCGTCAATTGCCTCTTGCCAAGCGGCCGTCGTGAATTTTGATTTTATTTTGCTTTTTTGTAAACGAGCAGAAAATCCGTCCAACGTCTGAACTGCAAAAAAGAATGGCACAGCGAACAGAGGAATCGGTCGGAACGGGTCGGGAATTGAACGAACGAAAAGCGATATACTCGTCGAAAGCAAAGCTCAGGGGGTCGAGGACAATGGGCAAACGCACGGTTTCAAACCGGCAGAGGGAGACAAAACAACGAACGAAAGGGCAATCGGCGAGGAGGGAAGGAATGACGGCGCGGCAAGAGGAAAAGGCCGGGAGAAGTAACGAAGAAGTCTGGAAAGATGTCAGCAGGCCGACGGTGGTAATAATATTTGGTGGTGGAGGATGGGGGATGAAACGACGGAGGGCAGCTCAGGCCAGGTCAGGGGGGAAGAGATCTTACCGAGTGCCAGCACGGGTAAAGAGGAGAGAAGAGAGGATAAAAAAGGTGAAAAAAGATAGCAAGAGGGAAAGATGACAAGGAAGAGAGGAGAGACTGGGTGGAGGAAGAAAAGAGAAAAAAGAAAGGGGAGAGTAGTGAAGGGGAGGTGAAGTGAAGTTGAGGGGAAGGGAGACAGACACACCATAACTAGGACCACCACTATGACTACTCAGTACTAGCACTACTATGATACAATTCCTCTCGACTGGTATCCCTTTGTTTAATTTCTTAATTCTATAGCCAGAGCATCCGTACAATTAGAGCATCCATATACACAAATAATAGAGCCGAGTCTGTATTGCTAGCTTTTGTATATGAATCTATCGCAGACGGGCACATTGACATTTACCACAATCCCAGCATAGTTACTCGTACAATGCCGAAATCCTGTACCGGTGTATTCCCTGCTATATACCTTGTTATATACCTATAACCACTCAATCTGACAATATCAGACAAACAACGCAAGGTTATCCATACAGGGCAGAGTTTGATTCAGGGGCATTCTCGTTTGCCAGTTGACGGAGGTTCCTCGACTAGTGTATGAGGTATTATGCTGATATCAAAGAGAGCCTGATTCATGCGATAGGGTCTTCAACTCGCGCACATCGAGTCATTCATTTTGCAATTGTAGAGGTCCATCCCAATTTTGGAGTGTACCTGACTGCCATTCCCCCTGATGAAGTCACAAACCTCGTTGACCCGGTCGATCACCTGATCTTCATCAAATTTCTCGATATAAACCAGAATTACTCAATCCCACTCAAAAAGAAAATATATCAAAAGTACAAAAAATATATATAAAAAAATATATAACAGAAACAAAAGAGCAAGAAGGCAGCATGTTAAACCACACCCCGATTGGTCAATGTCTTATTGCACATGCAGGTACCTCTGTCCAGGTACCTCGAGGTATCATACAGTGCATATTGCAACTGATACCGTATCGTATTACAGGTGGGGATGATAATTAGGGAATCCCACTTCCCCACTTATGTGTCAATATCATTGGCTGCATTTTTTTTACGAGCGTTGGACCCATTTTATTTGCATAATTACTCATCCAAATATATTGTGCATTGAAATGAGGCCCCGTATTATTGCCATGATATTCAACCAAATATACAAACACCAACAAACTGCTACTGACCCTGCTTCCATTGGTGCGCCTTGGCCAACAGCTTCGACAGATTCGCCGCCGACTGGTCGTCCGCTGGGAACACATAGTCCATGTATTCCTCGTACCGGTCGTCGTCCAGCTTTCTTCGCTTCTTGACCCGCCGCGGCATTTGCTTTTCGATCTTGTCGATGTCCTCGCCGGACCCGTGCGTGTGCTCGAAAGATCGCCATGCGTTGAGAAGTTCCACGCGCTGCCATCGTTAGTATCGTTGTTGCAGATTGATATAGGTGAAGGGAAAGGAGAGCTTACCTCTTCTTTGAGTTCCTTTTCTTTGAAGACGCGGTGGGCTCGTTCGAATACCTTCCGCGCGCGGCGCTTGGCTTCTTCGCTGATGGGTCGCTCTTCCTCCTCCTCCTCCTCTTCCTCCTCCTCCTCCGGGACATTGATTTCGAACCGTGCGTAGTTGATCCACACCTTGACATGGTCTGTCTTGGCTAGCAGACGCTCGTACAGCGCTCGCACGCGGTCGTATTCTCCTTCATACTCCTCAAAGTCGATGTATGACTTCCACACCAACTCTGGCATATCCAGTGTCGGCTGGTCAATCCCCAGTTCGTAAATTGCCCGTGCACGCTCTGCGTCATCCAGTCCGCGTTCCAGCTCGGCATATTTAATCCACGACTGGCTGTTCGACGAGTTCCATTCAATCTGCTTCTCGTACAGTGTCCGGCACCGTAGGAATTCAAACAGCTGCTGCTCTAGTGTGATGTAGCCCCGGAACAACTTGTCCTTCGGGCACATGCCAATCGCCTGGCCCAGGGTCTTCCGCGCAGCTTGCAGGTTCATTTGTCGGATCTCGAATTGCGCCTTCATGAGCCAAAGCTTGGAAAATGTGAATTTCCTATGCGGGATGAGTCTTAGGCATTCTTGGTAGATTTGGCGCGCACGCTCAACGTCCTTGCCTTCCATCTCTTCCCAGATCGCATAAAAGATCCACAGATAGATGTACCGTCTCCAGTGTCGCTTCTCCTGTGATGGGGGAATCTGAGCAATCGCTCGTTCGTAGGTATCACGCACCCGCTCAGGGTCGCCAGAGGTCTCTTCGAGCCGTGCAAAGTCAAACCAGGCATCGTAGTTCCGAGGGTTCTCCTTGAGCTGCTCTTCGTATTGCACCCGACGCTTGGACAGAATCACATCTTCCACGCCTTCCCGGTCACCGAACTGCTTTTCAAACGTCGTGTATGCCTTGTGCAGGGCCATCGACTTAGAGCGCGGAAGCCGGTCCAGCGCATACTTGTAGATCGCCCGCGCACGTTCGTATTCTTTGAGTTTCGCCTCGAACTTGGCGTATTGGATAAAGAGCTTTTCGTCCATGAAATCTTCTCCCAGCATCTCAACCGCAGCTCCGTACACCTCCCGCACCAGATCACTGGTGCCATTCTCTTCTTCGAAACGAGCCCATTTAATCCAATTTCGCGGCTCGGGATGGACAATAGTGAACCGTTGGAAGATTGCCCGCGCCCTCTCAAACTCATTATAACGCTTTTCGAGCTTGATATACGCACCCCAAGCGCCCTCATCCGGCTCCCACGACATCCACCGCTCAAACACCTGCCGCGTACCGGGGATATTCCCCAACGTTTCCTCCATGTACACATACTTGTACCATAGCTTATCCACCCGTGGGAGAATCGTCACCGCCCGATCAAACAAATTCCGCGCATGGTTAATATTTCGATTCCGCATCTCCGACTCGACATACCGAATCCACAACACCACCGAGGTCGGTGTGACGTCCAGCGCACGCTCGAAGATCGATCGAGCCCGTCGAAATTCCTTCTGCTCGAGTTCCCACGCAGCATAGCGCAGCCAATTGTTCAGGTTCAGGCGGTTGCGCCGTACGTAGTCTTCGAAGTCTTTTCGTTTCCGGCCTTGGTACTCGTGGAGTTCTTCGAGGTCGGCAAAGCGTTGTGTGGGTGCTTGGACGCCGGGCTCCTGTCGGTCGACGGCCTCACGGAGCAGCTGCTCCGCTGAGATCTGAACTGGCGCCGCGGCCTTGTTCTTGACCCTGGGAGGGCCTCGTGATGCCTCCATTGTAGCTTGACAGTTCCGTCACGTCAACTTGTCCGATGAGGTGATGGGGGGAAAAGCAGGATAAAGATGAAAAATAAGTGGAATGTCGATCCCTTTGTAAGAAGGCCCCTAATCGTCCTTCCACACCAACTCAATCGTAATCTCCTCGTAGGTTGAGTCGATGAATCTGCGCCAACAAAAGGGTCGGCAAAGCTGCACTTTCGGTCCTTTACGCCGCCTGTGATGACTAAGCGGAGCTAAGCTACTCCAACTTACTTCGACAGTGGCGGAAAACTTCCAAATCACTGCTTGTTTCGACCTGTTCAGCCTCTGACCAGTGAACCACCAACATGTCGAATGTCGAGGAGCTCATGAGAGATTTTGAGGAGGATGAGGAGGACATCGCGCAGGAGGGACTACAAGAAGGTCTTCAAGATGGAGGAGCAAAGACTGAAGAACCCGTTGACGAAGAGATGCAACAAGCGCCAGCCCCCGAAACCACCAACGAATTTGATAGAGCCGTATCGACCGGCGAGGAGCTCGTACGTCTACACAAGGTTCTGCGCGATCACTACTCGATCCGATTCCCAGAGCTGGAAACCCTTGTAGCGAATCCGATTGACTACGCGAAGACGGCCGCAATCATCAAGAATGGCCCGCTCAACGATATCAAGACGCTAGCAGAATCGTCGGATAATTTGGTCGGCACAACACTTTACTCGGTATTGGATAAACCGTCCGTGATTGCAGTTACTGTTGAAGGAACGACCTCTGGCGGCCGTGAAATGACTGAGTCGGAGTTGAAGATCGTGCTTGATACGTGTGACAAGATTATCAAGTTGGATCGGGAGCGAACGGCACTCACGCAGAGTATTCAGTCCCGGATGAGCCAGATTGCGCCTAATCTGGCTGTCTTGATTTCACCCGAAACTGCTGCTCAGTTCCTTAACCAGACGGGTGGATTACGCGAGCTTGCGAAGATTCCAGCTTGTAACTTGGCTGCTCAGGGATCGAAGAGGAATGAGGGGTTGGGATTTGCTACGAATACGAGTATACGTTCGCAGGGTTTTTTGTACCATTCGCCTCTTATTCAAGAGATTCCGAACGATCTGAAACGACAGGCCATCCGTATTGTTTCCGCCAAGATGGTTCTTGCTACCAGAGCAGATGTCTCTGGCTTTAGCCCCGATGGCTCATTGGGCGAGGACTTAAAGCAGCAATGCTTCCAACGACTGGAGAAGCTTACCGAACCACCACCGAACGCTAGCACGAAGGCCCTCCCCGCGCCCGATGATAAGCCGTCGCGAAAGCGAGGTGGAAGAAGAGCTCGAAAGGCAAAGGAGGCTGTTGCCATGACCGAGATCCGCAAAGCTCAAAACCGCGTTGCATTTGGTAAAGAAGAGGCAGAAGTCGGCTACGGAGCGGGTGAAGGAACTGTCGGTCTGGGAATGCTTGGTCAACAAGATGGCGGTCGTATCCGAGCCACCCAGATTGACCAGCGAACCCGGGCTAAGCTCAGCAAATCCAACAAGGGCTGGGGTACTGCGACACCCGCTAGCAGCGGTGTCGCTTCGTCGCTGCGCGGTTTCGGGCAGGGTGGTGCTGGCGGTACAGCCAGTGTTCTACAAGCAAAGGGACTTCGCGCATCGGGTGTTGGAACTTCATTGGGAGGATCAGGCACAGCGAGTACCATTGCATTTACACCGGTGCAGGGTCTGGAGCTCGTCGATCCCAAGGTGCAGAACGAGTTGACACGCAAGCGCAAGGCCGAAGAGGACCGGTGGTTCAAGTCTGGTACCTTTACACAATTTGGAGGTTCACCATCAGAGAACAAGAGTAATGAGAATGGTGGGTTCAAGGTTCCTCCGTTGCCCTCGAGGAAGAAGGTCGATACGGGTGAGGGTAAGATGGGGCCTCCACCGCCACCATCGAAGTAGTTCATTTTCTATCATTTTTTTTTTCTTTTTCTTTCAGGCATTTTAAGGCGTTTTCAATCAGGGTTGGTTTCGAAATTTATTGCATGATACCAGAGTGTGTGATAGAAATTAATGGGATTTTCCATCCGTGAACAATCCATGGTTCAGCGTCGAAAGTATATGATTATGGAGAAAGTGTCGTGCTCAGAAACTCATTTTCAGGGGTATTGCATTCCAAAGCTCTCCATATTCCCTATGGAAAGCCTAAGAATACTCCAATGTTACTGCTAAAATTCATTGATAGTTGTATGCAGTAACTCGGGGTGATTTAAGGTACATTTTCATGGCATTTATACCTAATTTATCTATTTATAGTCTCATATTAGAAAGCACTCCCATAATGGTTTGTATATCAGACAACTAAACTATTTAAACCCTCAAAAAATCGATTCCGGTGTCGTTTGGGTCTCTTAAATAAAGGAAAAGATATGAACAATAGTTAACGTAATCCACCAGTGAGGATGAGACTGCAATACTGTCATATGAATGTTTTAGGCTCTCTCGTCCAAACCCTATCTGTACTTTAGAATATAATATCTCGAACACTTATCAATCTCTAGACGTTACTTGATTTGCACTACACTGTGGTACGCTCTGGAGGATCTTTTGGAGTCTTTAAACAATCCCATTCCTCCCAGATCTTCGCCCTTCCTTTCTCCGCCAACAATCAATTCGTTTACCGGGATGGTGACTGCCAATATTCGAGCCCAGTTAAAACTGACATTCTTCCAGAAATGCATCGCTCCTCGCTGGATGACGACCTCTCCTGCCTGAATATTTTGCGTCTGGCCAGAGTCCAGTGTGGATTCCAGTTTCCGTAGAGCATAGCCGGATAATCTATCGACGTAGTGAGATGCAGAAGGGATTCGACGCCTGGTGCCATGTCAAACTCTCGGAGAACTGCGGAGCTCGAGACTACCAAGCCAAAAGGATAATTCAGGAGTCCGCTGTAATTGTTGACATCGGCATCATCGGCCAAGCTCGTGGGGAATTGAGCGATGTATGTCAAGGCGGCGGAGGCTCTTAGGTCTAGGACTTAGACGGGAACTTCTTTTGGGAGTGTTGTGTTGAGATGGATTTCCCGCCTGGTATGCGAGTCGTTATCACCTGTGTGTGACCTGGGAGATTATTGGGAGGCGCCAGGGTATCATCTACTGGTATGATCACCGGCACAGCCTTCTGAGACTCATTCAAGGCCGTCGACTGATGAAATAGTGATTCTAGTATTCCCAATATCTTTTCAGAAGAACTGTACGCCTTTGGTCTCCCCCCTCTTGCTCTTTCTTGCCGTAAAAAGATAAGTCATGGTGAATTTGGATGTTACTTCTTCATATCTGCACGTATGTGAGCTCCATTGATCAAAGAAAAGATTATCTTTAATAGTAAGCTTACTTTTGAATTATCATTAGACTACGATGTGTTACTGGTTTGATGGATATTTTAGTGCTTACCATGCACCTTGTATTCAAATGCAGCCTGAGTGCATGTCTTATTTCCGTTAATAAATAATACGCAAAGTCTGAAATAAACGAACTGGTGGCACTACGTGCTTGTATGTTGCCTCTGCACTATTACTGGCCTGGGATCCTCTTCAAAGTCGCGCCAGTACACGGCACTCGATGGCAACACTTCCATTCCAGGTACGGAAAGAAATTTTGCATGCGATGTCAACATATGATATGAACAAAACAGATGTTTACCGCACGCAGCTTCTAGATAGCATTATCAAGGGAGCAAAACGCCTCGATGAGGCGGTGCTGGCGATTATGAACCGATAGGTGAAAGAAGACGCCACATCGCCTGACGGGGTTACCATTCCCAAGGGGTCCCAGAACTTGACCATCACGTACATCATGCGCGGCAAGAAGACCTACGAGAACACAAAGTAGTGAGGCCCGTACTAATTCTACAACCTTCGACACAACGGTCAGGAACACAAGGAACAACTGGTATTTGCGAAGGGGGAACGCCTGGCCTTTGGCTTTGGCAAGCATGTCTGCCCAGGTGGCTTTTTCACGGTTCACGAACTTAAGATTCATGCTGGCTTCTATCTTATTGAAGTATGATATTGAGTTTATTAGAGGTGACCGGTGCGGAGTCAGGGTTACGCCCAGGGTCCAAGTACGCCGTCGAAAGGAGGAGTTTATGATTCCTAGGGTGCCGGAGAAAAAAGTTGTGTAGAATTCCATAGCGTACAGGCAGCTTGTTAAATAGAATGGATCCTCGATACGCAAGCATCTACCTAATGTGTGCCTTGGTATGCTAAACTCGAAATTGTAAGCTTACAACCCGTGGGGAGCTCGGCCGATGTTATGCAGCATGACCCCTACAAAGAAACCACACCAAACAAGGAAAATGGAAATAGACCGGATTCAGTAACAGGAGAAATAGCGCAAGGGAATGAGTCCTTAACTCCGGTGGTTCCCCATTTGACAACAACATCTATTTGTACTCACTTTTCACAGTGACAAACACAGCCACAACCCCAGAAACAACAGCAAGCAATATGGCAGTAGCACTTCTACTAAGTTGAGAACTGGCGTCTCCTCGGGTCTGGGCAAGTCGCTTGCTTTAGAAGTTCTCAGGGCCGGCTATAAGGTGACTGGAACCACATGCGACGTCGCCAGTGTTGAAACCGCCTATCCTGATTCCTTGACCAAAGGCGGCATCTGGATGGAGTTTGATCCTGCTAGAAAGGATTCCTATGATCAATTCGCCAAGTGCTCTGAAGAACAAAATGTTGATGTTCTGGTCAACAACGCAGGCTATGCTTTCATCGGTGGTGTCGAAGATACTAGGTTAGTGACCTCGTAGAATCTCCATTAAACTCCAAATTGCTTAATGCCAATGATTGCAGTGCGAGTTAAGTTCGTGATCAAGTGGAAGTCAATTTTTATGGACCTCTTCGCACTGTCCGAGCCTGTCTCCCAGTCATGCGTGCAAAAAGCTCCGGTCACATCCATTCTAATTAGTAGTGGCGCTGGGTATATTCCATTTTCCTATATCCTTTCAACGTTTGAATCATGGGACATTGCATATAAACAGTTTCATAGCCCGGCCTGCACGAGGTACCTATTCTGCCAGTAAATTTGCCATCGAAGCTATACACGAGTCGCTTTCCTGTGAGATCAAGATTCTTGGTATCAGAGTCCTCATAGTGGGGCCGGGTGCGTATCATACGCCATTATGAGTCGGATTATCACTCCTGCCCAGTTTGAGAATGGCTTCAGTGAGGGTTACAAGGGTACCTTGGTCAAGATAATAGTTGCTGGGACTCGACAGATTTTGTCGGTTCCAGACTTTGTTAAAAGAGACCCTAATAAAATAGCACGGGAAATCGTCGAGGCTACCATCATGGATTATGATTATCTTCATCTGCCCCTGGGAAAGGACTGTGCAGTTGCATTGGAGTCTAAGATTGGGGATCTACAGCAAGACCTGGAGGCTACCAGACTCATCGCAACAGAGAAATGGGTTCCGTCCGTCATACAGTAAACCCTCGCTATAAGCAATTAAATCAGACCGCTTGCTAAATTCCTTATAGCGGGGTATTCCTTATAGCGAATTTGGTCGACAGCACTGTTATATTATATATATAAATCTAAATGATACAGTAAATACAGCTTCCACTCATGAAAAAAAGGTCCGAATATCAGTCTGGTGTACAATTCGCATTTACCAGACCGTCGCCGTTTTCGGCAACTCCCCTGTTTGGGTTTAGCGCCGGTGTCTCGCGCACCCGATGAGGTTTAGTGTATACCCTATTAGGTTTAGCCTAACACACTATACTCTGAGGGGAACTGCCGCCTGTCTCCGCCTTCACATCGTCCGCCGACTATATAAGACCGCTGGTGCGTCGCTTGACGACCACTTCTTTTCATTTCCTTTACTTCCCTCACCAACGCCGCCTCCGGCTCCCCATTATGTGCACTGGATCAGACCGTTCCGTTTCCCACCATCTCCACCCATCGGAGATGACCGCACAACAACAAGGACCGCTCCGCCTCCATCTCCTCACCGTCAACATGCACCTTTGAAACCGCCAGGCAGCCATAAACTGCCTCCATGGTACGAATCACTGATATTATTGGATGGCACAATATGATCATGCGGTCATCGCATTATGACCTGGAGGAACGGGTCCTGTTGGCCGGCCCATGGTTGTGTCCAGCTAGGCGGCAGTGCTTGCTCTGAATCATCCAGCATCGACAAGTCTTACCTCTGCAAAGCAGCCGGATCTGAACACCAATGGCAAAAATGCCGCCTTTTTGCCGCTCTTCCTGACAGCAGGCCTTTGTGAATTCCTGTTGCATCACCCAGCCAAAGCCTAGAATTGATAAGCCGTTTGGCGCGTTTTCTGATTGCCTCAAGTGGGAAACTGATACGCCTGATTGGTTATATTTGAGGTTCATCGTGCTGAGATATTCTGTTGCAATTCTGCAATGTTCATAGCCGTTCGTATGTACTGCTAGCAGCCCGACTTGGACTGACTCTCAGAGGCAATGATGTGCCTGGCGGATCCTGCGTTGTTTGATTGTCTATCTCTACTGTTGGATTTTCCACTTATTGACAGAGCTGTACTGAGGTGAACCCCGCTAAGGCAGTTTAGATGACAATTTCAATCCCTTTCTATCTTTCCTGGTTCCCTCATGCATAGCTCATCCTTGTGCTAAGAATGGACTATGCTGAGATCCGGGAACGTTCAACCTGACTGCTCAGTATAATTTCCACAAGCAGCCGCACGGCATGCTTTTGTCAAACAAACTGCTACTGTAAGTTCCCCAATTAATTGATACAGGAATATATTCATTATTGCAGATCTGTAGCAGATACCAGTTGTCATTCTTTGGACTAGCTCTGTTTTGATACTGCCATGGAACCACATGATACCACCCATAGGACAGCCGTTATTTCTTCCAAGAATCATGGGCCTGCCGCAGGGACAATGTTACTGCCCGGGAACAGTTTGCCGCAGGATCAGGAACTCTGTAGGATAGTCATATATTTCCAAGAATCACGGCGTGTCACGCGGCCAGTTGCCGCAATGCCCTGAAAAAAGTACATTGTGAGTCAAATTCCGGACCATTCCCATAGATATATTTATTCCAAGACTTCACCAATAGGGAAAATGGATTGATACCCACGGCTCCACTTAAGATCGGTGCGAATGCCGAACCGTTTGGGTTCGCAGTAGAAGATCTGACTGATTGCGACACCATACAGTTCAGCAGATAGTATCTTAAATTGCATCATAATAATAATGCAACTAAATTGTTTTGGGAATCATGAATTAATGATGGTTAGCCGGGCATACACGGGCCGAAACTTACTGCATTTGGTGCCATGGGTCCAGGAGCTGTGACATTATTATTATTATTATTTAATCAAGTTTATTGTCCATACTGAGCCCTAGAGCTATGACAGACCATGATCCGTGGACTCGAGGCCAGCAGCTATTCTACAGTCCCTTGTCCCTATAGGTTCCTGAGGCGCTAGCCCCCTTCTATAATCTTTCTGACCCTTTTCCTCTCCCCAAGCCGCCTGTATGCACAGGGCTTTCGAGCAGAGTGCTCTCCTCATGTTTTGGAGCAGGGTGGGTGTGACCCAAGCTGGGATTCAGCTTAGGCTACCCTCCCTGCTACCCCTCTCCTGTTCTAACTGCCTCCTCCAATGCTTCCAGCCCCATTCCTCATCTTTTCGAGCTCTTTCCACTGCTCGTTGTAGATATCCCTGAGATAGGCCTACGCTGGTGCTGGCTAAGAATTGTAGCAGTGCCCTAGTCGCTTTGGGCTCCCCAAGAAGTCATCCTTGCGGGTGCCCTCTACAGCTAAGGGTCTCATAACCCGTCCACCTCCAGATCCTTATAGAGTTTGTTTTGTTGGTGTCGCCATTTTCGGCATTCAAAGAGCAGATGATGTGTTGTCTCCCCTGATACGCCGCACCCTTTACAGGTTGAATCCTCCTGGACCCGGACCTGATGTAGGTGTGCTCCTATAGCTGCATGTCCTGACTTCAGTTGAAAATACCGGCTTGCCAGGTGCTTGGGAGCCACTGAGCTATGACATTGAAAGGAAGCGGCTATTTGTTCAACCCAAGATTGTGGAAATCCGATTGGAAGAGAATGTCATCATTAAGAGTTGATCAACTGCTCAGGATCAGCTCTATATTTTTCTTAGTCAAAAATATAGCAGAAGTATAGGCTTTCAAGGCTTGCATAAACTTGCATCAGTTGTTGAAGAAGCCTGGAACACATTTTGAACCATTTCATATCTCTTGTCTCTTTCTTGCTCTTCTTTCAGTCTCTGAAGTGCAAACTGCGTGGAGAGCACTTAATTGCAACTTGAGGTGATGGGAGAAGTTTCAAACGCCAGACAGTTTTACCAGTATTGTTATGGGCTGATGATGTTGTTCAACAGAAGCGCATTGGTAAATTCCTCACTAAGCGATGTAATTTATATCACTTTGGAATTCCAGGAGTCGCTCCTTTGAAGATTGCGCTATCTTGTAAGGATGAATTTCTGTATCTAGCAACACCAGGAGGGGCATGGAGCCTAAAGCGACATTATTTTGATGCACTTCCTTTGAGCCTCCGGTTTAGCAGCCGAGTTTGTGAAGATAATTAAACTCATCGTGGCGCTTTGTAAGGGGTAAAGAAATAATGATAACTTATTCACATCGCTCTAAAATACGAGAGTAGGCACGAACTATAGAGTAGGCACTGTTAGAACTTGTGTAGCACAGAGGCCGCAGCGCGACCTCCGCAGTGCGGACTTATGCATTATTATCCATCATCTATTCATGTACATAGATAACAGGTCACATGACTAATGCCAGTCATGTGACCGCCGCGAGAATACTTTGCGGCGCTGGTGGTTGGACTTTAGACACCAGCGATTAGTCTCTTGAACACTACGCATATAGTCCGCAGTGCGCTCATCACGCTGTCTCAATCCCAACTGCTCTAACAGCCCCCTACATACTGGATCTTTGCCACTTTCAGACTGCATGGATGCTGTATATATTTAAATTTATATGCATGAAAGTAGGGTGCACATAATGACAGGTGCTTTATATCTGCTTGGCTGGATTGAATGGGGAAAGTGCAGAAAAGGAAGGAGGTTATGGCTGGTTACGGGAAACGAAGTTTAAGATTCACAAATACAGATCAATGTTTCATTACCATATCTATTTGTTTCCAATCTTCATAGCGATGAAGTAGTTCTGGCCACCCTCATCCCAGACATAAAGATCGGTCACCCTCTTGTTCTGAGTTCCCTCGTGAAAGGCAAGGGTGGGATACATGCCCTTGCAGTTAGGAGTGCCTGACAATGCTTGAAATACCTCCTTGTCGCAATCCTGGGTGACCTGAGTCAGCTGCTTCTCTCCAGAGCTAAGCTTCTTGAGCGCCTCCGAGATGATACTCTGTGTTCCCTCGTTGACAATATGAGAGCGAACCACCCATTTGAGGTCGTCTTTCTTGGAACCGGCTACCTCATCCCAGACTTGCATCATAAGCTCTGAAGCAGGGAGCTGATCCTTTTCATCATTGAGGTCATGCGCCTTGAAGTTGGAGGTTGCAAAAATGATACCATGACTTGGCATGTATCCATTCTGCCCGACAGGAGCTTGGCTGGCGAGGCCGAGCTCCTCAGTCTTGCCGTTCTTCGTCTGTTTCTGATTCTTGGAGAAGATGGATTTGCTGGTAAAGGTGTCGGTTCCTTTGACTCCCGATTTCCACTTTGAGCTGCGATCCAAGAGACCCCGCTTCAGCCTCTGTACAACATCTAAGGTGATTAGTGCAGTGGAACGCAGTGAGAGACCTCGTACAGTTATCCAGGGGAATCGAGAATGGGTTACAATCATTGAATGTGTCAGTTCCAAAGGGATTTCTGCACCACCAGTGGTTATTTTAAAGGGAAAGGAACATCAGGCTGCTTGGTATCAAGAACCTGCACTCCTTCAGGATAGGAATCGAGACTGGAGGATTGCAAAGAGTGACAATGGCTGGACAACAGATGAGATAGGCCTTCACTGGCTAAAGGATGTGTTTGAACCATATTCCAAACACCATTCAACTGGTGCAAAGCGGTTGCTTATTCTTGATGGTCATTCTAGCCATCTAAGGCAGAATTTGATACCTGCAAAAAGAACACAATTATCTGTCTCTGCATGCCACCTCATACATCTCATCTTCTTCAACCACTTGATGTTGGAGTCTTCGGGCCACTTAAGCGCGCATACAGCAAACTGGTTGAGGCGTTGATGGTTGCTGGAAATAACCACATTGACAAGGAGGATTTCCTGCATCTATATCCTTCTGCACGAGAAAAGGTCTTTAATCAACAGAATATCAGCAGCGGCTTTGCGGGAGCTGGTCTTAAGCCGCTTGATCAAGACCAGGTTCTTGAAAAGATTACTTTTCAACTTCGTACACCAACACCACCACTTGTTGAAGGTTCAATATCATCTGCTTTTCAAACACCTCAGAATCCTCGCCAGCTTGATCACAAGATCCACAGCTTGCAAAGAAGCCTTAATTCAAGAAATCGCAAGCTTTCCAGCAGTCCAATGTCTCATATCTATCATCTTGAGAAGACTGCACAGATGCAAATGAGTATGAATGTTCTTCTTCATGAGCGAATCAAGGTTTTAGAGGCCGAGAATGAGCAGAAAACTAGAAAGAAGGCAAGGAGACATGCTAGTCTAGGGAATGATTTACTTTTATCAGTACAGGAAGGTGAAAATCGAACTCAGCAGCTTGGTTTGCAGCTTAATGAGGATATTGGCGATTCTACACCTAGGCCTCGTCAGCGAGCTCCATCACACTGTAGTGGCTGTGGAACCATTGGACATACAATACGAAATTGTCCTAATAAATAACTATATATTCAACTAGTTAATAGTCGAATTTAATGGCATTGGTGGTTGAAAGCCTTTAAAAACATAGTGGGCGAGGCGAAAATTCGTCACTCGGCCGTATTCGTCACATGGCCGTGGATTACGTTAGCGGTAAAAAATCAATAAAATTCAATAGAAATAGTAGACGGACCCATAGATCTACTCCCTTCCCCGGGTATCGAGAGCCTCCAAATTACCCGGACTAAGTGAAGATTTTCACGTTCCCTCGATGACAGAATATTGCGTGCTTTGGTGTTGAGCATTGCGAAGGAAGGGAGTATGCAGATGGTGTGCTTGGTGTTTCTGCGGTATATATGGGGCAGCATGGCTTGAAGATAGGTTGTCTTCATTATTATTTCGTTATCCTTTGCAGAGTTATTTGGTGTTGGTCTTCCTTGTCAGAGTTTGCTGCATAGTTAAAGCACTCAATATCCTATAATCCGATATAATTGCGACGCTTGATCTTTATCTTCTTGTCTGTTGTCAGTCATTTAAAGCGAAATGGCACCCGGAATTGGAAATATCATCCTTCCAACCGTCAGCATACAACCCACAAAACAACCTCTCCCGCGACGCCAAACCACCCTATACCACCACAGCCAGGTAACAACCGACTCAGACGCTCTGCAATTCGAAGCCGCTGCATCCGAACAGCTCAAACTCCGCGATGGCACATCCAGTGACACACAATCATCAGAGGAAACCCTCCTGATAACCTCACCCTACAACTCCCCAAACCACCTCCTCGATCTAACAACGCTCGACACCGCAAACCAACTCTTCGCCAAAGCCCTCACCATCTTCACCCCCATCCGCCCCGGCTACGCCACAGCTCCATATCTCGAGTCTTTCAACTGGACGGCCGTCTTCTCGTTCCTCCGTGAACTCTCGCAAGCAGAGGAGTATCACTTCCCGCGAACAAGTTTCTACGTCGTCGCGTTCCGGTCGAAACTATTCCCTGATACGGATGGTGGCCGATTAGGTCTGTTAGACGACCATTCGCATCGGGAGGCGACGGAAAGCGGGGGGTTATTGAAATATTGGTTTGGGAGCAAAGACGGGGAGCATCGGAATTTGGCGACCTGTCTTTGGAGGAGTCGCGAGGATGCACGGAATGGGGGGATAGGACCGTGGCATCAGAAGGCGAGAGCGGCGGGGAGAGAGATGTATGAGAGCATTGATTTCAAGACCATGGAGTTGGTTGTTGAAGATGGAGTGTCTGGGTGGGAGATGAAGGATTGGAGTTAAATGTTGGTTTCAATGTGTATGAGCATGACAACATAGCATATTATTTGATACCCTAACATGCTAATAGAATGTTCTATTGTTAGTTACATGGAGTGAAGAAAAGAGTATCTTTCTCCGCCCGTGGTGTATAGAGTTCCGTGGAATTTTACGCCATTTCATGTTGCTCCACCACATCCACATCCATTTCGACGCTGAACAACACTGAATGACCGATTCCAAATCCGGGGTGCGGGGTCTACGGCAAATTAAATCACCGTGAATAACGGGTTGGTATTGCTTGGATACGATTGGGCTATTTATAATATCCATGGTATGTCATGTCGGTTCGTTTCCGATCGTCTAATATATAAGACTCACGGATTCACGTTAGCATCTGTTCAAACACCAACCCATCTAGTATAGCTATACAAGACAAGATGGTTGGAATTCAAGCCCAGAACCTGGCCGTCAACGATGGCCCATTGACCTCTGAAAATGCCGCTCTCCTACGTCCCTCCGATCCAAACATGCCCATCGAAGAACTCCGTCAACGCTACGAACAAGATGGCTATCTCTTCGTCAAGGGACTCCTCCCCCGCGAGGACGTCCTGGAAATGCGGCACCGCTACTTCGACTTTCTCGCCCCAACCGGCGTCCTCCAAGAAGACACCAACCCCGTCGAGGGCATCTTTAACAAAGCCAAATCGCCCGACGACTACCCGGGCATCGGCGCGGGACATGTGGGCAACAACGGCCGTCCCGGGGGTGACAGCGCGGCGCAATTTGTGGACAAGGCGATCGAGGCACATTACAAGGATTGGTATGCGGAGAAGTTCTGTAACCATCCTGATTTGTATGGGTTTGTGGCGCGGTTCATGGGGTGGGGGGATAATACGTTGTCGTTTAAGAGGACGTTGCTTAGGAATAACCCGCCGGGGTCGAAGCCGATTGGGGTGCATTATGATCAGATCTTTTTGAGGTATGGGGACCCGACTAGTGTTACTGCTTGGGTGCCTATTGGGGATATCAAGTTGAATGGAGGGGGGTTGATTTACCTTGAAGATGGTACGTCAGCCTACATACCGAGAATGTGCTACAAAGTACAACAATTAATGACTGCAGGTGACTCGGTTGGTCTGAAACTCGAGGAAGAATTCACCACCAGAGCCAAGCAAGCAGGCCTGACAGAAGAGGAATCCAGATCGGCGTTCAACTCGAATATGATGGCCACCGGTTTACTCTCCGAGTTTCCGGCTGAGTTTGCAAAGGAACAGGGCCGTCGATGGCTGGCGTCTTCCTACGAGGCTGGGGATGTTGTCCTGCACAAGCCGCATGCTGTATGTTCCTTACCCTAGACTCGGTCAAACAAACAGGTACTAATTACGTAGATCCATGCATCGACGGTCAATAATGACCCGGAAAATGTGATTAGACTGGCGACGGACCTCCGGTTCTGTGATTCTTCCAAGCCGTATGACAAGGTAGTTTCTACTCCGTGTGCTATCTTCGTACTGAGCACTGACTGATGTGATTTTGCAGCGATGGATGAACCACTATCAGTTTGGGGATGGCGTGTAGACAAGCATAAGCAGCAATCGATTGGTAATCATAATATCAGTATCATTCTCACCATAGGAATAGTAGTATGCAGATGCATTTTGTATAACATCAACATCGGTAACCCGGAAGGATAGAAATGCCGACTCTCCGCCGCTAGCCCCGCAGCTCAATTTGTTTCCCCTCTTCTGTTCTGTTCTTTTCTCCCCTTTCCCTCTCTCTTTTTTCCCTCTCTCTTCTCTCTTCATCCCATCTTCTATACCCCCATATCTCTTTATCTTTCTATCGTGAGTACCATCTTCAATTTCTAAATTCATCAGTCAACAGTCATTAACATACTCTACAGCATCTTCTCGCCTAATCTTCACAATGGCTGCTCCCGCTCAGAAGTTCAAGGTCGCCGACATCGTACGTACCACGTACCACTGTCCCATATCTACGATGTCCTCATTCATTGACCATACCCTAGTCCCTGGCTGCCTTTGGTCGCCGCGAGATCGAGCTCGCTGAGATCGAAATGCCCGGTCTTATGGCTATCCGCCGCAAGTACGGTGCTGAGCAGCCCCTCAAGGGCGCCCGTATCGCCGGTTGTCTTCACATGAGTACGTTTGTCCCGTCCGTCAGTGCTCTTAGGATTAGTACTGACTTCCACAGCTATCCAGACTGCTGTCCTCATTGAGACCCTCACTGCCCTCGGTGCTGAGGTTACCTGGACTAGCTGCAACATCTTCTCCACCCAGGACCACGCTGCCGCCGCCATTGCTGCCGCTGGTGTACCTGTCTTCGCCTGGAAGGGTGAGACCGATGAGGAGTACAACTGGTGCTTGGAGCAGCAGCTCTCTGCCTTCAAGGATGGCCAGAAACTCAACCTCATCCTCGATGACGGTGGTGACTTGACCGCCCTTGTCCACGACAAGTTCCCCGAGCAGCTCAACGGTTGCTACGGTCTCTCCGAGGAGACCACTACTGGTGTCCACAACCTCTACAGAATGCTCAAGGAGAACAAGCTCCAGGTCCCTGCCATCAATGTCAACGACTCCGTCACCAAGTCCAAGTTCGACAACCTCTACGGTTGCCGTGAGTCGCTTATTGACGGTATCAAGCGTGCCACCGACGTTATGATCGCCGGTAAGGTTGCCGTTGTTGCCGGTTACGGTGACGTCGGCAAGGGTTGCTCTGACGCCCTCCGCTCCATGGGTGCTCGCGTCCTTGTCACCGAGGTCGACCCCATCAACGCCCTCCAGGCTGCCGTCCAGGGCTACGAGGTCGCCACCATGGAGGACGCTGCTCCTCAGGGTCAGATCTTTGTCACCACCACCGGTTGCCGTGACATCCTGACTGGTGCTCACTTCGAGGTCATGCGTAACGACGCCATTGTTTGCAACATTGGTCACTTCGACATTGAGATTGACGTTGCCTGGCTCAAGGCCAACGCCAAGTCCGTCCAGAACATCAAGCCTCAGGTTGACCGTTACACCATGGCCAACGGCCGTAACATCATCCTCCTGGCTGAGGGTCGTCTTGTCAACCTTGGCTGTGCTACCGGCCACTCTTCGTTCGTCATGTCCTGCTCTTTCTCCAACCAGGTCCTCGCTCAGATCGCTCTCTTCCGTGCCGAGGATGTCGCTTTCGGCCAAAAGTACGCCGAGTTCGGTGCTTCCGGCAAGAAGCCCGTTGGTGTCTACGTCCTCCCCAAGGTCCTTGACGAGCAGGTCGCCCGTCTCCACTTGGACCACGTCAACGCCAAGCTGTCCGAGCTTACCCCCGTCCAGGCCGACTACCTTGGCCTGAATGTCCAGGGTCCCTTCAAGGGCGACATCTACCGCTACTAAGCTCATTTTTTCTCTCGTTTTTTCCCTTTCACGTCCACGTTTGATACACCTTCTATAGACATTTACATTTGTTTCAACATGATGACGATGTTACGATAACATACGGGTTCTTTATCAACTTAGAGCTCAAAAATTTTTGTCCTCAACGGCAAGACAAAAGTGGCATATATGGGGTTTTGTTTTAGGTTTTGTTTGTACGGGCGGCCTGGAGTATGTTTGCATTCAACAAAGCTTACAAGGTATTTCTTAATAAACAATGTATAATGATGCATGTTTTCAAGTACGTAGCTCGTAAATGCTGTGTATCTAAGGCAGCTGCATCAGCTCGAGCAGCGATTCTGCTACTGCCACAGCAAACCCTGGATCGTTAATGGCGCGGGCATCTCGTCGAATCTCAATCGACGTTCCAGCCAGCTCTTGCTCAAGCGTGTCAAAAAGCACCTTATCGGCTTCAGTATCATGAAATGCCTGCCCAGGCATATCCAACATACTAACACCACCAGTGGGCAAAACAAACTGGACCTTCTCCGGGTTCTTTGCACCACGCAACTTCTCCCCAATAAACCTTGCAATCCCACGACATTCCTCCTCCGTCGTTCTCATCAACGTAATACTGGGATTATGCTCATACAACCTCCTCCCCCCATCTCCGAATTGCGTCGGAACACTCTCCTTCGTCCCGAAATTCACCATATCACACGCTCCCACGCTAATCACCTGCGGGATGCCCTTCGCGGAAGCCGCGGACAGTCGTCCTGGGCCAGCTGATAGAATACCGCCAACCAACTCATCTGCGACCTCAGTGGTTGTTAGATCGAGGATAGCATCGAGTTGGGACTCGGCGATGAGCCGCTCCATAGCCTTCCCGCCTGCGCCAGTAGCATGGAAGACGTAGATTTCGTATTTTCCCGTGTGTTGTTCATCAAAGTATTCACGAACCCGATCAACGCAAGGAGTCGTAACCCCAAACATAGTAATACCAATCCGTTTCTTCCCTCCATTACCACAATCTGTATAATTCTGGAGATAAGAGGCAGCCATACCAGAAATAGCACCCGCCGCATTTCCCAGAATCCTCTCGAGAACCCAATTCCTCCCCGCAATATCAACAACGCTATACATCATCGTGATATCAGTCTCTTCGACATACGACTTCACATCACCAGATGCCATCGTCGAAACCATTAATTTTGGAAATCCCACGGGTAACGCATTCTGCATTATACCCGTTGCCAGCGATGTCCCGCATGATCCGCCTATGCTGATTGCGGCGTGGATGGAATGGGATTGATAGAGATTAGAGACGGTGGTTGTGGCGAGCGCGAGTATTTGCTTTATGTATTCTGAGCGGGAGAGGTTTGATACGTCGACATTGCTATCGGAGGAGGAAAGTAGGTCATGATGGGTTATGGTGATGTCAGGGTGTGTGGTTGCGGAGCGGCCGAGGTCGAGGAGGATAACTTTGGTTCCAGTGATGTTGGGGTTGGTGAGGATTTTGTCACGGACGAAACGTAGTTCGTCGAGTTTTGTATCACAGGTGCCTAAAAGGAGGATTGTTGTCATTGTGTTGTTTGTGGAGTGCTGGTGGATTGTACAGCGGAGAGATTGTTTATAAGGGTTTACTTCAGGTGCGGGGCTGAGTGAGCTCATTTTATCATCCTGCTTCAGACATTTACTTCACACAGTTCTTACACTTACTACACTATACGTAGCATACAAAATGCCCCATCCAACAACCCGCAAAGAAGTCCTTGACAGACTTCGCAAGACTATTGCTGATGGCTCCATTGTGGTTGGAGCAGGAGCTGGTACCTTCCCTTCCCAGGACAGACATGGATGACGGAAGCTGATAGTGTAGGCATTGGCCTCTCCGCCAAATTCATTGAGAAAGGAGGCGCGGACCTCATTCTCATCTACAACTCTGGTCGATTCCGCATGGCCGGACGAGGTTCGTTGGCAGGCTTAATGCCGTATTCGGATGCCAATCAGGTTGTGGTTGAGATGGTACGTATCTACACTCCTGCCCATAGGACCGATAAGAAGCTAATAAATGAAGGCAAGCGAAGTCCTCCCTATCGTCGAAAACACCCCCGTCCTCGCCGGCGTCTGCGGCACCGACCCCTTCCGCACAATGCCCGAATTCCTCACGCAGCTGAAAAACATCGGCTTCGTCGGCGTCCAGAACTTCCCCACCGTCGGCCTTATGGACGGCAACTTCCGCGCAAACCTTGAAGAAACCGGAATGGGCTACGACAAGGAAGTCGAGATGATCCGTGTCGCCCATGAACTCGACCTTGTCACTACACCCTACGTCTTCAACATCGATGAGGGGGAGCGTATGGCCCGCGCCGGCGCTGACGTCATTGTTGTACACCTTGGCTTAACGACGAGCGGGACAATTGGCGCGCAGACGGCTGTGACGCTAGATGATAGTGTGCGGATAGTGCAGGAAGTTAGGGATGCAGTTGTTAAGGTCAATCCGGAAGTTATTGTGTTGTGTCATGGGGGGCCTGTTGCGGAGCCGGGAGATGCAGAGTATGTGCTTAAGAGAACGAAGGGGGTGCATGGGTTTTTTGGGGCGAGTAGTATGGAGAGATTGCCGGTGGAGAAGGCGATTTTGGAGAATGCGAAGGCGTTCAAGAATTTGAAGGTTTAACGTCGGAGTATGCAGTTGTATATAGATCTGTCAGGCGGGTAATTAGTGGTTTCCTAATTGGTAATTAACCGTGATATAACCGAAGAGGGGACGGCGGGCTTTACCCGGAGTACAATATATTTACTGCATTTTGTCTTTTCTCTTCTCCTTCTCTCTCTTTCCTCCCAATTGCATTCCAATTAAATTCATACATTGGACAGAATGTCCCGCTCATTGGAAGGAAAATCTGGCATTGTCACCGGCGGATCGCGAGGTAAGTAAACACTTACAAGTAAGTTACCATGGTTATACCTGCTAACACGCGCAGGAATTGGCGCAGCAATTGCCCACAACCTCGCCTCCAAAGGATGCTCCATCCTGTTGAACTACACTTCTGAGTCTTCTCGCGAACGCACCGAATCCCTCTGCCAAAGCCTCTCCAGCACGCACTCCATTACCTGCCACGCCGTGCAAGCAGACCTCAATGACGCTCAAACCGCATCTAACACCATTCTCTCCGCAGCAAAAGAGCTCTTCACCAAAGATGGCAAATTTCAAATCGACATCTTGATCAACAACGCCGGCGTCTCAAAAGACCGCTTCCTCAACGACGAAACCAAAGGCCCCATCGACCCAGACTACTTCTACTGGCAATATAACATCAACGTCCTAGCACCCCTCCTCCTCACCCAAACTGTCGCCCCATTCCTCCCCCAAAACCGCACCGGTCGTATTGTCAATATCTCCAGCGTTTCATCCTCCCTAGGCTTCACCGGCCAATCCGTCTATGGCGGCACAAAAGCCGCCCTCGAAGCAATGACGCGCACCTGGGCCCGCGAGCTCGCCGACCGCGCCACTGTCAATGCCATCAACCCCGGCCCTGTCGTCGGGGACATGTACTTTGCAACCGGGGAGGCGTTCTGGCGCCAGATGCAGGGGTATATGGATGCGACGCCCTTGAGTAAGGTGCTTGAGGGAGATGAGAAAATGGGTAGTTTGACAGAGGAGCAGAAGACAGCGATTCAGGAGAAGATGGGTGGGAGGAGGCCAGCTTTTACGAGTGAGATTGCGGGGGTGGTGGGGATGTTGTGTACAGGGGATGGGGAGTGGTGTACGGGGAGTGTGGTTTGTGCTAATGGGGGGATGAGGATGGGTATTTGATACCCCTGTAGTTGTACTGTCTTGCACATAAAACTAGAATTTCAATTGCTCGGTCTACGGAAGTACTTAGACAAACATATTACTTCCAGTTCTCTATTTAGTATGATATCACGTGGAGAATGACGTCACTTCCGCCATCACCTCGACCTCACCCAACATCGACACTCAACATAACATCAACATCTACTCGAACCAATTGACACTATAATTTACAAAATGTCTCTTCGAACAACCCGTCTCACATCCCTGCTCACCCGAGCAGCCGCAAGCGCACCGTCCACGACCCTCCGCCCGTTACTGGGAGCTTCATCCACCCGAATTCCCAGCCAAAGCTCAAGACAGACTCAACTATTCCCCTTAAAAATCTCGAACCAAGTCCAAGCTAGAGGCTATGCCATCGGCGCTACAACCGGAAAGTCACAGAGCGATCTTCTCGTCGATGAGTTACAAGAATTGTACTCCTCCCCATCCCCACCATCCCACCCTCCTCCCACCAAACGCTCAAAAGCAACGAACTAATACCAAACCAAGATATGAAATCGCAAAAGATGAATTTGAAATCGCAACTGACAGCACCGACAACGCCACCATATACGCCGCCTCCGACCGCGACTCCTGCCGCGACGCCCTAAACCAGTTCATCGCGACCTACTCCCTCTACACATCTTCGGAGATCCGGCCGACGGCCGAATCGCATCAGCCACAGCAGGCGCAGCCAGATGATAGTGGGATGGATGCCGTGGGTACGGGGTATGACCCTGCGGATATTGAACCGACGGTTAGGGAAGAGGTGAAGAAGAGGGTTGGACAGAGGGTTAGGGAGTTGGAGAATGCGGTGCAGCTTTTGGAGGAGAGGGCGCAGGCTGATTGATTAGTTCTTCGGGGTCTTTATACGTCTGTAGAATAGGATATTAAGAGTATATTGCATCTATATGGCAGTGGCACCAGTTTAATACTCGGATATTCAATAAGTATCATAATCATGGACCAGGTTGCAGATTTTAGAAGCCGGAACGCCGAACCCTCATTAGTGTGCATCGTATACCAACTAAGCGATTATCCCGTACGAAAGCGCGAACTCTTCAGTCTCGGGTGATGTGGAAAAAGATGGCATTTCTTCTTTGTGCGTCGATTTTATGTGTCGCTTCAGTTGATCTATGCGTTGTCAGTATGATCCATGGTAGACATACCGGAACGGGTGACATACCAGGTCGTGTAAAGCTCTTAGTACACCCAAGGAAGTGACATTTGTGCCGTCGTTCGCCGTGTGTGAGACGGTGGCTTGACATGTTCGAAGACTGCAGGGTTAGCTTTTGCATTCGCAACAATAAGTAGGGCATCTTACATCGCCAGTCTGGAAGTTACATCCAGGATAGGTGCACCTGAATGGCTTTTCGCCCGTATGTGTCCGCGAGTGGGTTTCTATCATGCCACCGTCAGTAATGTGCATATGTGAAAAACTAAGGACGGGGACGTACTCAGTTCGCTGCTATCGGTAAATGTCTTTCCACAATCTGTACACTTGTACGGTTTCTCGCCTCGGTGGCTTCGTTCGTGTCGGTCCAGAGTGGCTTGTCGGGCGAATACCTTGCCGCAGACGATGCATTTGAAGTTTTTATCTATGCTAGTTAGCACTAGGTTAAAGTAAGAAAGGGAGACAACGAACAATTGCTATGTGTCAAAAAGTGTCCCTGAAGTTTCGACTTTTGCGAAAATGGCTCGTGCGGTCGGTGGCATCCTTCCCAGCAACAATAGTACCCATTACCCTTAGCTCCATCCACGGTGGACATGTGGCTGGAGATGAGATGCTTCTGGAGAGCACCTGCGTCTGCGAAAGTAGCACCGCAAGGATGTTTAACACCGTGAAGGGTGGTTGTCCATTTGCAGACATTCACCTCCCGGTCCACAGGAGAGAAGTCCGGGCTGGTGATCACGGATGAGGCGCCGCCATCTAGTGGCGGAGGGGTCTCGCCAGGACTGGAGATCAAATGGGAGCTGATGCTCGATCGGGGCTGTCGTGAGTAGGGAGAGTATGGGTGTGCGTGGCCGTGAGCATGGGCGCGACAGCGATGATGAGAACGACAGGGTCCTTTGGCTGGGGCATGATCGCCTGCATTGACCGATTTTGGCTGGTGGCGGTGGTGGCGGTGACAATTGTTATCATTATTGGCGGTGTTGGCATTGGCATTATTATCATGAATAGTATGGTTGAGATGGTTGTTGTCGGTGTGAAAGCATGAAAAGAAGGCCGATGTATCGTTCAGGTGGTAATTGTGTTGACAGTGTTGCTCTTCTGGGATTGGGCAACTCGACAGGTCCGGGCACATGCCCAGCATGTGGAAAACATCCGCCGGGTTAACTCCATTCTGTACAGCATACGGAGGATGTACCGAGTGATGAAATTGACAGTTATCGAAGTGATTCGGGACGTGCGGGTGGCAATGAGCCACTGGTGTCGATGAGTATGGGGGAAAGAAGGAGGAAGGATCGGTAGGATTAGGGTGGTGAGAAGGGGTGTCTAAGTTAGCCGAAGCGGAAGGGACTGTGGTCTTAGGCTGCTCAAGCTGACTGTGTCCAAGAGTCGAAGAGAGAAGATCACTCGTCTCCAGATTCAAGGGGGCTCCCAGCCCTAAGAACGATTCCAAGCCACGGTCGGCATCGTTCTCGGTTCCATTGAAGCAATGGTCTTCAAAACACACGGGCTCGTCACTCTCGCAGTTATCGTCGCAATGTGATACGGAACACGCATCGGACTGATCACAATCGACGAAACCATCGCATACTGACGGACAAGTGATGGAACAGTTATCGGCACAGTCATCCGCCTCGCAGCATGTCTCGTCCACATCCGCATCCGCCTCGCACCGGGACAAGGTGTGGTGTTCCTCTCCGGGGCAGACAGGGTCAGACGGCTCTTTCTCCTTGGGGTCCGATGTGTCGTTAGACTCTTTGCCGTCGAGGCGGAATCCCTCCCAATGGCACTCGAGGCAGTAGTCGTCCTTGTTTTGAGCCATTGCGCGATTTGTTTCTTGCAGTACCTTCCAGTGCTAGTCCAAAGGAAAGAAGGACACACACCAGCAAATCTCTTGTGCCTCGCTGGGGATTAAGATCAACGGAGATCTTGCAGACGGAGAGTCCTCGGTGAAAAGACCGTTAAAAATCTAACAAGGTTAACGACCAGCCATAAACTGATATCAACCTGAACACACCTGTAGTCGGAGGACCTTCAGTGTCAACAACAGCCAGTATGAAGCAGAGGATTCAAAAAAGCGAAAATGAGTGTGGACAGTGCTTTCAGTCAGATAGCCGATACATCGGAAAAGACAGCAGCAAGCAAGACTCAAAACGTGACCGCCGCCACTCAACTTCTCGTAATGAGGACCTTGGGAGCTTGGTAGTAGAGGTGGGGAGAAATAATGCAAGCAACAGGAACACTCTCCATCGTCGACATCACCACCGAATCACGACTGTCAGAATTGCTACTCTTTCCTTTTCGGGCGAGGGGGGGAAATTGACCCTGGGCGGAGAACAGCGGCAATTTGGATGAGGACCTTGCGGACGGCGGAGAGTGGAGGACCTTGGGGATTACCCAGGCGGCCAATTAGAGGATGGCTGATTGAGAAATGATGTAACGCCGGCCTATGCGTCCTACTAGCCCGATTTGGTTATTAATCTGGTTTAGTGTAAGTCAATTACCGCTAATTTCAATCACGTGTACAACGCCTCGTTCGTTACTCTGTACTGCATAACTGGAGCATGGCGTATGCAGTACTGTTGTATATCTTGAAATCTGGATACCTTCGAAAACACATTACTCGTCTGCACACTCAGCATCGCATGCTCAGCCAAAGCACCCTCTAATCAGCCAGCATCCCGACGGCTGCCTAACACTGCTGTAACTGCGACTGCGACGAGAATCCTCATACAACAACTACCATCCTCCTGCGCATCCTCAATAATACACAGACCACCATGGGAAACATTTGCTCCCGTTCCGCAAACAAACCTGACGACCCCTTCACCCATCCCGGCCGCTCCCTCGGCTCCTCCGCACCCTCCCAACACCAACATCACAATCGTGCCCCCTCCGCCCGCGTTCCCAACAAGCAACAGCCCTTCAAAGCCCCAGGACGGACACTAGGCGGCGGCGAAGAGGAGCCGGGGACAGGCACGGATGCACGGACTAGAGCGGCTTTGGCGGCGCAGGTATGTCGTTTCCTTATTCCCATACCAGTTGATGGTAGGACGTAGGCTAACGAGTGCAGGCACGAGCGGACGCAGTGCAGTCGTCGAATAAAGGAAAGCTCGGGACGAAATTGGCAGCGCAGAAATCGATGACACAGGCGCAGGCGTTGAATGAGGCGAGTCAGTCCGAGCGCGCTGCTAGAGATGCGGATGGGGTGGCTGAGGCGAGGAGGTGGCAATGAGTTTTCGAACTGGTATACTCAAGTATATACACATTGATGCCGATACGAGAGCGTGTTTGATGTTATTTTATATGGGTTCTGACTGTTGGTTCTGTTTATTGACGGGTTCGCGCATATACATTCTTTCTAGCGCTAGCGGAGCTATGGAGTTATGGCAAGATGCATTCGGTTGCAATAGAAATCACCTGCATGTTCAATATAATACATTTGGTATACTGCGTAAACAACCAGACGAAGAAGATCAAACAACGTTATACCGTCCTCCCACCGGCGCTCTCGATTCACTATCCGCAGCTGCCATCGTGCCCTCCTTGAGCAACCGCATCAACTCGCGCATCGCATTCGTGACAGACAACTCAGTTTCACCCTCAACCAAAATATACAGCTTGGGGTTCTCGCCCGGCGCAGGCCCCTTGCCTGTCCCATAGAAGCTTCCCTTGGTTGTAATCGATGTACCAGTCGCTTCGAGGATCTTGGCCACGTTCGTTCGGTTGGTGACGGCCCATCGTGCTTTTTCTGTTGAACGGGTGCATTAGCAATTGATTCGTGTAACAATACAAAGCATAATACAAATGCAGAAAAAGGGTAAGGGACTTACGGGGAAAGTCGTTGATCTCCAGAGTTGCGTGGAACGCTCCCGCATCCGGTCCACGGTTGTCAATAGGCACACCGGATCTCATCACACCAGCCTTGCTCAAACGTGCGTGAATATCAGCAACCGCAGTGCCAACCTTGTCCAATGGATTCTTCGACACGCTGGCTGGGTCCCTCTCAGTCCGATGAACAGTGATCTTGCCGTCCAGATCGATACCCTTGGGAACGCCGGGTAGTGCTGCGGACGACTGTACCTGCGAGACGACCTTGTTGAATTTCTCTTCGGCCTTCTCGTTCTTCTCTTCCTTTTCGTCCTCTTCTTCGTTTTCGTCACCAGTCTTGTACGTCTTACGTTCACGCATTCGTGCCGCATCTCGTTCCTGATCCAGTCGCTCCAGACCTTTACCACCAAAACCTGAGGCGCTGGTGCTCTTCTTCTCCTTTCCGGCTCGAACTTTCTCCAGGAATGTGTCGACCAGCTTTTGAACGTCTTCTGGCACATCTTGTTCGCTCTGCTTCAATGCCTTGGCGATGTCAACAGAGTACCGATCTTGATCTTCTGTCAGGAAGGTTACTGCTGTACCGGTGTTACCAGCACGACCGGTTCGACCAGCTCGATGAACGTAGTCTTCTAAGTGATTAGGTGCATCGTAGTTCACAACAAGTTTAAGCTGCTTCACATCCAGACCACGGGCTGCAACGGAGGTGGCCACCAATACGGGGAAAATGCCCGCTTTGAAGTCTTGAATCGTCGAGTCTCGGTCAACTTGGTCTTTGCCTCCGTGAATTGACATGCAAGGGTAGCCCTTGCGCATTAATTCACGGAGAAGGGTATCGGCGGCCTCTTGACGATCGACGAATATCAGGGCTCTAGCATCTTCATTCCGCTCGTCGTCGTACAGATTGCCCAGCAGCTCGAGCAGTCGCACAAACTTCTTGTCTTCGTTGCGGACTTCGACAATTTGCGTGATCTCAGGAGCAACGACACTCTTGCCTCCAACGACTATTTCAACTGGCTTGTTCAAAGTTTTACGCGCGAGGCCCTCCATATTCTTGGGGAAGGTCGCTGAAAACAGTACGGTTTGACGGTCGGGTCGTACATTTGCCATAATTTTCATCACCTGAGGCTCGAAACCCATGTCAAACATACGATCCGCTTCGTCCAGAACCACGTAGGTAACTCGCCGCAGATTGGTGACTCTGCCCGCATTCGCCGCAAGCAAATCGATCATCCGACCCGGAGTACACACGATGATTTCGGCACCACGCTTGAGATCCGCGATCTGGTCTTTAATCGGTGCACCTCCATAAGCACAAACTGCCCGAAGGCCCAAAGCTTTCAGGAACGGTTTGCAGTCCTTGTGAATTTGAGTGGCCAACTCACGCGTAGGAGTCATGATGAGACCGACAGGTCCCTCCATATTCTCCAACGGCCTCTGGTCTTTGATGTGCCGGAACATGGGTATCAAGAATGCAATAGTCTTTCCGGATCCTGTCTTCGCCACACCGATCAAATCGCGACCACTCATGATTGCTGGGATCGCCTGAGCCTGGATTGAAGTGAGACTTTCATAGCCGAGTTTATCAACGACGTCCAAAGTCTGCACGCCCAACCCACACTGGGACCACTTCTGCACAGGTTTGGGAACATCAACACCCCGTACTTTGATCCCATCAAGTTCCATCCGCAAGGTTGCCGCGTCCTCTTCAGACATCTGGGCCAGGTCGGATGGTTCCGTGTAGAACTTCTTTCGGAAAGGTTCATATTCAGCCTTTGCGTGGTCGACTGTGGGAATGTCCTTTTTCTTCTTGGTCTTGTTTGCAATTGCAAGGAAGTCATCAGCATCACCATCCCCTACCGCCGTCATGTCATATTCATCCGCAAAGATGGTCTCTGGCCCCTGTTCCTTCTGTTTGGAAAATTTGGCGCCTGTGGTCTTCTTGGGTGGTCCAGAATCCGTTAATTCCGACATGAATGCGTCCAAAGGATCAACCTCTTCCTGTTGTTCTACCTCCATAGAATCTTCTGGTTGATGAGAAGCATCTTGCATCTCAACATCTCCGTTTGGTTGACCATTGGACTGCACCTGGAGTAATCGCTCTTCTCGCCTTTCAGCGGCCGCCCTTGCCGCAGCTGCATTTTCTTCTTCGGTTCCGCCCTCTTGCATATCGACATCATCATCCTCATCCTCCGTCGCAGGAATGGTATCCTTAGCATCATCTAATGGGGGAGTGGGCAGCTTCTCGAGTTTCCTCCGTGTGGATTCTTCTTCACCAAATCCCAAAGTCTTGATGGCAGACGATTTCTCAGTATCCGCGGAGGGTCTGGAGCCTAAGCCAAACCCACCCACATTGCCCTTTGTTTTGAAGGCAGCTTGGTATAATGTTAGCATCAGATTAGACTAACATCAGGATGAAGGGAGAAACGCTTACATGAGGACGCAGATGAGGGCACACTAGATTGTGCAGCAGACGCCTTGACAACTTGGGGGACCGCAACATCCTCACCAAGTACGGCGGGCGCGGTTGTCGTAGGTGTGACACTTTTAGCAATCGCCTTCGGGTCAAATTTTCGAGTGGACACGGCAGAAGTGGCATCGGTAGCTGGTGCAGCAGTAGTTTCGGGAGCGTTTGTGGTCGGTAATGCGCCGGACTTTCTGTCTATTTCTTCCAGTATACTTCTCGCGCCACCCGATCCAGTCTGTTCTCGTTGTTTCCGTTCCTTCTCGGCAGCTTGCTTTTGCTTCCACGCTTCCAACTTGGCTAGTCTTTCGGCCCGTTTTCCCTCGTCCGTAGGGGCTGCGGCGGGGGTGGATGGTTTCGAGGCCTGTTAGAAAGAAGAATCTCGTTAGAGACAACCAATTATAGTAATAACAGCAGAAAATGAGGCCATACCGGTGAGTCCCTGCCCGATACACGGTCACGGCTATCATCCCGCCTAGACTTGTGCTTCAAGTCAGCAGAACCGTCTGTCCGTCTCCGAGTCCTGTCGCGGGAATCATCTCGCCTGCCTCGGTAATCTCTCTCGCGACTTCTTCGACGGTAATCGCGGTCATCGTCTCTGTCTTTGGACCGCCGACGGTCGCGAGAGCGCTCTCTCCGACTAGGCCTGTAGCTAGGTTCGTCCCGATGATTGTCGCGTCTGTCTAACGAGCGGTCGCGTCTCCGGTATGAATCACGATCGCGTTCACGTTCACGGTATCGCCTCTGCAAAAACGAGTTAGACAACTGAGACAAAACTGGAAAGGAGAACCGTTCACCTACCCCCGGGCTGCGAGATCGGCGATAACTGCGTCCATCATCTCGCCTGTTTCGCTCATATCGATCATCATCTCTGCGACTCCGCTTGGACGAAGAGTATGTGCTGCCTACAGGTGATGGTGAGCGAGAATCCCCGTGGCGAGCCATTGTTGCAGGCCAACGATAAGTGAGTATTACTAAGGACTCAAAAGTAACTCGAGCACGGTAATAAGGATAACAGAGCGAGTGAGTATGGTTACCCTTTAGTAGAATTGCCGGCAAAAATGGCTGCTGTTGACGCTGTTCCTGGAGTGGTTATTGGTGTTGTTACTTTTTGGTCGAAAAGGCCCGAGGCGGTTATCAGTCATGTGACATGACATTATCGATAGAGTCACGTGTTTAAATTTCCCCGATTCGGGACCAATCAAACGAAACTGGGGACGCGAGCTTCACCTCCCGCTTTCCATCCCTGCCACAACAGGAAGCTAGTCTAACGTTCATTGTTGCTTTTGTACATCATCCACTAGCATTTGCAGAAACTCTTACCCACTGTGGCCTAGCTTCAGCCATTTGCAAAAATGGTGCTGAACTTGGCTCCGCGGGGTGCGGGTGCTTTCCAGCCCCTTCACCTTGCTAAGGTCCTCTCTCGTCCTCGTGTCGCTTTCATCCACAGCTATGCTCGGCGCATCTCTCCAGCTACGAATGGTCTCATTTCGAACCCAGCTACCAACGGTATCTTTCCTGTCGTAGTTCGTGCTGGTAGTCTGATCAATTCCTACGCTACCACTGCTGGTCGCGGTCGTTCAAAGGCAGGAGCTCAGAAGAAGACGACCAAGAGCTCCAAGTCTGACGAGAAGGCCGCTCCCAAGAAAAAGGCAGCTAAGACCACAACCAAGCCCCAGTCCAAGGCCAAGCCAAAGCCGAAGCCGAAGCCGAAGAAGAAGGTCTTAACAGAGAAGCAGAAGGAGGCCAAGAAGGCTAAAGAATTCCGTGAAAAGGTCAAGGAGCTCAAAGCTACTGCTTTGGAACCTCCAAAAAGGCTTCCAGAGCAGCCTTGGACTGTCACCTTCCAGAGTGTATATCCCGAAGCTGCGAAGAACAACGAAAAGGGTGTGCCATCGTTCAGAGCCGCCGTGGAATTGGCTAAGTCGATCAGTCCGGAGCAGAAAGAGGTTTGATGGCCCCAAATCTATGATTCCCTGGCCTAGGACACCAGCTAACATCAGTGAACAGAGATATGTTGCTACTGCCCACGCTAACAGAGCCTCCAATATTGCCGCCTTCGACGAATGGCTCAAGAGGCACACTCCTTTGCAAATCAAGGAAGCGAACCACGCCCGCCGGAGGCTGGCACAGCTTGGGAAGGCTTCTCTCCCCCAACTTCACGATAGCAGATTAGTCAAGCGCCCCAGAACAGCATACCTCTTGTACTTTACCGAACGATTCGAACATGGCGATTTCAAGCACATGGGTGCAAAGGATATGATCATTCGCGTGGCAGAGGAATGGAAGGGCTTGACGGATGCCGAAAAATTGGTATGTAGCTACACAAGACTACTTTCAAGGTAACGAAAGCTAACAGAAGGATATAGAAATACCAGAAATTGCAGGCGAGCGACCTTGACCGTTACAAGAAGGAGTACAAACAGACCTATGGCCAGGAAGTCTGATCGATTGACCTCGACATAGATGGTATGGGTCAGAAGAATCTTAACGCACGTCACGGGGACTGTTTTTGTATTTTATTAGGCGCAAGAATCACCATGTTTACGTTTCGTTGACCACGGTCTTGAGGGAGTTTTCGAGTTGTTTTTAATGAATTGTATGTTTTGATGTGTTTCACTCAGTTCTTCATGCAAAATGTATACCATTAGCTTGCTTATTCAATAATAGCCCTTGAAGCGCAGCTGCAAGTAATATTTGTAGTGACAGACCAGCCCTTTTAGCCGATCCAATGCATCGGTACCAGCCTGCAATAAAAGTCCTCGAAAAGCACCAGAAGCTTCCCGTGTAGCATAAACAAGTCGTCAACGATGTGGCTGTATGAACGTTTACTTGGCCCGGGATCCGTCTTGACCGCCGAGGCCGAAGAATGGAAAGGCCTTCGCAAGTGTTTCAATCCTGGCTTTGCGCCGAAGCATCCCGTGACCCCTCTGCCTGCGATTATGGATAAGGTAGGACAGTTTCTCAGGAACCTTGATCGACAAAATACTAACGATGAGGCATTTAGGTTGGATGAACTGTGCAGCAGTCTCAAGCTTAGCATCATCAGTGGGTTTATGTTTGGCAGTCGGTTTGGCGTTGGACTGCTCTGATATCAAGATCTAGGTGCGATGACGATGGGGATGGAATTTGGTGCCCAGCTCGACAAGAAGCACCAAAATGAATTTGTCCAGTTCCATCGTGAACTGACTGCCAACTATAAAAGCGGCAGTAGTAGTAACAGAAGCGTGCAGTGAATCTGGCTTTTGAGGCCACGAACAGTTCTACATCGGCGACGAGTAGATCGTCGGATTGATCGGCTGCTGAACGGACACATTTAACGTGTGTTCGCGGAGCGGCAGCAATCTGAGAGCACAGGGAGTAGAAAAGGTCGCAGTGTACCTTCTGTGTCCAGAAAGCCGATAACCTAGACTCAAATATATTAGACCAAACCTGTGATCAGCTGAAGAGCCTCCTTTCTGCTGGTCACGACACAACTAGCATTGTGCTGCAATGGACGTTTTGCGAGCTCAGTCTCGCCCCGCATATCCTGAAGACTATCTGGGATGAGCTCGATGAGACATTTTGGGTCGAATCTGGCATTGGCCAGACGCGAGACAAGCTGTGTTCTCCCTAGGGCGAAGAACTGATCAACCATATGTACTACATGTCTGCTGTGATCAAGGAGATACTGCGACTCTATCCGCCATCTGGATCAGCGCGGTATATGAGCCCTGGCTCTGAATTCACTGTCCAGCTTCCGGACAATGAGGGCACACTGTGATCAGACAGGATGCTTGCATACAACTGCGAGACACTCGTGCGCCACGACTTATTCCAGAACGCTGGTTTGACAGCAACCCCCACCGGGCACCACCCAGAGACTGGTGACCGCTCGAGCGGGGTCCGCGCAATTGCATCGGGCAAGAACTGTTAATACTGAAGGCGCGAGTAATCGTGGCATGTGCTGTTCGGCGATATGATTTTGCCAAAGTTGGACCAGGAGTTGTGGTGCTAGATAACCAGAGAAATTTGAAATTAAATGACAGAGGACAGTATGAGGTGGAATCGCCGTTGTATAATGTGGGTTATCTTTGCGTTGTCTCAAGCTTAGATTGGATTGCTGACTATGTACTACTACACCTGGAACAGACAATGCAAGTAACAGCAAAGCCGGTTGATGGCATGAGGATGCGAGTTTCAACTGTCGGGCACGTTGGGGGTGTCACTCCTTGATCCGCACGTTCAGTTTAACACTCTCGCATGAGGCTTACATACAAGTAATTTGCGTGCGTATACACTGCGTGTATAGACATTTCTCCGATGCAGATGGCCATCTTCAAATTGCGACAAGATGCACAATATGGGATGGCAATGCTCCGGAATGACTCAACATTTACATTTAGAATAATTAAATTGCAGCAAATGCGTATTCAAATCTGGTGATCTGCCCTGCAATGTTGGACAACTGGCAATTCTCCTCCTCGTGCCAGTTATGATTGGCGACAAGCCGCTGTCAAAGCCCGGGGGTGCTGCTCCTCCTCTGATGCGGTGTGAATAGAATATGTGTCGTCACTTGGAGTCGATATCCTGTAAATAATAGCCTGTCCTAATAGTTTTGTATTGGTAGAGAGACGGTACCTGGATTTTTGTCTCTTCTTCTATGGCCAATTCCTCGGGGATGCGAAGCTTCGGGTAGTATAGCGCAGACGCTTCCCCAGCCACCGGTTTCTCTTCCCCAGCGTATGAGGAAAAGAAGGGACGGCAAGAAAAGAAAAACAAGACGATCACCAGCCATTTCAGTATTCAGATCGTGCTGAGCATAATTTATTCTATTCAGCTGCACTCTGCGCGCATTCCAGTGACCTTTTTCTCTTCTGCTTTCTTCCCCCACCGCCCGTGAATCACTGCTGTTCGATGACTTCGCTATCCCTCTCTTCTCTGTTTCTTTTTATCCCTCTATAGTTCAGTATAATACTTCTCTGGCTTAATTATCAATATTTTATTATTTTATTTTGCCGTGTATCCAAGTACTGTTTACCGTCCTCCTGATGAATCCTCTGTCGTGATACTCCCCCGCTGCACAGCGACATACGGGCATTGCCATCTGCTCTGTGTGACCGGCTGCGACAACCTGGCGCAAAACAAATATTATACCGATCAGTTCTATCGTCATTTGTCGTCGCGCCGTTTTGTCTGCATCGTGGATTGCTAAGGACCGAGCTTATCGCGGGTAATATCAAAAAACAGACTGCTTGATTGCAGTCTGTCGCGGCAACATGGATTTCATGACTTCGCCTGCAGGATCGCACGCACCAGGACCTACGCGCATTACTCCCAAAGGTCGATTATCCCAAACTCCATGGCATCGATTAACGGACTCGAAATATGACGTGGTGGTCCCTCGGATCGGGTCGCGAAATTTGGACCCATGGGTGGAATTGGGTATGAACCAGGTGTGTTTGGAGCTTATCACCACGACAGGGCTATGGGATTTCACTGACGATAGCAGTTGCCGGGACCGGATCTACTATATGAAGATGGCGAATCGCTTTCCTACCATGCCTTCTCTCCACCCTCCTATCATGATGCCGTACACGATATCCCCCCAGAATACTCCTCCGCCATTGCACCATTAGCCCAGCGGAAATGCTTCGTCCATGAGCCTGCTCCCTCGAGACCCTCGAAGCCCAGATCTGCACTTATCGTTGACTTCAAATCGTCCGGAATTCGCGAACACAAAGGCGGCAAGAAGGTCAAGAAGAGGCCAGTCCAACACTCCACGCCGCAGGAAACACCACCACCAAATGAACAACCACCCCCGGATGATGGGAAAGGTGGTGGCGACGCAGGTGGTACGGGCGATGGAAACGGAGACGACGGCGCAGGCGGTGGTGGTGGGGGGGGAGGTGACGATGACGATGAATGGGGACTGACCGCGACCGCCAGGAAAAAGAACAAGAAGAAGAAGAAGGAGGAAGAAGAGCGGCAAGCGAAAGAGGAGGAGGAGAGAAAGGCCAAAGAAGAGGAAGAGAAGAAAGCTGCAGAAGAGGCCGCCGCTGAAAAGAAAAAGAAGGGCAGGGTATGACGCTCCCAAACTCTGATTTAAACAAAGTCTTTGTTAACTCCTGGCTATAGGTTACTACGCTGGCTGAACCTGAACAACCTCCGGATTCTTTTCAGGATGTCAATCTGAATGAAAGCCAGCCGCAGCGCGACACTGGCTCGGACGCTCCTGCGACACAATCAAAAGGCTTCAGTCTCGGTGGTTGGGCTGGTAGTTGGCTTACTGGCAAGAGCTCTAAAGAGGACAGCAACAGTAACCACTGGTCTTCTGGCGCCGAAAACGATACTCCAAAGAGGACACCAGGGGGATTTGATTTCGGCAACCTTGAACAGCCTGTGAACGAAGCTCCGGAAGCAAAACAGACCGAAGAGGACGACTGGGGCGCTTTTGTCACGAACAAGAAGGACAAGAAAAAGAAGAAAGACACCATCGTGGAAGAGCCCTTGAAAGAACAGGAACCCGAGCCTGAACCCGAGCCTGCGCCTTCAGCTCCTGAACCTGAACCTGAACCTGAACCAGAGCCCGAGCCCGAGCCTGCTCCCGAGGCACCGCCCGCGGAGGAGGAAGAGCCTGAGGATAGCTCATGGGGCTGGGGTCTCGGACTTTTGAAGAAGGATAAAAAGAAGACGAAGAGGGAATCCAAGATGGAGGTGCCTCCACCCGCCCCAGAACCTATCCCCGAAAAACCCACCGAAGAGAACGCCGAGAAGGCCAACGCCTGGGATCCACCGGTTAAGAAAGAGAAGAAGAAAACGAGTCCCCTTGATATCCTACTTGGCGCAACATCCTCATCTGCGTTGAATCGTCCACTGGCACCCAAGGTTGCTGGCCCGGACGACGACTGGTCGAGCGCTTGGACTTCGTCGAGTAATCAGAAAGTGGGCATGAGGGGAGTTACGAAGGGTTATGTTATCGACGAACATCCGACCGTCGAAGAGCCTCCACCGGCACCCGAACCACCACCAGCGGTACAAGAGGAAGACGGTGGCTGGTCAGCATGGAATCCCCCTAAGGAAAAAAGGAAAAAGAAGAGCAGATTTGAGTCAGAGCCCGAACCTGAACGAGAAGAACCCGCTCTTGAACTCGAGCCCGAGCCTGAACCTGAACCGCCAGCGCCTACGTTACCGGATGATCCTCTTTACGACAAGTGGGACGATCTTTCAAGCAAGGATAGGAAAAGGCGTGAGAAGTCACTGAAAAGGAGAGGTCTCCCAATCCCTGGTATAGATTTCGAATGGCCACCACCTGCGCCCGCACCTCCAAAGGAACCTGCGCCAGAACCTGAACCTGAACCTGAACCAGAGCCCGAGCTTGAGCCCGAGCCCGAGCCAGAACCAGCACCGGAGCCAGAGCCAGAGCCAGCACCTACATTACCAGACGACCCCCTCTATGATAACTGGGATGGTTTATCCAGCAAGGATAAGAAGCGACGTGAAAAGTCACTGAAGAGGAGGGGTCTTCCAGTCCCTGGAATCGACTTTGAATGGCCACCACCTTCTCGTCCTTCAGCGGAACCTGAGCCAGAGCCAAAATCTGAGCCCGAACCCGAACCCGAACCTACCCCAGAGCCAGAGCCAGAGCATGTGCCTGAGCCAGAACCAGAACCAGCGCCCACGTTGCCAGATAATCCTCTCTATGACAATTGGGATAATCTCTCAAGTTCTGACAAGAGGCGGCGTGAAAAGGTGATGAAGAGGAAAGGCCTTCCAGTACCAGTGGTAGACTTTGAATGGCCACCAACATCACCGCCGCCGCCTCCTCCAGCGGAACCAGAGCCAGAGCCTGAACCTCAACCTGAACCAGCAACTTTACCCACATTGCCAAACAACCCTCTCTATGAAAACTGGGACAATCTTTCAAGCTATGACAAGAGGAGACGTGAAAAGGTGATGAAGAGGATAGGCCTCCCAATACCAGCAATAGACTTTGAATGGCCACCACCGCCTCCCCCAGCAGAGCTTGAGCCCGAGCCCGAGCCCGAGCCCGAGTCAAAACTAGAACCAGCTCCAGGGCCCACATTGCCAGACAACCCTCTTTATGACAACTGGGACAATCTGTCGAGCTATGACAAGAGAAGGCGTGAAAAGGTGATGCAAAGGAAAGGTCTCCCAATACCAGGAGTAGACTTTGAATGGCCACCTCCCCTAGCGGAACCTGAGCTAGAACCGGAGCCGGAGCCGGAGCCGGAGCCGGAGCTTCCAGCGCCCACTTTGCCAGACAACCCTCTTTATGAAAATTGGGACAATCTGTCAAGTTATGACAAGAAAAGGCGTGAAAAGGTGATGCAAAAGAAAGGCCTCCCAATACCAGGAGTAGACTTTGAGTGGCCGCCTCCTCCTTCAGCAAAACCTGAGCCAGAACCTGAGCGTGAGCCAGAGCCTCCAACGCCCACTTTGCCAGATGATCCTCTTTATGATAACTGGGATAAGCTTATGAGTACTGACAAGAGAAGGCGTGAGAGGTTGCTGAAAAAGAAGGGCCTTCCTGTTCCTGGAACAGACTTTCAGTGGCCACCATCACCTCCTCCAGCGGAGCCTGAGCCTGAACCCCCGGCACCAACTTTACCAGACAATCCTCTCTACAATGATTGGGATAACCTCATGAGTACAGACAAGAGAAGGCGTGAGAGATTAATGAGGAAGAGAGGCCTTCCAGTCCCTGGGGTGGATTTTGAGTGGCCGCCACCTACTCCAACAGAATCTGATCCTAAGCCTGAAGTTCCTGAACCTGAGCCCGAGCCCCAGCCCCAGCACCCAGCACCGACTTTACCAGACAATCCTCTCTATGATAACTGGGATAATCTCTCAGGTACTGACAAAAGGAGGCGTGAGAGATCATTGAAGAAGAGAGGTCTTCCAGTCCCTGGGGTAGATATTGGATGGCCGCCGCCTCCAGCAAATCCTGAGCCGGAACCAGAGCCAGAGTCCCCAGCACCAACTTTGCCAGATGACCCTCTCTATGATAATTGGAATAATCTTTCAGGTATTGATAAGAGGAGGCGTGAGAGATTACTGAAGAAGAGAGGTCTCCCAATTCCTGGAGTGGATTTTGACTGGCCGCCTATTGAACCTCCTCCAGCGGAAATTGAGCATGAACCACCCGCGGAACCAGAACAAGAATCTCCTGAACACGAGCAACCTACTGACGACTGGGGTCTTTGGTCTGTCCCGCAAGAAAAGAAGAGCAAGAACGGCAGATACGCAGAACAACCTCCACCTCCCGCACCTACTCCACCCTCTCTGGGTCTCTTCGGGGATCCTGAACCTATTCCTGAACATCACCTGGGTGACCCGTACTACGACGAATGGAATACTCCCTCGAAGCCACCGAAGAAGGCGGAGGAGTCTTCCAAATCAAACGGTCCCAAAGGGTTCTGGGCGACGCTTAGTGCTGCAGCTATGGGCATTAAGAATTCTACGACCCCCGAGAAAAAGGACGAGACGCCAACAATCCCCGAGGAACCTGAGGAAGAGGAGAAAAACGAGCCGAAATTAGATGAAGAACCGCTCATTGATATTGGCGATGAGCCACCAGCAGAGCCTGCTGAACCTGCTGAACCCGACCCTGAGGCGTCTCCCGCGCCTGCTGCAGACGAGGTAGACGCGTCAGCCGCCCCGCCAACGCCAACAAAGATCCCTGTTAGGTCCAAATCATCGGGGAAGACGTCTCTTTTTAAAACCTTGGAAAAAACCAGGAAAGAGAAGATAAAGGAGAAAACGCCAACAAAATCTAAGTCGAGAATACCTGAACCGTCCAAGAGGTTGAAGGCGGCGGAGCGCGATTCAGTGCCCGGAGGACTCCCGGGCGCCTTTGACGATAACCCCCAAGAGCCGCCCCCTGATCCGGAACCCGCGCCAGAGCCAGAACACGAGGCAGACCCACTGCCGGATCCACAAACAGAACCAACTCCATCGCGCGCTCCGCCAACTACATTGTTGTCCAAAACCGACAAGAAAAATAAGAAGAAGGGCAATATACTCGAAACTGTCCCTGAAGCGCCATCTCAACCAGAACCTGAACCACCTGCTGAACCTGAGCCCGAACCTGCGCCAGAACCAGAGCCAGAGCTGGAGTCGGAGCCGGAGCCTGGTCCCATCTTATCTTGGCCGCTGTTCTCATCAAAGCCAAAAAAGACTAAGAAGAGAGCAGTTGAGCCCGATCCTGCGCCTGCGCCTGAACCTGAGCCCGAGCTAGAACCGGAACCAGAACCAGCGCCAGCACCCACATTGCCGGATCACCCTCTCTATGATAACTGGGATAATCTTTCAAGTACTGACAAGAGGAGGCGTGAGAAATCATTGAAGAAGAGAAGTCTTCCAGTCCCTGGGGTAGACTTTGAGTGGCCGCCACCAGCAGAACCTGAGCCGGAGCCGGAGCCCCCCGCGCCAGAGCCTGAACCGGAGCCTGAACTTGAGCCTGAACCTGAGGAGCCGGATCCAGAGCCAGAGCCTCAATCTATCTATTCTTGGCCATTCCTGTCAACCAAGACCAAGAAGTCCAAAACAATTGAGCCGGAGCCGGAGCCGGAGCCCACTCCTGAGCCAGAGCCAGAGCCAGAGCCAGAGCCAGAGCCAGAGCCAGAGCCAGAGCCAGAGCCCTCAGCACCGACTTTACCAGACAACCCTCTCTATGACAACTGGGATAATCTCTCAAGTACTGACAAGAGGAGGCGTGAGAGATCACTGAAAAAGAGAGGTCTTCCTGTCCCTGGGGTAGATTTTGAGTGGCCACCACCTCCAGCAGAACCTGAGCCTGCTCCTGAGCCTGAGCCCGAACCCGAACCCGAGCCAGAACCTGAACCTGCTCCGCCAAAACGAAAGTCTAAAACGGTCAAGTCCGACCCCTGGCCAATTCTATTAACGAAGACGGACAAGAAGAAAAAGAAGTCCAAATCTACTCCTGAATCTCCGCCTCCGCCAGAGCCTGAACCGAAACTGGAACCAATACCAGATCCAGAACCGGAGCCCGAACCGGAGCCTGAACCCACTGCTCCTGAACCAGAACCGGAGTCGGAATCTGAGGAAGAACCCATCATCACCTGGCCGTTCTTTGTGTCAAAGGGCAAGAAGAAGAAATCTAAGCCTGTCGAACCAGAACCAGAACCAGAGCCTGCGCCAGAGCCTGAACCTGAACCCGAATCAGAGTCCAATCCATCGGAAGAAGAACCAGATCCGGAGCCTGAGCCTGAGCCTCCTGCTCCTGAACCGGAACCGGAGTCGGAGTCGGCCTCTGACGCAGAACCCATTATCTCCTGGCCCTTTTTTATGGGAAGGAGCAAGAAGAAGGCGCCCAAACCTGCAGAACCTGAACTTGGGCCTGAACCCGAACCTGCACCTGATCCAGAACCAGAGCCAAAGCCGGAGCCGGAGCCAGAGCCAGAGCCAGAGCCAGATCCAGAGCCGGAACCAGAACCAGAACCTGAGCCCGAGCCAGTTCAAGCGAAGGCAGAAAAGAAGAAAAAGAAGAAGTCTAGGGCTGTTGAACCGGAGCCCGAGCCGGAGCCAGAGCCAGTGCCTCTGACAAAAGCAGAGAGGAAGAAAAAGAAGAAGAAATCCAGGGTTGTCGAGTCAGAACCCGAACCTGCGCCTGATCCAGAGCCCGAGCTTAAACCCGAGCTTGAACCCGAGCCAGAACCTGAACCGGGGCCAAAGGTGGAAAGGAAGAAAAGGAGATCCAGGATCGTTGAACCTCCCCCGGAAGAGGTACCTTCAGAATCGGGACAGGAATCTGAGCTTGAACCTGAACCTGAACCTGAGAAATCTGCCAAGAGGAGTAAAAAGACTGCAACGATTAGGGAGCCACCAGCGGAGGATACTCAACCCTCAGAGGAACCAGAAGTCGAACACAAAGCTCCTCCAACACCTCCGCCTGAGCCTGAGCCCGAAAAGCGAAGAAAGAAGCAACGGGCTCGTATCGAGCAACCGGCTAAGCCAAGTCATCGAGATTCCAAGCACCGAGAAATTGACACCCCGAGGCGATCAAAATCCAACAGACACTCCAAATCGCGAGGGCTCGAAAACGAAGACAAGATGTCATCTGGATCTGAAATTGAGCAAGAAGAAAGGGAGCGACAGGAACGACGAGAAAGGCATCGAGAATCTAAGCAGAACAAGGAGATGGGTTTCTCGAACGTCTTCCTCCGCGAACGGCCACAGTCCTTCGGCCGATCGAAATCGTACAGACGGCATGAGTCTAAGCGTCCATCTATGGAATTCGATGAGCCTAGAGTACCTTCACCCCCGCCAGAGGACCCACCAATGGTCTCTGATAAGGTGGCCAGAATGATGGGTCTGGGTGGTGATGCGAATGGTGGCATTAATGGTCGCTCCAAGTCGCGAAAGGACAAGCATGCATCAAAGAGAAGATCTAGTAAGTTTCTACTTTTTTGCTACGACTATAGCAGTATTTAATGTTGTACAGGGGCTCATTCGTATGGCAATGGTGATGATGATATGGTCATTGTGAATGAAGAAGATGCCGAAGGCCCGTCGCCAAGAGATTCAAGAGAATCAAGGCACCCGAAAAGGCGACATAGTAAAAAGGTGAGTAAACATCTTTAAGTGAATAATCAATAGTTCGCTGATTTATTTGTGTCACGTAGTCAAAACCTCGGCCCGAAGATCCTCCAGACGACGTTGCTATGGGTGATGCGGATCAGGTCCCGGAAGTGGTTTCAGGACCTGACGATATAGCCTTTGTCGAACCACCACCCCGAGAACGTCGCCTCAAACGGACCAACACTGTGCCAAAGAAAGAGGGTCTCATGGGATTTTTCCAATCGGTTAAACAAAAAGCGACCCGTCAGGAAGTGCCGGAACGACGCAAGTCCCGTCATTACCATCGTGATGAGGACAAGTTTGCGACGGATCCTGAACGGGATGATCGACGGCGGCGGCGGGACGACAGAAGGAGACGCCACGCAAGAGAAGACACTGATGCTGATGGTTTCGCAACTGAAGGTGTTCCTGGAGAGTTCCCAGATCCGGAGGAAGAAGAAGTGGAGGCTAGACGAGCGGCTCGCAGAGCACGTCGTGCTTCACGCTATGGAACTCCTGACGACATGGAAGTTCGCGACGGTGAAGAGAGACGGGCTAGGCGAAAAGATAAAGAAAAAGCTGCTCGTGATGCTCACGAAAGACAACTTCGAGAAGAGGAGGATGAGGAAGAAAGACGTCGAGAAGAGAAGAGAGCTCGTCGAGCTGCGCGCGAGGAGCGTCGAGTCCGCGAAGAACGAGAGGCCAGGGAAGCTGAAGAGCGCGCTGAAGCGAAATCAGCAGACCGACGCGAACGACGTCGCATGAAGGACGATAAGATGACAAGTGGAATGTCCAGGCACGGCACAAAATCGAGACGCCATCGCTCGCGCGCCGGAGACAGGATTCCTGATGAGTTTCCTCCCGAGTACCAATACCACACCGAACCCGAACCTCAACCTCGCCATCACCGCTCCCACCGCTCCGTCGACGAAGGAGCCAAGAGGCGGAATCGTCACAGGCCTCGTGCTCCAGAGCCCCCTAATGACCCGCCACCAATGATGACCGGAGGGAAAAGAGAAAAGATATCCTCTTGGGTTCATTCCCAAGCCGACGATCCGCCGGAGCCGCCACCGGTTGTACCGACCTTAGTTGATATTCCGCCTCCTCCAGACGAGCCACTAAATACGCACTCGATTTCTTCAGACGAGGAAGCACGCCGTGACTTACGTCGACGAGCACGAAGACGCGCGCGGCATCCAGATCATGAGATCGAGGAGAGGCGCCCGAGGAGACGCGATGAGTCTCTCCCCGAACCTGAACGGAAGAGTAGCTCTGGAAGTGGCGAGCATCATGGCGCGCAAGCTGGTATTGGGGCGAAAATCGTACCTGGTTGGTTGAAGAGATTCACCGTGGGATAGTGTCATCCGCTTCTTTATGGAGATGGCCAGGTCAGCTTGATGCGACAGCTTATAATGATTTGACGACTTTGGATGATTTTGTTCATGGTGATGATTTTATGTTTGGATATACGCCTATATTTTGTTATGAGTTATGATGTTTCCTGTGTTCTGCACGATCTGTTTATTATAAACGATGTATACCACTGCTATGTATTCCTAATACCGAGTTTGATTATGAATCCAATAAACAATCTATCCATTCTATAATGTCAACCATGCCAAGTTCATGCTATATAACACCCTCACCCTCTTTCTTCTGCCCTTTACCATCCCTATCCTTCCGTCTACTTTCGAGATAAAACCTCCCTGCCTCGTAGATACTCAAGTACAACCCCAGCGAAACTGCCGTCCACGCAGCCCGAATCAGTCCTCCTTTAAAAAGCCCCTTTATGCCCTCGTTCTCCCAAATATCCTTTCCAACATCTATTGTCCCCCGCGTCCCTATCTTCTTCATCGTATCCGGTCCAGGAGCAGCACCATCCCCTTCGCCACTAACATGTCCGTTACTAGCAGCCAACATAACCCTCGTCTTCACCACATCAATCGGCGTAGTAACAACTGAAGCAATCATCCCCGACAAACCCGCCGAAAACCCAGTCAAAGCCGCCCGCTCCAGCACAGGGTTCCACTCCTGTATCCGCCCCAATTCGCCCCCATTCCCATCCTTATCCTTCCTCTTCTCCTCCTGCCTCCAATCAACAACATGTGAGCGCACATACTCAAAAAGAGGGAAATGCAACCCCGTAAACGGTAAATTCCTTCCCACAAGCGCTGCATACCCACTCCACAATTTCCATGGTTTATGTCTGAATCGCGAAAACACCTGTATCGCAGCAGTTTGTTGACCACCGCTCTTCTCGATAACCTGCGCGTTCTGCTTTAGGACTTCTGCAGGGGTGATCATGAGGCAGGAGACCACTTCTGCGGATGAGGAGGCTATTGCATGGACGATGGGGGTGGGGAGGGAGTGGAGGATGGGGTATTTGTGGATTGTTTCGTTTTGGGATTGGGAGGAGCGTTGGGCGCGGGTTGTCGTGCTCGTTTCGCCGAGTGTGTATTTTGCGGCTTCATAGGTTGTGAAGAATGCGCCAGCTGTTTATCACCAGTATCCATTAGCACATATGTTCATCCCATGGTATATACAGCCGTGGTATATGCGCAGAGGAAAAGGCCATACAAGCGGGTATCGTCGACAACACCACACTCCAAACACCCTGATACACGCCCCTGAAGAGAATATCGCGTCGTATGGCTCCGGTTTTGGCGTCTTTGTAACGTTTCCCGTAGTCCGGGGCTTGGATGCGGGTTTTGAGAGTGTCGAACGGGTAAACTAAGAAGTCAACTGTTACGGCTGCTATGGCGCCGGCCTGCAAGTATTAGCAATGAGCACTTGCTTGTACTTTCAAAATACTATATGTTGAGCTTGTATAAGTGAATGGGATATAGCATCATAGGGTGAGTGCGGGATGGTAGGGCTGGCGTACAATCCAGATGTCGGTGTTGGTATTATACATTATGGCAGTTAGATACTAATGAGGATCAAACAAAAATATGAATTCTAACTAATAACAAGAGCCTGAATGAAAGCAACTCAGACTGGTATCTTATCTAATCGGACGATGGAATAGTGAGGTCATCGCCATGTTCATTACCACCGCCATCACGTGTGGCCCATGCCCTATTCAATACAGGGTCAGCTCTACAGCAATGTCAGCTTGGGAGGGAAAAGAAAGAAAGCATAGAGACATAATGCAGGTCATATCCCGTAACTCTATTCGTTACCGGAATAGCGCAAACAAAGAAACTCGTAAGATCAATCAGATACAAAATGAAAAGTAAAAAAAGAAAAGTTTTCCCCTCCCTACGCCGTAAAGGTCATATTCATATATGCAAATCCAAAATCCCCTAGTTATGAGACACAGATCATACCATGAGACAGCCACCTCCTCCCTCTCTTCCTGAACTTATTTGGTGGTCTCTCCGGGCAAAAGGTTACCCTTGACGGCAAACATCTTGCCTGTCGTGGCCGAAACGAAGCCGTCAACCTGACGCGCGTACTGTTCCACTTGTCGGCTGTTGAGCATGCTCTCCAGGCGGCTAGGCTCCTGGGGCAGCTTGAACAACCGTTGCCATTCGTCCTCGGGAAGGAGGGGCTGCTTGAGAGTTGCACGGGTGGCGTTCTCGGTCTTGCGCTTTTGCTGCCAGTTGTTGATCTTAGTCTGTTCACGAGCGAGCGCACGCTGGTAGTATTGGAAGTTGTTGGTCTCGGTATGGTGAGTCTCGATGCTGTCAAAGAGAAGCTCGCAGTTCTTCTCGAGGAAGGGGTCGACATTGAGCGACAGGTTATCAAAGTTAGGGGTAAGAACGGAGGACTTGGCGTAAGAGCTGGATTCCAAGGCGGCCAAAGATGGGGGGAGGTCCGTAGGGCCTGAGTTGGGGGTCTGGAGTTGGTGGATGAAAGAGGTGATCAAGTGGGAGTTGTGGATTTCGACAGGCAGTTCAATGAAGATGTCCTGGTACCTCAAGTTGGACTTTTGCAACCTTTTGATATATTAGCTTTGTTCACTTTACTCAGAATTTAAGGCAAATCGCACTCTTCGGTCGTAAACTTGTTCTCCTTGAACGCAGTCATAAACTTGGGCGACAGACGGAACGCTCTAAGGCTCAGGGTACCCTGGGCGCTACGGCTGACATCGTGAACAAGAGCGACTGTCCGCTCGTTCATCTCCTTCTGGTAAAAGAACTGGTTCTCGATCACGTTCATGTTGACAAAGTTGCCCATGTTCGCACTGGTGTACCAACCGACATTGTTCGCATCGACATTAACCTCGCGGAGCATCCGGATCATTTCCGCCTGGTAGGCCACGTTTGCCTTCGCACGGGGGGCAGCAGCGGCTGGATTGGGCGCAGCGTTGTCAAAGTGCGACTCGGGGGGCAAATCGACCACGGGGAACGGGAAGCAGTTGGTGATCTCCAGGGTACCATCAACATCCATACCAACGATCGAACCGGTTGCGGTGGTCGGGAACGACTGGGAGCCGTGCTTGATGATTTTCATGGCCACCTATACGCGTGGGGTATGAGTATATGATTTTTTTCTTTACGGAGGGGAGTCGTACCAGGGCCTCGACCTTGACGGCCGCGAGGGGAGCTCCTTTTCTGTTGCATATTAGCAAGACCCTAGACAGGATACCATTAAGCATGAACTTACTCGGCCATTTTGAATATAGCGCAGACAAACGTATGGACGACTGGCAGCGGTGGTGGAGGAGGACAGGTCGGGCTCGTTTGTGTGGAAGACAATTTCCACCGCCTAGCACCTAATATGGTTAGCGCGCCAAGACTGGGAGATAGCAACTTTTAAGCCTCAACTTGGCCGAATTGGGAAAATTTGGACGGAACAATAGGCTATTTTCTTTCTTAGAGGACGTAAAAAGCTTACCATGAAGAGGATATGATGTGAATCAGCCTAGGGGCAGATTGGTGGGCAATTTCCTCTCCAGAATTAACCGACATGGTAGTACATACGTGTCAATCAAGTGAAGGATAACCTAAGATGCTTTCCCCTCCGTTACTCTTACATCTACGCTTTTGCTCCTCTTGGATTAGGCTTTTCTCAAAACTACCATGTCTGAACAACTCATTGAAGAGACTCTCCGATACGGTCCTCACTCTCTCCAGACTATAACCGTCGCTAGCGTCCCAAATGGACCTTTAACTGGCCTCTGGGTAGTGTACGTCCACACCCCAGAACCGCCAGTCATCTGAAGTCAAGGAATTCAACTAATGATGCAATGGCATAGTCTCATCCACGGCGGCGCTTGGCGTGACCCAGCTCAAACCGCCGGTTCCTTCCTCCGCCCCGCTGCATCCATCCTCAAGTCCAATCCCACCTACGGCACCGTATTCTCACGAATTGCTGGTTTCGCGTCCATCAGCTACAGACTCAGTGCTCATCCAAATCACCCACAAGACCCCCAGACCACGGATGCGCACGAACTCCGCAATGTCAAACATCCGGATCACATCCGCGACGTACAAGCGGCGCTGAGGCTTCTGCAGAGCACCTACGGCTTTGGGGAGAGATATCTTCTTGCGGGACATAGTTGTGGAGCTACCTTAGCGTTTCAATGTGTGATGGACGAGTTCCATAATGATAGAGATAGTTTCGCTCAGCCGATGGCAATCCTGGGAACCGAGGGCATCTATGATGTGAAACTTTTGCGAGATACCCATAAGCATATTACTGCGTACCAGGAGTTCTCCGAGGGCGCTTTTGGCTCTGATGAATCCGTCTGGGATGCCGCTTCTCCCGCCGCAAAAGGAGAAGATGGTTTGTCTGGTGTCGAGCGTGGTTGGGAGTCTGGGTTAGTGGCTATAGTCGCGCATTCGGAAGAGGACAGCTTGGTTGATAGGGGTCAAGCAAGTGCGATGACGAATGCCCTTTACCGCTGGGAAGCGCAGGAGCCGTCGACTCGGCGTGTCGTTTGGCTACAGCTGAGGGGCGAGCATGATGAGCCGTGGGAGAAGGGCGACGAACTGGCAAGGGCAGTTACTGCCACGATCCAGGAATTATCTCGTAATGTGATAGCGTAGCCGATGATATTTGTCATTTATACTGAATTTGACAAAGCTTTGAACGGCTTAGTAAATTTTTTTTTTTTTGAACAACCCTAAACCTGATGTATGACGCCTGATTGACAGTACATACAAGAAAATCGTCAAGTTGATGCTTGCTATCTCCCCGGAGAGCGTTCCACCGCTCAACTCAATTGCCATTATCTAACTCAATACACCAGGTATGGACGCGGTTCTGTCGCTTGTAGTTGGCATAGTCCCCGCCATGCTAGTACTCAAGCGTATTTGCAGCGGCTTTTCTAGGGCTGGCCATCATTGCCGTTAGAAGGCGACAGATAAACGTTCTCCCCGAGATCCAGTACCGTTTATGGCAGCGAGAATATTTGGATCTCGCGAAACCAGTATGAGCCATCAGCAAAGCGTTCACCTCCGAAGGAAAAAAAATTGAATATCTCCAATCTTGGAAAAAAAGATTTCAAAACATACAGAGATTTTGCAAAGGAATTATACCTCTTTGATGAGAGGAATTGTTGGAGGAGAGACAGGCGTCGTCTGGGGGTTTGAGCATGTGTTGATGTATATTTGGTTATATGATTGCTTCCCTCACGTCGTAAAGGATAAAACCCGAAAAATCAGCACAGTGTAGTCATTCAGTCATTGGAACAGACCTTTGACACTTTCTTTCTGTCCTTCTTCGAAACGTCCTCGATGGCTCGAACGACCGTGGGTTCATGACAATTCACTGTAGGGAAGGTTCCTGTCTCAATAGCTCGAGCTTCCTTTGGACCCCAGCTTCTTGTCTCTACTCCCTCTTCCAATCATCGCACTTTCTCGCACACCAGAGACGCTATTATTGCGGTCCTCCAGCCCCTCGGCAACCACATCTTTGAAATGTTATCAAAGATAGTCAATATTGTTGGGGTTTTCATCCCTGCGCTGACCATCATCGCCGCCACGCATATAATCTTGAACTCAGATGTTGCCTGACTTGTTGTCGCCACCAGACTCTAAGAGTACGACATATAAAACACGTCTGGGATTGTCCAATGCTAACGTAAGCTTATCTAGACAACCTGATTAGTGCATTCGCGTGGCTTGGAAAGTTTTTATGCTGTTTGGCACCGGATTGTGAGACGTCAGGCCGGCTACAAGTTCAGGAAGGGTCGATGATGCGCAGATGCACGTCTAAAGCAAACATGTTATCCAGACTTCAATGCGACGCCTACCCAGTCAATGTGATAAATATAGTAGGACAAGGTCATTCTCAGTACCATATACTCCGATATATGACAGCCTTTTTTTTTACCTTATCCTCTACAAATCTACCGTGGTTGACCGTTGCACGCTAATGAAGAATGGACGAATATGATGTATTTCCGAAAACGGCAAGCGACATCTGCACCGCCACCAAGGCCACAAGCTGCCACACGTTAGTCTCCGAATAGATATGACATCATTCCTCCAGATCACCCTTAAAACATAAGCTGAGATCTCGCTCTCCACCAAACCATCTCATCTTGAATTTCTACCATCTCATCTTAACTGAAACTTGTACCCAGATATAACCCCCCAAAAGTATAATAACCATGCCTCTTGTTATCCCACAAGTCTCCCAGGGTGATAAGGGCGAGTGGCTCAACAAGCTCGCCGGCAAGAAGATTAGCGAGAATACTAGCGATGTTAATGTATGTTGACACTTCTTACTGATAAGACACTCGAAACTTATTGAATATAGACATTCGCAAAGACAGACCTTCCTGAAGAGCATCGTATCATCAAGCCTAATGACCCGGTGACTATGGATCTTAGACCAAACCGGTATGTATCCTCTTAAGTACAGTCTCCTGTTTTGGAGACATGGGTGGCTAATGCCTGATTTGGTTATAGGTTGAATATCCATTTGGATGAGCAGGGCGTTGTTCATGATGTTGGATTTTTCTAGATATGATTTGTATACCCGAACTTTTTCTGTATTTGATTTTGCTACAAGTATGATAACGTGATAATGCGAATGCCACCCACAGACCAGTTTGATAATATGTTAGCTAGTTAGTCCTAGTGGAGTTACGTTTCGATGCGAAGGATGGATGGCTGTTAGTTTGAATGCTCTATTTTGTGTTGCCACACTTTTATGGCTATGACGGCTGATGTAAACTTCATTAATCAATTACTCTTAATCGCCATTGAGAGGCAGCTCATTGAGTACCTTGAATGTATTTTCCTACTGGCAACTGGCCTGCAGTCACGGTTGATCGATTACGGACAGGCTCCGTTCCCTTGTATCCAAACAGTGGCTCTATGCCCAGTAGTCCGTACCGTGTAATGCAATCATTCCGAATCAGAACCATAGTCAGCCAAGCCAAGAGATGCAGCTGGTTTTGGAGGTTCTGTTGGCTTCGAACTCGTCGCCTTCGTACTTTCTGCGGGCTTCCCAGGATTGTTAGAGCCCGGTGACGATTGTGGCTCTTGCCGAGGCGCAGCCGGGCCACTTTTCGCAGGTCCTGTGCTCTTCTCCCCCTCAGTGGTAGGTTGGTTTCCCTCCATCTTCTTCCCAGTTGGCGGAGAGTCCTCACCAGTACCCTCAGCAGTAGATTTCCGCTTTTTGCCGGGAATCAAAGAGTCTTTTTTCTTCTCCCGTCGCCGTTTGCGCCCCGGAATCTTCCAGTCCTCTGCTTCAGCAGCTGGAATGACATTAGCAGAGCCATCTTCCAGGAGAGCTTTTTCAGCCTCCTCGCGCTGCTTTCGGAACACCTCAAGCTGGTCCGCCGTGTCTTTCTTCACAGCCGCTTCCTGGGCCCGTGTTGATTCCATTATCGAGTCTAGGAAATCAACTTCGTCTTCATCCAGTGACCGGAACTGATTCTTCAATTTGATCTTCTCCTCAAAGGCTTCCTGCTTGGCCACTATCATCCAACAAATGTCACCCCTAACATGTCAGCCCAGAACGATCCGGTAAAAACCGGGCCAGTCTTTCCCACTGCCCCCGGTCACTGATAGAGCTTACTCTTGTTCTGCTCCAGGACATCGAAGAGACTCTTGCCACCATCCTGCTTGCCTAAGTCCGCTTTGCGCTTTCGTTCCTCTTCGAGTTCTCGTTGGACGCGCTGCCAGTCATCATCGCGCTCTACCGGTTCATCGTTTGTGCCTGCGGAGACGAAGCCGGAAGACATCTTGATCGGATAAATCGGGAAAGATTGAGAATCTGCTGTTTCAATCATGGAACTAGTGCCGCGCCCTGCGCTGTTGTGGTGGACATTCCTCCGAGGATGGTTGTGGCAGAATGAGGCGGTAGAGGTGATATAATGTATTATTGGACGAAAATAGCTCCACTTTTATTTAGCCAAAATGCGTGATTACTCACCACCCGGTAATTAGCTGGCTATTTCGTTTCCTAAACGGGACGCATAGACAGAACTCGGATAAATGACTGCAGCACGAGATGGAAGAATATGGTCACGAAAGTGAGAAAGGATGAGCAAGGGAGCCCCGGGATGTCGCATCGGGGGTTACCCCATCGGGATCCCGAGGGGTAATTGACGGATAATAAGCCGCCAGCCATTCCGGTTAATTGGATGATGTCCCTCCCCCACTACTGACTGGCAGCCCCTCCGTCGACATCATGGATGGACCTGCCTTCGGATCTGGTGGCTCAGCGGTTACTTATAAAAGCCACCTCTCCTTTTTGACAATTGCATTTCTTCTTCTGAGTCCTCTATCTCTCTATCATAAATTCATCTCTCAATTGCACAAAATGTCTAACCTCCACACCAAGTAAGTTATCCCTTCTATCTACACCTGCTACTCCACATGTCTGCCCGGAAACTAACGGACTGCGCCAACAGGAAGACTTACACCCTCAACACCGGTGCCCAGATCCCGGCCGTTGGTCTTGGTACCTGGCAGTCCGGGCCCAATGAAGTTCGCGAGGCCGTCAAGAACGCTCTCTTGGCTGGCTACCGTCACATCGACACGTGAGTTGCGCCCTGCGAAATAATCAGTGATATTTGCGAAGGAGATCCTTATTAACAGGCGGCAGTGCTCTGGCTTACGGCAACGAGGCCGAGGTTGGTGACGGTATCCGTGACTCGGGCGTTCCCCGTGAGGAGATCTGGGTTACCACCAAGCTTGACAACCCCTGGCACCACCGTGTCGCCGAGGGCATTGACTCGTCTCTCAAGAGCCTTGGCCTCGACTATGTCGACCTCTACTTGGTCCACTGGCCCAGCTCGACTGACCCCAACGACCTGAAGAAGCACCTTCCCGACTGGGACTTCATCAAGACCTGGTATGTTTTTCTCACTACATTCCGACGTTGGACCAGGGTCTAATAATGAATACAGGCAAGAAATGCAGAAGATACCCGCCACCGGCAAGGCCAAGAACATTGGTGTCTCCAACTTCGGTATCAAGAACCTCGAGAAGCTCCTGAACGACCCCAGCACCAAGATCGTTCCTGCCGTCAACCAGATCGAGCTGCACCCCAACAACCCCTCACCCAAGCTCGTCGCCTACAACACTTCCAAGGGAATTCACTCCACCGGTTACTCTTGCCTTGGATCCACCGACTCTCCTCTCTACAAGGACCCCACTCTCTTGAAGCTTGCCGAGAAGAAAGGAAAGACTCCCCAGCAGGTTCTCCTCGTTTGGGGTGTCCAGAAGGGCTGGAGTGTCATCCCCAAGTCCGTCAACAAGGCTCGTATTGAGGGTAACTTCCAGCTTGACGGCTGGGACTTGACCGCCGAGGAGATCAACCAGTTGGACAACTTGAAGGACCGTTTCAAAGTCTGCGGTGACGACTGGCTCCCTATTAAGGTCTTCTTCGGTGATGACGAGTAAATGTCTTTTACGCCATGATATCCTTGTTCATTAAAATAGAGATTTAGATATCCAATTGAATGACTGAATGAATCAAATACCATCTTTTTTTTTTTATCAGCCACACGACTATGGAGAATCTACCGGCTAGCTTTACCTAGAGTGGGACAGTGGAGATGTACTTGCATGAGGTCATAAACGGAGTACAATGCCCTCCATTACTATTATTATTTCGATTACCTTTGTACCAAGTGTAGTTTTCTCTCTCTTTTTTTTTTTTTTTTTTTTTTTTTATGAGAAAAAATATATATATATATACCGAAGTATCCATGAATCCCTACCATGGACAGTAGCAAATCATATGGCTGTGGCGACTCGGTCATGTGCCTGCACCGCCACCCGTGCGGAGTGAATCATTCCTGAGTCTCTCCCTCCCTCAGAATGCTTCAACCATCATCATCACTGACTTAATCTCTCATTATCTGTCACTATGGCGCCTTCAAGCGGGCACTTGCTGCTTCCAAAGTTTTGGAGGGCGGCTAGGTAAGTCAACTCCTAGACTGTTACCTCGGCATGCTTATCGTCTGACAATGGCTAGGTTCGCCTACGAGAAGGCCTACAAGGTCGTTAGGTCCAAGTTACCAGAACCGACTCAACAAGTACTTCGTGTCCAGCCAGCGTATGCGCGTATTACTCCTCGCCAGCCCATTAATCGTGCTGCTGCTATCCGCCAAGCCCGGAGCCGTCTCTTCTCAACCCGTGCGGCGGGTTCGTTCATCTCGTACATCCGGACTGGACTGCAGAGCGAGCGTGCTCTTTATCCGCCATCTCGTGTTGCCACCAATGTTAGCCATCTGACTACCCGTGCGCCATTTGCGTCGACACTCCGTCCGAATTTGACAGGAGGTACCCTGGGCCGTACGGCGAGTGGATACGCTTTTGGTGCTGGCCGTGTTGGAGGACAGCGGTTTTTCTCTCATGGACCAGCTGCTCCTGCCCAGGTTATTAACAATGTGTCTGCGGGTATGCGGGCTTTCTTTCTTTCCGGACAAAAGCTCCGCTTCGATGGCATTGATCCAATATCCGGAAACAAGCGGTACAAGGCCGTGACCAAGATTCAAGACCAGGCTGAGCACCAGATGACCGCTATCCCTCGCACTTCCCCTGGTTCCCATATTGACTTCCAGCTTTCGCCTACCATCACTGCGATGGCTGGTTTCCAGAAGAAGTCTACCTCGGCTGACTTTAGGAATCTTAACTCGGAGGGTCTTATGGATATGCTCTCTGTTGACTTTGCTCGTGCGTTGAAAGACTTTGCCGCTGTGCTTAATGACCTCAAACAACTGAGTTCATTGGGTGATCTACCCATTGAGTTACATGATAGATCAACAATCCGCGTGCGGTTCCCTGGTTGTGATGCGGAGACGGTCGAGCGCCTTTGCGACGAAGTCGGAGTCCAGCGAGGCAGGATTTTCCAGGATGAAGACTTCGATCTCCATACAGGTGTTGATCTGGCCCTTCGTTTCCCATTTGCGCCCAGTGTTCCAGCATCGCCAGAAATGGAGTGCTTTTTCCAGAGTGAAGCTTCACAAATCCCCGAAGAAGTCGACTGGAAGGCAATGATGTCGCCAGAGAACAAGTCAGCTTCATCGCGAGCATCATCGAAGCAAATCAAGAACGAATTTGTTCTGGCAGACTTAGATATGTTCGGCTCGAACCCATGGAAATCAGATTCGCCGTCGGAATACTCGAGCATCAACATAAGTGACCTTGGTGACCGTGCTTACTTCCCGGAGGTGTCCAGTGCTGGCGTTCCCAGTAGCACTTCTGGTTACGACAGTATACAAGGTATCCATAGGTTTATAGCAGAGTGTGACCAAGCCGCAGTGCGTCAGTAATTGCGTTGTTTTCTTCAGATTGACAGCTATACTCGCTTGCTTGATTTTATTATGCTATTTGTCGTGATTATGTTTAGTACTATACACATCTTGCAGCATTTACGAAATCGAATCTCTATTTCAGCATCTCTCACATTCTTGTTCTCGTAGTCATTGGCCTGATATCCGTATACCCTTGTATGGAAGCGGTGAAATAACAACAGACATACCTCACCGCCAGCCCCGCGCTAACCGGAACAGGACGATCCACTGATAACAGCATGGAGACGAAGCACACACTGCCATCATCGCGATTTCGAGAGGACGCTGCCACATTGCTCTGTCGCTAAATACGCCCACCCTGTCGCATTTTGTTCCGACAGTAAAAATTTTGATGTCCTGAGTTTATCATTCACAGCTGTACGGTTCTGGGGGTTATCTTGCCCTGGGGATTTCCAACCCGGATTTTTCTCTCAGCAACTGCTACAGGCCGGAAAAACATACAACACAATATATCTTATATTTGACGGCATTGCTTGTCCAGGAATCAATTCGGCAAGATGATGGAGGATTTTAACAGCGAGACCGACTCGGATTACACCAGTTACTGGAGGGATTGGGTGAGTGGACTTTTGTTTCCCCTCTCCGTCTGGGTATTTTGGGCCGCGGAAGGCATTTATGTTTCGACTGTGTTCGAGAGTGAATGGGATTACAAGAGGGAGAATATGGCTATCTCTTCGAGTCTTGGTTGTGTTCGACGTCTGCTGTTCAATTCCTTTTTGCGGCCTTTCAGTACACAGCCCGTGCCATTTCCCCACAGTTGCTAACAATTGGCTCTACAGTTCATTTCCTCGCGCGGCAATGAGTACTTCTGTGAGATTGATGAGGAATACCTGACCGACCGCTTCAATTTGACCGGTCTGAACACCGAAGTGCCTTACTATCAATATGCGCTTGATCTCGTGACGGATGTCTTTGACCTCGATGCAGACGATGACTTGCGTGAGCAAATCGAGAAATCAGCGCGCCACTTGTACGGCTTGGTTCATGCTCGTTACATAGTCACTACCCGGGGTCTCTCGAAAATGGTACGCCCATAATACCTTTCTGCGCCAAGAACTGGCACTAACGAGTCTATGCTGGAATCTAGCTTGACAAATACAAACGGGGCGATTTTGGCAAATGTCCCCGTGTTATGTGTGATGGACACCCTCTGCTCCCTATGGGCCAGCATGACATTCCGAACATGAGCACTGTTAAACTCTTCTGCGCGAAATGTGAGGATATCTACAACCCCAAGTCTTCTCGCCATGCTTCCATCGACGGTGCCTATTTCGGGTCTTCTTTCCACAGCATTCTTTTCCAGGTCTACCCCGCTCTTGACCCCGAGAAGAGCGTGCGCCGTTACGAACCCCGTATCTTTGGATTCCGCGTTCACGCGAGTGCTGCGCTTGCCCGTTGGCAGGACCGGTATCGTTCGGATATGATCGAGCGCCTTGAGGGAGCTGGCATTGAAGTTAAATATCTCGAGGACTTTGATTTCGAAGGTGAATCCGAGGATGAGGAGGATGATTTCGATCCTCTCGACACGAGGGGCGAAGAAGTCGTCGGCGATACTGCATCCGGTCGTATGGACCTGGGTAACTGAACGGGATGGTTTTTTTCATTTTCGGCCGTTATTGCATCTATTCATTTCCATATTTCTCGGTATTTGGATTAACGAAATCATCAGGCGTACGGTGGATCTGTTTACTTCTATATTTCATGTATTTTGCTTGTTATAGTGGCGTTGGCGAATTTTGAAGACGGCCGGCCTGAGTGCTCTTTTTCTCTAAATATACGTTTAGCAGGTGTAATTACTAACCTCACAATAGACATCAAGAAGTTCATACATGAACCCATTATCCAGTGTTCCTGTATATTTGCCAAACTGGAAAGAAGGTCGCTCGGGGAAGCTGCGTTCTGGGTGTGCCTTCCCAATCCAGCCATGAAGCCATCCATCTTGACCCGTTTAACCTCCTATCTTGCTATTCTTCTCCCATCCCCCTCTTCCTCGCTATCTTCCGTTTCGATAACCTGCGTTAATACGACTAACTCCTTTCTCCATTGACTCGAAACATTCCGTTCATTTCTCAATCATCCTGCATATACGAACCAACCCCTATCCTATCCACGATGCGAACGTTCATTTTTATCGTCCTTGCCGGCCTTCTAACTGCTGCCGTCGCTCGACCTTTCCAAAGAGAACCGTCCCCAGCAGGTGATGCTCCTGTGTCGCAGACGTTATCGTCGCCCTCCACGCTGATCTTCGAGACATCGACGTCGACAATCGTGCCTGATAGTGCCCTGCCCCTAGGAGAACCAGGCTATGGTGTCTACTCCTTGCTAGTGACTCAGGCCAAGCTCAAGCCAACCAGCGTGAAGCGTATCCGTCTTCTGAAACGCCAGGAATACCATATCTTGCCGGAACCCAACGATCAAGCGGTTCATACGACGTCCACGTCTATGAACGGAACAGCGAGTATTAATGCCACCCAGTCAACCTCTTCCACAAACTTTACAAAAAGTGTCGATGAGCCGCCAACGGCAACGCCAGTCAACCTGGTACCGCACTGGAATACTGAGGAGTACACGACTGCTTTCGCAGTCATATTCATCATTGTTGTTGTTGTGGCATTTGTTGTTCTGTTGGCCCTGTACTTCAAGAAGACGAAGATGTTTTTCCAGCGGCGCAGACGAGATAAGAAGAGCCTGCTTTCCAAATACAATGGTGTCGCCATTGACGGTGATGAGGTGTCTTCCACTGCGCCTTTAAATAAGGAGAGCAAGTCGGACCGGGGCGCTTATTCGTTCGAAATCAATCGCTCGCGTCCACGCTCGCCGCCTCCAGAATACATCGTCGAGGAAGATCCGCAATTGGGATCTGTGACTAGGGTTTACCGTGTGTCTAGAACCGAATACAACAACGGCTTTCCTCGCCGTGTGTCGGCATTTCATGAGCGGGAACAGGAAAATAGACAGGAAAATGAGGAACAAGAAGATGTCGTCGACATAAGCCCACCTACTATTCCTCCCACTGGCAAGCTTCGCGAGTCTGTTCAGAAACCGGTCCTTATCGTACCGACCCCTCTGAATCCTTTGAACCGTGTCAGATCGTTCTCCGCAACCACGGAACTACAGCAGCACTTGTATGAGCCCGTTTCACACGGTTCGCAGGATGATGGCGACCTTCCTCGAAACTCAACCGCGAATGAGAGCAGAATTATCAGGTATTCTGATCCGGGCCCATATGGAAATCCGAATCGGACGTCTTTCCTACCAAGGATCCAACGGTCAAGTTCTCCTCTGTTCACTTTCGATGATGAATAAATTGTCCACTTATTCCGAGTTCTTTGTTAACGTTTTGGTTCGTGATTGACGAGGTTGTGTTTATTTTTATGTCATATGAGTTGTAATCGGGGATTGATTGGGAATCGCATTGGGTCTTATATAGTTTCTCTCGTTCATGTTGTTAGTACTAGGATTTGATTTGTAGACTTTCCTTTACCTGTTAGGAATGGTAGATGGTATTGAAGTGTTTATCAAGGATAATACCTCCGCTGTAATCGAGTAATCTTCGCTAAAGCATTCACCATCTGCCATGCTAAAAGACAGCATATATAACCATGACCGATGCCATGGTGCATCGTGATTATGATACCAATAACCAGACCAGATTGTTATAGCAGCCACTGGAACGGATAATAATAACTACAGTGTGATTTCATTTTGACCTCTTGATACTTTCTCGGTAGACCCTCGAGCTCCACTTGGCTACTTGGAATGTCTTTTCCTAGTCCAACCAGTATTATGTGTCTTTTCCGTTGTCAATGTTCATTACCACCAGACTCCCGTACGTGGAAACTTGAGGTGGCTTGTCGTCTGCCATGTCTGGAGATTCTAATGAAGACTGATTCGACGAAGATTATCATAACGTTATAACCAAAGTTCGTCAATTGAATTTGAATGTTTGCGGGTGTAAACTGGAGGCCATTTTTGGCCGGCCATGCGTAGTTAATGGTTATGATAGTTAATAAAGGCGAGCGAATAATCTGGTAGGGATTTCATCCCGGTGGACTTCTGTGCTCTTTAATGTGACCAGGAATTGCGCACAACGTTGAGAGCCTTATAGGCTACCTGATCAGGAGTGTGCCCATACATTTGGGGTTGTGTCAATACAGACTAAGTTGGTGTGCATGGGTGGACCAGGGGACTTTTGTGCATATCCTTATTTCTGGGATATGGCATGGGCCATCCCGAAGTTTGTAGTGAATCCTGGCTCTGGTAATCAGCCACGTTGCTAAATAGCAGCCCGTATAATGTAGCCTTTGGTGATCTGTGTGTATATGTATTTACATTGGGTAGAACTATCTGTTCTAGATCTTGAGGTGCCCGATAATGTGTAAGAACATCAGCTAAAGCTTGTGGTTCCCAGTCTAGGAACACACAAATTGAACAAGCCGTAGCATTTCGATCGGCGCTTTGTAGATTGGTCATTTTTGGAAATAGGCTAGCAACAGCAATCTAAGCAACATTGGTCTCAGTATGGGAAATGTCTTATAACAGTTGTGTCTGTACTTATCGCTTTTGCTGGATAAACCAGACTCAAGGCAAAACGGCTTTTTGCTTGAGACGTCCATTGATGAAAAATCAGTTCAAGAGAAGTGATAGTTCTTCTGTCGGACAAGTTTGCATGAGAGAGATCCATCTGCAGAAGCCATTGTTTCTTCGAAACTGGCTGGGATCGATGCAGGTTGTCAATTTGAAAGTATCTCAAGTAGCCTAAACTAGAGTAAGAGGGATATTGTATAGCCAATTAGACTAATATGCCGGTCTTTAGTGTATTTATATTGTGCATTTAGGATGGAATGTCTAGCAGAGATATGGAGGGAGGAAAAGGCTGCGGATATGATTAGGATCCTGACAGGCACTACTACCATGGCAGTGAATTACAAGAGCATCGACCAGTGACCAACGTTGATGGTGAATCTAAGTCAGCAAGACGTGTCTTCTCACCAAGAAGAGTAGAATACATTCATACTTCATTAGCATGCCCGGACTCAGTCCATTTAAAGTCCATAGTTAAAAAAAAAATAAGAGTACATGGAAACAAAAACAATAGTAAAGAACGGTAAACCTAAGAGCCTATTTCTCTTACACTTCTCAAACACCTCTCAATCCTTTTCCCCCTCTCCCGTTCTCTGACAAGCATATCCCTCGCGAACGCCTTTATTGCATCACGTCCAACCTTCTCCCGCCACGAAGTCCATCCGGCAAGCTCGCTAACAACGACATCTTTATTCCACGTGATTTCCCTTGATAGCTGCGCGGTTTGTGCTTCATACTCGTTGATCTTGTTTTCGAGGTCTCGCATGGATTTCAGGCGCGATTCTTCGAGGCCTGGGAAACTGAGGTTGAATCTGCGTGGGAGGGATGAAGAAACGAGTGAGGAATGCGTGCGGGAGAGGGTCCGGTTTGTAGCGGCAAGTGTGGACATGAGGTTGACGGGCCGGGAGAGCGCGGATAGGATCGCGGCTGTGGTGTTGTCGATGGAGGTTAGAGCAGTGAGGTACTGCAGGAGTGGGGATGAGTCCGAAGTCGAGGTCGAGAGGAACCCTGCATAGCGGGCGAAAGCGTCGATGTGGGATGGCGGAAGGGCATTGGTTGGTTCTTTTAGAGTTGAGAGGACTGATGTGCAGAGTGTGACTGCGTCCGCAAGGTCTGAGGCGGCGTTGTGCAGTGAGTGCCCACGGCGGATGGTGCTGCGTGTGTTGGCGTGCACGGCGCGGACTATCTCCTGTGCATGATTGACGAATTGCTCCGTCTCTCGCATTCCCTCGAGCGTAGCAGGTGTATAGTCCTCAGCTATAGTCTCGGAAAGAGCTGCTGCCTTCTGGCGAGATCGATCCGCCATCATGTCGGGGTGCAACTCGGGGACGAGGAAAAATTCCCAGAGCATTTCGTGAGTGGAGAAAGTTGGATGAGTAAGGAGGATCTTTAGGAACCGGTCGAGCTTTTCCTGCATGTCGTGGAGTACGGCTCGAGACGGTTTGGAGTGAATTTGGAAGGGGCTGCGGAAGTGCTCGAGTGACGGGATGTAGGAGGCAGGGTGCTCGAGCGAGAGACCCTTAGCTAGGTTCTCGAAATCGGAGAAACTGCGTCGACAAGTGGTGACTGTGTATGTTGCGGAGCCGGGCCTAGATTCGGCTTCTTCCTCAGGGGGGTGGGGTGCACCGGACTTCAGAACAAAACGCACCGTCGCATCTTCAACGAAGAACGAACGCACCACTGTAGTGACACGGCCTGACGGATCATCGTACGCTGATGGAGGGCTCGACAGGAGTATTAGGTCATCAATGCGATTGCGTACTTCGTCGTCTTTGGCGATCTCAACAGCTGTTAATCCACGGAGTTCCTTGAGATGGACATCCACTCTGGGATCCATAAAGAGAAGTCGAACTTGGTCTATACGACCATACTTGCTTGCTGTCATTAATGGCGTGAATTTCTTTTCATTGGTTGCATTCGGGTCGCAATCACTTCCTTCGAGGATTCGTAGGGTTACCTCGGGATCGCTGGCTATGTGAAGCAACGTATTACCCCTCGAATCGACGTGATCGTCAAGACGTATCGCTTTACCATCTCCTTGGCTTTTTTGCGCGGCATTCAATGCATCATTGATCATAAGCTTGTAATCAGGATGATCGTACGACCTGCAGAGCGCAAAAAGTGGCGTTTGTCCATGTTTGTCGCGCTGCTTCCAGGGGAGGAGTTTCCCCAGAGTAGATATGATAGACGGCGTGCTGAAAAGGTAGTGGGCAACCGTGCGTCCATGTACATCCGACTTCCGCAAATAGGACACGATCGTGCTCTCGTCGGTCGATTTGAAAAGGAAGTCAAGCAAGATATTCACCACTTCCGTGTGGCCCAGTTGGACAGCGGCACTGAGCAGTGTCGTCCCTTCGGTGCTTGTGTCTGTAAGGATATCCTGTAGTGGGTAATATTCCTCAAGGCTTAGCAAATACTTCAACGCCTCGGGTTGACGACTCTCGACGGCCATCATCGGAATTGAATACCCAGCAGGATCCTGCGTTTTTGTCAAGGTCTCGATCGAACTATCAGCTTCAATCGTGCTTGTCATCGAACCTATGGTGGTTGTCCTTGAAGCAAACGAGACCGCTGATGAGGAGGATAAACTGCGTACATCCATAGAAACCCTCTTCGGCGGACGCCGGGTCTCTTTTTGAGAAGTATCGCCGGTCCATGTCTGGAAGGGGAACACATGAGCCAATGGTGGCGTTTCAGATGATGGACTGTCTTCTATATGAGATGAGGATGGTTCATCGTCTTCTGAGAAACCGGCTGGCATGCTGTGCACGGACGAGGTATCTCGTGGATGTTCCTCATCCTCATCTGTCTTGAAGAATACAGTTTTGCCTTCTCGCTCCATGGGTATTTCGTCATCGAGTGACTCGTGGTCAGTGCCGGGTTCTAGAATAGCCCTCATGTCAGAGACTTTGCCTGCCTTTGTGGCGTTCCACAAACGCCTGTTGCGGACACTCGATCTTCGCAGACCCGCTGAATCCGTTAAAAGATACGTAAGAACAGCTTCAAGGGTGCTCAAAGCATATCCCATCTCTCCACTCTCGACATCGTCGATGTAGATGAAATGCTGCATGTAAAGGAGCCTTGCCTGGAGATGACGTATTTGAGATCTAATAACCACAACAAGCAATAAAGAAACCAAGATGTCAGCGTTGACCATCACTGGCGCCGCCTTCTTCTCAGAAGAAGACGAGCCAGCTTTGTCGTAGTTTCCAGGAAACGATATCACTTTGACCGTTTCCAAAAGTGTGCCCAGCATATCGTGAGGACACTTCGCATCCAACATCTTCCGAAACTCCTCCACGCCTCTCCCAAGACGTTGCAGTAATTCTCTCTTGCCGTCACGGCCCCCTTCGACGGTGATCCCGACTTGTGAAACATCGACGCTTTCCATTTGACGAATCCTATGATCTAAGTCTGCGTCTTCAGACTTTCGAAAACTGCAAAGTCGAGGGAAAAGGAGTGTTTCATGCACCTGTTCAGCGACGTACCGCTCAATCAACCGTTCAACCAGAGGCCCGGTGAGATCGGTAGTAGCTCCTAGGAACGATAATTGTTGCTTGTCTACAAGACGGAAAAGGTCGATGGCTGCAGTCACTGCGGTTTCTAAGCTCCGACGCATGAGGTCTTCGTCATCCTCAAAGTATTCCCCGGAATTGAACGGCAAGGGCTCCTGCCCAAAAGCCGATAAGCTGCGGCTCGAACCTGTTTCATCGATTTTCAATTCAGTACGGCCCCTTGATCTCTCATCGTCTTCCAACATAGGTGATCGCGACGGCGGAGGAGGTAGCGGTTTCCCCAACTCTTTACCAAATTCTCGGAACATTCTGTCAAGACCCGATTGCATCTGCCGTGCTATCATTGGGAAATTCAACAATAGCTCACCAAACGTCCTGATCACTTTCTTGGGTGGCGAGGAAACCGGTCCGGTTGAGTTCATTTCTTTGTCGTCGGATTCGACCTTGCTTGGAAGCATGCCAGGTACTGCAGCAGAGATGATCTTGCCGGGATCAAAAGAGCCGATCAAAGGTCGAGAGACATAATAGATGAGCCATGGTTGCGATTCATTATTCGGGGCGTAGTATAGGGCATCCGACAGCAGCTGGGCCTGGGTTAGAGATTTGAAGCCTAGAGTCGCATATAGTCAGCCCCTGCACGCACTCGAGCTATTCGAGGATATCCCCACCTTTGTTGCTGTAAACAGAGCTCTCCTTGATGATCACTGTCCGCCCATTGACTGTTGATACTTGTTTTGCCTTTCCCCGACTATCGCGAACGTTCAAATCGTCCTTTCCACCTGCGTGTCCGGCAGAGAATGGAATGCGTAGAACATGACTGCCCAGGAAGTCTTCCGAACCGACGATATCGGAGTAGTAAATATTCGACTCACGATCACGCGACCCGGTCAAAGATTCGGTCGTCGGTACTAGCAAGATCTATATATATAACAGACATGAGAATCAACCCTTGAGATGGTCCCCATCCGGTGCGCAAAACGTACATGATTCTCGATAGGCAGACATTGCCCGGGAACAGTGCTTCGAAAGAAGGCACGAAGGAAGGGGTTTAGAGGGTGCATCCAAACGGTCTTGGACGGCGGCCCGGTGAAAGATCTCCAGCACTCATCAAGCCGTTCGTTCTAATATTGAAAGAGGTGCGTTGCGCTGCTCGCCGATTGCTGAGGGGTGGTGGTATGAGGAACAGCTCCGGCGTATGTGCCGAACGGCGAGTAACCGGACCGTCGGAAGACTATGCAGAGAAGTCAAGCACTGGTTACAGTATCCTGTAGAAATTGAATAAAAGAATATAATGCAGGACTCGTAAGCCAGCAAGAACGGTGGTGAGGACAGTGTTGCTGTTGTTATCACTATCAAGTCCGAGATTCCAGATCCATCGGGATGACGCTATACCGCATTAGGTAGGTAGGCCATTTCTATATACATACATGGGAAGCAAAGAAGAAATCAAAGTCAACAAGAAAAAAACGATACGTATAAAGTCAATCGAAACAAAGAGGTTTCTCAAAGTAAGAAAAAAAAATTCGTTGTACTAATAACATAAGGACTAGTGTACAGAAACGGATACCAGAACTATCCAGATATTTATTCCCTCCGGCATCCCATGAGAATAGGACAGATTCTATCCGGATAGATGCAATGCCATGGTATTTGTTTTCGTGTTGAATATCAGAGTCGTATCAATCCGTGCCATTTCTCTATTGCTCCTTGCGAAGGTCAAGGCATACGCAGTTCACAACGGCATTGAAGATATCGATAAGAAAGATAAGAGTTTAACCCAGTCTCCGGACCTTTCTGCTTCTGGTACCTCCAAATTTGATCCGGGTCGCGTCGGTGACTCGGCTAACCAGCCCACGAATGTTCCTCCCCTCGTTACCCAATAGAACCTTGGTGAATGCTTCCCTGCCAGGCCCGAAATCACGGAACACAATCTCCAGTCGTTGAATATCGAAGAGCAAACCTTTTTCCTGCAATTGGCCGAACGTGTGGGTGGATAGTTGATACGCCGGGTCATAGCCAGAACGCTGGGATTTGCGGAAACCCAAGTGACCACAACTTCTTACGAGTATGGGGTCGCCATTCGGTCGAGTCAGAGTCAGGATGGTATTGTGTTTGTGCGCGTAAACGTGGAGATGGTGTGGTGGTTGCTTGTCGCCGTACGGATGTTTGATCAAAGCACTTTCTAGATTCTCTCTCATGTGCTCGAAATCCTCTGTCACGGCCGGAGGCTTGTCTTGCCCTTGCATCATTTGCGTGAGGGTCGATATCGGAGACAGTCCTTCTGTAGATTGCTCGTTTTGCGCATCGAAAAGCTGGCGTTCAGTCGCACGTAACCGCTGTTTCTCATTCTCGTAGGTCCGGGGAGTGGAGGAAAAAGGTCGCACCAGGCGAAAGGGGGGTGGTCGGAGTTGGCATTGTCGACTGACTGAAGGCAATGCTCTTGCTAAAGCAGTTGTAAATTGCGAATTCATATTGTGGGATGGATGCGGAGGTGGTGATAAATCGGCGGGCAAAAGATTCGGGAGGAAAAGATCGGAAAAGTCTGGGATTTCTTGGCACTGCGACTGCACTTTTTTTCCCTCCAACGGCCTCAATCATTCCTTTTTTGCCTCCCCCTCCACGTCCTGCTTTTTTTTTTTGTCCCGCTCTACAAATACAACCTTTCGGGGCCTAGATTGCTTCTGAAATTGTCGATATCAATTGCAGTTTGAAGCTGAGCCATAATCTCGGTGCAGAGCATGATTCCGGCTACAAGGATGTCGGCCACCGCGCGGGCGGCCACTTTGCGCTCTCAGTTGTTGGGTCTCAAGATGAATGCAGTGGCCACCCAGCAGCTGCTGAACCGGGCCTACTCTTCGACAGCTCCAGATGCCGCCATGAATAGCCGGACGACCGTGGTCAACCGTCCCGTTTCCCGACTGGTCTCTCCGTATACGGCACTCCCTCTGACGAGATCTTTCCATGCCTCCACGGCCCAATGGCAACAGCAGCAACAGCATAAGGAGAAGCAGGCCGATGAGGCCAAGGAGGGGGAATCTAAGGAAGAGGGACCCAAGGAAGGGGGAGAAGGGAAGGGAGAGGGAAAGGAGGAAGGACAGAAGGAAACGCCTCCGCCTCCCCCACCGCACGGTGACAAATCCCCATGGCAGGTGTTCACAGAAACGCTCCAATCCGAATTCAAGGCGTCAAAGGAATGGAACGAATCGACAAAGGCTCTTGCTTCCTCGGCACATGAATTCTCCGAGAACGAGAGGGTCAAGCAGGCACGTGCCGCTTACGAGGCTTCCCGTCAAGCCGCAAGTTCCCGGACTTCCACTGCTTTCAAGACCACCGGTCAAGCTATTGGCAAGAGTGCCGCATGGACATGGAACACGTCTGTTGTCAAGGGTCTTCGGAGTGGTGTGAACGCCACCGGATCCGGTATCGAGAAGGCTACAAGACCCGTGAGAGAAACCGATGCTTACAAAACTGCTGTTGGTGGTGTGAAAGACGCCATCGATGACGGTAGCAGCTCACGCTATGGCGGTTGGATTGAGAAAGAGGAGCGTCGGAAGCAACGGCAATTGCGTGAAGAGATGGAGGCCAAGTCTGGGCGTCGCAATGCTGGACCGATGGTTGAGGATCCGGAGTGAGTTGTCATCCACAAAATTCACGTTATTTGCACCTTATGGTACTAATCTTTACCTTTCTCTCATAGGGCCGGTACCAACGTCACTGTTCACAAGGATGCTGCATGGAAGGATTCGTGGCGCGAATTCCGTGACTCCAACCCTATGATGCAGAAGCTCTTCACGATGAAGGAGACTTACAATGAGTCGGAGAACCCATTAATCACCACAGCACGCAGTATCTCTGACAGAGTCGCCTCTTTCTTTGCCGAAAACGAAACCGCACAAGTTATCAAGAAGTTCCGGGAGATGGATCCCAACTTCCAGCTTGAGTCCTTCCTGAGAGAAATGCGCGAATACATGCTTCCTGAAGTCCTCGACGCCTATGTCAAGGGCGATGTTGAAACATTGAAGCTCTGGCTGTCGGACGCCCAATTCCATGTCTACGCTGCTCTTTCGCAACAATACACGACTGCAGGTCTGAAGTCCGATGGCCGCATTCTTGACATCCGTGGTGTCGATATCTCTAATGCTCGTATGCTCGAACCTGGCGAGATCCCCGTCTTCGTTGTCACCTGCCGTACACAGGAAGTCCACGTGTTTCGCAATGCTAAGACCAACGAACTTGCCGCTGGTATGGAGGACAAGGTGCAGCTGGTCACTTATGCTATCGGTCTCACCAGAATCCCGGAAGACGTCAACAACCCAGAGACTCGTGGATGGAGACTGATCGAGCTGCAGAAGGCTGCTCGTGACTACATTTAAAAAAGCTTACTTTTCCTTCATGCATGCCACCGCACGTCCCCTCGATTCTCCTACGACATCTTGTTCCCGACCCTTCCCTCTTCCTTCCGTCTCTTGATTTAACGGCGTTCTTATCTCATGAAACTTCTCCTCCCATCTATTTCTTGGTTGTCTTGATATCATTCTGACTGTACAATATCGGCTATACGAATAGAGAGCAGGCGGAACCGGCGCTATTCACTGTGATAGTAACCACGATTATATGAATGTTGTTTAATTTGATTTCTCTTTTCCTTGTATTAATGCTGTGTTCCGCCTGTTTTCACGTGGAATTCAACGACTCGTCTTGAGGACGGAAGATTTCACAAAAATAACGGAGTGCTCTTACGGGCGTACTGGTTGATGAACTGTCTAGTCTGTTTTGTGTTTCTGGGGTTCCTGGCGTTTATTCTTGTCAAAGGTTTAGCATCAACTCCTCCACTCTTGACCAATGTACTACATCTGGACCTGACCAACATCATCTTATTATACTGCTCGTCTTCTGTAGTCTTACAATCGAAAACAAGTGCAGTATCGTCAAATAACTCCATTCGCTGCAAGGTTTTACCATAAACTCGTAAACTTCGGGGTGAATAATAGCAACTTAGGCGAATAACAATCATCGAAAAGAGCAACAACTGCCAGAACTCTCCAACAAGCCAGGTATTATACTTCAGTTTCCTTGTCCACCACCACCGCCGCCGCCCATCATATTCCGAGCCCTGTGTGATCGTTAGCATCTTATGGTCTACAGAGTGTGGTACCTGGACAAGACTTACATGTTTGCAATGTTGGGGTCGTTCATCAAGCTGGACATGTCGGGCATTCCACCACCACGACCAAAGTTCTCAGCCATCGAACGTAATTGCGGGTTGTTCATGATGCTGCCGAGAGCATCGGGGTTGCTCATGAGGTTCTGGGCCATGTTTGCAAACATGGGGTTGTTCATCATGGAGCCGAGGTCGGGCATACCGCCGCCGCCGCCGCCGCCGCCAAGCATGCTAGCCAGAGAGGACAGATCAGGCATACCTCCAGCACCAGCACCAGCACCACGTGTACCTTCGTTACCAGCGTTGGAAGACTCCACACCTTGGGTGGCGTCAATCTTCCTCTTGCAGGTCTCGAGACCCTTCTTCATGGCGGTACTGCCACCGTTGCCTTCAGCCTCAATACCTTTCTCGTAGGCCTCCTTGGCCCCGTGGAAGTCTTGCATGTCGTATCGAGCAAGTCCCAGACGGCTCCAGGCCTTAGAGTATGTCGGGTCCGCAACAGTGGCATACTCTGCGTCCTCTGCGGCCTTCTCATGCTGACCGGAGGCAGAATAAGCAGCAGCACGGTTAGAAAGGTAGATGGGGTTCGCCTTGGAGATCTCCAGAGCTTGGGTGTAGAAATTGATAGCGCCGTCATAGTCCTTGCTCGCCATCGCGGCATTACCCTCAGCCTTCAACTTGTCGGACTCTGGAGTGGGCACACCAGGCTTGGGCGTAGATCGCTCAGCTGCCGGGGCTTGTGCGCTGCTGGAGGACGCAGAGGAAGTGGCAGAAGCATCACCAGACGGTCTATTCCGGAGCTTTTCGTAAACACTGTAGATGTTCGCCAACGACTGTCCACCTACGGCATCCTTGACAGCAGCCTCATCAGAGGGATCGACCTTGAATGTATCCGCAATACATGACTGGGCAATTTCAATAGACTCGGCGTCATCCGCAGTGAGAGTGCCGTCCTTCAAGCTGGAACCGAGGAAATCGACGATGGCCAGCGCTAAGCGTTTCTTGGAATCGTTGGGTGCCTGCAAGCAAATCCGTCAGTATCTATTCATTGAAATTTGTCAGTAGAAGAAACAGTGCCAGACATTCTTACCATGATTATGACCGGATAAAAGCGATAGAAATTAACAAAAAATTAATGGGCAGTAGAAAGAAAAGGAGACTCGTCGCGGGGGAATTTTTGACGGCGCTGCGGGGAGACTTTATGCCTTCTGTATGGGCGAAGCTCTCGTGCACGTGATTGCACCCCGTGCTCGGCGATCCCCAGAATAGCTTCTGGGCGTCTCTTCGACTATCTGTCTCTCTTCATCCATATTTTTCCTCCTCCACAGTTACTGTGGTATTAGGGCTTGAGAGAACAACTTGCAGAACGGGATATGGTCGCGATTCTGGGACTGGAGCTAGCCCGAGTCCGACGGAGTAACTAACGTCCCCTACGCTAGTTGCGAACGAAGATGACTCGATGTGAGCTCTCTTCTCTCGCTGTGACCATCGTCCCTGTATCACGCCATGTACTGGCCCAATGGTGTCCCCCGGGTCTATGCGGTCAATGGCCCCAGAATTCCGCCCGCTTTGTCCGATGAGGATCGAGCAGTTGACCATGAGAATGAGAGCTCCCCGGAGCAGAAAGAGTCGGTAGACCACGCCGATAATGGGTCTGAGTCGAAGACGGGATTATGGGCGGATGAGCCCATTAGTGGCCTCTGTGTGTCTCGCAGTGGTCATTTGTTTGCGACGATGACGGATTCATCCATTGCGGTTTGGCAGACCAAGGTATGTTTGTTCGTTCCTTTTTCATGTTTTTGAGATTACGATGTGGCTTACTAGAGATGTGTTGATAGCCTACTGCTGTCGTTGCTGCGGTTGCTCGATCCGCGACGTCAATGAAAACGTACGGACCTAACGTGGCCCTTTTGATGCGTCCCGACTCGACGATCCTCGCAGTGCAGACCCTCAATGGATATCTTCTTACCTATACAATGACCTCCGATCCGAACAGTCGAGTCTACCAACAGCGTTTTGACCAGTCGACCCAGTCGCGTCGCCAGCAGTTAGCGCGTCTGTCAGCCGGGGAGGAGGCTAATGCAATCCGAGAGATCAACATTCGCTTTCGGATGGCTATAAAGATAGAATCGGGGATTGTGAAGGCTCTGGCGTTGGATAATGAGCTCGTTGTGGCTACTGTGAAGCCCCCGGCTATACAGTGTATCCGTTGGACACCGGATGCCAGTGGATCACAGACCTCATCAGAGCTGCTAGGCCGAATACTAGGTGTCTCTAAAAAAACGACGATTGAAGACATGGTATACGACCGAGCAATGAACCTTCTGATATGGGTAACCAATGAGGGACAGGCGTACGGAATCCAGAGGATTTCGGAGCAGCAGAATGAACCAGAAACTACTAAAAAGTTGTTTAGAGGTCACTGCTTTCATGATCCGAAAGATGATGGCGAAAAAGCAATTCGAGTCGCAGTAAATGCGCGGTTCTCACTGTTGACGGTGAGCTGCACAAATGGGGATGTTCTCGTCTACACAGCCAAAGACTATATGGGAAACGTTCCGCTTTCACAAAAGCTCCAGCCTCCTGCATCGCCCTCCACTACTGGGAGGTTGACATTTATGAGTTATTCACCAGATGGATACTGCTTGTTTGCCGGTTACGAACATGGCTGGATGACCTGGAGTGTGTTTGGCAAGCCAGGCGGGAATAGCTTTTCAACAGACCGCCCACATACTACCGCTAACGCTGAAGATTGGCTTAGCGGGGTCTCGAATGGATGCTGGATAGGCGGGGGATCAGATATCATCCTAACAAGGCAGAGCGATCGTCGTCTGTGGATATTGGAAACAGCACGAAGCGCGCTGACTGGCTGTTTTTCGTCTGCAAATCTAGCCAGAGGTTTGCTACAAACAAGCACAGAGATCATTCTCTATCGTGGCCATGATCTACCGGATCTGATAACCATCTCGGGCAAGGACTCTTTATGGCATCACGCGCAATACCCACCAACTTACCTGCACTCTCAATGGCCAATCCGTTCCTCTGTCGTTTCCCAGGATGGAAGATACGTAGCTATTGCGGGTCGACGGGGTCTAGCACACTATAGTGTCAATAGTGGCCGCTGGAAGGTATTTGAGGACCCCAGGGTAGAAGATTCATTTGCTGTCCGAGGTGGTATGTGTTGGTATGGGCACATTTTGATTGCCGCCATTGATAGTGACGGGTCATACGAGGTACGATCAACTTTTCTACAGACTGATGGGACCGTCAAATGCTGACATGGACAAGCTACGTCTATATTCACGAGAACTGCCGTTGAATGATAATTCCATCTTGCATATAGAATACCTCCCTTCGCCTGTGGTTTTCGTTGGGCCGTCTGGCGAAGACTCTCTCCTCGTCTATACTTACGATAACGTATTATACCACTTTATCATCAACTCGACGCATTCCCATATCACACTTGTACCTGTTGGACAGATCGCTTTCAACGGCATTGTACGAGCGCCAACTAGGGTGAGGGCAATCAGCTGGGTCCTGCCTGAGGACCAGATGAGTGAGTTGGGCCGTTTCTCTGTGGGATTCCTTCTTCTGACAATGAAACAGGAAATGGTGACCCTTCCCGGGATGTTAAAGTGGCCTCCGTCCTTCTCTTGGTCGACGGTAACCTTGTTCTTCTTCAACCATCAGTTTCGGAAACGGGCGATTTGAAGTATGACATGCGGATCTTATCTCATGACGTGGAATACTACATCTTGATGCGTGATCAGTTTGCGCTCGATTCCTCTGCTCCCGATGCGTCACTTCCTCCCAGTCCATCGGCCGATATGGCATTCAAGATGTACTCAACCAATCAATCGCTGAGAGATTCTCTTTGGACATTCAGTGGGAAGAATCTCCTCGCCTGGGGCGATGTGAAAGAAGTATTACAACATGAAGAAGTACCCAAGCCTATCGAGGTTCCTCTTGATTTCTACCCCCTTTCGGTGCTCCTGAATAAAGGTATCGTCCTGGGAGTGGAATCAGAAACGATCCAACGGCGAGATGTCACTTTTGCCATTTTGAAATTTGCCATTCGGGTATGTTCTTGTCGCTGGTACTTTGAAGAGAAAATATTAACATAATGCGGTAGACACATCTATTCCTTCCTTATTTCCTCCAACATAGCCTTGTTCAGTCCGATATGCCCGGGGCACTCTCTCTCAGTCAATATTTCTCTCATCTTTCATACTTTGCTCACGCACTCGAAATTCTACTCCACCACGTCTTGGATGACGAAGTCGACAATGAAAGCCGGAGCAACAAAACAAGCGACCCATCCCAGAAACACCAACCTTTGCTCCCATACGTGATATCCTTTCTCCAAGCTTCCCTCCCGACCAAAACATACTTGGACATCGTAGTCCAGTGCACACGAAAGACTGAATTGCGAATGTGGCGCACCCTGTTCACTTACCTCCCACCCCCAAAAGACCTCTTCGAACAAGCGTTGAAGCTCAACTCCCTGAAAACAGCCGTCGGCTATCTCCTTGTATTACAAGCCTTCGAGGACGAGTTAGAGGGTGACGACGCGCCGATCGAAGATTACGTCGTCCGCTTAATCGTGCTCGCATCACAGAGAAGTGACTGGGAGCTCTGTGCGGAACTGGCACGGTTCCTGATCGCGCTGGACGCCTCTGGCGATATGCTTAGGCGAGCTATTGCTAGAGCAGGTTTGAGAAATGCGAATGGGCTTCTGGCGAACGGGATGAACGGCTCCGGAACTAGTGTCAAGGGATTAGGGCTAGCGCTGCCGATCCGGACGCCGTCATGGTCGTCGATTTCGCCCACATCGTCGCCTATTCCGATGCCCCCAGGTCAGGCGCCTAGTGATATGGGCTCTAATGCGAGCATGGGGAATGTTGCGGGGAGCATGGATAGTGATTGCTGATGGTCTTTAGATGTACACGATGTTCTTATTCATGTTCTGTTATTTATATATAGGTCGATGACTGCCTGGGTAATGGCGTATGATGATTTTACCTGTGTCTGCACGTTGTTCAGACTGATGTCATTATCATCATTTAAATCAATCGAATATTCCTATAAAGCAAGTGAGCAATAGCAAGAACAGAACCGCCTTATAAATCTCAATATCCAATTCTACTTGATATTCAGTTCCAAATCCACAGAATGGTCAATTTTCGTACGTTTGTTTGACATACTAAATAACATATTGAAAAACGAACCCCCCTGAGTAGCTTTTGTTCGTTTTCAATCATAATCTTCGAAGTGTTTCTTCTACTCCAAGTTCTTGCACCTAAGCTCGTTTATACATTGTTATAGCTGAGAATAAACACGGTCCTGGTCTGAAATGCTGGCGCATCTTCGTCTTCAGGTCGTTTCTCTCGCTTTGCAAGTCTTGCGATGTGCTTTTGGCTCTTTCGTTCTTGAGAGATAAGCCTATTCATTCTCTGTTGGAGACAACGGGGTCGCGTTGTCGTGTGGATCGTGTGTGCTTGGAACCCATGGTGAACACTGAGACTTGAATGTCTTCTGAGGCATCTGTAGGGGGAAGGTTGTCAAAGGGAAGATAAAATCATAGAGCCGCTAGGCGAGTGTAAATGTCACGACAGGGGGGGGATAAAGAATTTAATAAACAATCATGAGAGCGTTTATAGGTGGTCGGTTTCGCTTTACACCGGTGTATAAACCCATCCAGCGAGCCCGGGGAGTTCGAACGCAGAACCTTACGAGGCCGAGCGTCTTCAGACTCGAGTCCTTTCGATCATCTCCCCTCATGATATTGACTAAATGTATGAATTTTCCTTTATAAGCTTACTTTCGGGAGGCAAGACGGCTGCCTGGAGATGTCTGGAACCGCAGGGATTCAAGCATATAGCAGAGTGTGGAGTAGAAGAAGTTGATAAAATGAGAGAGCATAGTATTCAAATAGCTCATGCAAGTGAGCAAACGAGAGAACATAACATGTCAAGCACTTTCTGCGAATTATCCAGATGGAAAGTGTAGAAGTGACATACCGAAGGGATCTATAGCAGATAAAGACCGGATATCCAAAGTAATCAAGATACCAAAGCCGACTGGTCCGGCTTCCAGATGCAATGTGGAACCAACCAACAAAGACAACATAGAAGAGTAGAAGACGGAAGAGGCATTAGAGAAAAGAAGCTGTTTCCAGTAAAACAATACTAGCGTTATACCATCATACAATCAACGACTCCCAGCATTTGTTCGGCGCGATTAATTACCGCTGTCAACTTGATTGAACGGACAGGGAGGGCTTTTTGGTCAATTCGAAGAAATCTTCTCGGAAGTTTTGTTTGCATGCCCATTGGTTTTAAGTGTTTCCAAGCAACTTACTGCCTCTGAGACCAAAATGCTCCAGATATAGTTGTACTACACATCAGGACGTGGTCTTGTACAGGGAGACATATGCCTCTTTATCGAACCCGATTCTCTGCCTAAAGGATGGGTCGCCCACTATAATGTCTTCCTCATGGGTTAGAACTGTCTCTGATTTCAAGTTGCTGTGTGAGCCAATTTGCATCGAGTATTCCACATTGTTGCACTGTCTCGAGGACTCAGAAGTGACCTTCCGTATGGAGTTGAATCACGCTCTGGAGTTGTTCCGTAGACGTCGTCATACAGATCTGTGTCGCTTTTCATTCTTTCCATAAACATCATACCATCTAGGGTATGGTCACTGGCGTGGGCTAGTTCATTCCCGGTGCGATATTCCGTCCTGTCTCATTTGAATCACCGTTTCTGTGATCCCAGAGGTATGTATCGAAATAACGTGAGCGAACCTGCAAACCGCGTGAATTAACGTACCAAAAGAAACTATTGAGCATATTTGGATAGTCAACCATGGCTTGGTCCTGCTAAAAGTGCCGTTCGCAGTTTTCCTAAATGACGGGTGTGGTAAAGATCCTGTTAGTAATTTTGGTGGCTGATAACGTTCATGTTTAAGCATATCAAGAAAAAAGACGCTCTGTATATAGTTCGATGGCTTTGTTAGTGTAAACCCCATATTAGGGTCCATTTTATCATCATCCCTCAAGCTCTTAGTAAAGAACACGACTAAGAGCTTAACTAATGAATGGCGTCTTGTAAGAGAATTTCTCTTAGATAATGTATGATATGAACAAAAAAGGGACATACAGCACTGAATTTCTTTCATCTCCATATGTTGCCGAGCTCAATCCGGCGTTGAATCTCCGGCAACTTGTCAGCCCATTAGTCGTCGAGATACCATACGCTATGGAGTAATTGTAAAATCTGAGGCCTGATTTAATACTACCCGAGAAAGAGCATGCATCAAGAGCCAGGTCCCTTTCATGTGTCAATTCGTTTTTAAGGTCCATGCGTCGTTTTAGGGCCTCGGGCTTGTCATTCCACTGATCACGAAGATACGTAAAGGAGAGTCGAGCACGCGTTATAAGTCTCCGTTGGTTGAAATGGGAACATAGCTCCTTGCACAAGTTTGTTTTCATGGTTAATAAACCTTCCATCATATCCCATGCTGGCGTGTTCATGCTCATTCTGCTTTCGGGGCAGCTCTGGATTGATGGACTTTCCGTGTAACTGCAACTTCCTTGATGATCCTTATCCTCATGAATGGTCCGTGCCAAATATCTTCATATCCATGGTGATTAGGCGCAAGGCCCTAAATCCGGCTCTATTCCTGTCGGCTGCTCACGATAGAGTTAGGATTTACAGTTTTGATTATTTCAAATTGCTTGGATGCTGAATATATCGGCCGAGAACGGTGTTATTGAATCCGTAATTTTCTGGTACATAACAATGTGAGCTGTCTGTTGACATTTCAGACTAGACATCAGAGGACCTGCAATCAGAGAGAATGCTCATACCTGTTCAAACTAAAAAAAAAAAAAGGTTTTTGTCTGTTGCGAGGTGTAATGAAAGGACATCCTAAAGCCAGGGAGACCGGGTCTCGCTTTGTTAAGACGGCGATCTGGTAAATCACCAGGGACCAGCGTATCGCTTTTTAGACCATAGTTGCCATTTCCTATATCGTGACCATGTAGTAGAATGCCTGTAACAGACTTTCATTTCAAGACCATAGACGTGGTCGACGATTAGACGCGAATATGTTGATGAGCAAAGTAGAGGAAGAGTGAACGGGTGAATTCCCATTAAATATGCGATACAAATGACTCTATCTATCCCAGTCAGCCCATAAGTGAATATAACTCAGCATTTTGCAAGAAAAAGGAAACCATTCTCAGCCCTGAATCATAAAACAAAAACACCTAATCCAATGGCATCTTCCACAACCCATCCCCCAAATAATGCCCATCATCCATAACAACCCCCTTCCCCTTACTCTTCATCTCCTCCGTCCCAACCTTGAGCGCTCCCACAAGACAAGCGTTCTCCTTCCCCTCCGCCATAACCGCAACGATCGTCCCCTGCTCCAACGCATGCTCCGCATCCGGTAACCGCCCGCCCGGACTTGTAAGGCCAGGTGCCATCAGCGCGGCACCGGAGAGCACGAAGCGGATTGCGCCGCGGTCGATTTGGATTGTCGGGAGGGCGGAGGGGTAGGCGTGGAGGAGTTTTAGGTGTGGGATCGGGGGACCGTCTTGGGGTTGGTAGAAGAGGGGCTGGGAGTCGATTGTGTAGAGGGTGCATCTTTCGGGGCTGGATTTTCATTCCTGTATTAGCATTTGCGCTTTTGTATTGTTTGTAATAGGGGACACGGACAGTTTAATAGAATCGAGCTGTGCCTTTTTCGGGAGGATATCGTCAATGTACGGCTCGAAACCGGGGTATGAGTCGAGGAAGTTCTGGCGCAAGCCTCGCTGTACCGAGGACTTGACCTTTGATTTTGTGCTGGGGGCGATACTATTGCATTATTAACTTCTGCTTTCTGCTTGTTTTGAGGGTTCTGGTTCGATCGTCTGATTCGACCGTCTGGCCAAGACGAGGGGTTCAACGCGAGGACCTTGAAGGAAGAGAACGGAATTGAAAGTTTCGCAAGCGCTGAAATAACGTAGACTCACTCTTTTTTGAACATCTTGGTCACGGAGAGCTTGATATAGCTGCTCAATTCTGGACTCTTGTCGTTGCGGAGTTTGCAGCGATACGGCTGCGCGTTTGGTCCGACGCGGCTGACGCGGGGAAGGGCTATGTTAGTCACGTGGACAACGTCACTACTCTACTACTACTCCGTACAGATTGAGCTCTACTTGGTACACTTGAGTATGTGAAAAGATATTTGTACATATTCATTGATCATTATATAGCCTAGGTTCGAGTGGGAATCATATATCAAAAGCCCGAACATAACAACTACATTTTATTTTATGAACCGGTTTAGCCCTTGGCGGCACCGGCCTTAATGAGCAAGACATCACCGTCCTCTACGGGGTAATCCTTGCCTTTGGTCATGATCTTTCCGGCGGCCTTCACGGCGCCTTCATCACCGTACTCGCGCAGAGTGGTGTAGTTGTAGACAACAGCCTGGATGAAAGTCTTTTCAAAGTCTGTCGCGCCGTTAGTACGTTGCATTCCGATAACGAGGATAAGGAAAGGAACATACCAGTGTGAATGACACCGGCGGCAGCTGGTGCCTTGATACCCTTCCGGATAGTCCACTGGCGGACTTCATCCGCACCAGTGGTGAAGAAGCTCGACAGGTTCAAAGCCTGACGCATAGTGGTGATGACCTTGGGAAGACCAGACTTGGTGCTAAGCTTCTTGCACTCCTCCTCAGCGGCGGCGTCATCGGCCATGAGAGCCAGACGCTCCTCGAAGGAAGCAGAGATGGGAATCAGGGGACCGGGAGAGTTCTCCTTGATCCATTCGAATACCTTGGGAAGGTACTTGTTCTTCTGGCGAATGTAGTCTTTCTCGCTAAGGTTGACGAGGTAAACGATGGGCTTGGCAGTGAGAAGGAAGAGAGGATTGATGACCTCGACCTGTATCCATGTTAGCATTGCCACAGCAAGACTAATGGATGCAGATGTGAAAAAGGAAACACATGACACTAATCAGACGGGACTTCATCTCATATGACCTCTGGTTGGATTATAATAATGAGGCCATCGACGAGCTGGGATTATCGAGCAAAGCTCTTATTCATCATGTGATGTCATGCGCGGAGAAGGGCGGGAAATGGGAAAGAATAAGAAAATACCTCTTTCGGGCCCCAGTCACCCTTTCGGATATCATGACCCTCCTGCAACCACTCGAGCACTCGGGCCACGGTAGCCTCCTCTTCTCTGAGCTTCTTCATCTCCAAGGTTTGACCACCACGACGGGTCTGTTTCTTCAAGTTCTCAAGCGCCTTCTCAACAAACTCAATATCCTTGATCCGTAGCTCCTCGTTGATGATAGTCAGATCCCGAACAGGGTCAACGTCACCCTCGACGTGAATAATCTCGGCATCATCGAAGCACCGAACGACCTGGAAGATGGCATCGACGGCACGGATGTGCGACAAGAAAGAGTTACCCAAACCGGCACCAGTCGAGGCACCACGGGTCAGACCGGCGATATCATACACAGTCAAGTTGGCGGGAACCACGGACTTGGGCTTGTAATGGGAGCAGAGCCAGTCGAAGCGCTCATCAGGGACGACGACACGAGCCTCTTCGGGGTTGATGGTGGCAAAGGGGAAGTTGGCGGGGTTACCCAGCGACGACTTTGTGATAGCCTGGAAGAGCGTAGACTTGCCGACGTTGGCGAGACCAACCTGTCATAGTGTTAATTCACATTGCGATGTGAAAATATGTGTGTGAAAAGAAGAAATTTTTCAGGGGAAGCGAGAATTTATAGCTGAGAAGGAAATTTCGGCGGCAGGAAAAAAATGGCAAAAAAAGGTGGGGACGTGCTCACATACGATACCACTCTTCAGGTTGTTACCAGGTCGACCCAACAGGACCTTTTCTTGCACGGGGGCCTTCTTGGGGGGCATCTTCTTTTTCTTCTTGCTGCTATAAAAGCGACAAGAAAGAGTGATATAGGGGGTGGTGGTGGTGGTAGTAGTAGTAGTAGAGAAGAAAGCAGCAGAAGAGAGAAGAGGGGAACAAGCAGAACCAGCTGCCGATCGGAGAAGGACAAAGGCGGAGGGAGCCGTGATGTCGGCTGCCCACGTTACTAGGTGGGCAATAAGGGAATCCGGTGGAAATATACCGACTCTTGGGTCGTTATGACGGAATTTTCGAGTTTTTCGCGTGGAAAAGAAGAACTTGAGCAGGGAAAAATTGAAGCCATCCCGAGTTTTGCGCTTCGGTTCGTGTGTGCTGCTCACCGCCCACGTGAGTGGGAAGCCCTAGCCGCATGGGGAAAAACAGCAAGATATAATACATTACTAACTAAAGCAAAGAAGCAAAGCAGACCACCCATCCCGTATATCGCATCTAACGCCATCCTTGTATAAATAAAACGGCAGTCGACTTTACGTCTCCATGGCATCGCCCGATTCCATCTCCTCGTCGACCACTCCGAGTAGCTTCGCGTACGGAACCGTCACTCGTTGGAGATCCCGGTGTTTACCTGAAAATAATTAGCCACAGCTCAGCAATCAGAAAAAACGAAGAAAGACTCACCCAATGCCAGAATAACCTCCTTCAACAACACCTCCCGTGGCCAGCCACATAGGGTATCCGAGCTCTCTTTCCAATTCCGGTCCTCCTTCTCATTGGCTTGCAAACGTGGTTGCGGCCCTGTTTCATCATCCTCCTCAAACAACCCTCCAAATAACCCCTTTAGCAGCTCTTCCACCTTCATTTTCAGCCCCTCAGCTCCAAGACGCTTGGCGTACATCGACATGTACAACCGGAACTCCTCCTTGGCCCCGAGTGAAAGGGCCGCTGCCAGACGGTTCTCTAAGTGAGCAATCGAAACACTCGACTCGAAACTTTCGTAGCCTTCTCGTGATAGGAGAACCTTGATAAGTCGTTGCATGAAGTATGCTCGACCACGGAGAAGTGTTTCGTTGGTCGTGTTGCGTTCCAGGAACGGGATGATACCGGCCGACACGGCCTTTCTCGCCTCCGGATCTTGTTGCGACTCTTTCAATTGGAGATTTCCAACAGGTGCTTCGGTGGTATTCCAGTACTGACTACCAACCGCCCACCATGCTTCGGAGACCCGCTGCCAGTTGTACAAGGCGGGAGAGTATGCGTAACCCTCACCGTTTGTCAGCGCGACCACAATCCGACCTTCAGAGTTGATTCGTGCATTGGTAATCGCCGGAGCTGCAGTTGGGTGAGTTCCCAAGGAGTGAAGTGCAGCATCAAGAACCGGCTGTAGAGAAACAGGGGGGTGAGGAGAGGAGAGGTGCTCGACATTCCAGACATAGCACATCCCCACTGCCGAGATACAAAGAATCCATGGCCCGTGGCACTCCAGGATAACAGGCTGTGCCTCCAATACGAGAGCACTAACTAGACGGCGACCAGCTGTTGTCCAAAGATAAACGGAACCATCTTCACAGGCTGCCGCCCACATGCTCTGGTTTCCTGTCACCAGGAGTACGCTGCGGGGTAGAAAGTCTTGCCATAACGGCTGCTCCCCTCGGAACAATGTCAGACGAACAGGCTCCCGATCCACAGCCCGACCAGTCAAGCTGGCTGGTGACGGATTCCGGGCCTCAAACACCACGTCAACACGTGACTTGTTCGACTCCCCTGGCGTAGTTGCCGTGCTTGGGGGTTCCGTAGGCTTGCCATTCTCATCAATCGCCCGAAGGATGTGGCTGCGGATCTTCGGTACAGCCAGTCGAAGCTGGCTAATTGCCATACACGGATTTGTTACTGCGGGTCTGATGAACTCTGGTGTCGGCTGTTGGCCCGTGGCAGCTGGTTGTTGCTGTGCGGGAAGTAAACCATCTGGGGTAGCTGCAAGAATCGGGGTAGCACCGTTCTGACTTGCGAACGCCACGCGCTTTTCCACATGCCCGTCCTCATCTCCCTCCAACTGCGCCAATTTCCGCTTGTTTCCAAAAAGTAGCGCCGCAAGTCCACCCTTGGGTAGCCCGTCAAAAGGCTTGGAAAGATCAACAATGGACTGTGGTGCATCCGACTTCCCTTGGTTGTTGCTAATAGAAGCCATCAACCGAGCTTGGGGCAGAGAGGATTCTGCGGCCCCAGCTCCCGATACCAAAAGAGGAGCAATACGCTTCTTTCCCTCTTTGGTGTAAGTGGGACGCGACTTCAGTCTTTCCAGCTTGGCTTGGTACGGATCGGGCTTCTCCGGTTCAGTAGCCCCTGTCGCGGCGGTCCCATTTGGCTGCTGGGTCTTTGGCGCATCTGGCGCGGGCGACGGAGCACGAGCAGGCGTACCATTTGACGGCGCTGTTGCTGCAGGTTTCCCATTCACCTCACCCTCAGCTGCAGCATGATCATCACCCATCAATGCACCCATCCGACCTTCAACACCTTTGATTTCATCCGCCTTGCTCTTCTCCTCGAGTAACAGCCCATCTGTCGTCTCTGTGATACCAGCACCTCTCCGATTAGTACCGAATTTGGTAAGCGACTTCTCGTTCTCCTCCATGGCCATCGCAAAGCCCAATTCTCCGTCTTCAAATCCTAACGCCAGAATCGTACCATCCAGTGCAGTTGCATATAAACACGTCCCATCAGGACTCCATGCAAGATCTGATATCGACTTGGCAGCCATTTCTTGTGCCACGACAATCGGTCGTGGATTGCTGGTGATCCAAATACTCAACGATTTGTCTCCTCCGGCACATGCGATTACTGTGACAAGGTTATGTGCACCTCCTTGGTCGAGCGCCTGCTTACTCATGGGCTGCATTGAATACAGTCGTGGCGAAAATGCGCAGACCTCGACCGGAGCTTCATGTCCGATCAGATTGATATCGCCGTCCCACGAGCCACGGTTGATAATCGCGACGGAGCTGACAGGTCCGTTGACGGCATTTGCGGCCGCAATATGCATACCATCGGGAGACCAAGAGCATCGACGAAAGTAGGCCGTCAAGGGAGAATTGTTGAAAGGAGCAGCAATGGTCTGTTCGTGGACGAAGTTGTTCATCTGGTCATGGGCACTGGAGTTCGGCTGTGGAGAAGTAAAGCGGAATATTCGGACGGTACGGTCATCACTGGCAGTAGCAAAGTATTTGTTTGCCGGGTCGAAGGTAATTCCCTTGACGTGACTTTGGTGGATGGATAATGTCTTCAGCTTCTCGAATGTATGCCCCGACCATACCACCACCTTGGAATCCAAGCCCACGGAAACCAGAATCGAAGAATCGTATGACCATCCCAAATCCTGAACATCATTATCGTGGCCGATTAATCGTCGTATGGTGCGCCAATTCTCCACGGGTGGTGCTTCGTTCGTCCCTAGTTGCGGAGAATGTCAGCAGCTATTCATCAAGGTCCCGCGTAATCGTAAGAACATGGGTTGTAAGAATCCTACCAAACGTAGATGCATGCGACGGAGGATTTGAATCCAGCGAATAGATGCATACAATCTTATCATCCGCACCGGACGCCAGGTATTTCCCGTTGGGCGAGAATCGAACGGTATGAATCGTCCCCGAGTGGTTGCTCATCGACGCGAGTTGCTTTGGCTTGTTCGCATTTTCAACATTTGCGGTATTGCGGATGGCCTCTGTAGACCATATCCGGACGTAACCATCTAGAGGAATCCAGAAGTCAGCAACAGCAGTTCTTACGTTTCCCTCGCTTCAACAAGGGTAAGCAACAAGGATATGCAACAAGGGTATGCAACAAGGGTATCGCAGCTCGAACTCACCTCCGGCAGCAGTTACTAGGCGACTTCCATCGGGCGAAACATCACAACTGTAGACTTCAAAATCCTTCCTCTCGCCTGTCAAACAGAATTGTCAGCCATCCATATTTACCATTACTCCCTTTCACAGCCATCATCACCACTCCGCCGCTATTCTCAGCCCCGAAGCCCAACGCCCAAGGGAATCGAAACGCCGTAGATATGTACCTCCATGGGTTAGCCAAACTGGCTTGATTATATGCATCGCAACGAAAAGCGTTGAAGACACGCTCCTTTATAATGAAGGCGAGGTAATTCGGCTGAAATTCACTGGTAGATCGACGAGGAAGAGCAGTTGCGTTGGATCATCGCAAAGTGCAGGCCGTACGTATCAAATAATGGTGGATTTCTGAATAGGACGCGGCACGTGAGAAGTTTTTTTATTGGAGAGGAATAGAAAGAGCGTATAGGATTATATCGTCGCGCACAAGGACCGGCCTTGACTCCGTTGAGAGGATGTTCAAGATTAAGGTCCAAGAAGGGTGCGCGCCCGGAGAAAGAGTCGCGATTTCTCGTTAATCCAATCAGCGCCCGCGGTTGGCCCGAGCTTCATACCTTACTACGACTGCTAAGTATTCTATGAATAACGTATGCTATATGCCAGTGTTTGTGCTATCATACTATTTCTTGATTGATATTTTTAAAGAATACGATACGTTATAAGTGCCGCTATCATCGTGTTTGTACTATACTAAGGGACAGGTACACCAATGCTCTCGAGTCAATATATATCCGTTCCCCTGCCCTGACAGACACCTCGGGTTAACCTAGATTTCCCTCTTCTCTTCCTCTTTTCTTCATCACTTTAAAAGCCTCCTACATCCCATCCATCGTCCATCATTACCCTAAGAGAATGAAACGATGGCAGTGCTCTCAGTCGAGGGTGCAGCAACCACCGGTCTTATGTGCGCTACTGCTGCGGACCGGAGTCAAAGGGTATCTGCAGTTCTATAACGACATTATCACAAAGTAACATAACAAGGATGGCTCACATCACATAATTCAAGATTGAGATACTTTGAGCCTCTGAAGTTCTATATACAAAAAGCAATTGAGTATTTACTGGGCCAGCTTTTCAAAGAACCACCCTACCAGATGATATGTCGTCGGGTAGTTCCAAACCAGAGTTGGTGGGACATTGATCTTAAAGGCTTGTTGCAGCTGACGTCGCAAGCTGACACTCATCACAGAGTCCAACCCAAGATTCGATAAGGTCGCCTTGGAATCGATTTCGTCCGCGGAGAGGTTGAGGACGTTGGCCACACAAATCCGAATCTGTTCATCGAGATATGACTTTAGCTCCGGCCCGGAAGATGGCAGTGCTGGCTTGCTGCCAGACTTGCTTTCACCACCTTCACTGGGCTCTGTGGCTCGTCGAATGGCGATATCATTCAGGATTGGTGTCGGAAGTGGTTCTCCTTCGTCAAAAACGCGACTACGCAGTACTACGCCGTGATCCGTGTCGTACTGTGCAAGGTGCAACCACGCCTGGAAAGCATCATGACGGTTCACATTCGTGATACCCTTGCTTTCAAGTTCCGCAGCGACGAAATCGCTATCGCTTCCCAGGCCCATACCTTGCCACGCGGTCCATTGGAAAGCAACCGCGTTGTCACCCAGATTCCGGCGATGCGTAGCCAGTGTATCGAGGAACGCATTTGAGCTGGCGTAAGAGCCTTGGCCAGGGAAGCCAAACAGCTGGCCACAGGAGGAGAAGAGGACGAAGAAATCAAGCGTGTTCGGTGGGAAGGCCTCATGCAGAGCCAGCGTTCCGCTAACCTTAGCTGATAGGACGCGGTTAAGGGCGTCCTGAGTGGTCTCCATGATGAGTTGGTTCTCCAATACTCCGGCTGCGTGGATGACACCTAAAACCGGAGGGAGACCTAGTCGGTCCAATTCTCCTAGTAAACTGGATGTAGCACTTGCATTGGTGATATCGATAGACACGGTGTGGACGCTGACACCCTTTTGCTCTAGAGCTTGGATCTTTGTGATTGTTGACTTAATGCCATTGTCGTGAATAGTATCCCAGGTTCTCCGCGGCGGCAGCGAACGTCGGGAAACAAGCACCAAACGTCGAGCTCCTTGCTCAGCCAGAAACTCTGCCACCGCGAATCCAAGCACGCCTAAACCACCCACAATGAGGTATGTACCCTCAGGTCGAGGGAGTGACTTGGACTGCCGATGAGTCCGGTCTTCTGGGGAAAAAGCGCGAAGTCTGGCTGTCCGGGCTATTCCATCGCTGATACGGATTATGTCTGCTCCTTGGATATACTTCATGACGGCTAGAGGCATAACCCGTTGCTCACAGTCAATAAGGCCTCCAAATAAATTAGGATGTTCGCTGGCAATGATTCTGCTGAGGCCCAGTAGCGGTGCGTGGGCCAATGCAGTCGGTGTCTCCCCTTGCGTAGCATCGTCGGTAAGTACAAAGATCTTGACGGGGAGGGACCTCTGAGCGAAAAATTTTGTGACTTCAAGAAGCTGCCAGGTGAAGGTCTCGGTCATGACAGGCACTTCCTGAAGTGAATGCACCTCATGTGGAATGTAAACGATTACCGTGCCCGTGCCATGATTAGGTACAAATTCGTGAGGAAGTTGATTGTCAAGATCATCGATTCCAGAAAGCTGAAATGACCGGACGTGGGTAGGCAAGGTCTTTGCATACATGTCCCTCATGGCAACGTCACTGCCAATCAAAATGACTTTCTCGACGCGAATAGGTTTTTCTGCGGGTAGAGCTGGCGGCCATGCCAACCGATGCACCAGGCCTGAAATACTTCCCCCGCTTGCACCGGGTGTACCCTCAATCTCGGAGAACCGCATGGAGGTGAATTTGGCCAGAAGTGTTCCAGACTCGTCTACTATATAGACATGGCTGGAATACTCCGTGTTGGTGTCTTGCTGTACGTATACCCAACCAACCTTGGGCGGATTTTGCTCCGTGAAAACCTCTACCTGTTGAATCTGTGCAGGCATGCGCAATCGAGGTATGTCGAAGAAGATAGTAGATCCAATGGATGTCGCGGCATCCAAAAACGGTGCCCACGACGAAGGGCTCCAGTCACTGAAGATTTCCGACGCCGGGGCGACGTCGACTCGTGCAATCATTTCGCTGGTGTTTCCATGATGCTCAGTCACCGTCCATGGAAATCCCATGGCTCCAACTCCGACCTTTGCGAGGTAGTCGATGGTAAAATCATCCCGTAGCTGTGCGCCGATACGGGCCTTCACTGCAGAAATGTTGAATTTTACTTCTGTGGCTGCTTCAGGTCGACAGTTGACGCCATGACCGGTCGTGTGGGTGACCCAAGAGTCCTCATCCCTTTGTTCGCCTTTTGCCAGTCGTGACATAAGTTTCACCTCATGATCTTGCTTCACCACCACTTGAATGTTTCGCGGAGTACCAACGGCAACGGGGACTTTTAGGTTAATGTTCTGCAATAAGGAAGTGCCAGTAGCGCCTAGGAAGGTATTGATCAAACAAGCGGCAGGAATAATTTCAGTTCCGGAAACTGGATGGCTCAGCGGGAAGGGTTTTGTATCCTGGTCCAAGGTCGTCGAGAAGACCACCATCTCGGTGCCGGCCACAGCAGTGCGCTTGCCCAGAAGAGTGTGCGTGTTGACATCATGCACGTCTGCGGTTCCAGTTGTTGTCGCTTCGCGCCACAAGGGACGATGCATCCAGGGACCCGTTGGTATCCCTTGGATCCAATTGTTCACCCTACGTTGTTTTGAGTTGTTGATATCCGCCCCACTGCAGTACAGTCGACCAACTGCATGAAGAATGTTCTTTATTGCCGGTTGGTCTCTGCAAAGAGTGGTAAGGACCGAGAAGTCGTCAACACCATGGTCCATGATAGTCTCGCTAATCGAGTGAGACACGACGGGGTGACTAGAGACTTCCAAGAACCTCCGGTGGCCATCCTCGATGGCAGCACCAACAGCAGATGTCAGCTTTACTGGGCTAATCATGTTGTTTACCCAATAACTAGTATCCCGAGGATCCTGTCCACGAGCATCCGAAAGCGAAGTTGAATACAGCTGGACTGCCGGCTGAGTAGGTTGCAAGGCATCTCGAAGCGCGCTCAAAAGAGGCTCTCCAAGCTTACTTAGGACTGCGGGACTGTGAAATGCGATATCAGTCTTGACGGTGAAAGTCTTTGTTCCTTGGTCCTGATACTGTTGAACGACAATGGCGACATCCTCTCTGGGACCAGCGATAACACAGGATGACGGGGATGAGTCAATGGCGACAGTCACATTGGTCGCGCCTTTCTCGTTGAGGTCTTGACAGACATATTCAGAGCTCCGGCTGACCAATGCCATTGCTCCATGGCCCATAACTTGCCTGTACAGAACTGCCCGTCGAGTGACAATCAACGCTCCCTCAATTGGCGAAAGTGCACCAGCAACCACAGAAGCAGCGATCTCTCCTACAGAATGACCAATGACTGCCTGAGGGAAGATACCGTGACTGTTTAATACGGCACTGATTCCGATTTGGACTATGTAGGTTAAGATCTGTATCCGATCGGACGACGCGAAGTCACCCTGATGCAACCATTCAATAGGCGACAAACCGATCTCCTCTCGGACAACAACATCAAGTGGTTCGACGGCGTCGTAGAAAGCCGGGCTGTTGACCAATTCCTTCCCCATGTTCGTCCATTGCGCTCCATGGCCAGAAAACACCCAGACCACATCTTTTCTTACATCAGATGGGAGGACGCGGCTTTGGGCAATCCACGGATTGCCCGTCGAGTGCTGCTGTATGCAATCCAAAGCAGCAATGACACCATCAATGTCTTCAACAACTGCAGATATCCGGAAATCGTGATGGCTACGTCGTGTGGCCATTGTTTGACACAGATCAGCAAGACCAAGCTCGGAGCCCTGTTGGCGGATCCATGTGCTCAATAATTCTGCAGAGGCAGGTAGACGTTGCTCCTGAGGTGCTGAGAGAAGCAGTAACTGTGGACCCATACTGTGGACATTCTCTTCGTCCAGCGAATATGGCTTTGTGTACTGCGGGAACTCTTCGAGAATAGCATGCGATACTGTTCCGCCATATCCATAAGAGCACACGGCTGCGCGACGCAGGTCATTTGGATTTGGCCAGTCGGTTGGTTTCTGCACAACCCTGAGGCCGGTCTCTTGCCAGTTGATTCGGGTGTTGAGCGTTTGCAAGTTTGCTTGAGGGGGTAGGATGCCCTTTTGGATAGCGAGGACAGCCTTTATGAGACCCATAACTCCTGCGCCAGCCTCCAGATGGCCGATATTGGGCTTTATCGAGCCAATATAACATGGATCGTCACTTGGCCTCCCGACACCATAGGTCTCTGCAACTGCGGAAACTTCTGTCGGATCTCCCAGTGCAGTAGATGTAGCGTGCGCTTCGACGTAGCGCACCGTATGGGGATCAATGCCAGCGGCGTGGAGTGCTTTCTGTGCAACTAGTTGTTGTGCTTTGGCGTTCGGGGCCATGATGCCGTTGTTCCTGCCGTTGTGGGCTACCGCGCTACCCTTGATGACTGCCATGATGTGGTCTCCGTCATGAACAGCTTGACTGAGGTTCTTCAGGACAACAGCACCTGCACCTTCGCCACGACCATAACCATTCGCGGTATCGTCGAACGATCGGCATTGGCCCTCAGAAGAAATAACCCCAGCCCTAGCCAGGACCGTTGTCAAGCCTGGACTGCAGAGTGCGTTCACGCCACCAACAATCGCAATCTTGGATTCACCTCCGACGATGGCTTTTATACCATGGTGAACAGCAACGAGTGAAGAAGCGCATGCAGCGTCAACAGCGACACTGGGCCCCATCAGGTTCAAATGGTACGATATCCGGTTTGGAACCCCGCAGTATGCCGTCCCAATCCCCATCCAAGCATCAATATTCGCAAGGTCCTCCAAAATAAGACTCCCATAATCATTCGAGTTCACGCCCCAAAAAACAGCGGTGTCACTACCACCCAGCGTCTTCGCGGAAATTCCGGCGTCCTCGAGCGCCTCCCAAGCAACCTCGAGCGAGACACGCTGCTGTGGATCCATTTGCTCTGCTTCTTTCGGGGAGATGCCGAAAAACTGACAGTCAAATCCTTCAATATCTTTGACGTAGTATCCGCGGTTGGGTACTTGGCTCATGACTTTCGGGTTGCGGGAGTCTCGGTTGTGGTATGGTGCCCAACGTTTTGGGGGCATTTCGGTAGATGCCACTTTCTGGCCCAGCAGAGCTTGCCAGAGCTGTTCAGGGCTTTGAATGCCATCAGCTACACGGCATCCCATGCCGACGACTGCGACATCTTGGAATCGAGCCTGCATCACTTGGTTAGGGTGTCCAGACATTTCTTTTGGGTGACTGAGGGCTTACACTATTACTATGTTCGGTGACAGGAGTGCTTCTCGAGTCATCAAATCTCGATCGTGGTGTGGAAGGAGTAGAGGTACACATGACGGTTATGCAAAATCAAAGTTCTGCGCGAAGCTGCTGCAACAAACGTACGGAGTAATATATTAAAGCATGCGGTGATTATGCAGGCCTTGCTGCTTCCTTCATATATGCTTTACTAACCTACAACTGAATAATTAAAATTATAAACCCAAATCACCAATATCAAGACCTTTTGATTCAGCTCTTTTTTCCTGGATACCGGGTGGATAAGGTATCAAGCGCCTACGTGTTAATTACAAGTCTGCAATTATAGCCACATTCGTGCTTGGGATCTACGATATGATGATCAAGAAGACAGATTTTCGCTTATCTCGCCTTTGGTCCGAGCAGCTGGACCACGGAGCTACTAGCGGTGTACGCTTGCATGTCTGCAGGAAACGCAATTGATCTACATGGGTCCTCGCCGGTGGGATCGGGTTCGCCACCCGGGATTGCTATGGGGTATATCACAAACGCCTGTGATACAAACCCAAATTGAACACCCACTTTGCTAATATGCATCGGGATTTGTGATGACTCAAATGCAGTGAAGATAATTAGGTATACCTTCCAGCGAATCTTCAGCGTCAGTGGTCACGTGATAGCAGCCCTAATCGGCACCGGATCCCATCGGGTCCCACCGGTAGAGATGAAAGTGGATACAAGACATGGACGCATCCTATTCTCAAAGTTCTGCAATTACTGGCAATGAGATTAATGGAAGTCTTGAGAGTTCTGTTCATATTGTGGTCATGCAGGTACGGAGGTTTCGGAGCTTGTCAACTGCAAGGTTACTTTGAGCATGAGATCCCTGCACTTGCATCAACGCCTTCAGCTATTCCAGACATGTATGCCTTTCCGAAATATCCAATACGGGTGCCACTTCGGCCCGTTGGTCTGTTCCCCTCATTCTGTGGATCAAGTCACTAGATCGGGCTCGTGCATTGGAAGATCGACCATGGTAGAGTATGTTGATCTTGCCGGTGTTGTTGTGACATCAAGCCAATTGATTCAATGGAGATACATCTGGCAATTACGGTGCCGGTGGCTCTAGTGTTTTGGGGTTTGCCTGGTTGTGGATAAACTCATTTGTGATCTGTGTGTGTGGGTTGATCGCCCCTCTTGGTATGGCCCTGTCCGTAAATCCTTTCGTCAGTGGATAACCGAAGCGAGGATTGAAGCTGATATACGGATTATATCTGCCATATTCCGATCTGGTACGTACAAAGTGGATATATTTCGGAAGGGTTTCCCCTCATCCACTTAGTTCGCATTTCATCGTAGTGCTGGGCTTAATCGCGCTAGGATCCAATAGCTTTACCCCATACACTGGAGAGATTATTTTGATTCTCGTACTGATCAGCATATATTTTTCAGCTGAGACTGAATACTATTAAGAGAGCGAATTTTATTGGTATCAGTGCGATTCCTGCGAGTAGCTGGAGCTGTTGCCGGCACTAGCTCTCGGCAATATCATACCATTTGGAAAGGAAGTCGTGGTATAATTACTAACAGGACTCCAGCTCACAGGCATAAATTAGTCCTCGTTTTGCCTAAACTGAGATTTAATTCTTCGTAATTTTCGTTACTCAACAACCCAAAATGGCTGACAACAGCACTCACGAGATCGGCAAAAGGCTTATGGCCAATACCATTGACGACATTGCCAGGACAGATCCGGAGAGAACGGTTTGCATCATGCCGGAGATAACCGACAGTTCGGATTCTTTTGTGAATCTGAATTTCAGACAGCTTGCACACGCCGTGAATTACATGTCTTGGTGGATAGAGAAGTCATTTGGGCGCCACAATGGTTCTCCGCAGGAGACGCTGGCATACCTAGGGGCTAATGACTCTCGGTATTTGATCATTGTTATTGCTTGTAATAAGACTGGTTATCAGGTAAGGTATACTACAAGAATTATGAATCCAGCGTGTTGACATTGGGTATAGCCCCTGCTTTCCTCTACTCGAAACTCTCAGGCGGCACAACTCCGTCTCCTAGAAATGACCGACTGCTCAAAGCTTGCATATAGTTCTGAGCGAAAACAAAAAGCAGATGAGATCGAAGAGCACCGTTCTGATCTGAAAAGCGTACAGATTCCATCGTTGTCTGAGATGCTTGCAAGCGATACTGAATTGTATCTCTTCACGAAGACATTCGATGAAGTCAAAAACGATGTGGCTTTCATTGCTCACAGCTCGGGAACTACTGGTAAGTGTCTAATCGAGTATTTCTGGAGAAACATTCTAAATATGCCAATAGGATTCCCAAAACCTATTCGCCTCACATACGGCTACTTTGGCGCTCTGGACCATGGTAGATACGTTCCCATCCCTGAAGGACGAACAGCAGGTGTACCGGATAGATTGACCCCCAACGACCTTATCCTATCAACAACCCCATTTTTCCACATGATGGGCTTCTCTTTGATGGTGATGACCGTCTTCCACGGAATTCCTTGCGTTATATTACCCGACAAGCCGCTGTCCACGGATCTCCTGACAACAACCCTCAACTCGACAAAGCCAACAGCAGCCCTTTTCCCACCATGTATTCTAGAGGATATGACTGCATCCCTCGAATCCATGGACGCTCTGTCGGGACTAAGACAGGTCTACTTTGGGGGCGGTCCCCTTTCCCCCGATGCTGGACGTAAGGTCAGTGAGCGTACCAAACTGGTTAGCTTCCTTGGGATGACGGAGGGTGGTTGGGTCTTATCGCTTGTTCCAAAGGAGAAAGAAAACTGGTCGTATTTCGAATGGAGCCCAACATTTGGTATCAAGATGGAATCAATTGGCGAGGGTGGACTCGCGGAGATGGTTTTGCATAGACACGAGAGGCCGGATCTGCAACCGATCTTCCATACGTTTCCTGATATTCCCGCATACCACACTAAGGATCTTTACTCGCCTCATCCGACGAATCCAGGTTTGTGGAAGTTCCACGGTCGTCTGGACGACGTGATCGTTTTGAATAATGGCGAGAAATTCAACCCAGTCACCATGGAGAAAATCATCGAGGGACATCCGTTGGTCGCCCGAGCTGTTGTTGTTGGCTTGGGAAAGTTCCAAACAGCGCTCATCGCCGAACCTAACTGGAATCAAGGAATTCCAGACGAGAACAAGTTTATCGAGGAGATCTGGCCGACAGTGCAAGAGGCAAACCGTATCAGCGTGGCCCATGGACGAGTTATGAAAGACAAAATTGGCATGGCAACTCGTGAGAAGCCATTCAGCACCACACCCAAGGGAAGCACGCAGCGACGACTGGTGACTGATAGCTACCAAGACGAAATTGAGGCGCTTTACAACAAGCGCGCATCGGCAGATGCATGGATTGATACAATTTCCGGAGCTACTGAGCTATCCGACATCGTCCAAGTTGTCCGGAATATGGTCTCGGGGATTATTAACCTTTCACCAGCAAATTTTACGGACCAGATGGATTTGTACAGTATTGGACTTGACTCGCTGCAGACTTTGCAGCTGAGCACGATTCTCCAAGTTGCGGGTTTCAAGACCTTCACGCCTCAGATGGTCTATGCGAATCCTAGTGTTGACAAGCTCTCTAATCTTCTCTACGGTATCGTACACGGCGTTCAAACGGAGGAAAGCGCAATTGCACGGTCCGAGCGCGTTGATGCCCTGGTCAAAAGGTACACCGATGACCTGCATCAACCGGGAGTTGGCACAAACGGCATGAGCGGCATTAACGGCGCAGTGAAAAAGCGTGCCGTCATCTTAACTGGATCTACGGGCTCCCTGGGAACATACATCCTCAACAACCTCTTGAACAACAGCAACGTTTCCAAAGTTTACTGTCTAAACCGCACCACTGACGCCCAAGGACGCCAGACCCAGAGCTTCAAGCAAAAGGGACTAACAAGCCTCGAAGGATCTCAAGCGGACAAAGTAGAATTCCATACTGTCTCCCTTAACAAAGAACACTTCGGCCTTTCCGATACCACCATATACACCAAGATGCTCTCTACAGTCGACACTGTTATCCACAATGCCTGGCGAATGGACTTTAACATTTCCGTCGAGTCTTTCCAGGACCAGATTCAGGCTGTTCGTCGACTAATCGACTTCTGTACACAGAGCACGCATCACGCACATTTCTACTTCATGTCTTCTATTGGAGCAATTGGGGAGTGGAAGCGTTCGGACGGAGATACTGTCCCAGAGGTACCATTCGAATCTTGCGATGTCGCACTTCGCCAAGGATACGGGGAGGCGAAGCACATTTGTGAGCGGATTTGTCTCGCTGCGTCTAAGATGGGTGTATCGACAACTATTCTCCGGTTGGGACAGATTGGCGGTCCTACCACGGAGGCTGGGATGTGGAATCCGTGGGAATGGCTGCCGGCTATTGTGCAAACATCGAAGACCATCGGCAAGATCCCTCGTACATTGGGTGCTGCGCCACTCGATTGGATTCCAGTGGTCTGTCTTCACCCCCTCAAGCTATCTACGAACAGAATACTAACAATACCATAGGACACCCTCTCAACCATAATCCAAGACCTCATCCACACGCGTCAAACGCAAAAGACAAATCCCTGTGCAGTTTTCCACCTCGTCAATCCTATTCGTACTACATGGGGAGCCCTCCTCCCCTCCATCCACAAGGCTTACAGCAACACCATACAACCCATCGACATGCAAGACTGGATCGAAGAGTTGGAGCGTATCGAGAAGCCCTCCCCAGAGGACCTTTCTACGAAACCTGCGCTCAAATTATTAGGTTTCTATAGGAGTCTAGTCCAGGGCGAAGGGGCGCTTTCTGTGCCACTTAGTGTGGAGAGGACGAAGGAGGCGAGTGTGACGATGCAGAGCTTAGGGCCGATTTCGGGGGAGTTGATGGGGAATTGGTTGAGACAGTGGAATTTTTGAGTATATCTCAAGGTTAGTTGTCCATAGCACTGAATAGATATAGGGATTTCAGCAAAAAGCTATGACTGTTCTAAACCTAGAGTTGATAGAGTCTATTCCTCGTCGGAATACCTTGCCTAATAGAGACCGGAAGGGCTTGCCTTGTAAACATTGCTAGAAAATCCATAATGGCGACTCCGAACGTCGACTGAGGCTAGCACATGTCAGTATTTGATCTATCTGGGAAGCTTTTCGCCTTTTAGGTTGTAATATGGTGTCGCTGCTATGTCTGCACATTTACAAATAATAAGGCACTGATAAGGCACCAATATGTGATCCTCTCCGCATCTCCAATGTCGGTCCGACGATTACAACACCACCAATAAACAGTACCACCACCATTCAGCACACACCATGTCGCATTTACCGCCCTCAATCTATCCTCCCTCATCATCGCCATTCGTGGTGAGCCAAGCTATCAACGCCGATACCCCTCCGCCGCCCCCTCCCAAACCGAGCAGCCACGATGTCAGTCGAAACGGCACGCCGCAAATGAATCCCGTTCTCCCGATCCCTCCATCGCAGGCATACCAGGAAGGATATAGCCAAGGTCGAGCGCGAGCGCAGTCTGTGAATGCTGCTCAATCGCCGGCTCCGGGTAACCTGCCCAGACCTCCGACAGTGGAGGAGGGGTGGTTACCGGATGTTGTGCGGGATAAATCGTGAGATTCATTTCCCTGTATAAACATACAGACTGGCTAATTCTCATTGTGTAGGACTGCGGATCTACAAACAGTCCTCCAAAACCCATCCCTCATCTCCGCCCTCTCCAGCCACCATCCCTCCCACACAGCCCACCAAAACCACCTCGAATCCCTCCTCAAATACAACCGCGACCTCACAACCCACCTTCTAGACCTGCAAAAGCAACTGTCCGACTCCCGCGCGTCAACCGAATCCCTTCTCTTAGCACACCAATCCCTCGAAGTCTCATGGCGGAAGAAACAGACCGAAATGGACGCCGCGTTAGCGCCGTGGTCGCCGCGCGCGCTGTACCAGCGGCTGTCTGCGTCAATTTCGGAGCAGGAAGCTATTTGTCAGGCTGTTGAGGAGAGCTTTTTGGAGGAGGATCATCATGGCAGTGTTACGGAGAAGGAGGTTGCGGATTGGGTGAGGAGGGTGAGAGCTGAGGCGGGGAGGTTGGCTGCTAGGAGGGAGGCTAAGGCGAGGTGGGACGAAGGGAGGGTTGGGGGGTGGCGGTGATTTGGTACACTATATTTTCAATATCCTACGTGCTAAGTTGACTTCTAACCAGTACGACAGCTCGGTTCATATATCTAGTCGTGCCTTAAGGGGCGCCCATCAAACCAATGCGAGTTGACCACTTTCCGCACGCTCAGCAGCCCAATTTTCATTTCCGACATGGCTTGGAAATCCGATCTTTTTGAAGAATGCATTCCTGCGACTCCTAGTTCCCCATGACCAGCCTCCGCCACGCTGGATAGGCAAATTGTACAACCGAAACGCAATCCACGCGAATAATACGCCGATAGCAGATCCGAATACAAGGTCAACTCCGTGATGCCTGTGATCGGTCCATCGAGATGCGACTATAAAGAAAGCAACTGCGATCGGTATAACCGGGGCAATGAGCGTATAAATGGGCGGTGCGGCACCTTCTTTGCGAATGGAGAGTGCTGATTCCTTGTGGGAATGGGACTCGGGGTTGTCTGTTTGTTCTTCGTCGTGCGAGTTTCGGCGGCTGGATGGAAATATGGGAAGGTATGGGAAGGCGATGGTGAGTTTAGAGCATAGCCAGAGACTAAAATACGTTGATCCGGCAAATGACACTGTCCCCGTCAATATCACTTTATACAGATTGTTCAACGAAGGGACTCACAAGACGCATGATCACTCGGAAAACTCACAAACCCCGTCTTCGTCAACCCATGCGACCTTTTCCGACAAATCTCAGAAGTCACCAAGACCGGAGCCCCAGGCAACTCCCGCCCAAGTCCACCAACCACATACGCAGCAACATTCTCCAGATCGGGATCGCACCGCGCCAACAAATCCGGCCGCGGCTTCCCAAACAAAAGCTTCAACCCCTTCGCAGTCGCATACGCACTAGCAACCGCCAGCGCTATCCCAAGCCAGCCAGCGTTAATCTCCCATAGTTTATATCTCCAGAGGACAGAGCGCGGGGTATCCTTGTGCAGTGTCTGTCCAGGGATGCGCAGTATGATAACAAGCGCGATTATAGCGGCCGGGAGGATTAGGGCGAGTGTCAAGGCGAGTCCGAAGGGGACTTTTTCGTGTTTTGTCTCGGGGTAGGAGATGCTGGGGTCTGTGAGGGAGAAAGGGCGGTGGATGGGGGTTTGGTTGGACCAGGTATAGCCGATTGCTGCGATTATGCTGCATTCATCTTAGCTTTGCTATGTCTTTGTATTCGGATTGATGGGCGCACATAATGACTATCCAGTCGAGGATATATGATAGTACCAGACGATTTGGGATTATATTGCGCATGATGGTGATTTTGGTGATGGTTAAAATCGATGGTTGGGCGATAAGCTTAAATAGCTGGAAATGCGGGGACGCTGGATCCATGCAACATTACATCAATGACTGGATCAAATACAGGGTACATAAATGAGAATTATTCTCGTCTATTCAATTGACTAAACAAAAGGAGGAGTTGATCTCAGTACAACATCCCAGGCAGCCACCTAACCGCAGGCATCTGTTCTTGTATCTGTCATTCCATAACATCAAGCTAGACAGTTCACTAATAATCGATCGGCAAAAGAGCACTTACTCTAACTGGTGAATCGATATGTATCATAGAAACAGTAGTCTTCCCCCCAGGCCCAACCCAACTACCCAACCGGAGCCTGTTGCTGTCGCCATCTAGAACTCTATAGCAAGTTAACAGGCGTCATCAAACACTCCACTAGACAGAAAGAACACTCGCATCCACGTATCAAACAATCCTCTGCCCCAGACTCAAACCTACCGCCCAACCAGTCCTTCCCGTAGTGACAAAGTACCCACTGGCTAGTACCCAGGATTACCGCCGGCCTCCTTCCAGGGCCAGCTTTTGCTATGTACTGCTCCACTAAGATGAGTGATCGTGACTTCGTAGCTTCATCCCTGCACCCTACTCAGCCGCAAAACCAAGGTGCCTGAGAGGTCCGTGTTATGTGTGTCCAAGAACAGAATGGATGACGGGTGGATAGTAGTAGGTGGCAATATATGGTAATAAATGAAAAAAAAAAAAAAAAAAAATTGTCCTAGGATGAGTAGATAGACGGAGTAAAAGAGGTAGAAGAGGGTGGCGTATATTATGGGGGTCTGGAGGCAGAATTCAGGACAGGCAGTCAAGCAACCAAGGCAATGAGGCATGAAGATGATAAAAGGGCAACGAAATGAAAGAGAATGTATTTATATCATGATAGATTTATTATATGGCGCTACCGTTAATATTACATTAAAATACACCTCCCAATACCTAAACAGAAGTACCCTCAAGGTCCTGGAAAAAGTCCCGACCAAATTCCCCACTGCTGTCATTGAACCGCAGCTTGCGGTCAATTTGATGAATCTTTTCCATATCATCCTCGTCCAATCTAAAGTCACCTTCGAAGTTCGTCTTGATTCTTGAGGGAGTCTTGGACTTGGGGAGAACGGAGTGACCGTCCGTGATAGCCCAGGCTGCGCTAGTTAGCATATCTTACTCGTCAATATTGTAGATGTGAGATGTGAGACATACCCAAAGCAGTCTGCGCAGAATTCTTCCCATGCTTTTTCCCAATCTCCCCTAAGATAGGCTCATCGATCAATTTACCCAGATGTCCGGCTCTCGAGTACAATTCGTTCTGGTTCCCGAACGGCGAGTAATGCGTGACATGGATGCCCTTGGACTTGTGCCAGTCGGCAAAGGTGCGCTGCTGCAGCCACGGGTGGCCTTCGAATTGGTGCACGGCGGGCTGGATAGTGGCGTTTTGGATGAGACGTTCGATTTCGGCTTTGCTGAAGTTGGAGACGCCGATGGCTTTTACTTTGCCGGTGGAGACGAGTTTTTCCATTGCCTTGTATGTCTGTGCTGGTTAGCTCTGACATAGATAAGTCACCAAGGGAGTGGGGCATACGTCAAGCCAGTCAACGTTCTCGAGAATTGGCTTGCCACTCGAGTCCTTGGGGAAGGGCTCTTCGCCTCGCTTCCATGCTACCGGCCAGTGGATCAGCAGTAGATCAACGTAGTCCAAACCAAGGCGATCGAGAGAGCCCTGTAGAGACTTGGGGACGTCGTCAGGGTGGTGTGCATTGTTCCAGAGCTTTGTTGTTACAAAAAGCTCATTGCGAGGGATGCCGCTGGATCGAATGGCTTTTCCGATGGGTTCTTCGGTTCCGTATCTACTCCCGTTAGCGATCGTGTGCAACAAAGCGTTAGGTATACACACGCCTGAGCAGTGTCAATATGGCGATATCCTGCCCTGATGGCCTCTGCGACAGCGTTCTCCTGGGACCCTGCGTCTTGCCAGGTTCCGAATCCAATGGCCGGGATCTCAGCACCAGTGTTGAGCTTAAATTTGGTCGGCATCGTCGTAAATGTAGTTTTTCGGGATAGATACACTTATGTTTGATGGCTCATGTCAAAATTGTCTGGTCTTCCTTCAGGCGCCGTTATATGCCACTATCACCTAACTGCAACGTCAAATTGACGTTCCATGGCAAAGTGGTTCTGACGTTTCCATGATGCTGATGCCCGGATCAGCAGGCATACTTCAAGGCTTGCGAGCTTCAGGCTTATTCTGGCGTGAGCATCTTGTACCTTGGGTAATCAACCGATTTTGCTAGTTAAAGCTGGTTTCTTACCTGTCAAAAGTTCGAAGAACCCCTTCTAGGAGCATTCTGGGACCTTTGGAATGCGATTGACGTCATGGCAGCTGGCCCTATCGGTTGAGATACCCGACTCTACACACACCATTTGAGCCATATTCGCTCAAATGGATATTCTCTAATGACTGGCCTATTAAATACTTTAGTGATACCGCTGGTTTGTCCCATGATGGTTTCCTAATTTGGTATAGTGGCACATCTGTCCATCAGCTCTTTCAACTGAACATCATCTTTGTATTCATTCATGGTTTTCTCTTTCCAAGCATCCCATTCCAATTCCCCATCAACATCCATTGCCCTAAGGAGACCTTGGAATAGCCCCAGGAAACCCTCCCAATCTGCGAGGTCATACCGGCAGCAGAATTCAAATCGGTGAAGAATTCGCCCGTTCCTCACTAGTGGGGCGAGGTCTGGATATCGTTTATTTTCCAGGAACTGCGCAAATACTAGTTCATTCTCTCCAGAATCCTTCAATTCGTCATGGAAATCGGAAGCAGGGAGAAGCATGACCGGAGAGTTGAAGGCTGCGGATTTTGAGCTCGTATGCGCCCAGTCCCAGTCTACAATTCCTGTAATATTGTAATCATCAACCAGATTGCCGTCTCCTTATCATCTGCATACGTCAGGAAGAACCGTCCGTCGACATAGCCGTGATAGGATAAGATTCTTGGAACAGAGTCCAAGAGAAAGCGATGGGATAAAAGCGCGTCAACTGCTCGTGCTGCATAACAATACTTCCCTCTCACAATCAGATCTAGCGTCACAAAGGTTCCGCAACGAGATAATTCTCGTAAGACGTGAAAGGCCCAATGGGTTGCATTTGAGAGCCAACATAGTCTGCCAATGATTCCCGCGCCAAGGGCCCGACATAATCGCTCCCCAGGTGGTCCAAAGAGCCCTCCAAATCAAAGGCCAAGATGCATAGCGCAGAGATGGCGGTCGCAGAGAATGCAGTCTCCATACTTGCAGACAGATAAATTATCACAATTTTCGATATCACAATCTCACATTGCCGTCTTCATAGTTGTCGTGTTGTTCTCGAACGTGATAAGAAATACAAAGCGCTTGTATAGACATTTCCTAATACGGTTAGACCCGGTGCACTAGTGGTTCGTGTAGTTTACCGAGCATTAGCGGGTGGTTTAAAAGCGGCTCGGCAGCGCACAGAAATTTTTTTTTCGACTCTCCAACACTTCAACTTCGCTGACAGGCACAATGACTGCCATTTCATTTCGACACCAACAACACAGTCTACTTGACTGAGCAGAGTAGAATGTGAGTTACTACCAACAACCTTCTTTTCCATACACCCTGCAATTTCAGGATGAATTTCCTTAACAGGAGTATCCATCACCGAAAATTCATGACGGACTCTATAAGTCTCTAGAATTACTCTGACTTGCTTCATCTGCTATCTGCAATCTGTAGATTGTCGTATATACGTTGCTGACTATTGTCCAGTGTATATAGGTTTCAGCTATGGTTGATTCGCACCCCTCGGTACATTGTAGCAAAAGGTATGCATACTCTTTTTTACACTGCATAACACCACCCCTTCGATGATGATCCTCAAGACACGCAATAGGCATTCCTCAATCTTAAGACCCATGTGGAATCTGTCATTTACTCAAGTTTCAGCCTTGTCTGATTTACACTATTCATTTACGCTTGTCAACGCATTTTCTTGTGGTGCCAGTCACTAACATGCTGTTAAATAGGTACATAAACCAATTCAATCACCTACCACCTCCCTTCTATGAGGATACTTTGAACGAACGGGCGGACATAATGCGTACATTTCCCGGCATCCATTCCAAGCAGAGCGTACAAACTTTGCGGGTGTTCGGGGGTGTATTGCTTGTTGAGAACTCGTCACCTGAGTTGCTGCCTTCGGCATTGCTTGTACCATGGATTTGGTTGATCCTAATTAACATGTCCATAGGTATTTTATACTCCAATCTCTCTTGTTTATGCCCACTGCATGTCGACATCAAATGATGAACACGTTATTCACACTGTTTGATCCGGTACACCCGGAAATGAACATTTAAACAAAAATTCTGATTTAATGAGGTGAGTTCGGTCTTTTTGGTTCCCGGCTGGATCTCTGCTAACTGTCGAAGCCTGACTTAGTTGACAACATCTTTGTTGTTTCGAATCACTCATGTTTCGCGACTTGATACTGATTCGTTCTTGAATAGGATCGATCCCATTGTAGTAAAGGATCACCTCGACGACTCTTAAGTGTAAGTACTTGCTGATGCTCCTTCCTCCGTCCCGTCACCTGATGAATTCTTTAATCGCTGTGTTCTTTCTGAACATCATTGAAGAAACAAACAAGATTCACCTTGGAGAACTGATCTTTGCCGTTCTTACTATTTCTGTATCGCCATCGCTGGATGAACCCGGCTAACGTTACATCAGACAGATCGTCGAAGTATATTCTAGATAGTCATGAATGAAACGTTCAATAATTGTCCACTGTTATCTGCATCGTAGACCTAGTCGTAAAACAGCATATGCTTCTTATGCCATCCCTCCAAGCTATCCCCTCCAAACATCTCATGCGTACTCTTCGCTCCCTCCGGCCACCGCACCCAGTTCGGCTTCGAGCTGTCCATAACACAGACCATCTCCTTGGGAACCGGTAAATCCGTATCAATCGCCGACGCAAACGGATGAATCAACTCGGGATAGTGATGATCCCACAACCACAGCATGGTACTGCAGTTCGAGCAGAAGCTGCGCTCGGATGAGCAGCGTTGTTCATTAGGAGTTCCGCGTGCCTTGATCGCTGAGTATTTTCTGTTTTTGTCAGTCCGTCTCCTTTCCGAAATATATAGTTCAGAGCGAGGTGAAACGTACTTAATCAGCTTCTCCCCCTTGGAAACTCTCAGGCTATTTGCAATTCCGCCCAAATTCACACTCCCACCATATCCACCAACTTTCCGACAAATACCACATGCACAGAGCTGGTAAGGGACCGGTGTTTGGGAGTCGAGGGCGAACTGTACGCCGCCGCATTGGCAGCTTCCTTCTAGGTGCCTGTCGGTGGAATATGGTTGGTTAATTGGTGAGGACCTTTAGGGAATTGGGGGATTGGTTGATTTACATTGGCATTTTGTCGATTAATTGGTCTGTATATATTTGTACGTGATTCTCTGGAATATAGGTGCGATTGTTTGAAGAAAGAGAGGGATATTGGACTAAAGAGAGGCTAGACGTCATCGATATATAAGTCCGGTTTGAGGGGTATATAGGTACAAGTACGCCAAGTATAAGCTATTACGTTTTTTACGAAGACTGTTATACTACATGACTTTCCATTGACTTCAGCAACTAACTCACCAACAACGAAACGATTGCAGCAAAACAGTCCAATGATGGTGGTGTAGACATGCCTGAACAACGGAATAGGCGTACAAGCAAATCTATGGCCATAGCGTATGCGGCAGTCAACTCACAAGCCCGAGAACTCGCTTTGCACTTGTATTGCATGAGAATTGCTGTCTTCTAGGATTTCCGGCTGAAAACAACAAATGCAGCCCAATTGACATGCATTGAGCCCTGTCCTGATCAATGGCAGTTGGTACTGTTTGTCCTGTTTGCTGTGTTTGTCTCCTCGTCGGCCGCGACTTTACGGGATTCGCTCAGAAGCAAAACATTCGGTTTCTTGACTTGACTGTCTTGTGAGAGATATAGTTTGACAGGATGGGTTTCGGAAGTCCAGGTACCGGCGCAACAAACTACAAGCCTTCTCCGTGAGTATTTCAATCCCCCATGACCATGACCCAATGCCTCAGCCGCTGAGACAAGACTAACATATCGAAATACCAGACCCGAGCGTGGAAGCTTTCCGCTTGACCATGAAGGTACGATTCCTATACACTGATTTACTAATAACTCGTACTCAACAAATACTCGAATCCGCCTCAACTCGATCATGCATTAACCGGCTTCCGATCATAGGCGAATGCAAACACCTCATCCGCAACTACCTGAAATGCCTAAAGACCAGAGGCGGCGTTAATGATCAGGACTGCCGATTAATGGCCAAGGATTACCTGGGTTGCCGGATGGAAAAGTGCGTTGTGTTAGACCCGAGAATCGTGAAGATCGGCTGATCGCCGTTCATCTTGCGCTTGGATTCGGGGGCATTGGCTGACTATCGTCTGTTTGATTGGCAGGAACCTCATGGCGCCGGATGATTTCAAAAACCTTGGGCTTATATTCGAGAAGCAGGAGAGTCAGGGGAGAGATGATGCGGGGACTGGGTCTGGGGAGAATGCGCCGAAGTCTTGAGGGGTGAATGAGGAATACAATGGCAGGATACTTCAAGCAGAGATCCGTTCTGGGGTAACTCTTTTGGGATTGACGATGTGTATATGCACTCAATTATGGCGTTGGTTAGGTTACTCTGCTCGTGTATATAAATGGACCGGACTGTAAAATTCGCAAATTTATGTGTTATGATACATCTTACCATTCTGATTGTTTAGAAGACAAGACAATGAGCACCAATTATCCTATATATTACGATCATACTAAATGCTGCCGTTTGCTCAAAAAAGAAAAGTGCATCGTCCATGCGGGGAAGTTTCCTATCGCGATAAAGTCGCGCCCGCTCCAATTGTCACCCAACCTCACCTAACCCAGCCAGGGCAACCACTCCCAGCGAACAACAATGTCCTCAATCGTCCGACCCCCAGACCCCTGCCTGGTAGCAATCATCCTAATCGTCCGCTCCCGCGCCGGCCCACGCTTCGTCTTCCACTACCCACCCAACCCCCTCAGCGAGAACGGGCCCCGAGCACCCGCCAGCAAATGTCGCCGCGCATCTCGCTCAAAGAGCACACAGGGAAATAGAAGCAATGACTCGAGCTCCAGCGATGAAAGCAACTCGACGTCCGACGACGAGGAGGAAGAGAATCAGAGCCATCTGGCGGGGAGCGGAATGTCGACGACGCGACGGATGAGTAATTTTGGCGTCGAGGATAGGCATCATCATAGTCATCCGCTGTCTGCGTCGCCGATGACTAGCACTAGTGTTGGTGCTGGTGGTGCTGGAGGAGGGGAGGTGTCGCAGTCGCAATCACAGTCGCAGCGGCCGGGTTCGTTGGGATCGGGACGAGCGTTATTTCGCAAGCGAGGCCCGAATTCTGATGTTGAGGATGACACAGGTGCAGGATCGGAGAGACAGGAGGATCCATCGCCTACGAGCGGACCGTTTGTGCCCCCGTGGGAAACGCTATTGGGTTTACCGTCTGATGTATGGGAGAAGCTGTTGAGTCCGTCGCGCAGCTGGCATAAACGGCGGTTCGAGGTTGGAATAAATGATCTGGCGTTTGTTGGATGGCCTGTGTTTGTGCGCGAAGACGGGACATGGCAGAAACAGCGACGGAAGAAGAAGAGCAAGCGCCGTTCCGAAGCGTATGCGAGAGCTGGAGAGAGTCATGATGAGAGTGCTGACGATCACGCTGGGCGCGAGGAGGGCATTGAGGCAATGGCGGATTCTACGGATACATTGATTAGTCTCAGGGCCATTGGTTCGCCGGAGCTGAAGCGGACATCTAGGACGAGTAGTAAGGCACCGAGGACTCCCTGCTCAGTAGACGGGGATGATAAGGATTCCATGACCATGTTTAATGTGGTGTTTGTGCTTGATCCTCCGTTGCTGGAGTATTCGATCCGGCTGCGGGAGGTATACGATAATATCATCAAGAAGTTTGCCAAAGCTTTGAAATGGGAGCAAGCGCGTACAGACTACGTTTGGAAAGAAGCGCAGAACATTTCGCATTTAAAAGAAAAGGCAAAGGAGAAGAGTGAGTCTGATTCAGCCATGATCCGTGGTTTTATACTGATGAGTCTAGGGTCTTCCGTCACTGGTCTCTACACCGAGCTCATATCGCATTCATCACTAGCTCGAGCTATCTACACACTTTACACCAGCATTTCCGCCTCTAAGATTGCTTCTCTTTCCCTTAGTCCTGACGTGTCGATTTCACTTCAGATACCCCCTCTCACTTCAACGCATTACTTACCCGGCCCAACCGACAAGGTATATCCTGGCCTGTGGCTTACAACTGCAGATAGTGTGACTCCGGTAGACGACGACCCGACAGCTGATGAGAACACTGCGCCGCATCAAGTACTCGCAAAGCATTTTGCTCTGTTGTTGCTGGATAATGAGGCATCGATAATCAAAGACGTCGAAGCATCTGCAAGTGCGTTGGCTCCCGCCCTAGTTCACTATATTCGATGCTCTAAACCGACCCAGTCTTTTGCGCAAATTTCAACCTTGTCGGGGATCCCATTGTCAACTATCCAAATGCTGGCGAGCCATCTAGTCTATTGGCGACGTGCACGTGCAATTCCTCCGCTTCACCAACGGGACACATACATCGTGTCGCCGAACTGCGATCTGAGCAAGCTTGACATTGCTACTGCTGCTTTCCATCAAGCCTTTCCAACGTGTCCAAGTTTGCCAAAGATGTTGTCGGCTTTGAGCGGTACGCCCAGACCGTACGGGAGCTTTATCCCAAGTAAAGACCACAAGGACACGTATTTCAGCATCTTGGCTTGGTTATTACGCGGTGGATGGGTCACGCAACTCCGTTCGTTCAGTAGAATTAAGGTGTCCCCAGAGATTAAAATGGCGGTGGAGAGGGCCGTTCGAAAAGAGCAAATGGATAAGTTTTTGGCCGAAACTGGGCCAAATCCAGTGTCTGAAGCCATTCCTACCGAGAATGAACGAGATGAGCATGCCGAAGATGATTCCAGCTCCTCTTCATCTTCCTCTCTCGGTAGCCAAGGGAGCGGAGATGAAACACCCATGCCTGGTCGGTATCATGATCCGATGGCCAACGAAATGTATCTCTCGCATTCACTCATGGATCACAACGTGCCTTTGCGAACGGCGTCTCTTATTCTCTCGCCCCATCGGGCATCGCCACTCGAATCCAGATGGCTGGAAGAGCTTGTCTCCCAGTTCCCGGATAATGGAGAGTTGAGTGTGGCCGCTTCGCATGGCAGCAGGGACCATGCGGGACCTCATATCTCACTGCAAAAGTTGTGGCCGATATTCATCAAATACTTCAACGGATACGATGCACTCGAGAAGATCCCGGTACGGGAAGGGCTGAAGCGAAAGCCAACCTGGCAGGTTCTTACACGCCTGGGACTGGGATCAGGGCAACCACACGTTGAATCAGATCCACGAGAGCAGGTATTGGTCTCTGTACGGCATTGGTAGCTATTCCCATACTCCTACAATTCTCCTGTAATTACCCCAGAGATACCACCAAAAATGAACAACGCACGTGACACTCGGAAATATAATTACAGACATTAGCACACGAGTGCATAGGTCGGAGCGCCCCGCTTTATTTCTCGGAGAGCCCCGGAGTTACCTTACCGAGCCCCGCTAAATCACATGATCCACAACACTGAAGGCGCCCCAAAATTACACTCTGTCTTATGTTGAAATCCTTTATCTGCCTACGCAATTGATACACTGTCCCCATTTCTGCCGTCATAATGCCTTCTACACTTGCAGATGTGGTAAGGAAATATCAACCATGTGCTTAAGAAGCAATTAATAAATACATTATTAATGAGAGCAGCCCGCGTACAAAGCCTATCTCGCCCATGTGCCTGCTGGAACCCTGCCGCTACCTCTGATCAAGGAGGTACTAAATAAATG